CACGAATTTCCCAAACAATTTTCAGAGTTTTCCCGAACAATTTTCCGAGTTTTCCCGAACAATTTTCCGAGTTTTCCCGAACAAAAAAATGATATCATAATTAATAAAATTCAAGACAATAATTATTAAATAATAAAATTTTTATTTATTTCCTTTCTTAAATATTGGAAAACAATGTATTTCATCGTCTTCACATCCTTTCTCTTTAACAATTATCATATCATCAGAATATTTATGAAATGAATGAAATTTTGAAATTCCAGGAATTGCTTCAATTTTCGACCATTCGTTTTTGAGTTGCGATTCTATTTGAAGAAATTCATCTACTGGAACGTAAGTTGATTCTATTTCTTTAACACATTCAAGCATGCATCTATCAAATTCTTGAGCAGAGTAAATATTATATTTTTGGGATAATATTCTTTGTCTAACGGCGCGTTTTGCAATACCACCAACACCATCTACTGGTCCTTTGCCATGTCCAGATGCAAAGAAATTCCAAGATATGCTTATTCCGAGTAATTTTTCTGCTTGTGCAACTGTGGACATTATCCATCTATTCTTAAACTGTCCCGGACATCCATCAGAAAATATTCTTGCAGTTTTTAAATTTGGAATTTTCATCTTTAAATCTGATATTATTTTTTTAAGACAAAGAAGAACACAATATTTACTCTGTCTTGTATCATCGGTTACAAGAACTTTTGATGGTTTTTCTTTTTAAGAAATGAAGGGTCTTCAACCTTCTTTTTATGATATCTTGCAAGGCTAGCCTTTCTTTTATTTTCCATATACTCATTCCATTTTAAAGGATCTCCCTTTAGTTTTTCAATAAATTTTTGTTGATATCTGTAATCATCAATTAAAAAGTTAAGAAATAATTTGAAATGATAATTAAACATTAACTTACGCTGCCATAATAATAAAAGTAACTTATGGTAGTAATATCTGTTTTAACTATTATAAATAATGAATTAGTTTATTTTGAATTGAATTCAATATGTTGACAAAAATTAGAACTTAAATGATTTCGATTGCTTTGATTCAGAAAAATTTCATTTTTTCTCAATAAAAGTTTTCCTGAGACATAAGTTTGTTTTACAAAGAATGTCAAAGAGAAAAACAATAAATGCCATTTTAAAGCTTATGAAAATAACTCGTAGTGCTGAAAATTTCACTATGAGTTGTTTCTTAATTTAACTCAAAAAGTTAACTTATGCATGTTTTCATATTAGGAAAACTCTTTCGAACATGCTTCAACATTTTTACATTTTTTCCAATTTCCTGAAAAAATTAATAAAATTAGTTTTTACAGATTAAAAGTTGATTAAAAATGGAACAATTTGTAGTACTACAATTTTATTAAATCACAATTTTAATCATAAAATAACAGAAATGAAAATATGCATTTTTATCAATGATTGCTCATATTCATGCATGTGATTTTCAGCCACCATTTTTAGGTACATAGCGGCGGTTTGAGAAGATGTTCAAAGTGATTTTGGATGCTCTCAACATCCGATTACAATGCTATGAAAAAATAATTGAAGAAAGTTGACGTCCTGAAAATCATCTTCCTGGATCATATTCTTTAAACTTAGCCATATCCATTTAAAGATTCCTTCAATAGATTTTCACAAAATTGTTTTTGGAATATCATATTGGCATCTAATGGCAATACATTAGATTCAGATAAAATAACAACATCTGATTTCCAATACCAATGAAAATTCGATTACATTTCAGAAATTCGTTCTTCTTCCTGGACATGTTACATACTGCTTCATACTTCATGATTTCACTCAAAAGATAGATTTACGCGTCTGATGAAGTTGATACAGACAACGAAAACCTGTAATATGTGACACACATAGTGGATACAATTTCAGATTTAAAAGAATTGAAAGGTTTTATAACAAGACATTTGCGCAGCAAATACAAGATATAAAAATTCAAAAATCTTCATCTTATTCAAGTATTTTTCATCTATGTGCTTTGTGCGATGGCTGAACTTTACGTGGAAAATCCCGTTCAAAAATTTAACTCATAAATTATTACGAACATTTAGATAAGTTATTAACGTATAAATGATTGAATGTAACTAAGTTGAGACTATGGGAAATGAATTTTAAGTATTTTTCTAAGCTTGCTTTAGAATATTTTCACACAAGATGGATGCAAGTGCATTCAATTATAATTATAAACACCAGATTTGTATTTGTGTGATGATGCGAAAATTGTGCATGGAATAAAAATTAAAAGTCGTTGACAAGGTTGTCTGGGAAGAAAAATTTAATTTTCAACTGGAACATATTAATTTTATTAATTGGTTGCCTTTTTTAATTATTTTTAATGTCTTCAATTAGGCATACAAATATTGAAATTTCTAATTATTTTCTCTTTTCTTTAGGATGATTGAAATGACTTCAACCATGGAATATCTTGGAAAGAGCTTCTTCACATTACTCTGATTTCGAACAACTGCTGGGTGTCAGTATTTGAACAGAACTTAAAATATTGATTATTGTGTTTAAGTTTGTTATTGTTCAAATATCGATAAAATAAATTATTAGTCATTTTCACTTGCTACCTTTTTGAATGTAATGCCATCATGACTTTATAAATTAAATCTTTTCAGATTCTTCATTGCTAAAATGATTTTAAGCAACATCTACAACAATAAATTATAACTTATGAAACTTATTGAAATTTTATCATGTTATGAATTTCTATTGTTCGATCATATCTAAACAATATATTTTAAAATTCATATTTATTTAACTTTCTGAATGATGTTTATATGACAACAAGTGCCATCTCAATTTTATTCAATACATGGGATGCGAAAATGACATTCTGATATTCCACAGATAGTCACTCCAAATGTGCAAATATTATTAACTTCTGTATTTTTCCAGTTCGATCCAATGTTATTTAGAAAACTGAAAACTTCACCTTCATAAAATAAGTAAAAAAATATATTGAGTTAAAATCAAGAATAAAAACTCTTTAAGAAATTATCAAATTACTTTTGATGTATTCACATTTTGATTATTAATTTCATTACTTCTTTTACTCCATAAAAGAGTTGTCAATTGAATTCCTGGTGCTTCAACAAAAAGATGAAAAATTGCACTAAGAATCATGCAAGTTACGATATCTCCGATGTAAACTTGAAGTTGCCACCACATTCCAAACCACGAAACTTGCTTTTGGTTTACATAAGTCAGTGTCATGTATTGATAATGAACCAAATAAATACTCAAGCACATTCTAGATATTGGTTGCCATGAATGTTGAGATAAAAAAGCACGAAAAAATCCTCCAGATTTGAGACAATGGCAAGCGAAAACGATCCAACAGATTGAACATGCCCACATGTCGTCTCTAACAGCATCATAAATATGATGTAATGTGGAAATAGAAGGGCTTAAAAAATTGAAAATTCTATCACTTATAATGCAAATGGAGAAGGCCCAACCCAATGCAATTTTTGAATTCGATAATCTTAGATTTAATTTCTTATAATCATAGATTATATATCCTGTTAAGATTCCTATGAAGTACTGTCCAAGTCGATATTCCATGTGCTCGTAGATGTTAACCTTTTTCTCACCTTTTCTGAAATTAAAAGAAATGTTCCTTATTACAGAAATTTCCCACGAATAGTTTAAACTTACATGAACATCCCATAAAATGTAAACCACTGAAATGAAATGAAAATAATTGCCCCAAAAATCAAAGATTCTTTTCTGAGTTTCCAAATACAATAGACAATTAAAGGTGTAACAGAAAACAGTTGGAAATCAGTTGAGAGGTACCACGAATGATTAAAGCACTGAAAAATATTCACAAAATTATAGAAATTATCAAAATAAATTCTTAAAACTTACGACAGAAGTGTTGTTTGTATAATTTTGAACAAAAGCAAGAAGAGCCCACCACCATTCACGGCATATTGACGTCTTATAAATTAAGCTGCCAAACATAGGACCAGATACAATGAATTGAGGTATATTACTGGTAAACACGACGAGTAAAATAACGATCGAAGGAAAAAAACGTATGTAGATATCGGTTGATATAAAATTTCAGAGGTTGAAATTTATTCCTAAATTAGGTATCATTTTAAAAAATAAATTTTCATTGAAAATTAGTTCTTCACGAATAATTCTTCACTCACGTGTCTAAAGATTTCAATAGAGAAAGTGTTATTAGAATTGCAGAGCAAACGAAGAATGTTATTACACTCGTGGCATATTCACTAACAAATCTAACCAAATAATAATCCCACCATGATAAATGATCCAAATTCTTATGTTGGAATGGAAAACCAAAGAATTGTTTACGATGTCCAATCATGATCCATAATGCAGATATAGATTTTAATCCATCAATACAATTAATAGCTGTCGATGATTCATTTTTCTTCATAAGATTCCGAAAGTTCGACCTGATCGAAAATATTGATAATAATTTTGATGAAGGTTTTCCAAGCTTTTCTAATAAAATTTGATAAAGTGTGCTTCCTACGTTCAAAATAAAAATCATCAGAAGAAGTGATCTAGAAAGGTTAATTAAAATATCACAAGAGTTTTATGTTAGACATTATTTTACATTGCAAATTTATCGAACGAGTTCATCTTTGGTGGTTCATAGCATTGAAACGTTTTTATGGTTGAAATTTTGTCGATTTCATAATGTTGCGCAAGCTTATACAAATCTTTAGTTGAACACGATTTTGGAACACAAATTCCCATTTGATATTCAATTTCATTAGCACCATTATTCAAAAAATTGTGAAAAATTTCACGTAGGTTGATGTTATCAAAAGTAAAATGATTTTCAATTTTATGTTTCCTTCCTGCTGGTATAATAGCATTGCAGTATTTCCCTTCAATATGTCCATATCGAAAATAGTTGCATTCATCAAAGAGACCGATACCGTATCTCAATTTATGCAAATTCTCTGGTTTAAACGACCACGTATCAAAAACTATCAGAAAATTAATTTTCAATGACAATTCGTACAATTAGTTTTTATGCTTTTATCTGTACATACATTTTAAAGCCCAAGTTTCCCCACTTATGAATGAATCATAAATCTCTTTCAATTGATTTTCACAAATAATATTGTTTGTGATGTTCATTTCAATACACCTGCTTTGAAATTTCTACTTGAAGCTTTGAATGTTTTAGAAAAACTGATGAGAATGATGTTCAACTCTCAAATTGATCTCAAATTTTGATGTAGGTATCTGTTCTTGGAATTCGCACACTTCGATAATTGTGTCATTCATTAATTTTCTCTTTATTTATATAAGCACAACTAAACAGAACTTCTATTCTGTTTATTTTCTATGTACCAAAAATAACGAGTACAAATAATTCGATAGCATTTGATCTTTAAATTCTCGTAAACTTTTCACATGAAACTATTAGTGAGTGTGTCAAATTGAAACAAAAATGCCTATAGGAAGTTTAAAATTCTACAACATAATCAATCTAATCGTCTGCAAAACATGACATAAAATTCTCTTGCTTTTAATATTTTCATTCTACAACTACCTAGGAAAGAAATAAAATTTCTATTGATTCAAACTGGAAAAAGAAAAATTTTATTGACAGATAATATCTCTATTAGAAGCTTCAAATATATTTTTTTACGAAAATATGAAAAGCTTTCAGTTGTCATAAAAGCTTTCGCACTACATAGAGAGAATTTCAATTCACTCAGCTGCAATTATTAGTAATGATGTCATTTTTTGGAAATAAAAAAAATGATTTCAATTTAAGACAACTTTTAAAAGTTAGAAAGGATCACAAAATAAAGTTTAAGGATTAAAAAATCAGCGCAGATTTTGTTACGACACAATGTACATTGAATTCGCCTCAATGCAAATGAGCGAATTCATATTTCAAACGGAAAGTTCAAAAAAAATTACTAATAAACCTACTTTTTCTCTGAATCTAAGTAACATATTCTATACCACATCTTATTAAAATATCCAACGATTGCGTATTAACTGCTGAAGTCAAAAACCTCATTTTTCAAATATTTCTGTTCGTCCTATGTATTAAGAAGCTTCTTACCCCTAATGTTATTGTGAAAAAAAAGATTAGAAAAAAATGAAGATTAAATATAAATTTCAATTTAAATAAATAAAATAGCAATGGATGTTGTTGGACTAATAAAAAAAAGCTATCGTGGATATGGAACTTTGTTTTCCGATAAATTTAGGGAAACATTCTTGAAAGAGGACACCAAAAACGTAAATAAAATTGAAATTTGATTCGATTTGTTGTTGCTTTCTTCTCCGCAGAATTTTTTACAAGCAAATTTTTTCTTATTTGTATTTTCAGATATGGATAGCATTGAGTATAGTTGTGTTAACAACTATAATATTTCTGAGTATACATTTATGGCGGAAAAATAAAATTAGAAGTATGTTTTTCCTAATATTTTCCCTTCAGTTCCCTGTTGCCCTTGAACTATTTTTTTTCATTTTTCTTTTCCTTATTTTTATTTTCATCTTCGTCGCATCACATCTACAACAACAAAGAACAATCAATCATTGACAGATTAGCAAGTTCTTTCTTAAATGATGGACAAACTAGATTTCGTAAACGAGATAAAATGCTTTTCTATGGTCGACGGATGTTGCGTAAAGTTAAAACAATTAGTGGAAATGGTGAAAAGGGCAAAAAGCGTCGCGCTGTAATGAAATTTGCTAGAAAGCTTCTTCAAATACAGAAAGATAATCTTCAACCAGAACTTCAAGTCACAGAACCACCAGCTGAATATTTTGAAGAAGTCGTTGATCGAATTGATAAAGTACCAGCAGATGCTCTTTATATGCTTCAAAGTATCAGAATCTTCGGTCAATTTGATAAGCCAGTTTTCTTAAACATCTGCAAGCACACGGAAATCCTCACACTAAAAGCTGGTGAACATCTCATCAAAATTGGTGATGCTGATGATTCAGTTTTCATTGTACAAACCGGACAAATCAACGTATTTTTAAATAATCCCGATGGCAGCAGCATTTCACTGAAAGTCGTGAAAAAAGGTGAGACAGTGACGTCTCTTCTCAGTTTTATTGACGTTATTGTCGGTAACACATCACAGTACAAAACAGTCACTGCACGTGCAATTGAGGAATCTCAAGTCATACGATTACCAATGTTTGCTTTCAAAGAAGTATTTGGTGACAATCCAGATATTCTTGTTCGCGTTATTCAAGTCATTATGGTTCGGTTGCAACGTGTCACAATAAGTGCATTACACAATTATCTCGGTTTAAATACAGAATATATTCAAGTGTCGAGTAAGAAGAAACAGAATCCCAACGTTGTGCCACTTTCAAACATTCCAAAGCCCCAACATAAGCGACAAATGTCTGACCAGTTTTCATTAGTTACAAGTTCTGATCAACGACCTGATATGATCAACGATATTGAGTTTCATCTTGTTGGAAGGAGAACTTCCAACTTACCACAACCAAGTGACATTCCAATTGACGTTGAATTAATGAAAAGTGTTGCAATCGATGGATTCCTTAAAGAATTGGGATTGAAAGATGACGACAGACCATTGATATCTGATACAATTGAGATTAAGGAAATTCCTGCCGGAACAACTTTAACACATCAAGGTCGAGCTGATGATGTTCTCTTGATTTATGTCATCACCGGAGGTTTAACATTGATCAATCATCAACCAACCAAAGGAACGAAGAAAAAGACTGACGGTAATTACATAACAGTACATCCTGGTGAAGTTGTTGGTGGTCTTGCTGTCTTAACTGGTGAATCGTCTTTGTACACCATCAAATCGAAATATTTTACACGAGTCGGTCTACTTACGAAAGATAGCGTTTATAAGATTATGCAACAACGACCGTCGGTTGTTCTTGACATTGCTAATTCAGTTGTCAAAGGACTTAGTGCTTTAGTTCGTCAATGTGACTTTGCATTAGATTGGATATTCTTAGAATCTGGTCGAGCAGTTTATAGAAAAGGTGAAACATCAGATTGCACCTACATCGTTTTAAATGGACGTTTAAGAAGTGTTGTTACACATCCAAATGGAAAGAAGGAAATTGTTGGTGAATTTGGTAAAGGTGATTTGATTGGAGTTGTTGAGATGATAACAGAATCACCAAGGACAACGACAGTGATGGCAGTTCGTGATTCAGAACTTGCTAAACTTCCTGAAGGATTATTTAATGCAATTAAGTTGAAATATCCTGTGGTTGTCACACAACTCATCAGTCTGCTAAGTCATCGTTTGCTTGGGTCAATGCAAGGAACACCAACAAGCACGAACATCATAACTGATGCATCGCCAGTTAAACATCGTTTTTCGACTGTTGCAATCTTGTCAATATCAGAAGATGTTCCTTTAACTGCTTTCACTTACGAACTTTATCACTCCCTTTCATCAATTTGTCCATGTGCAAGACTTACAGCTGATGTTGTAAGGAAAACTCTTGGAATGAGTATCATGGAATCATCGAATGAATATCGCCTTACAAGTTGGTTGTCACAACAAGAAGATCATCACGACATCACATTATATCAATGTGAAAGTGTTTTGACACCGTGGACTCAAAGATGTTTACGACAAGCTGATGTGATTCTTATTGTTGGCTTAGCTGATCGAACACCAACGATTGGAAAGTTGGAACGTGAAATTGATCGATTTGCTATAAGAACTGCTAAGGAACTTGTTTTACTTCATCATGAAGCTACAAGTTCAAACTCGAGACCTACAAACACTGTCGCTTGGTTAAATCAAAGATCGTGGGTTAGTAAACATCACCATATTCAATGTCCTAAGAGAATGTTTACGAGAAAAAGTCAATACAGAGTCAATGATCTCTACACGAAAGTTCTCAATTCAGAGCCGAACATACATTCAGATTTTTCACGACTTGCACGATGGTTGACAGGAAATTCAGTTGGACTTGTGCTTGGCGGTGGTGGCGCTCGTGGTGCAGCCCATGTTGGAATGCTTAAAGCTATCCAGGAAGCAGGAATTCCTATTGATATGGTTGGCGGTGTTTCAATTGGTGCATTTATGGGAGCTTTATGGTGTTCTGAAAGAAACATTACGACAGTGACACAAAAAGCAAGAGAATGGTGCAAGAAAATGACTCATTGGGGACTTCAACTTCTTGATTTGACTTATCCAATCACATCGATGTTTAGTGGTAAACAATTTAATCAAACAATTCGAGGGACATTTGGTGACATTCACATTGAAGATTTGTGTAAGTTTTTGAATTTGATATTAATTGTGATATCTTTATAAAATCATTTCTTCATTTTAGGGCTTCCTTACTTTACATTAACAACTGACATTACAGAAAGTTGCGCCAGAATTCATATGCACGGTAAGAGTCATTCAATTTACAATTTAATTATTTTCAAAGCATTTTCCCCAAATTCTGCTTCAATCTGTTCTGAGTCTTGTTTATTAATGACAGGTTTTGGGGAATTGAATAAGCCCTGTTTAGCATTTATTTCTCGCTTATTTTCTCATTTCTCTGCATCTTAATTTTCTCGCCTTTTTTTTCTTAATGAACAAAATTCAAACAAATGAAAAAATATCTGTCAACATTAAAGGAAGCTTATGGCGTTATGTTCGGAGTTCTATGAGTTTAGCTGGTTACATGCCACCATTGTGTGATGCTAAAGATGGACATTTGTTATTGGATGGTGGTTACGTCAACAATTTGCCAGGTAAAAGCGTGTTTGCTTTATCTTTTAGCTAAAATTAGAAAATATTCGTTAAGAAAAATTAAAAATTTTAATGTCACTGGCCGAAAATTTGGAAAATTATGTTTTTCGGCCAGTTTATGTTGGATTAGAATCCAGAAGAATCAATTCGAAGGAATTTCTGCTTCTTAATTATGTTGTATGATTGTGAAGAAAACTTTTTTGTGGCCATTTATAAAACGATTGTTCTTTATTTACTCTTTTTCAAATTAACCAAATTAGAATGTTTTATTTATGTTGATATGTAAATATAAATATTAAGCGACCATCTAGGGATCACAAAATATAATTTCTCGTAGTTTTAACTTGCACACAAATTGTCCTTATAATTTCAAGTAAATGCACCAAATATGAGTTATCAAGCTATCGTCTCTTCAATTACCTCAAGATGTGTCTTTAAAAATAAAGCTCAGAACTTCTTTTTGTTATTTTCCCTTTTTATTGCTCATGTAATTTTTTTGTTTATACTTTTTTTTGAATAAATGTTGGTTGAGTAGGAAGAATTTGGCGTTATGTTCGTGGATCGATGAGCGTAGCTGGTATTTTTCCACCAATTTGTGATCCAAACGATGGTCATCATCTCATCGATGGTTGTTATGTGAATAATGTTCCAGGTATATGATTCGTCTTAAAATGGTCACAAAAAAGAATTTAAAAGAATTAGGAAAAAATTTTGAAGTCAGAAAACTTTTAATTAAGATATTTTTTGTCATGAAATTTTAAGCTGATGTGATGCGAGCACAAGGAGCAGCTCACATTATAGCTGTTGATGTAGGATCACAAGATGACACTGACCTTACTGATTATGGCGACGACTTGAGTGGTTGGTGGGTGTTGTACAAAAGATACAATCCATTCACATCTCCTGTGAAAGTTCCAGCCATTCCTGACATTCAATCACGATTGGCTTATGTGTCTTGTGTTCGTCAACTTGAGGTAAGAAACTGAATATTTAAGATTCTCACAATTTATAAAAATATCATAAAACTTTAGCAAGTGAAAAACAGCGATTATTGTGAATATCTTCGTCCACCAATTGACAAATATAAAACTTTGGCGTTTGGATCATTTGATGAGATTAAAGAAGTCGGCTATGCATATGGGAAAGAACATTTTGAGAAGCTTGCAAAGACTGGAGGACTCTCAAGATTTAATAAATGGACACAACAGAAGAATGGCGATGACAATGAGAAGTCAAGTCAACCACTAACTCAATACACTTTCGTTGATCTTGCACAGATTGTTTGTAAAGTTCCCGTAACGTGTCAAGACCGTCACAGCGATGAGATGTCAAGTGAAGACGACTACTTTGGCGGATATGTCAGCGAACCAACAAGTTTACGAGCAAATGTTAAAGTCATGAGACAGCTTCGTACCGGTGGTTCACTTTCACTTTCAGAAAACGAATATGAATCAGATTCAGAATCTGATGCACCTGTAGATACAGAACCAACAGTAAAAGAAGCTTAAAATTTGTAATCGATCAAAGAAAATCGATTTTATTTAAATAAAAAGAAAATTATTCTGTTAAAGCTTTGTGAAAAATAATGAATTTTAATTTATTAGTATTTAATGTGCTGCTTTTGTTGTGAATAGAATTGAATTAATTGTTTTGTGTTGATGCTGAAACCGGTGGTTTTACACCTAACAAGTCGCAGAGTTGATTACGAATTGGACGAACTTCATTTAAAGGCTGAGTCCAGTCAGTGTCCATTAGAATGTCGGAAATCTCATCGAGATTATCTTCAGGAACGTCTGTCGTATCACCATAAAGAAGCATCGCTTCATAAAGCTTCAAAGCTGCTGTTTTACGAATGTGAACATGAGTTAGACCTAAAAAGATTCCCATTTTCGTGAAAATCTTCGGGCATAATCGACGAACCTGCGAAAAGAAATAATTTTAATTATTTTAACTAGAAAAATCTTTCATTAACTCACTTGAATTAACTGACACATGACATTGATACTCGACACAATCTTGTAAAGCTTTTTATGTCCTTTAATTTCGAGATTGACAAGTCGAAAGACTTCTTCGGGAAATTTATTGTTTTCATCTTCCAAAATCATCACAAGAACTCCTGAGCTGAGAATCATTTCAAGGAAGTTTAGCAAGGGATAAGTGATCCTCTCATTCAATAAATTCTCATGGAAAATCTTCAATATTAAATTGCAAATTTTCGGAATTTCATCGTCATTGACTTTGAGGAAATCTAAGAAAGATGATGACGAATGTTTGATGAGTGATTCGGTTAATTGTCCGATCGATCCAATCATTCCAAGAAGTAGTTTTTCTGAATATTCGGGAAACTTTAACATGCGACAAAATAATGGGAATGTGTGATCAGCAAACAACCATAAAATGTTAACACCGTCAGCTGGAAAGATTTCCATCAAAACTTCATGTCGTTGAATGTGTGGAATTTTCGGTTGATGATAAATGAGACTGTGAAATAATTTTCCAGCCATGCCACGAGTTCGATCAATCTTTTCAACACTTTGTTGAGCTAAACCTGACATCACTTCGTGAACATATTTCGACTCTAATCTCTCACTTGGACAATTCACAATCAATTGATGTAAAACTTGCATTGAAGCTTCTCTCACCCACGCACCAATATCGCCTCGATTATCAATCGTGTATTCTTCTAATGCTTTCAATAAACATTCGAAAATCTTATTGAGATTATCTTGTGAAAGATTTTCAAATCCAATTGTCGCTGTGATGCTTCCAATCGACTTCACACTATCACGACGTGACTCAGACCAGTTTAAAATGATTGGATTCAAGCCCGCTGCTCTTACTTCACTTTCCTTAGGCACTAATGAATGTTCCATTAATCGTTTCAACACATCGTTGAATGAACGAAGCAGAAGAAATGAAGGAAGTGATCCAATAGCCAAAACGTAGCCCATTCGAACATGTTCTTCGAGATCATTATTAGACCCAAGTAAGTAATTGTTCAGAATCTCGCCCGTGTTATTTGAATCTTTATAATAAAACTCACAGAAGTGTCCCAAAGCATTGACTGCAAGTTCTCTAATTCGATTATTTTTACTGATGATGCAAGAATCAATCAGCAATTGCCATGAATCGATGCAATCTTTGTTGATTGTCACTTTTGCAATGCTACAATTTCTTATCAAATCAAGAGATGACATCTTCATGAGTTCACCGCTCATTCCCCGAAATTGTTCTCGCGCTTGTAACTTCAGCATGAGTCCATTCAGCTTATCCAAAATATCATTCGAAATAAAACTTCCATCTAATTGAGTTAATGCTAAAATCACTTCGCCAATAGCTAAAATTGATCCATGACGTAAATTAACATCAATTGAATCAGTTTTCTCGAATAATCGATCCAAAACATTTGTCGACATGTATTTCGGATTGTGATGAGTGAGTTTGTTGAGAGATTTTGCTGCAAGTTCTCGAATTGCAATATCCCAATGACCACATTTTAAATCAACGAGATGATCAATCAAAGGCAAAGTATATTCGTCATATTTCGCTATGAAATCACTGATGATAAGAAAGGAATTTGTTCTCATACCAACAGAATAAAAGTCAGCAGTTGTAAGAATGTCAATTCCATGTGGAAATGTTCCAAGTCTTCCAACACTCTCCTGGAATGCTGCTGACGCTGCACGACGACAATTTATTTCACGATCAAAGACAGTGACGATGAGAAGACCAGTCGCTATTCTTTGAACGAAAGGTTGAAGATCACGAGGATCATACGCTCTTGCGAATGCCCAAGCAACGTAACAAGCTGAGTCACGAATATTTTGTCCTACAGACATGTAGCCTTTCATCTCGTCGTAAACAAGTGCACGAAGGAGAAGTGGAACTAAATGTTCCAGGCGATATGGTAGGAGAAGACCTCGTTTTGCCAATTCAGCAACAGCAAGACAAGCTCCTGTGAAGAGAGAAAATTGATTTTAAGTTTCATGAGTAAAAATTTAATAATTTACCATGCCAAGCTTCATGTTGCTCCAAAGGATTTAAAATTTCAATGACTGATCCAACAACTTCATCGCCGAGTGTTTTTGGGAGACGATTTGTGACTCTTCCAATACCTTTAGCTGATAACCAACGAACATCTCCACTAGAACTTCGTAATCCATGCAACAATTGTTCAACAACTTCTTCAATTTCATCGGGAACATCAACATCATCAGGATCGTCATTAGAAACAGCGATCGTTGATGTTAATTCAGCAGTTTTAATGACATTGTTTGTTGTAAGATTTGTTTGGAGTGAACGAGATCCACGATTATATCGCCATTGAGCGATTTTTGGTGGCATGAAAATTAATCCCAATCGTTGAACAATTTTTATGTGATATTTGTTCTTTAAGAAGTCAGACGAATCTTTGAAATCTTGTTGAAGAATCCATTTTAATATCTTCGCAGCATAAGGCAAGAGATCTTCACGTTTTCCATGTTTTAAAATCGCTGCAATCGATAATAAAGCTCCATATCTGATGTTCATGGGGTCACTGCTAACTTCAATGAATGTCCAATCGAAGAACGATGACAAGTAAATGTCTTTGATTTCATTTCGAACGAGAAACTTTGCCGATAAAAAAGCAGCAACAGCTGAACATGGGTCGTTACCTCTGCAATTATTCTTACATACTTGAAAGATTCTTTCCATTTTTGAGAGTGATGACTTATCACCAACATCGCTGCTATCAAGACGAGAGAAGTGAAATGGATTTAAGACAAGAATACTCATCCACAACAACAGCATGTATCTTGTTTCCCAGTTATCAGCTTCATCAATATTCTGACGCTCCAACATGTTAAGAACGAAATCAATGTCAGAAAGTTCATGAGGAAGAAACTTCACAAAGGCTTTGTAAGTTCTAACTTTGCATATTTGATACATGTATTTGAACCCTGCATGTTTTAGACCATCTGGTGATGACTCATTCCGAATAATTGCGAGAAGCACTTCTATGAGTTGAGGAATATGCAAATCTAATAGATGAGGTTGTTCTTGATATCTTGAAAGGATTTCAGAAAACTTTTCGTAAGTTTTCTCCAAAGTTTTATCATAAATTTGTTTCAGCTCTTCAATCATTTTAAGAACTTCATCCAGTTCCGTGAAATTCTCAAGCGTATTTGATGGCATTTCATCATCTTTGTATTCGTCCATTTGAACCATTTTATAAATGAACAGTTTTTAACTTAATGTCACTTTCAATGCGATGAATAATTGCTTAACTTTAATTTTCAATATTTGTTGTGCAAATTGTTTTTGTTTTTAATTTGCCGAATGCAGAATCGCAAACTAATGCTGACACAATGCGAATCGCAAAGGGGGTATCAATGTTGCTTAAAGGAATTTCATAAAACGTCTTGTCGAATCAAAAACAGTTGCAGAAATAATTTAATTTCATTGGAAAACACTTGTATTTAATCATAAAAACTTAGTATAACTTTTTACTCAAGATTTAAATCATCAAAGAATATATAAGGATGTCTCTTACTTGGTCATTAATAGGTAATAAACTGAAAACAAAAATAAATTCATTTGCAATGTCGTCATTCGGCGTAATTAATTTTTTATTGTCCTGCATTATTGTTAACGATTTCTCATCAATGTGATAACGAAATTCCTTTTCTTTAAACTATTTCAGCTGGATTTCTTTACACCGAAGTCTTCATTGTTCTACTCTTAGTTTTACCACGTAAGCTTTGAATTTCTTTCCATTTTTGGACTTTGAAAAACTTCGATTTATTTGTTTTGACACAGTTTTCAGTGCTTCGAAATGGAACCGCTTCTTCAAATCGCGTTTTCTTGCTGCATTTGCTCGACAAGCACAAATATACTTCTATTTAGTGCTTGGGGTTTTGGTGATCTTTTTACTTGAAGCCATTCGTGAGATGAGAAAATATTCAAATGTTGGTGAGTAGAAAAATTGAAATTAAATTGTTTATGGATTATGAAATAATTTTTTTTGTTCATAGAAGAAGAAACAACCTTGAACTTAGGGATGCAACATAGCATGAGATTATTCAGAGCTCAAAGAAATTTCTACATTTCTGGATTTGCAATTTTCTTGTCGCTTGTCATTCGTCGTTTGATCATCTTGATTTCACAACAAGCATCTCTCATTGCTAACTCCGAAGCTTCAATGCGTCAAGCACAATCTGCCTCTGACACTGCTCGTCACTTGTTGGCTGCAAGTGGTGGTAAAAAGAAAACCGATGAAGAAACCAAAGTCGATGAAGTAAAAGCAGCTCTTGAAGATGAAGTTAAGAAACTTAAAGATGAACTTAAACGTGAAACTAAAGATAAGGAAGCTTTGAAATCTCAGGCTGAATCACTTAACCGAGAATACGATCGCCTTACTGAAGAGTTCAGTAAGCTTCAAAATAAGATGTCAAAAGCTGGTGGCGATAAATCAGATTAAACATTGAAAAATTGAAAACTTGTGACCTTCAAATTCAATTTTTTCATTTCTATTTCTTATCTTTTCCATTTTTTTTTCTCGATTTCTCTCTTTTCTCCCAACTATGATTCATAAATGTTGGCCTTCTACGTCATAGTGTGGAAAATATTATTCATTCAATTTTTAATGATGTGGTTATTTTCACATTCGTGAAGTTATTTATATAAAACAACAACAAAGCATGTGCATGATAATTCAGCATAAATCGACATGAAAGATTTTTAAATTTTTGGGAGTGTTGTTAAAAGAAAAATGTAGGAAATGAACAATAAAATAAAGAGATTGGAATGTTTTTTATTCTTAAAAACTTACTGATTTGTGGTTATTAATAATTGTTTAAATGTCCACATAAATATTGAATTCAATTCTGTATGAAAGGTCTTGAATTAATCCAGGGATTCGCTCATATCTCAGCAATCAGTTTTTGATGACAAGTGCCAAGTTTGATTTGTTATTGCAAAACAGAGGAAATATTAAAAAATAATGTCATAGCAATCGTCAAAATTATTCTTTCAATTTCGTAATTTAAATTCAACTTTCTAACGCTTTAAAATTTAAAAATAAATCTGAATTAAAAATCATTTTAGGATTAAGCCTTGGATAAAATATTGTGACAAATTTTTCGATTTCTCCCATTTTTGTGATAACACAAAGAAGCTTAAAGTTCATTTCTCTCAATATATTTCGATATTTAGTCATGTCAAAACGTCAACTTTTGTTACTGTCATCATCAAACTTCCATGGTCATGAATATCTTCAGTTCGCTAAAGATTGGATTGTAGATTTTCTTAAAAAGTGAGTGAAAATTTGTTCAAATTTCTGAATCATCATGAAATTAATTTCTTGATTTATCAACTTAGAAACAATGCTGATAAAGTGCTTTTCATTCCTTATGCATCAGCAAAGCCCAATTCTTATGGTGAATACACTGAAAAGGTTCGTTCAGCTATGAAAGATTGGAATTTGGAAGTTACCGGAATTCATGAGTCACCAAATCCAGTTGAAGCTGTAAAACAAGCAAAAGCAATATTTATAGGAGGTGGAAACACTTTTTTGTTGTTGAAGACTCTTTATGAACAGCATTTAGTGGAAGAAATTCGTTCTCGTGTTCTCGACCATGGTGTGCCTTACATTGGATCAAGTGCCGGCACTAACGTTGCCACGCATTCAATTCATACAACAAACGACATGCCAATCGCATTACCACCAACATTCTATGCACTTCAATTGATTCCATTCAACATCAATCCCCACTATTTAGATCCAATTCCAGATTCAAAGCATCAGGGAGAAACACGAGCAGAACGCATCAAAGAATTTCATTATTTGAATTCAAATCCAGTATTGGGTCTTCGTGAAGGTTCAGCATTGTTAATTGACGACGACAATTCAGCAACACTTATCGGTCATACACCAGCAGTTGTCTTTTCTCGTGAAAACTCTCATGCAGAATTTCCGGTCGACTCCGATTTACGCTTCCTTTTCTCCAAATAAATGAATCAATAAAGCGAACAAATCATATTTGGTAAATAATTTTTAAAACTTTTATTATAATTGGTTCGTCTATCACTTGAGTTATGAGTTGATTTCTAAGGATTTTGAGTGTTTTGAAAGATAACTAAAACTAAACATTGAAAAGTTGATGAAAATGAAGACATTTAATAATTAGCTTGTGCGATCAACATAACAGCTTCTCCTAATTGTTTTCGTGATGCAAGATTAATGCATTTGTAGTCAATCGAAGTGTTTTGATATTCACATTTTGGCATTGGTCCATTAGGATTACCTTCCAAGAACTTTTCTAATCCAATTCCAAATCTCAACGTCGGTTCAACAGCTCTTAAAAGATGAACTGAAGTTTTGGCACGAATAAATATGTCGATAACTCGAGTAACGTCTTGATATTGACGAGATTGAAGATTAATTATGTCAGCATCTTTACGTACAATTGCAACGTAAGGTTCAAGTTTCTTTCTCGCTGAAATTGTAGGAAAAAGATTTATTTCAACATCATTAGGCAATTGAACAATTACTTGACTCACCTTCTACATAATCTCGACTGTAAAACGAGATGATATCATAATTGTGACGATCAAAATATCCACCACTCTGCGACACGTCACAATTCTCACAGGAATTACACAATGCTGTATATTTGCATGGATATTGCATGAAGCCAATCGGAGAAAATACTTGGAAACCTTGAATCGTATTCATTCTGACACGATTAAGAAAATCATTCTTAAAATGTGCTACATTCGTGAATAAAAGCACGAGACTTTCAAGTCCAATTTTTCTTAATGCAAGATCAGTTGCAGCGAGTGATAAAATTTCTTGATTAGCGTACATTGAACTCAACATTTCATCACTCTCATGATAAGTGTAATCATACTCAGATGGTAAACGAATTGACACCCACGCAATTCGAGAGTCGTCAGTTTTGATTCGTTTTGATGTTTCAATGGCAAAGTTTTTTAAATTATAAAACACATCAGATTCAGCTTTATTAGAAGCGTTCGAATTATACAGCAGAACTAACATGAGTGTCGTTGAATCTTTATTCTGCATGCAGATTTCTTCATAGCGCTTTATGAAATTCATCGTTTCCTCGATTCGATGAACAAATGTTGGAACAATCATCGCAATTCTTGTAGATTCAGTAACGTAAGGACTTGGGATGATTTGAATAAGTGAAATTGGTTTCACAACTTCGAAACCCTTCAAAACAAGTTCACCATTAGAATCACGGAAGTTGAGATGAATTCGATAATCCATTCCTCTGACAGTATCGAATTTCATGTAAGCTGATTGAAGACTTTCATAGATCAATTCTGGATATTTCTTACCAACTTCATTGAGAATTCCATCAAGAATTTTTTTTATATTTTGTGAGTCGATTTTATTTAATGGCTTCACATTTACTCCTTCATCGCCCATAAAACTATGAGTTAGATTCAGATGTGTCCAAACTAACATATCGTGACGAACTGCTGGTTTAACTGAATTTGGAACACCAAGTGGCCAATGAACTTCTAAAACATTTTTTGCAACTGTTCCATTTCCAACATTTTGAGCTTCTCGTTCCAAACTTTTAATTCTTGACTGAACAGCTTCCAAGTGAAGTCTTGAAAAATAAGCGTGAAGAATGTAAATGTCATCAGTTGTTGTCACTGGAAAAATACTTGTTGAAGTGTTAAAAAATGGATCTTTTCGTAGTTGATGTAAATCACGATAGATTTTATGATTTGACAATGAATAACTTGAAATTGTTACGCCTTGAAACGACTCTTGACACTCTTTAATGTTTGCTGCCATTTCAACACATTTTCCAATATTTAAACTGTGATGATTACCATCAGCTCCTCTTACACAACTGTCCAATTTTTTTTGTATCTTCTTTATGATACTACTACTAAAGACTATTCCAGCTCTTAGATCGCAATATTTTTCTTCGCGATCTTCAATCTTTGTACCCATGTAAAGGTCAAAACTCATGCTAATGTGCGACAATTGTTCTACTAAAGTTTTTGCATTTAAATAAGCAGCGTCCTCAATAAGATAGAAAAAATCGTAATCTTCGACATAATTGTCAGCGATGTACTTTAATACATGAAATGGCCGATAATTTTCTCGTGTGTCTGTGAATCCGACAATGTTCTTTAATTTGAAGTTTGTCTTGACATTATCAGCATGGATGAAAAATTTGATTTTATTGACCAGATGTGCTGCTGTTTTATTGAAAGCTGTAGCGAGAGTATCGATATTTTCCTGCACAGTGAGTATTCCAAGAAAAAGTCTATCAAGTTTGACATTTAGTTCTGTTGAGAAATATCTCGGTCGAACGATACTTTTCACTGCTTTTTTTGCTATCATTGGCTTCTTTTCGAGATTCAATTGAGGCTCGAAATCCTCATTTAACTGACTATACTCGCTATTGTCTCTAACTGATGATGAGTCGCTATCGAGTTCACATTCATTTCCCTGAATATATTTGCTTGGACAATAATAACTAATTAAAAAACCACACACAAGACTTATAATAAAATACTGATTTGCACTAAGTTGAGAGCTTCTAAGTCTGAAGATTTTCGGAAGAAACATTTTCTTCAAGGCACTTAAACGTATTTAAATCGAAAGAAACATAAAGGAAAAACACAATAAAAAATGATTAAAACTGATATAAACAAATGTTTATCTGTGAATTGCGATTCGTTATATCGATATCACCAAAAAAATGCGATTCGCAGTAAATGTTTTAAAATTTATAATCATGAAGAACGTTATAAAAATAAACAAATTTTTGTTTCAGATTTTCTACGAAATTTATTTACTTTTTATATATGGAATTATAATGTTTCATCTTAAAATTCAAAAAACATATTTGGTTTTGTTTATGGTTGGTTTGATTCAATCAATTACATAAACATGTTTTACTTTGTGAAGTAGAATCGAGTTTTTCCATTAAAAATTTTTATTCCTAAGTATTGCACGATTTCCAGCCATTTACTTTTTTTCTTATTCATTACACTCTATTTGATCAAATTTAACATTTATTTATGTTTCAATCAGACAAAATTGGTCAGAAATTGTACCGGTTGGAGCGGGTGAGGATCGAGCTGGAGGGGGGACGAAGGAGAGAGCGGATTAGTCTGAGCAAGCAGTGAAAGAAATGAGATTTGTGAATTATAAGAAAGTTAAATAAAGAAGTTTATAACGTTCAAATAAGTGTTTCTTTATCATAAAACCACGCCGGAACAGAAATAGGGAAGAGAAAGAGATAGAGAGTTTTAGATTGAGCATCATTAAATTATTTAATAATTCTATTTTATAAACAAAATTCCAAAGAAAATTGAATTTTCATTTTCTAAATGATATGACACAGAATAGATAAGAGAAACAAAGAAATACCTACTACCTAATAATAATGTATGCGACAACAATCTGGAATTTTGAATGAGTAATTTTTTATCTTTTTTTTTTATATTTTCAATTAGAAAGAAATAAATTTACGTATATTTTCTAACTCCCTAAACTATATTTTGAATCCTAAATAGACCCTCCTTGTCCAAAGTGGTAGAAACTTTTCAAGGGACATACTCTGAAGAAGTCCCCACTTGGAGTTCGGTTTAGATGCTTCTGCAGATCATTTGAAATTTTTTATCCCATTTTCATGTACATTGTGGTTCGGGATTCTAACTTAAAATCCTATTTCATTTATAATCTATCATTCTATCGCATATCAAGTCGTTAATCTTCTATTGAGACATTAAAATATCTCGTCATGCACAACTCTTTTTATTTGTTTTTAATCTTAAAAGATTTTTTTCTTTCTTTTTTACTCTTTAAATCATTATATGAGAGAGATGATTCACATTAATCACAAAATTGTTTTACATTCTCAACATTTAATTTTCACATTCTTTGACCCTTTTTCACTTCTACATCTCAATTCTATGAACAATAAATCTCTTTTGCGTCTTCAGTTTCTGCCCCATTGTCAATTGTGTCGCACTTTCCATGAATAAATTTTCATTTTCCTTTTGTTTCGTATTTTTTTCTTTCATTCCCTTGCAATATTTCACTTAAATCATAATGTTTGCATAGAAAAGTGTAGTATGTTCGTTGAATAATGTCGTCAATCTTTTATACAATTGTTGTTAATTGTTGAAGTGTTTGATGCTGATAAAGATTTGTCTGATTTGAACCGGCAATCATATGGACAACGACATGGGGATGTTTTCGTCAAACGGAACCATATTGTAAGTTTCCATTTGATTGACTCAAGTGATTGTTATTTAAATTATTCAAATTGTTCATTGCCGTCGTGGGTGAAACAATATTGACGTTTGATGAACCCTTGCTGCCATTGTTACTATTATTATTGTTATTATTATTATGCGAACTGATGCTCAAATTATTTAAATTGTTGTTCAGCATATTGTTGGTAATATGTGAACTTGGACTAATCATGTGGTTGTTGTTTAATTGATTTTCAATTGAAGCACTTCGCATGCCACAAGCTTTAAGCTCTGTAAATATTTCTGTGAAATATCCTGGCTCGGCATTAATGCGCAACATGTTTGAACTCATTTTGTTTACGATGAGAAGGCATCTGGAAAAAAGAAGAAGATGAAGAAACAAAGGTTAGAAACCTATCTAGTATTAATATTCAAATCAACATCTTTGAAGCAACTTACCGATCCCAAAATTTCTCCTTTGATTCTTCCACAAGGAAAGGCTTTAATGGATAACTTATTTCATTTCCCATGTAAGAATAAGACAAATACAAGCAAGTTAGGACCTTTGCTTGTAAGTCAAGTTCCTTCGTCTCGTCACCATCAACTATCTCGCGTACCAGCATGTAAACGAATACAACATTAGCGGGATTGATGAACGCAATATCCTAAAGGCAGACAAAAATTTTCATTAATTTTAATTTAACTTTCGCTTTATAATTTCCTGTAACGCGAAGCAGTCATGATAGGAAATGAATGATAAGTTAATAACTTTTATGGAAGACTCGAGCATTGTATTTTATGGGCCGTCACCCATTACCATCAAAAATCATTTCTATTTAGCGAAACAATTTAAGCTGTGTAGCTAATTGTAAAAATCATAATTGAAAGCTTCGCTTCTGCTTACATTCTTTGCCTCGTTGTCTAATAAATAATAATAAACATAAATTCTATTGAATCATTAGCTTTCAGTAGAAAGCTTCTGAATGATAACTCATGCTTGTGATTATTACATTTTGTAACATAAAATTTCCATTCAGATTCAATTAAAATGTATACAGTGAATAGAATTTCGACTATTTTCTTCTTTAACTATCTTAATGTCGATGAATAGGAAGGAAGCAAATAAAATAAAATAATTTTAGCTTTCATGATGTTATGATTTGACGTTTGTCATAGCAGCACCACCTCCGACACTCGAGACATTTATTATGATTTATTAGATGAAGTAGTGGATAAGCAGTATAGGCTATGAGATGACGTAAATATTTTCATGAGTGACATTTCTTGATAAACACAAAATAATTTTTGCCACCCTCGAATCGCAAACAAAAATCAATACAACATTAAACGAAAGAAAAATGAATAAATAATTTAAGTAAATAAAAATCTTGAGATTATTTATAACACCTGACGTTATGCCATCATTTACGTTAAAACTCATCTCAAGTCTGACGTCATGTTGTGTCAACATGTGACGTTTTTCATGAATGTTTTGCAGTAATCACAAAAGAATATTCGGCCATATTTTTCCTTTTAACTGGGATTAAGAAGAAGCTTTGAGAAAAGCTCAATGAGATGAAAAATGTTGAGTATCTTCATTGCATACCGGAATTTTCCACAATCTTAAACATTTGAGAAGCGAACGGTTGCCATTGGCATTTAAGTTGATAAAATTCGCGGAAGAAGATAAATCAGAGAAGGAAGAAAGCGTAAAGGGTTGAAAAGACACATTTTCGTTCATTTTTTCTCTTTCTTCAACCACAATATGAAAAATCTTTTTGAATTATCAATCATGAAGGAATTTAATCCACTTTACATGATGTTACATATTTTTTCTTATCATGATCATTTTTCATTTCCCTTCTCGTCATGTTCTCATGTCTAAGTTACTACAAGAGCATGATGACAAACAAAGGAAAAAATCAATTCTTCGTCATTTGTAATTATGATTGATAATTCGCAATTCTCTCCGATCATCAAAAAATGATGTGAAATATGAGAAGTCGTAAAATCTTTTTTATTTCCTTCTACAGTAGAAGACAATTTGCAAAAAAAATGTCTGAATTGCGAATATTTTTTTATGAATTTTTTATATTTTTCCTTTCCTGATGTGACGTGAGTTGGGAAGACGTTTTGAAAAGTAAATAACCGAGATTGAGTTTTATTGACATTTTGAAAAGCTTAATTTGAAGCCTCGAGTCGAGAAGAGTTTATTAAATTTTTTCAAAGTTGATTTGTTCTCCAATTAAAAAAAATTCCCGAAAGCAAAACCCTTAATTGCCTTCTAATGTTTTTCTATACAAATGGTAATGTTATTGTTTTGAGAACAGAGCTTTATAATAAATCTGAAGATAATTAAACGAACATGATATTTTTAATTCATTATCTACTTTACCAGTGACAAGCTCAATTCAGCACTTTAAATTATCTTTTTCTTTTAGAAAATTTTAAATTTCACGTGTAAAAATTAACGTCTCAAATTTTCATTAAATTACCATCAAAAATGCGATAACATTTTCCCCTGAAAAAAATTTTCTTTTCAACTTTTCCATTTCGTAAATGAAAAGAAAAGTTTTTTGTCAAGTTTCTGATAGAAAAACAACTTTTTGATGTTGATGAAAAGCTACGAAGACTAAAATTGTAATTCAAAATGGAAACGAAAATTTGGGGTGGAAAGCTCATGAAAACTCAATTAAGACATGATGGTTTTTCAGTGTGGGTACATTTAGAATGCGAGCATGGGAGTCAATTTAAGAGAAAAGTTTAATAATTACCTGCCACCCTTGCAACAGCAGACTTCTATCGACAGCTCTCAGCCACATGACGGCATCACCTGCTTGAAAATCTTGCAGCTTACAACAACGGTCACGTAGGAAAATTCCTAAACATTTAAGCAGTTCAGATGTTGACGCCTGTAAAGAAGAAAACAAAAATTGTTAAAGTTTAATTAATGAGAACAATCTCCATTACGAAAACAACTTAAACTCCTAATTTTATTTATCTGTTTTTTAATCAATGTTTCACATCTAGGCTATGGCAAAAGTTAATTTTAGTATTAGATGATTAAAACACGATTCAAAGATTAATCTGGGTGCTTCGAATGAAATAAGTCTTTGATGAACAGAGAAATTAAAACTTAATTTTTGATGATATAATTTCAGTGAAATGAAAAGAAGCATATTTTCATACGCACTTAGATATCTCACATTATTAGCATAAATAAGTAATTCGTTAGACTCAGCGATATTCTTCCATAGCAGACAAATTCTCATTGCGAATGTTCGCTGAGAAAATTTCCATATTAAATTATAATAATCAAGTCAAGCATATTCTCCCAAAGCGAAACCAACCAAACACCACATATGCATGGAATATTCAGTGACATTTCCTACATAAACAATTTCTCTGACACAGATCTTGATCTGCATTTAATTTGCATTTTTACAAGAATTAAATTCACTAGATTCAAGTTTTTCTTTAGCAATTCCATATGATTGTAGATATTCTCGTTTTGCAGTGGTGAAATCTTCTACGGCTCGTTAAATTTAAAGAAGTTTCTGCAATTTAATGCGCACATTAAGAACGTTAATTGCATGGAATGCAAAGGAAATTGTGTCACAGATGGAGTAACACATTTGGTATAAGTTGAAAGTTTTCATTTGCGAAGTACCACAGTACTTACTAAAACAACTCATAAATTCATTTTTTTATTGTTCACAAAGTCGCTTTAGAATCTAATAAAAATTTAATTCACGTTCGAGTCGTTTTATTCCCTTCTTTGTGATTGTAACGTTGAGAATAAATGAAATCGAGGAAAAGGAATCATTTAAAACTTCCTCCTTTTTCCACTTTCAACTTTTACATAAAACTTTTAAATATCTTCAGCAATGCTGCAGATAGAGGATTAAGTTTTCAAGGAAAGTCTCGAGTAGTATTCATTTCAATGGCGATTCGCCAAGATGTGCAAAAATGCATTCAGTGGGAAGTTAGAAAATTGAAGAAAATCTCTGATTAAGCATCTGAAACTTCCTTCTAAATATCTTTTAAGATATTTACCGGATGGTTGCTTTAATGGAATTCTTATTTTACCTTTCATGCTTATAAATTGAAAATATGTTCATCATCGAATGATTATCTTCATAAACTTTATTCAAACCTGTAAACGAACATTTTCGGAGAAATTAAATCAACAATTATTCACTTGAATGCTAATTTAAATGTAAATTTATCAAGCTACTGAATAATTAAAATTTATCGTTAACAAAATAATGTTTTTTCTTTTGCAAAATCCCTAGCAAATTCAATTAATCTTGTTACGAAATATGTTCCATGACTTAGAATCATTATCAATCATAAAACACTCGAAAGAAATTCTTTTACAGAAAGAACATTTTTATCGGAACATTTCAGGCGAAGTGAAATGGAAAATATTTTCATCATTAATGGCTCTTTATGTATCACAAAATTCTATCTTGGAAAATTTTCATTTTTATTTGTTTTTGCCCTGAAATATTTCATTCACATCTGTTGTAATTTTTTGAACCTTTGACTCGCATTATTCAATGAAAGTAAAATCATTCGTTGTAAAAATAAAATGGCAGACAAAGAGAATAAATCATCAGCTTTTTCATATATTCACAAAAGCTTTTGCTTTTCCAAATTCACGAGACAAATATTGGGGTATGACTAAAATTCTTTATTCTTTCTTCGACTTTCCTTTTTATATCTCAGCACGCATACTCGAAAATCTCTCAAAAAAAAACCACAAAAGCAATGAAAGTTCAACTCAAACCACATGATTATCAATCCATTCATCGCATTTCACATCATTATGATTTGATATTGATTTAATGTTTATGGTTTTCTCTATGAAAGTCAAACTGAAAAGTAGCAACAAGAGAAGTTAATAAACTGGAGGAAGCTATCAATGCCTGAAGACATTTGAAGTCAATTAAATATTAACAGCAAAGCTGCATGGAGATGATTGTTGAGTTACGCTTGAAAGAATCTAATTCAATCTACGATGTGAATATAATTTCATCTTTCGCTTCAGAAAGTATACTTAATAAACATTCTTAATCCATAGATCAATAATAACAGCAAAAATTCGCATCATGATTTGATATTTAATTCAAATTTCTCTACATCTCATTTCCCTTGGAAACATGCGACGGTCATAATCATATTTTATTCAATGTTACAACTCGCACGAAAGTCATGTCCATTGATATCGTAAATAATATTCTCATGCGATAAAATTAGTTCTTCAATGGCGATGGTATGTATGAGATGGAAAATAGAAAGCGAAGGTCGCACATTGTGTGATCATTAAGTTTGGCATACTAGCTACAATCTGTAAATAATGAGACCGTAATTGGCAACTGGGAATGAAAGAAATGACAACGACAATTTTTCACAGATACGAATACTAATATTAATTATAGTCTTCGTAATCGAATGTCAAGTTGTTTTTCTTGTTTTTCGATAAAAATTCATTGTCAGTCCAATAAAGTCAACTTAGATAATGAGAAATTTGTGTCATTGTGGTTGTATATTCATTCAGATTTAACTCTTTCATCCTTGTCCACAATGTAATTGAATCATTAATTATTCAGGAAAGTTTTGAAAATCTTGTCTATTTATTATTTCTAGCATTAACTTAATTTTTCTGTAGTTATAAAGCTTAACTCAATTATCTATATTTATTTTTAACAATCACATTTTCTTGAACGAATGAATGAATTACAGAGAAATTCTGTGGCTAAATATAACCGAAAGCTGCAAATAAACATAAAACTATAATCCCACATTTTATCAATAATACCTTTGAGTATTACAAAAACTGGAATCAGTCACAATATTAATTAAAGTCTAAAAATACATGTCAATATCGTTATTAGTTCTCTTTTTCTATTTATTCGATTTTCCTTTTTCATGAATGACGACAAAATGACGCCGACGTCCAAATCGATCAGTCGCCAAGCAACGAATACGCAAGGTACGAAATGCGAATACATCGATTTCTTTGCCTTTCACGTTTACTTGATATCTTCTACTTAAATAGATAAATCATGTATTAGGAAAACATTGTCCGAGACCTTGAACTCATCCAACACATTCATCGATTTATTTATTTTCGCTGGAAATTTTCAAACATTTTCGTCTCAACTTAAAATTTATGGTGAACTTCAATGAAGTTTATTTTAGAAATCATGGAAAAAGTTTTTCAAAGTCCTTGAGTCAATATTTGCTTTTCGATCTATTTGATGACGTGACAGTAGAAGATTTTCTTATGAAATTTCATTTGAAATGTAAACTTCGTCTTCTTCATGTCATCCTGTTCCAAAATAAACGAAAACTTTGTGAAACTTCAGATTTTTCTAATTCAAGTAATAATTTGTTGCTATGATAAATCTTTTTTCCATAATTTGTTTCACAGATTCGCTGTTAATGTTTGTGAAGTGGACAAAGAAGGGAAAAAAGGAAGGAAAAGTTTTCCTTTTCCTTAAATATATTTTTACATCCATTTACTGAATAAGACAAGGAAAAGAAAAGTGAATAAATAAGTAGAGATTTGAAAATCAAATTCATGTTAGAAACACCTACAGCAACGGAAAATGGGGAATAGTTGCAAATGAAGCTCGTTCAGAGACAGAAGAAAAATCCTTGTGAATTAGCGAAGCTTGAAAATAAGGTTTCGTACTTTGCGTAATCGCATGAGTAAATGCGTTGATGCCTCACGTTGCTTCTCGACATGAAAGGATTTATTTTATTGTTATATCATCAAAATTGATGGCTGCACGACTCATCGACGTGAAAAGAAATGTGAAACTTTGTTGGATTCTCAATTCTTACTTTTCTTTTTATATTTTTCATCAATCGATCAATTGCGTGCAGGCAATTCGCAAACTTGTTCGATTTTCATGAGATTTCCGAAACATTCCCAAAACGATCCATTTTCTCGCTCAAATATGATTTATTTTATGTTTACGATGTTGCTTGTGGGCTTTTTCTTCTCCCGTTGTTTCCCTCTGAATTATTTCATTTCATTTCGTTGTTAGGAAAGGTAAGATGTGAAATTGATAATAAATCATTTAGATTTTCTTACTTCTCTTGTCTAGAGCAGCTTTTATAAAAGGCTACGTGGATTTGGTTGAGCTTCCTATCAAAAACAAAAATGTTTTGAGATTCAAGGCCCAAGGAGATTCACGTGTTGGTCTTTTATGTAGCACTCAAGTCGAAAGCAATTGCATAATTATCTGAAATTTATTGAGGCTTCTTCGATAAAGTTTACAAGTCACGATTGTTTGAAACACGAATAATTTTAGATTATTCATTGTTCAGCTTACAATTTCTGCTTCTTAATGGCGGATAAAATTGAAAGATAAATATTTAACGACTCATTAAAGATTTCAAACCCTAATTATCCCTTCGGTCAATAAAACAGTAAAGATTTATGGTCCGCTGAAAACTTTATCGTCCTTCCTTTCGTTTTTAATATTATACCAAATATCATGCGCCATCTCGAATGTTTATCTACCTCCATACGACCTAAATAAATATGACAAAAAAGAAGATTTTCCAACATTTTCTCTTCTTATAAAATTTCATATCTCATTTTTATAGATCTTAAACTTTCAAATGCCAAATTATTCAATTTTCATTTACATTTCTCTTCGAGTTTTTATGACGAACGAACGTCAAAATAATCAACTGAAACCCACACAGAGAAATCACCGATTTGTGCATAAATAATAAGAGGATGCTTTTCAATTCCATATTTATATCCCAATCGATGAATTCTATCTCAAAACCTTCCAATACAATCATGACAGTATCAGAACTGGATAAACAATGAATAAACTCGAGTGTAGGTGGGTTAGAATTGACGACATAACAACAATGAACTCAAATCAATATTTTTCTTTTATTTTTCTTTTAAAAATAGCAATCCACAAAATATTTGAATGCATCTCTGAATTGAGTTGACATAAATTTTTATCTAAATTTAAAATATAATTAAAATAAAAGATATAAATTTTAGTATGAATTCTTAAATGAGAAGACTCGACAGAATTATTGTACAAATCTAACGAGAGAGCGAGAAGTGCATAAAGGAATTTTTTTCATCGAATAAATTTCATTTGATTGAAACGATTGGACAACAGAACAGGATTTTGAATAGGCGTTGATGTCGTCATTCCACCGAAACGGTTTTTCAATTGTTGAAGAACATGAGGTAGTTGTTTGAATTTCTCGTGAACAATTTTAGGCATCGTATTCAGATCATTAATACCATTGAAGTGAATTGGTTGAGTATTTTTGTTTCCTGACGATGTCGATGATGAATAGAAGAATCCACTTCCACGCTCGGGAGTGAGAACAGTAATAAGAGATCCATCGAGATATTGAATTTCAACTGTGCCATCAAACATCTGAACGACATTTCCAACTCCTGGAATGATGACCGTCTTCTCTTGTACATTTAATGGCGAAGTTTCTTGTGCAATGATTCGTGGATTGTGCAACCCTAAAGGTGTGTGTTTGACAGGTGGTGATGGCGTATGATCAATTGAGAATGATGGCATATTTATGTTGGGTGTTCTCAAAGGAGTTTGTGAGCTGGAAATGTAATTGTTGAAAGTGTTGTTCGTGTAAATTTCTTTGGGACTTTCTTGTTCAGCTGGTCGACGGCCGATGATGATGGGAAAGCATGGAAATTCAAGTGACATCAATGACATCGTTTCTTCAACTTTCAGACAATGTTGAAAGCATTGATGAGCATGTTGAACAATTTCTTGTTCTCTTGTGAATATTTTCGAATTCGATTCCAATTGTAATTGAAAATCACTCGATGATACATTTTTTGTTACTTTTCCACCTTTGTATAAGAACATCTCGAAATCTTCGAGAGTTTCCATAAGTTGACACTTAGCTAAGTTACTATAAAATGTTATCTTCGGTGTTTTTGCTCGAACCATTTGAATAAAGCGATGGGCATACATGTACTTCCTCCAATGCTTTTCTGGTAAATTTTCGTAGCTATAAATTTGATCCGCGCCGATTGTTGGAAGTTCAGGTGGACGATCTTGAATTTTTACTCCTTTCCCGTTATTTGGTTGATACAAAACTATTCTTAAACCATCACTCGAAATCCTACAAACGTCAAAAATTCGTTCCTCGCCATACTTTGATTTATACTTCAAAAATTCAAGAACAACTTCGCCAATTGGATCTTCGATGATGCTTAAGATTACACTTTTGGTCTTGTGTCGTGTTGGTTGAAGGCGAATTGTGCTTAATGGCGGAACTTCAATTACTTTTATAACTTGTTGTGGTGAATTATATTGAGCAATTGATCGTTGATAACTATGATAAGAATTAATTTGATGTTGTTGATTAATGTTCATTTGACTTGTGCCTCGATACAAAGATGCAGAAGAAACAGAAATTCCTGTTATTCGATTATGTTGCTTCAAAGATCTTTCCTCTGATCGTGATCTTGTTGTTTTACTCGATGACGATAAAGTTGCAATTCCGCTGTCAATTGGAATCATTCGATTCACTTGGCAATGTCTCTTTATGAAAGGATGATCATCAATTTCATCAAGTCGAATACGTTCATGTGGGATTTTGCACAACATTTTCTTAATGAGATCGCAAGCCTCAGGTGAGATGTGACCAGGAATTGGATCATAATCTCTAATAACCACCTGTGTCAATGTTGCTTTTACAGCGTTTGTGTCAAATGGTGGACGTCCCACTACAAGTGTGTACAATAAACATCCCAGTCCCCAGATATCAGTAGCTAATCCATGATCAGATCTGGACGCTACTTCTGGTGAGATATAATTGGGTGTACCACAAAGTGTCGTGTGTTTATTTCCCATGTAATCATTGAGGCGAGTTGCAAGTCCAAAATCGGCGATCTTAACATGCATCGATGCAGTAAGTAAAAGATTTGACATCGATAAATCTCGATGCATGATATTTTTGGAATGAAGATACTTCACTCCATCTACGACTTGAGTTAATATTGTTGCAGCCTCAAATTCATTTGGTGTTTTGTCAGAAAAATATTTATGTAAAGTTCCATTATGAGCCAACTCAAGCACTAAGTAAACATATTCACTATCCTCAATATGTGTATAAAGCTCAAGAATTGATGAATGATTGAGAATACTGTGGATTTGTACTTCTTCACATACACGATTCCACATTTGCTTCTCAGTTGCGAGTGTTTTATCAATCTGAAAGATTTATTGACAAATTGAATATTTCAGAATAAATGTGTAACTACAATTTCTCACCATTTTTATGGCAACATCTTGATAATTTGTCAAGCATCTTGCCTTAAAGACAGTGGCAAAGCCACCTTTTCCAAGCTGTTCACCAAATTCATAATCCTAGTGAAATAAATTATTTCTTTAGAGTATAAACATACCAAATTCCATCACATATTTCACTCTTTTACCTCTATTTGTTTGCTGTAATAACCCATTATAGCTTCTTAGTCACGTTATTCACTGATTTTAAGTATTTATGCTTTAAGGAATGTTAAGCATTCCAAAGGATTAAATAATTTATTAAAATATATGAAACCAGACATAAACAATTTGTTTTCTTTCGTTATTTTTTGAAAATAGTCAGGGTTTTGACATCGAGGATCACCGCGGGGTTTCTAACTAACATTTTTTTAAATTAAAACCGTTAATTTAATGTTGTTTCGTTTCAACAAAAAATGAATTTTATTTTTAAATCAATTTCATACCTTCTGTGTAGGTAGATAACTGTAATTGGATACAATTCTTTTTTCTCAGTGTAATGTATATTCATAAATTAATGATAACATGAAAATCAAATTCGTTTTATATTTCTCAAAATTTCATCATTAATACGCTTCAGAAGGTGGTTTATGACACATTTGAGGCTACTTTGATGCTACATTGCTTCTTACCAAATTACCTATTTATAAATATTTTGAACAAACAAAAACATATTAAGATAAAGAAAAATAATTTTTAAATGTCAAAGTTTAGAAATGAATTATCATCGTTTAATGTTGAAGTTCATCCATATAACATCCTACGTAGTTTTCTTCTTTCTTTATATGTCAAGGTATTTGTTAAAAACACCTCGATGTAAATATGCGCGAACAAAATAAAATCCTCTGCGTATTTAAAAGCAAGCGTAAATATATAACGAAGAAGGATTTGTCACAATTAGATTTCGTCAAATAATAACTTTCAGTCGTAACGAGTGACTCATTGTAGGTTGGTAGAAATCCTATTTCAAAGGGCGTAAAGTCAAAAGCATCCTTACAACTGCTAAGCTATGTTGAATTGTGGAACAGGTGTAATTAATTAGTGGAAACATAACGTGTAGAAAGCAAATCACGTTTAATGGCTCAAACATTTTGTTACATTTTTCTTGGGGTGAAAACGTTTTTGAGCTTTATCACAATACCTGGAATTTCTTAAACTATTAATTGAGCTTCATCGTGGCTGATTATCTTTTTAATTATCTGCTGACGCAATCGTGCGAAGCGTTTAAAGTGAGTGAAGTGAAGGGAAGAATTGACAATAAAAGTTAAACTTAATGTTCGTATAAATTTATCAAACTTTCCCCAGTGTTTCACTTCACTTCGAAAAGGTGTAAGAGGGATGAAATTATAAAATCGAATAAAAGATTGTAGCGAATCTTGAGATGAATTCCTTCGGGATATTCGATTCCAAGACGGCATAGTGTGAATGAAGAAAAGGGGGAATATGATTGAGGCGAGAATTAAGATTAAGATTGATGATGTAATTACATTCAATGATTAAAAGAACCTTCAGTGCACAGTATTGCAGGCTCTCCAGATAATTTATGGACCCTTAAAAGAATTACCAAACTCTCAATTCCATCCTCGTTTATTTCGATTTGAAACGGAGATTAAGGACCGTATTGTAAATGAGATTTGAACTTTTTCCTTTCTTTGCTTTTCATCCCAAAAAACTTCAGTTTAAAAAAACATGAAAAATGTTGAGATGAGGTCATGAAATAGCGAATAAAACCAGCCTATTCATCTCCCACAAATCGCTCCATGGAAGCCAATAAAGAAAGTCAGCGAACCGAAATGGAAAAAAGAAGGCATAATTTTGCATAATCAGTCTTTGACCATTTCCCCAGCCCTCATGAAGCTTAAAACTTTTCGATCCTTTATTTGTTGTTTCATTTTTCTGTTTTCATTGTTTTCTTTTTCATCTTATTAATACTTAATGAATAAAATTTTATTTTCAAGTCACTTCAAACTTTACTTTGATTCTTTTGTTTTTTTGAGTAAGAAGTTAATGCAGAACAATGACATTGTAATGGAACAAAAACAAAACTTTTTTCTTTTCTCTCCAATTAAACTTCACTGAACTTTTATCATCATTTGATTATTATGAAGCATCCCCAAGGGCGGATACAAATGAAAGTTCACAAACACGGGTGAATATAGTCAGAAATTGTCAATTAGTTCTTTTTTGTATGTTGTTAGATATTAGCCCGGATGTAGGTGTGAAGCCGCATTAATTAATTTACATTACAAATATATAACGCCTATGACAACCACACGAAGAAGGATGGAAGTAAACTCGATGTAGATGATAATTTATACTTGAATATCGATTGGGGACACTCGCTTTGAAAAGTGGAACGACCATAAAAACAAACAACTTCGCCTTGCTTCTCACATGAGTCGCATTTACTCGTGTTTTTACACTCATTTTTCATGAGTCAACACATTACGTTTCAATAATCGAATGCAATCAACTGTCCAAGGTTGTGCTAAAACATTCTTTTCATGCATTTTATTACCATGAAGCTTCTATGTTATCAATTTATCAATGGAAAAAGTCATTCCCTCTCTATCAGCTCATTCAAATGTAAATGTTTTGCTTTCATGTTGAAAATGTGAAAATAATTTTTATTTCTTCCATTACCATGCCCTACTTTTTTTAATAAAATAAATAAAACTTTTCTCTCTTTTATGGAAGAAATGAAAGTTTTCTACATTTCTATAGATATGGAAACAAGTTTGTCAGCTATGCTATAAAACAGTTCACTAGATATCTATTTTCCTTCGTTAAAGTTTTATAGTTTTCATATGAAGAATGAGAAAATTTATCATCAGCCATCAGGGCGCAGTTTCAAGTTTTTCAAATGTTTTACATGAGACTCGATTTTATATGTGCCACAAATTTCCTGACATCCTTAAACGCTTTATTAACGCCAAGCAATTTCCCTGAAAAATTAACCTTGAGATATTAAATAAGTAAAAAGATGTTTGAAAGAACAAATAAGAAGAAAAAAATTGATAAGAATGCCAAGACAAAGTTTGAAAGAGACAAAGCAGATCAGGCTTTCTTATTGTGTACAAGACTTTTGTTGAGTAATCTTTGGGAATTTTTCGCAACTTAGGAGCGGACTCATAATAAATCAAATCGGGAGGAAAATTAAACAAGCAAACAAAGAACAAGAAGCTTTAGAATCTTGCATCGTTTCAAGGTTTATTCTCATAACTGAATGCGTAATTTTTCATCAAGATGGCTGACCATATTTTCAACTTTTCATCCCCTTAAGGACATTAAATTTGTTACAAACATTTTTTTTATTGTTAATGCCATCAGAAGATCAAAGTGAAACTTTGGGATTTATATTACTTAGGGAGAGTTCATCATCGTCAAATGTCTTAGGTTTTCTTCATCCCCATTTATTACAAGCAAAGATAACGAATGTTTAGTTAAGATAATGAAATATCCAACAGAACCTTTTTTCTCAATTAAAAGCCACAAAAAAGATTAAGGCTGAAAGAGAAACTTCTCTTTCACCTTCTATTTAAACGTCGTCCATCAAGTTTAATTTCATTGTGTCAGGTTAAATTCAAGGATATAAAAGTACGATTTTCTGTGTCATCTCGTCAGTTTCAATTAAGAGATAAGCTCACCTGAATAATAGTCTTCCTTGGCGCTGGCTGTTGATGATCAACTTTACTTGACTGTTGTGTAAGTTGAATTGGACGAACTGGAATAGAACTTTTCGTTGTTACTTTATCCACATTATGGTGGTGATGCAAATTATTTGCATTATTGGCAGCACGTTCCAAATCCAAGGATAAAACATTTTTTGGGTCTCCGGAAGTATAGAAAATTGTCTGATTTTGCAATGGCTGTTGAATAGGCTGCTGATTATTGGCATGTGCGTTCTTCTTATTGGATACCAATTGAATATGCTGCTTTTGATACTTTGGCTTGTCATTAACGACAACCATGGGATGAACAGTGTCGGTAAGACCTGGTGGCCGGAAAGATGATGTCGTTATACCTCCTGATTTATTTTTGACATTATTTGACTCAACTTTCTTTTTGCCATGCGATGATGACAAACGTTTCCATGACAAAGCATTAATAAACAGTGAATGTTTCTTCAAATTCTTTTCGATGGCATTTTTCTCCGAAAGAATCCTTGCGTTGTCAGCTTGACGTTCGTCAATCGAACCATTCGAAGCCGTTAAATTATTATTCATAATATTGGAATTTGATGATCCAAATAAAGGATTACTTCCGTTAGGTATTTGAAATTGATTTGGCACAGTTAGATATTGCATGGGCTTTGAATTTTCTCTATTCTTAGCATTATTCATTTGCTCATAAGCATAATTGTTTAATTGAAAATCTGAGTTAGAATTGGATGTGCTGATTGTTCCACTACCATGATGGTGGGTGGTATAAATTGGACGTCTTTCTCGTGGACTGAAACTTAGTACTGTACCCATGATTCTAATAAATAATTAGATTCAAGCTGCGAAAAAGTTTGCAAACTTCCTTTCCTTTCTTTTCCTTTTTGATTTGACGTCACGCACTTTTGTTGAAGCACTCAAATCGAATAATTCTTTTCAAAGTTTTTCGTTTTCTTTCTATAGCTTTACAAGCATAGATCTCGGTAATAAATATCTAATGGAATAAAAATCCTCGAAACAACCCACGCACACGTTGAACTTGAAAGCACTGCAGTATCTTATCCCACCATTACAGTGAATGATGTTTTAAATAATAACCTTTTACATGGGTTGATACTAATCAATAGAAAATAATCTTTGCAGCTTCACGTTTTGAAGAATTATGCAAATTAAAAATCTTCTTTTTTAGATTTGCTTTACAAGGGATTTATGAGGACGATCATAACACAACACACAACACGGCAAATCCCTTAATGCCTTCAGCCACTGCTGTTTTGCTTATTTTTAGCACTCAACCCAACAATGGACTCAACACACGTAACGCAAAATGGCTTTTCGTTTTGATTAATTTCCTTTCGCACTTGTTAAATTATTCAAGACGACAACATCGATGATGTTTAATGCGTAGAAGAATCGAATAAATGTTTTCAAAGAAGCACTTTTTATAATTTCCACAAGCTTTAATCAACCGAGAAATAATCAGAGTTCAAAGAAAAACACAGCACTTGCTTAGTTTTTATAATTTTTAATTTAATTACATTGTCTTTCTGGTGACAGATAAATATCAGAACTTTCGCAACCAAAAACGCGAACTGTAACGCGATGCGGTTCAATCAGTTCTGAAGTTTGGAAAACGTTCTACCTTGCTTTGAATCCAAAATTAGCTTCGTAATGTTCCGAAAATTCCTTGGAAGGAATTTCGTGGATTCCAACATTGTCACGAAATCGATTTGACAGCTAGGACGAGGAATGAGTTTGCGCAATGCTTCGATTTCCATTTAATGTTCATGATGGAAACACAAACAAGAATAAGGAAAATTGATGGTCGGTAGAGAAAGAAATTTCTTCAACAATTTTGCGTTCATTCATCAATTTTCCAGACGTCTTCTTATGTCTGTAGTCGTGCCACCATCGACCACCCCTTCCGTTTTTTTTACACTAAATTACACAAACACAAACATTTCTTTAATCCTTTTTGCTGCTTCATAAATAAATATTTTTCTATCATGCCGAGATGTTTTCTTTTATGATGCAATTTATCATGTTAAGGCTTTAGCTACGATTACGATCAATGCAGGCAGTATCAGCAGGCAAATGCATAAAATCATTTTTCACGCATGAGTGAACTTAAATATTATTAAGAGAGTGAAGAATGGAACTCGAAGAGAAGAATTTTTCCACATTTTCTTATGATTTTAATGACATGATCCATTGTCATATATCGCATATAAAAAGTTTCCTTCACTCCAATGACACTAAGCTGGTTTACTTCATAAAAGTGCTCCCCCAAACCACTTCAAAGAAAAGATTATCTGATTATCATCTTACATCTATGCTGGATTAAACGTTCATTTTTAAGCCATAAAACAGATACATTAAAGCAACATTTTAACATCGTTTTGAGCGCTTCGAAGACGCTTTAGAAATTTTAATTGTTTATCAAAATTGTAACAAATTTTCCGTCTCTTCAATTCCTTTTCTGTTGAGTCTTTGAATGAAAAGGAATTCTCACTCATTCCTTTCAACGTGCATTGAACCCTTCTCAACAGTTCAGAATGATCTTCCCTCAGCGAAAAATATGAAAAATGGTACAATTTCGCTCTTTACTATAAAATTTAAAGTCTAAAAGTATTTATCATTTTACGAAGAGGGTTCAACATAAAACATCTCATTCATTCAAGCACAAAGTCACCCTTTTGACTTGATACAAATGAAATAATTATCATACGGAATTTATCAGTGATCCCACTTTGAGAGAAACTTTAGACAGTTTTATGCTTATTTGCATAACTAAATTGGAAAGAAAAAAGAGAAAAAATAATTTAAATGAATAATTTTCGAAAAGTTGCAAATCTTTTGGATGTATTCGAAATTTTTCCCCATCATGTGCAGAATGAAAAGTTTGAAATTTCGAGCATTTTCCTGATTCAGCATTAACATTTTTAATGTATCATGACTACCTTTTATGGAGATATATTTTAAAATGTCGGACTTTTATCGACACTCTCTATCTTTTGATGAAGGAAAATGTTTCCTTTTTCATTAAGCTGCATAGGACAAACTTCATTCTTGACGAATAGTTTATCGTCTTCGTCTGTTCCAGTTTTCATTTCAACCAACATCCGCAAGAAAACAATTTTAAATTTTAATTTGATACAACATGAGACTGGTAGATTGGTCGTTAAATTATACAAGGATGAGGTTGAATCCTCCTAAGAAAACCATACAGCATGTTAGTTTGTTTTATGCTTGAGGATAGGAAAACCAGAGGCAATTCTCAAACATTAATCTTACCCAAGAATTCTCTATTAATATGTTGTTTGATGTTTGTTCAAATATAATATAAAGTTATGTGCTGCAAATATTTATTCATCTCAGAAAATCATTTTAGAAGCTATTTATTATCAATTTTAATTTTATCGTTTCTGAAATTCAATAATCTTTGCTGTGATTAGATGAATGAAGAGAATGAAAATGTTTGAAAAATTCCTAGAAAAATTGCATCAATAAATGAAAGTTTTATGTGAAAATTTTTTTCAATGGGGTGTTAGTTTCCCAGATAAATTTTTGGATTATAAAACGTAAAAATTTGGTTTCTCATCCAAATATTTTCCTCTCAAAGTGTTCAGTAAAATAATCCGATTTATTATATTTATGGACCTTTCTGGGTGAACATAAAATAACTTAATAGCATCTAAAAATATCAAGTTGATTAAATTGAAATCAAATCAGTATGGTTGGTGTAATTAAAAGAAGGCTGGCTGCAGGCAAAAAAAGGATATTGAAATATTTTCATGTTAAAAGTTTCAAGTAAAGAACCCTTAAATAATGAACTTTTAGTTGTTTAATTTGCTGAGTCAAAGATATGAAAATTGTTCGAGTTTTATATAAATCAACAAATAAATAAATTAATAAGAAAAGAATTCACACAAAAATGCAATAAAAAGTAGCGACATAATAAACATCAGCATAAATAATAAAATCTGTTTTCCATTGAAATTTTATTCTTATTTTATGTTAGTTTTATTTATCTCATCAGAATATTGTTGAGACTTACATATTTAGATACACTCGAATCGATAAAGAAAAGAACAAGAAAAGGATGAAGCATCGAATTGAATACAAATGAAGCAGACAACAGAGGAAAAATATTAATTTTGATTAAATTCAGCTTACTGACGGTTGATTGCCATTGTCTGACCTTAAAGTTCAACTCGCACAATTTCAAATTTTATTGCATGATTTTAAAATTTATAATTTTATTTTCATTCCAACATGTCGACATCTCAGAAGCGAAGATTTGTGTTGAAATTAATATTTTTATTTCATTTTGTTTGTGATGTTAGTGCCAGTGTAAGTGAGAATGAAGTGAAATGCATCAAATCATATTTGAATCATGAAAAATCGTCATCCCAAAATGATTATTGCTCTGAAGTGATTTTAAGTCATGAACAAAAGTTTCGAGACCTTCAACGACCTTCAGTGACAAGTTGTATCTTCAGTACATTCATTGAATATGAAGTTTTCCATCTCTATCTTAAAGGATTTTTCTATCACCAATCAGCTTCAGATAAAAATCAAACGAAATATGAGAAGGAAGTTGATGAAACAATAAGATTTCTCACGAAGAAAGCAAAACAACTTTGCGTTGCTGACAACAAATACAAAGAAGAATTTGATTCAATTTATGATAATCGAAAACCATCTCTAAACAATTCCATAGATGAAATTTGTGCTCGAAAATATTTCATTGATAAAAACATCTTACAAGCGAAAGATTTTGGATTTGATGTTTCATCTATGAATATCACCATTTGTGACTTGTTTTATTATTCTGTTTACGAAAAGCTTTTTGAAAGAGATTACGAAGAACATGACGATTCGTTATTCTTTGGCATGTCTCCTTCAAGTATTCATCATTGCATAACAAAAAAGTTTAGAGAAAGAAAACTTTCACCAAAGTTATACGCAGTTAGTATAATGATGAAATTTCAATTGACTTCGTTACAAATTTCTAAACTTCGATCGGAGTATGTTAACAGCATGAAATCTTTTACAATACTTTTGTTTGAATGTATCAAAGAAAGTTAAATTAATTGAATAAGAAACAACTTTTTAAATGATGTTGCAAATCTTTATTCATCATTAAATCATTCACGATTTAAATTGGTGAGTTAATTGAATAATAAAAAGTTCTTCTTACTCATTAAGTCCAATTTGATTTTATTTCTTTTTTATTTTTTTAAAGTAGCTTTAATTATTTCTTATTTTTGTAAATCATTCGCATTTATACTCTCAAGCAGTTCAGTTTCATCATCATGAAGTTATTTCTTTTATTTGTGATAATTGATGGACTTTCAAGTGTCGTCGTCTGTGAAAAGCAATCAAACGGAACTGAGTGTATAAAATCATTTCTAAAACTCGAAGTACTTGATGAAAATTGCACGGAAATTGTTTCAAGCTATAAAGAAAACTTTCATCAAGAAATAGCAAATCAAATGTTTGATATATCCGAAGAATCAGTGAAAAGTTGCATCATAAATATTTTCAATGACAGTAATGTTTTCCAACTATTTCTCAAAGGACTTTCTTCACATTCTGATGAACAAATTAAATTGTCAAAGGAAACAATGGATTCATTCGTGGGGCTAGCAAAAGAAATTTGTACTGGAGAAACTAAGTTCAAGGAAGAGTTTGATTTGTTTTCTGGGAAAAATAAGTTGCCATCTGCCATTCCTTTAGACGAACAATGTGCTAGAAAATATTTTATTGAGAAGAATATCATCAATGCCAAAGACTTCGACATTGATGTGTCATCAATCAGTGATGAGAACTGCGAAGCTTATAACGAATTGTACATCAAAGCTTTCGAAAGGGAACATATTGACCATCATAAGCATTTCTTTGGTTCATCAAATACAAGTATTCAGAATTGTATAAAACAAAAGTTTCGAGACGAAAAAGTTTATCTTAATCTACATGCGACGGCACTCTTGATGAAATATGAATTAACACCGTCACAAGCTGATGATCTTCGTCGTAATTACGTTAAGTGGAAGACAGCATATGCTAAAATTTTATTTCAATGTATCAAAGATGATGATTAATAATATTCAAAGTGTTAATGATTAGCGTTGTAATCGGAATATTAATTTCTTGAATAAGTATTAAGCAGCAGCTACTCACAATCACAAAACTTATACAATAAATAAAAATTTATTGAGAATTTCATTAATAATCTTATTAACTGACCTTCAAGTCAACTCGTCACAAAATACGTTTGTAGATTTTGTCTATGAAATTTATTCTGATTTTTATTGTTCAAGATGAACGTTCTGTTATTATTTTTTGCTTTAATAATCTTTAAATGCAGTGCAGATGATGAGTTAGAGTGTTTTAAAATATTATTAGAACAACCATTGAACCAACAAAGTAATGATGCACATTCAGGGAAGTGTTTGAAAGTGATAAGAAAGCATTCGAAAGAATTTAAAAGCAATGTGGCGACTCGTCTTTCACTTGACTCGTCAAAGACATGTGTGTTAAATGTTCTTGAAGAACATGACATTGTTCAAATTTATTTAAAAGGACTTGCACAACATCGCTGTCACCCAACTTTAGAACAATCCAGTTATGAAGAAGACGTTGATGAATCAATTGATGCATTATTGAAAGCTGCAAAAGGAGTCTGCACAGCCAATGATACACACACTCAAGCATTCAACCACTATCTGAGTCATCGAGAAAAACCATCTGAGGCTGATCATGATGAGCTTTGCGCGATTAAATTTTTTGTTGATGATAAAATAATCGACGCAGCAGCATACAACATTGACGAATCAACACTTAATATTGAAGGCTGTCAATCGTTTATTGAAGATCTTAAGAAATCTTTTAAATTAGAAGGAGATGACCATCCCGAATCCAACACATTCTTTGGATTGTCTGCTGTGAACGCACAGAAATGCGTAACGTCAAAGTTCAAAGAAGAAAAAGTTTTCGAGAAACTATTCGCCTTCTCATATATAATTAATTTTGAATTAACACAATCGCAAATCGAAAATCTTCGTTATGATTATATAAAGTGGATGACATCGTCTGTAAGGTTTCTCTTTGAATGTATGAAGGAAATTTAATAAATTCTAACGATGTAGCTCAATGTAGCCGCATGTGCTTGACAATTTTAATGAATAAAATTATATTTGCATCAAATATTTATTTCATTCTGTTAAAAGCTAAATCGTAATCTGTCTAAATCCTGAAAATCCTGCATAAATTCTGATAGTATTAATGAACATCTTAAAAGCTTTGTAACTTGAGCTTTTATCTTATTCCATCTCATGCTTAAATCTGAAAGCATTCAAAAGATTGCAATGAATAATTTCTTAATTTTCTTTTTAATAATTTTTATTCAATTTTCTTTTCATTTTCTTCATTTTAAAACTAACACAATATTTAATGTTCATCCAGTAATGAATGCAACTTGACCTACAATTTAACAAGAAAAGAGAAATTTGAACAGAAGAAAGGAAGTAAAAAATTAAATTAAGAAGAAAGTTGATCATTTGGGATAGATTTCTTACGATTCGTAAATGTACATAATAAAATATTTACAGAGAAGATTTTTTTCCTATTTTCCAAGATGTCTTAGAGAAGACTTTTGTTGCTTATCTTCCGTCAATTTTCTTTCAAATCTTTTTCCATAGTATCGTTTTTCTTTTTCGTCTACAATTCTTTCACTTTAGCTTTCCTATATCATCTTTTAAGATGTAATTTAACAATATAAATTTTTAATATCACAGAATCTTACGAAATTGACTAAAAAACTTAAAGAAGAACAAAACCAGACATGAAAAGCCCTAAAAGTTTAAATGAAAAATCTTTTATCCGAAATTCTATAAGAAAAATTGATGGTTGTGGAAGTGTATGAACGATGAACGTGTCAATGCATCTCATTTCTCCTACATAAATAAACTTAACCCATGAATAATGATAAAAGCTTAGAAATGTAAATGAAACCATAAAATTGAACATTTTCACAATTTCAAAGTGAAAGTTGTCTCGACATTAATATTCCTGATGTTGGGGAATATATTTAGAGACATTCAACATTGACAATTAACCGAAAACTTTATTTGTGGCTCTTGTTTGCAATCAAGAGAAGTGAGAAAGAATAATGTTGGATTGGGTTCAGGAAACACCGAATCGAGAAGATTTGTAATTTATGCAATTAAATTGAAAATTCGAATAGGAAAATTCCTAAATACTGTGGCAATCTCACTGAATAATTTTTCTTTCTTTTTTTTCGCTAAATATAACTACATCTTTAATGCTATCATAGTTTTAAAGAGTCATCAGAAAAGGGTTTGGAAGGCTCAACTTGCCTCTCCTTTCCCCCCAATTTTCATTATGAAATATGATTAGCTAATCATTAAGTTCAATTCAACAATTTTACAAATTATCGTTTTTGTAAGTTTATTCAAATTCTTTAAGTAGTTTCAACCTTTCTAAGCATTCCACTTGTTTAATTTGATTTTGTAAGGGGAAAAGTTTCTCAAGCTGTATCAAGTTTGGTTTGCTTACAAAATTTCCCTGATTTTCAGAAGAGAAAGCCATTAACGTTATCATTAAATAATTAATTTGAATATTTCAAGAGCAATCGATAGATATTTTAATCCAAACTTCAGAAAACAACCGATAAGCTTAATCCTGTATTTAAACAACCAACAAGTGGAACACTCAGAAAGTTTTCCGTTTATCTCTCAATAAGTTTTCATCGCCATGATGATTTGGATTTTCATGATTCAATAAATTTATTGCTTCAATTATCCCTTTGATCTAGTTAAAATTTTCTCTTCTTATATTTTTCTTTTAAGTTTCACATTTGCGTTCAGACATACTGTGTGAAGTTTCCACTTAGTTATCCTGAAATTGGCAGATTTGATTCGTGATTAAGATTGTTGTTGTCATAGCAGCTCGGTCGGTAGGAAGTCGGTGAGCTGATATTCATATTGCTAAAGTTATTGTTCATGATGTCGATTGTATTATGAGTCGATGGACTTAAAGGACTTTGATAAATTCCATTGTTGAGGCCGCAGGCTTTCAATTCGGTGAAAATTTCTGTGAAGAATCCTGGTTCGGCATTGATTCTTAACATGCTTGAACTCAGACGATTCAAGAGAAGCAAACAACTGTCAAGAAATGTGAAGTTGAAGTTAATGAGAATTAATCATTTTATTGTCACTCACCGATCCCAAAATTTATCTTTCGATTCTTCGACAAGGAATGGCTTCAATGGGTAGCTGATTTCGTTCCCCATGTACGAGTACGATAAGTATAAACATGTCAACACAGACGCTTGCAATTCCTGCTCACTCGACTCTTCGCCGTCGACTAAATCACGAACCAACATGTACAAGAAAACTACATTGGCGGGGTTGATGAATGCAACATCCTGAAAAGGGTGGAAAATGTAATTAATTTGTTTCAATTCGCTTTTATTGCTTTCCACTTGAAACAAAATGCCGGAAAAAGTTTCAATTTCACAATTTACAACGAAATAATTTTTATTTCAATGGTTTTGCTATCATTTATTGCCTTTTAAACTAAAAATATCATCGACCAACTCAATCAGCATTTCAGATGATAAAATAAAATGGAAAAATCGATTTAAATAATCTTTCATTAATTTTCGTCGAATCGCGACGACAAACAGTCATCGTCAGTCATTCTGTTGAACAAAGTGAGTTTGTCAATCAAACGCAAAAGCAAGAAAAAAACGTCCAACCAGTCAATTCAATTTGGAAATAAAAAAATATCAATCTGTATTTGAGAATTGTGTCTGATTCTCCCCCATGGAGATCAATGACCCCAAGCCGACTAAATACCGTCGAGACAGTTAGGGTTAAAATAAAGTCTTTTGTTAATATGTAACATTTGATCAGTCACACTTCACACTTTTATATCAATCATGATTCTCCCTCAATTACAAATGTCTGCAATTAAAACTTTTCCGATTGAATTTCCTACCAAAATCCATGAACCTGCCCTTCGGTCTATTCGTCCACTAACCATGAATTTCCATGATGTGTACGAATAATAACTTCGAGCAATTATTTCGCTTGTACTTTAAGATTATTAAGGGAAAAATCAGACAAGGGTAGAACGAAATTTCATTTTCGTTTTCGCTGAATTGCGTAGCAGCAAACACAAGTATGGAGATTGAACTCCCTATGGTAAGGTTAAACTTGGGTAGGGTAAGCAGCAACTCTTGAAAAGTGCTGACTAAACCATTGAAATAAAAATGAATAACTCGACGACTATCAAACATTTATGTTATGCTCAAGTTGAAAAGGTTTTTCTTTTTTATTCAATTAAGATTCTTACCTGCCATCCTTGTAAGAGCAGACTACGATCTACAGCTCTCAACCACATAATAGCATCACCAGCTTGAAAATCACGCAGCTTATGACAACGTTCCCTCAAAAATATTCCAAAACATTTAAGTAATTCAGATGTTGATGCCTGTAATGGAGTAAAAGATTCATCTAAAGTTCAACTCGTCAATAGCCAACAGTCTTTAATTGAATTTAATTTTATATGAAGCTAAACTTTAGACAGAAAAAGAAACTTTTTCGTTTGCAATTCTGATAGAAAAAGTTTGGCTTCATGATATTTAAAGAGTTTTTCAATCTCAAGTTGTTCTCGTGAGACAACATTTTATTAAAACCACCTCAACATGAAAATGAGTGCATTTTAAATTTATTAACATTTTCATTCTCCATTTTTGATATTTTCTCTGACTTTTTTATCGCTTCTTTTAACCATAGTCATGTGCAGAAGATACTTAAGAGAAGTCATAAAAAAATTTATGAACAAAGTTGAGGAACAATTTTCAATCTATTGTGCCAGCATGGGCTGACTACTGAACAAATATTTAGGTAGCAGTCTATGCGATGTTTATGTTCAAGGAAGCTTTTAGCTAAAAAATATTTCGAGGCATCGTCGATAAAAAAATATCCCCCAGTCCCGTTAATAAATTATTAATTGCCTCTTATCTCTTCTGGCATTAATGTTTTCCTGCCTCTGTAGCGTGCATGATAAATCATTCGAATAACCTCGTTCAAATTTAATCAGACATAGTCTAAGGCAGTTGTCATCGATAGCTGTAGCTTTTGAGACTGCAGATATCAACAGTCAGAAGCGTGAAATCTCGCGGGTTAGTCAAACTTTCAAAACAATTTACTTGAACAAGTCTCTGACATTAAAGTAGTCACCACTTCATTTGTTTGCATAATGAAGCAAACTCATGAATATCTTTCACATTTTTAAATTAATTACTCAATGGTTGTTTACCATTTTTGAAAAAAGTTACTCTGAAATTGTGGTTGAATTGATCATCTTTATGTTGATATTGAAATTCGATTCCTTCTTAAAATTGAATTCAAAGACAAAGTAAAATTTCAATATTTATTCAAGAATCTCACATAGATAAAGAGAAATAAAATGTTTCCTTTATTCAAAAACCTGACGATGCTTGTAAAAATATTTATTTACGGCAGATACTTGAATCGAAATCGAGTGATTGAAGAAAGGCTAAGTAATTTCATGAATAGAGCAATTGATAATGAATTCAAAAGAAAAGGAAAATTTTTCGTTTTTCCTGCCGGCAAAGCAAAGCTTTATTGGTTGACAAATTTGCTGATCGCATGCGAAAGGGAAATCATCTTCAACGAACAAATATTTTTATGCGTCGTGTATGAAAGGGAAATAAAATATTGACGGTAAAGAAGAATGAAGAACTGAAAGGAAATATCGGAAAATTCATAGCTCAATGCTTATAAATGTGTCCCGGGCGAAGACATTCAAGATTTTTTTATGTAGATTTATGCCGATTTGAAGATATACAAAGAACAAAAGTTGTTTTAAACTTCAAGATACCTGCAGGCAAAAGGATATTTGGTTTCACTCTAAAAGAGCTCAGTTATCGATGTGCGGAAGTTCACCATAAAGAATAATTTGTTTATCGACTTTTCATTTTGTCTCGTAAGCCTTGGCAAACAAAGAAAATCTTATTTTTTTTCTTCTGTTTTCAAATCGACTCTGCTTCTTATGTAGCATAAAATTTCATGAGTTTATGGCGCGATAAAGGCAAGCACAATGATAGAGACATGCGCAATTATTCCCCAAACAATCTTGTTCTTCATTTCGTTTCGCATTCAAGAACGTTAACTTCACAATGGAACTTTAAGACTTTAATCTCACCCAAAGTAAATTGAAAACTGCACTGTCGTGTAAATTTGTTACCAATTGTTGTACAATAGAAGAATAGCGAAGTGAAATTAAAGTAAGTAAGTAACTTGTTTATGCTCGCGTGTAATTCTCTAAGCAAAAGGTTATATTTAAGGCCGAACAATGAAATAAAAGATGATTGTAAAAGGATTAAAGAATGGCCAAGGCCAAATCTCTGAAAAAGCTTTTCAATCCTTTCAAAAATGATACTTCATTCTTCTCCTTTCTCTTGTTTAAAACTCAATTTTCTGCTACTCAACCTTTGTTAGGCTTCGAAAACTTTTTTAAAGCTTTCAATGTTTATAAAATGAAGGGAAGGAAAAAAACTGAAAGCTTGTTAAAAATATTCAATTTCCGGTGTTTACATGAAAAACTCAAAGTTCCTTCCCTTGTGTCTTATCAACTTACAATTCAAATACGAAAAAATACAATTATTTTAATTGTCAGACTTGATATTTGATAACAAAACGAAAACTGAGAGGATGAACGTGATCTGCCATCTTTTTTGAGATCTTTTGGGAGTGATTAGCAAGCACGACTTGATGCTTCGTGATACTATGGCATTAGTATGGAGGAAGGCAAAAGATGTTATGTGCCTACAGCACATTTCTCAAAGCTTTTAGGTTTTCTAAAATTTATACAAATTCATTTATGTAAATAAATGATTATGTTTGTGGAAAGGAAAGAGAACTTGACGCAAATCTTCAAGTCATTGTGAATGCTTGAAAGGAGAAATTTTCACTCACTTCAAACCCTAACGGAAAGGAAATTATAAATTCTGAATACAATGTTAAAAACTGACCTGAATAATAGTTTTTCTGGGTCCCGGACGAAAATGAATTTGTTGCTGTTGCTGCTGATGTTGATGGTGATGATGCATTGCGTTTGATTGTAATGCAAGTGGAAGTTGTAAGGGAAGTTTTGGTCCCAATTTCTCAACGTGTTGATGATGCTGCAAATTGGCATTGTTGGAATTCTGAAGATCCAGTGCGAGAAGACCCTTGGGGCCTGGTGAGAAGTAAATGTTCGATTGCGGATGTAAATTATCTTTAACGTGATTAATATTCAAGTTGTTATTGAGATTGTTATTGCTGGCGAATTGAATCTGTTGCTGTTGATAGTTTTTATTCTTCTCGTTTGTCACCACCATCGGATGTACGGTGTCTGTAAGTGCAGGTGGTCGGAACGATGATGTCGTCAAGTTGACCGCTTTATTCTTTGTGTTGTAGCTTTCCAACTTTTTCTTGCCATGCGATGAAGACAATCGCTTCCACGAAAGTGCATTGATGAACAAAGAATGTTTTTTTAAATTCTTTTCGATAGCATTTTTCTCCGAGAGAATCCGCGCACTATCAGATTGACGCTCTTCCATGGATGTGCCATTTGTGGTCGTCAAGTTGTTATTCATGATATTCGAATTCGTCGAACCGAACAGCACCAAACTACTTCCGTTATTATTATTATTGTTGTTGTTGTTCATGATATTACTTTTCGATGAATTCTCACGATTCTTGACATTGTTCATTTGCTCGTAAGCATAATTATTGAGAGAACAATCAGCAGAACTTGATGTCGACATGGTGCCACTGCCTCGATGATGGTGTGTCGAATAAATTGGATGATGCTCCCTCGGACTGAAACTTAAAACTGTACCCATCTTTTTCAGTTTTTCTTTCTTCTTCTAATTTACTTATACAACACGAAACACTCCCTTTGACCTGTTTTAGGAAAAATTTTAATATTCTCCCTCACTTCACACAACTTTTCTCAATGAAATTTTATAAATGGCAATGTTTCACAACATTTTAGATATCTGATACTGATTGTTAAATTCAATTAAAACTTATTACGTAATTACTTTACGAATATGAGAGCGTTGGGGGTGACCTTAATCCTCAAAATTTTTTTCTTCTTCTTTCGCCAATCTTCAATGATTAGCGCAGATTTTATTGCACTAACTGTAAGAATGTTTTGAATATTTTCATGAATGAATCTCGAGGATATTCACACTAATTTCTTCTAAATTTCCACAAATTTCAACCACTTTGAGCCTCTTAGTTTCACTTTGAATGTACAAAAATCTCGTTCACAGAACGACAACGCTTTAAATCTCGAGAACGAATGCGATGGAAAAAACGGTTCATGAAAGGAAAATTTTCCACCCCGCATCGATTTTTCCCGAACAGGAATTTTCTTTTGAGTTTTTTCTTCCTTTCCTTTAAACATGATTATGCGCAGAAGGGTTTACTTTACGATTTGATGTGTTTCCAGTTTCTCAATATTTCCAGAGGGTGCAAAATCTTATTTATGATTTGAATGTGTAAGTGAACCTGTAATGAGTGTGAATAAATCTCTTTAAAGTGTTAGTAAATGTTTGGGGTGTAATGTGTAAATGAAATAACAACTTTTTACAAAAGACTTTGCACAGAAAGAAGAAATCCCTCACAATAAATCTTTCGTCGAGATGTGAAATAGCGAAGTTTGCTTTAAACAGTGCCTACTGCTTTTGTGTGTGGTGTGAGAGTTCCACCAACTTCACAATTGCCCGTCTTCCTACTCGCCTTCTCTCTTGAGAATTTTCTTTTCACATGTTATTATACGAGAAAGAATGTTTTTGTTTTCGGAACAATTTGAAATGAAAACAAGCATTAAGGATGATAGAAAAGTTTTGTCAGATTATGAGAATCGAAAGGAGGTCGAAAAATTTTGTCAAAACAATCAAACAAGACTCGAATGTTCTTTTTTTATGAATCCAAAATTAATTGGAATTGAATGAAGCAAAACGATTTCTCTTGTTCTCCCTTGTTTTGTGTTCACTTCTTATTACTGTTTGATGAGGGGTACAAAATTCTAAATGGAACTTGAAGTGGATTCTTCAAGTAATTCAACTGAAAGTATCTTTCTACCATTCATTTATATTCATTGTCTTTTTCTTCTTGATTCATGGGGGAAAAGGTGACGAATTGAGATGTTCATAAGTGTTCACTTGTCCTTGATGAATCTCTTGAAATGATGTGACGAGATTTAAACACATCTTAAGAGAATCTTTTTGGGTCATTTAAAAATTAATTAACAAAAGCTTCATTTGATATGAAAATAATTGGCGAGTTGATAAAACTAAAACATTTCTCACAATGACTTGCATGTTACATAAAATGACTAAGTTAAATAATTCTGCGTCAGAATGCTTTGGAATAGAAAAACGAAGTTCAAAGTGAAGGCTTGACAAATCGTAATTAGCTTTGGCGAGCAAGCTCACGCGATCTGAAAATGAAATTAATTATGATTTGATTCATGATATTTAAATTAATTCACTGATGTAATTTCTCTGTTTTTTTTATTAATTCACGAAATCTTTAACAATTCTAAAGTAGGTTTTCCGAACATTTCTTCATTGTCTTCCTTCTTCGTTACTCGGGACAAGGGCAAGGCTTTGGTGGCGGGCTTGGCGGAGGGCATGGTGGTGGGCATGGCGGAGGGCATGGTGGAGGGCACGGTGGTGGACAAGCTGGTGGAGGGCACGGTGGTGGACAAGCTGGTGGACAGCAGGCTGGTTCATATCCCGATGCTTTCATGTGGAATGTCGTGCAATTTGATTTTAATTCAAACCCTTTCAGTTTGCAAATTTCACAAAACGGTGGAACAAGTTCTTTGTGATGATCACATAATGGCGGTGGCTTTTCACTGCAATAACTTCTTGCATAATTGCTTCTTGACACTAATGGAGATATTCTTCGAATTGCTTGACGTAACATTTTTGTATGAAAAAATTTAGAAACTGGAATTTTGAACTGTATCGTCTGAAGATTCAAATGAAAATGACTTGAATTTGAAATTTCATCAAAGCCAAAGATTGCTTTAATGATTTTTTTATTTCGAAGAGTTTTTCAAATGTTTCGACGAACGTCAGTTTTCAAATTACTAAATAAATTTATTTAATAATTGGAAGGAAATTGATTTGAAAGAGTTGCAAACGCTGGGTTCAGTACCATCAACAGAAAACTTTCACAATATGAAATCTTTTGAGTTGAAAATTGTGACGAAATTAATTTATGTTAGGATGAAAAACGAATGGAAATATTTCTACAACAAATGCTGAGTGGGTGGTATTTTTAAGTTGAGTATTTTAATCACCAATGAACGTTTTGATAAGAGATAAGAAAATCAGAAGAAATATCTTAATCAATCTTAACAAAATTGAACAAATTTCTGTTTAGAAGAAGTTGAATTTCTAATCATGAGTTGAGTGCTATTGCGAATGAAAGTGGATGTTTTGTGATCAAGGACGATTTTTTATTTATTTACGAAATTTTTAACAAATCTAGAATAGGTTTTCCGAACATCTCTTCATTGTCTTCCTACATAATTATTGAGGTCAAGGGCAAGGCTTCGGAGGGCATGGTTTTGGAGGGCACGGTGGTGGACAACAAACTGGTTCATATCCTTGTGATTTCATGTGAAATGTTGTGCAATCTGATTTTAATTCAAACCCTTTCAGTTTGCAAATTTCACAAAACGGTGGAACAAGATCTTTGTGATGTTCACATAATGGCGGTGGCTTTCCACAGCAATAACTTCTTGCATAATTGCTTCTTGACACTAATGGAGTTATTCTTCGAATTGCTTGACGTAACATTTTTTAAACGGTAGATTTTAATACTGAAATTTTAACTGTGTTGTCTAAAGATTCAAATGAAATTGACTGAATTTGAAATTTCATTAAAGCCAAAGATTACTTTAACCAATTTTTCATATCGAAGAACTTTTCAAATGTTTCGAGAAATGACAGTTTTCAAATTTCTAAATAAATTGTTTAATAATCCCACGTTGCTGGTTGGTAGTCTCAGCCATACTTCATTTAAACCTCCATTACCTTTAACATCGTCATCATATTCGAAGGAAGAAGTCAAAAATTTTTCTTTCAATGGTCCATCGCAAATTTCATCATCAACAATTTCAAAGTGTAAGGAAATTGATTTGAAAGAGTTGCAAACACAAGGTTTAGTGCCATCAATGGAAGACTTGCGAAACATGAAATCTTTTGAATTGAACATTGTGACCACATCAATTCATGTTAGGATTAATAACGAATGAAAATATTTCTACAATAAATTTTTGGTATTTAAAGAATTCGCGATGATGATGAGAATAAATTGATGAAAATAAAATCACGCTTTTGTTGCGTGGGTGGTATTTTTAACTTTTAAGTATTTAAACCATCATTGAACATTTTGATAAAAGACAAGCATATCAGAAAAAATATTTGTTCGTTATCTGTTTATAAATTTCGTCTTTTATTTAAAATTAATTAAATTTTTACAATCCTGTGACTGAAGTAATCCAAATACGATGCCAAGAAATCTTTAAAAAATGAGTTTAGTTTTATATTGAAAAGGAAAATGATAATTTTTAAATCTTACTCTGTCGTAAAGATCGGGAGATGCGCGACCGCATGGAATATTCCAGCTGACAACAGCGTGCAAAACGTTGTTTGTAACAAAACCACCACCTCTGTCTTCTTGACAGAAACCTAAAATTCTTAATTGATTTGTGTATGTTCTATAAAGAAAAAATTAAAATTTTGAACTTGCTTTGAGTGCCATTGCGAGTGAAAGTGCATATCTTGTGATCATGGACAGCCAAAAAAGCAAAAAGTTGTCCCATATCAAGGAAGCGTTGCCGACAATTTTCATTTGTAATTGTAACTGCTTGGAACCATCTTAATGTAGTTACAGGTTGACCACCCGCAGCAGTAGCCCCCCAACCAGCAACGAATCCGTTTACATTGGCACCTAATTTAATGAAAAGTAATTTTAGAGTTCTTCGCTTCATTTGCTTCGTCATTAATTCTAACCAATAAATGCTGATCCCAAAGAAACTTGATTAACAGCTCCAGAGAAAGTAAACGTTCCTTGAACTTGTATCAGTGAAACGCTGGGTTAAAATATTTAATTAAAACAAGAAAAACTATTGTGAAGTTATAATAAATTTAACTCATTTGAAACGTCATTTGCATTGTATTGTGGATGATTGACAACTCGATTTAAACTGAATACAATGCCACCTGATCCACTATTAATTGTTCCGACAACAACTCTAAAAGTGGTAGGATTGCTTCGATTAATTGTGCAGAAAGCAGCCGAGATTACCCAACTCTTTGAGAGAAAACGAGAATAAGAACAAAAAATTCTTTAATTAAATCATCTCACATTCGAAATGATGACTCCCCCACAAAAGAAAGTTCCGGCAGCTGTTCGAAGGGCAACTTGGTATGGAAATTGTCCCAAAATCGCAGTACTGCCACCAACAATGAATTTATCTTTTTCAAGCTCAGTTAATGGACGTGGATACTTCGAATGATCTTCTGAGTTCAAGGGAACTAAACTCACAAATGCAGCTAACAAGAGCAAAACAAAAACACTTTCTCGAAACATTTTTCAGCAAATGAATGAAGGAAAATGTTCGATGAAGGGAATTTTTATATTTTTGCAAATCTCTGATAACGTGCTGATTAGATTTAACTCGTTAAAACCAGGCTAAATTTAAAATAAAGAAAGGAAAAAGTAATTTTCAATGATAAACTTCATTATGAAAAATTGCTGGCTACTAAATTTATGAATGCAGTGGGAAGATTTTGATAAAGATTAAGATTAGATAAATTTCTATCGAATAAGAAATTATAAATAAAGTACGAATAACGTCACAGAACACGAGATTGTTCGTTAGGAACTTTAATAATAGACAAAAGTATGTTGAAACCTTGCCGCTGGAGAAATTGAATTCTTAAATTAATAATAGGAAAGTATAAAATTAGTCAACGACAGTAATTCTGCAATTTGTCGATAAGTAAGGATTCATGTTTCATTCAGCACGAGTCGTGAAGTTGTATGACGATGTTTGACATTTATACACTTAAGTAAAATCCGTTCTACCGATGATGATATTTATCCAGCAGTCTTTTAGATAAAACTTTAATTGATTGACTGTCAAATAAAGTACTAAAAACGCGATATAACTTGTACAACTCTCAAAGAACAATTTTATGTTCGAGTTGGAAGTAAATATGCTTACGTGTTTAATTAAAATAACTTTCAAAGAAACTCTCAAGTGACCCATTGATCCATTAGTTAAATAAGCAATGAGTAAGGCCGTTTTCTTTATCCTTAATGTTTATTTACTTTCTCATAACATGAAAACACATTTCCCACTCAATTTCAAAGAAAAGCAGGAAGAAATCTTGAAAGAGTTAGGTAAATATGTCGAGGTACAAATCCACAATAACGAGCAAGATGATATCTTGTAATATAGAACGATGATGAGCTTTTCTCTGCCACAAGGCAAATGATTTCAGCAATTTCCTCGATTATATGAATTAAACATAAGAATTTTCCTTTCATCCACATGTTAGATATTTATATTTGAAAACTGCCTTTGTAACATGAGTTCTTGTCAAGATATTTCCTTTAATATGTCTGTGGAAGTTTTCATTAAGAGACAGAAATTGCGTGTTACGTTTCCACAAGAATTCATCCATTAATCTTTGACGTTCAATTAAACAATCAGTAATCGAAATTCTATATTGACTTTCAATAGGAAATTAAATATCACGCGTCATCTACAGGTGAATGTTAATCCCAACACAATAAGTGTAGGAAATAATGCTTTTCCGCATCTCTCATTTCTTTACTTCACCCCTCAATTCTTATTTTATCCGTTCAATAAATTTTCAAATCCATAATGATCCCTTAATCAATATTTAATTTACGATGATAGGTGAATTTCAGATGAAGGAGAACCTTTCTTGTACATTTTTATGAATCCCAATCGTATCATAATCTTTCTGATACACATGTTCGATGTTTTTATAATCTATAAAAGGAGAGAAAATCGTATCAAAACAAATATCCACATTTAGAGTTATTTAAAATTACTTTAACGAGTTTATAACTTTTAGGATGTTTCAATTCTATTGATGGTTATCACCATAGAAATTCATGTCTACAAGTTACGCTGGAAATGATTATGAAATGGAAAATGTTGTTTACTAAGATGTTGTCTATAAAATGTTTATTTTTGTAAGATTTGATATTGATTTTTAATTAATAATTATCTTGAAAATAAACTTAGTTCGTAATCTTCCTTGAACTCGGATCAAAATAATAATGAAAGTCAAAACTTTCTGTCAACATTCTGAAAATACAATTAAGGGAAAACAGGCCTGAGAACTGTCTATTTGAATTTTGATAATTTCATTACGGAGATAATCATTGAAAGCTATTTAGGGTGTAATAATAGATGGTCAGGTAAATAAATGTTTAACTACTCTTCATACACAAATATTTAGATTATCACGCTGTTTCAATAACTGAGAAGCCGTGCAGCTTTATTTAGAATCTGTAGGGATTTTGAGCGACAGTAAATAAGACAACAGATGCCACCAACAGATTTTAATTGTTTTTGTCTTCATAGCATGTTAATAATTCGGATGAGATTTTCCATTAGCGATTTTCTTTGTGAGAAAGATTTTAATTAGATATTATGATTATGTCGTTCACGGAATGTCTCCACATAACTTCAGTCTCATAATGCATCAGATTTTAAGAATGCAAGAAAATTCGCTGATTAACTCACAACTTCAAGATGAGTTTCTTGAATATTTCAACACTTCTATGATAGCAATAAATTAGGATTAATGTCAGCTTTGCGAGGGGTGGTGGAAAATCCTGGTAATTCTCATGAATTTTCAATTTCCATCAGCCTATTGCAGTAAAGGCTTTAAACTTTAAAAAAGACATTATTTCTCCCCGAAAATTCTAAAATGATTCGCTGTGCTCTAAACCTTGATAATTCTAAATATATTTTGCTATCATAAGCGTTGGTTTCACATTCAATTTCTTAAATTGACATCATTTATTTTCTTTTTCTTTCATCGGAAAATAAAAAAATCCTGTGGAAATATTTCAGCATGTCGAATATGGGTTGGAACTTTGAATGTTTTGTTCCACCCTCGCTTATAAATATTCTTTGTTCCATTTTAATATGGAAAATTATGTTGCGAATGAATAATTTAGTATTTTGTTAAAGTAACATAGTTTCGTTTTATTTTTTCTGGAAAATACTGTCGGTAACCGATGTTTCGATAGCACAACCAACCGGGGTCTTTGGCCGAATAATTCACCTAATATGCAATTTCAAGAGGGGTGAAGTGCGCCACAACCTCAGTCATTTTTATTGGATGCTATCAGACGATTTTCTTCGACGTCTATTTTGAAAAATGCGAAAAGCCAAAAGAAGCGCTTTTCATTTTTAACGAGAAGTTATCAATGTACCAAGGGGAAAAATAAATTCCACTCCGGGACCCTACAGATCAACAGAGAAATGCAATTTTATCCATCGGAATCCATTGAAAGCTATGTACTATCGTCAATAAACAAACAAACGAGGGTTTCAGTGAGTTATGCAAATTTTATGCACGTGAAATGAATTCTATTGGAATAGTTTAAATATTTTTTATTCAATTTCAACGAAATTTTAGTTCGTCATTTGTTGCGATAAAGGAAGAGACGAAATAAAAGGAAAAAAACAAATAAATAATGTTTTTTCTATTTCTGTGTGATGCCCATGATTATGTCTTTTGCTAAACACAATCTGTATTGCGAACATGAAAAGCATTTTGTAGAATTTTTATCGATTTCACTAACACAAGATTGGCATCGGAATTCCATGTCGTGTGTGTCTGTGTTTTCAAAACGTGATATAGAAACATTTCGAATGATGATGACTAACGCTGTTTTTATGGGGTTGCGATGGAAACACTGGAAAAATGATTCTGATTCTCTTTTGTATTTAACATCCCAATCTTTTCCAGAATAACAAATTTCCCATTTTCCAAAAATTTGCATGTGGGAATGGTTACATCATTTTTGTACTCATCATTAGCCGCAAATGAAATTTATGATTCCGTTATCAATTCCATTCGATCAAAACATTTTTATGGCTTTTCGACAAAATATACTTGAACATTTTGTATAAGCTGCATAGATTTTGCTTGACCTTTTCATCAGAGAAAAGAAGAAGTGAAGTTTTTCATTGATGGGAATTCAAATTGTGACAAATTGACACGCACATTCTTAAACAATACGGCAGTAAATTGTAAGGAAAAAGAAAAGCTTGATAACAATGGATTTTTTGGAGATTGAGTTTGGTTGTTATGAAAATTCCTGACTTCTGGCATGCAGGTAATTGTGTTTAACAAGTGGAGTAATAAAGCTGAGGAAATTATTGAAGGAAACTTTAATCAGCTTTCAATTAGTGCCATTATAAACCTCTTATGTGTAGCGACTATTCACAAAGCGATAAAACGTCATGTGTAGCTCTGAAAGCTAATCGATAAAATCTCATGCACATTTTGAGCAGGAAATTCTTCTCCGCGTGAAGCGCAGTTTTATTCTTGCCGATGAATAAAAAAAATAAAAAAATGATGCCACTTATAACACGAATTTACCATTCAATCGGGATCACCACGTGAAACGGACACTTCGATTGAAGAACGTCGCCACCTAAATGCGTTTGGTGATGGTTTAAGAGATGAATCAAGATTACTTGTTCGCGTGTCATCCAAATGTGTAAAAGAAATCGACCACAATTAATATTTTTATAACCTATTGTCGCGGAGACAAACGGGAGTAAAACGGCACTTCATTAATAAAAGGATATACAAACAAAAATCAATCAAGAAAACTAGGAATGAATTCTAGGGATGCAGTGGAAAGTTTGCTATTTAAACCGACACACTTGATCGAGAACCGAAGAGTTTTTTTCCGACGTTCGCGAGGTTTAGACGGAAAAAGATATCTGTAAAGTTCTGTGAACAGTGATAAGTGTTTGTTTAAATTTTAAAGGAAATCTAAGGAATAAAAACATTGAGAACATTGATGAGTGAACAACGCTTCATTTCGAATTTAGTAGGAATACCTATGTTGCAATTTTAACTTACCAGTGGTCAGACATATTGCGTTTGAAATTAATGGAAATGTTGAAGTTTTGTTCATTGTGAAAAAGAGTTTTAAGGTTTCTGAAAAGAAATGTTTCTTAAATAAAATCAAAAATACATTGGAAAAAATAAGAATTTGTGAAGAAAGAAAAGTTTGAAATACTGTTATTATAAATATAGAAACTTTTTTATGTACTATGTCAAACGCAATCATTTTAATTCGTGAAATGGGAAAAACAAAATGACTTTTATGTAGATTAAGAACTTTTGGCTCAACCTATAATTATATATGAAGCATTGTATTTTGGCTAAACTTTGAATTCTCATATTTTATTATTATTAACAATAATTTTGTAAAAATATCACTGAAGAGCTTCTCAAAGGTTCTCGACACATTGGACATTCATCTTTAAATCTCAGCAGTTCTAAGATGCAATTCCAGCAGAAAACATGACCGCAATGTGTTGCTGTTAAGTTGATCCTAATTTCTAAGCAGAGTACACATTTCTTAGTACTTTTCTGGGAAAAGTTATTTCTTACGAGTCCTTTTGACGTGCTGTGATTTGTTTCTAATTTATCCCCTGCCAGTTTCTCTTTTAATTTTCCATAAAGTGAAAATGTCACTTGAAGAATTGTAATTATTCCAAGAAATTTATAACCTTTGATTGATTGTCGTTCACTTAGCCAATACCGAACGAGTACGTAATTAATTCCAGTTAATCTCTTTGATACTTGAAAGTGACCAGAATTAATGTAGAACAAGCCACGATGGAATGCTTTGACGTAAGGAATAGATGCCTTTATAACATGAATTAGTTTCAGTATTGTTTCTTGAGCTTCTGGTACTAGGTCATCGTTTTCTTCAACTTTCTTTTCATACACTTTTAAGAGTCTTATTAAAAAACTTTCTCCTGCAAACTCCAAAATAATTGCGATGAGTTGACTAAATCTAGTAGGAAGATTATCAGTGTTATTGTCGATTTGAATAATTCCAGTATATTCTTCTCCTAATGTCTGAAGTCGATTTAGTGTCGCAAATCCATGATAAATGATATTGGAAAGAATTTTTGATACTTCACCGATTTTTATTAAATTTCTATTATTCTGCGATAAAAATTGAACGACTTCAAGAATGTTTTGGTTGATTTCTGATGAAAATTGAACGTCTTTTTGTGTTGTCCTTATGATTTCAGGTTGTCTTGCAAGTTTAATATAAGGCTTCATTGTACAATAATTAAGTATTTGCAAACTTCTTCTCAGAATATTATTTACGTTTTGTAAACAATGGATTTCCAAAACCTTCATACCCCTTGAACGTATATTTTAGTCGCACAGTGTGGAGCTATATAACGTATGTTAAAAAACTGTTTCTAAACATATTAATGCAGCATCTAAACATATCTGAACGCATAGACAAATCATATTGTCTCAATTTTATGGGAAATTCCGTTGTCGAAGAAGGAGTGGGGGGAGTTAATTAACGTTTAATCGTTTTGAAATGTTAATGTTAAGCCACGAAATTCTTTAGCGTTCATCAGATATTCTTAAAACTTCAGAGAGTGAAGACGTATTTTATTAATTAAATAATTAAAAGTGAAGTTATTATCAAATATTGTTTTTTATCTACATCAGTTAGGTATTTTGGTCGCACACTGTGAAGCTTTAAAGTCAGTACTAGAATATAACGCACAAGTTTTGTTTACAAAATCGTTTCTTATTGAAAATAAAAAATAAAAGAATATATTACTTGAAGTACATTAAAATAATAATCTCAATACAATGAACGCTCAACGCGTTCCAATCTCTCAGTTGTTGACTGATAAAAGTACGGTTGAAGATCCGAATCAGAAAAAAACTCGAGAAGATTGGCGAAAAGCAAAAGAGCTTGAGGAAGCAAGAAAAGCAGGAAATGCTCCAGCTGCTGTTGATGAAGAAGGTATGTAAATGTAAATTTGCTATAAAATTCGATTTGATAAACAATTATTTTCTATATAGGAAAGGATATTAATCCCCACATCCCGCAGTATATCTCAGCTGCTCCTTGGTACTATGGAACAGCTGGTCCAACTCTTAAACATCAAAGACCTCAAGACGAAAAACAAAAAATATATTCTGGCATAGAAGAGTGGTACAAGAAAGGGGTCGACGTCACAAAAATAGCTACAAAGTATCGTAAAGGTGCTTGTGAAAATTGCGGTGCAATCACACATAAGAAAAAAGATTGTTTAGAAAGGCCACGAAAAGTTGGAGCAAAATTCACAAATGCAGAAATATCGCATGACGAATTTGTCCAGCCTGATTTAAATCCTGACTTTGATGGTAAACGTGATCGTTGGGCTGGCTATGATCCAGCAAATCATCGTGAAATTGTTGAGGAATATCAAAAAATCGAAGAAGCGAAACGACAATTAAAAGCTGAAAAGTTGAAGGAAGATCCAAATGCTGAATCAAGTGAAGAAGAAGATGAAGACAAGTATGCAGATGGAGTTGACATGCCTGGAACAAAAGTAGATTCCAAGCAACGTATTACTGTAAGAAATCTTCGTATCAGAGAAGATACAGCAAAATACTTGAGAAATTTGGATCCAAATTCGGCTTTCTACGATCCAAAAACACGTTCGATGAGAGAAAATCCAAATCCAGCAAAAAATCCTGAAGATCTTGAATTTGCTGGTGAAAATTTCGTCAGATACACTGGTGACACTCAATCACACGCAACAGCACAACTTTTTGCTTGGGAAGCTCATGGTAAAGGTGTCGATGTTCATGTTCTAGCTGAACCAACAAAACTTGAACTTCTTCAAAAGGAATATGAGTCTAAGAAGGAAGAGTTCAAAGATAGTGTCAAAGATAATGTTCTTCAAAAATATGGTGGAGAAGAATATTTAAAAGTTCCTCCTAAACAACTTCTTCTTGCCCAGACAGAAACGTATGTAGAGTACGCGAGAGATGGAAGAATTATCAAAGGTGCTGAAAAGCAAATAATAAGAAGTCGTTACGAAGAAGACGTTTTGATTAATAATCACACTGCAGTTTGGGGATCATTTTGGAAGAATGGCGAATGGGGATACAAATGTTGTCATGCATTCATTAAAAATTCTTGGTGCTGTAAACAAAGTCTTGGAGCGGAACAGCAGCTTGATGTTCAAACTTCTATTGAGCCTTCTATAGAAGAACCTGAAAATGACACACAAGAATCTGACAAAATAGAGAAAATTTCGAAACCATCGTCATCATCTTCAAGCAGCTCAAGTGACGAAGAAGAAAAGAGACGTTCAAGAAAACGCGACAAGAAGCGCAAAAAGAAGAAGAAGCAAAAGGATAAGAAAAAAGAAAAAGATAAGCTTCAATTGGCATTGGAAGCAGAAGACCGAATGAATAAAGAATATGAGGAAACGATAAGTTTGGATGAAAGGAAACGCAAATATAACAGCATGTATGAAGCTAAAGCACCAACTGAAGAGGAAGTTGAAGCTTACAAGATAAAACGAATGAGAGAAGAGGATCCAATGGCGATGTTTATGTCAAAAAAATAATTTCAAACTATATTATTTAATAAAAAAAACTTTGTGGAAAAAATAAAATTTCTTCATAATTTTAAGCTTTTCTAAATTTCTCAGTATCTAATCTTTGATAACATTGGGGTACATACTTCTGGATTGAAATAGAAAAATACAGAAGTTAATAATGTGTGCACATTTGGAGTTACTATCTGTGGAATATCTGAATGTCATTTTCGCATCCCATGTATTGAATAAAATTGAGATAGCATTTGTCTTATAAACAACAAACGGAAAGTTAAATTAAGATGAATTTTCAAGAAGTAGATGAAAAAAGTGTTTGTTATGATATATGTTAAGATATGAATAGAAATGCAAGAAACGATAAAAATTTAATTACCTCGATAATAAAACACTCATTTAATTTCCTTGGGTGCAGTAAATTAGTGACATCAAAAAACTGCTTAGAAGCATATGCATGCATAATCTGCATGTATAGACAAATCATATGCTCTCAAAGATGATAGAAGTGGTCAATTTTATGAGAAATTCCGTGGTCGAATAAGGAGTGGGAGGAGTTAATTGACTTTTAATCATTTTCACAAGTTAATATTCAGCCACAAAATTCTTCAGCGTTCATCAGATATTCTTAAAACTTCAGAGAGTGAAGACGTCTTTTATTAATTAAAAGTGAAATTATTATCAAACTTTTATTAACTTATATGTGATTCATTAAAGCTTAAAAAATAAATTATTAAGTTGAAATATAAACATTACTTTTATTTCATCTATTTCTTTAAATTTCTTTAAATTTAATTTCTCTAATAAAAGCTCAAAGTTTATAAATTATAAAAGTTGAAAACAAATCGAATTCTTTAAAAATTCTGACTTTTAAGTTATTTTAAAAGAAGAAAGTGATAAATTAAACATGGGTCGTCGTTCAATAAATACCACAAAGAGTGAAAAGTTCATGAATCCAACAGATCAAGCGAGTAAGAAGCAAATTGAAATTTCTTAGTGATAAAAAATTAAATAATTTTTAATTTACAATTTTAGGAAAAGAAGCACGAAAAAAAGAGTTGAAGAAAAATAAAAAGCAGAGACAAATGGTACGTCAGGTAGTTCTCAAAAATAAAGATCCTTTGCAGTTACTGAAAGAAATGGAAGCAATTGACGAAATGGGTAAGTTTACGCATTTAATATTCGAGAATAATTTATTAACGTTGAAATTCAACACTTCAGAATACAACGTTCTTCAGCCATCACCACTCAACGAAAAAGTTCTCAAAGAGAAAAGAAAAAATTAAAGGAAACTTTTGATCGTGTCATGCGACTAATGCAGGAAGAAGAACCGGAGCTGTGGCCAGAATACAAGAGAAAGGAAGTTGAATATGAAAAGCGTCGTTATAAGCGAGTTCAATATTATGAGAGTGTTCGTCATGCTGAAATGGTTCCGATCGAGGATATTCCTCTACCTACATCAACTAATGAGAAACCTTTACCGGCAACATTTCTACCTTCAAAAATTAACATTCCGCCACTAATCTTATCAACAGATGTCCCACCACCAAATTCACTTAAAAGATCAAAAGACCCTGGAAACGATCCAAATGAAAGTAAAGAAAAGGAACCACCTGGCGTTCCTCCATATTTGCCTCCAGATCTCTTTGAAATGTCTGAATTTGATTCTGACTATGAAAGTGATGAAAACGAATCACAAAATGAAGAGGAACAAGAAGTTACGAAGGAAGATCATCATAAAGATAAACATGATAAGAATATTGAAGACTTCATTAAAGAAGTTGAGTCAGCTGCATTAAAGAAGAAGGAGGAAGACAAAGCAAATGAGATTATTCGAGTCGATCCAACACCTGATGTTGAAATGGAAGAAAGCGTTGAACGACCTTCAGTAGAAATGGAACAAAACGTTGAACGACCTTCAGAAGAAACGGAAAAGCCTTCATGTCCTACTCCTGAGTATATGATTCCAAAGCCTCAAGAGATGATTCCGCTTCCACAACTAATTGCCTTCCCAAGAATCTCACATTCATTGATGTTCCGACCACCGCCAAGAGGAGGAATGCCAATGGGAATTAGAATGGGTCACCTTCTGGGTCACCTTCTGGGCATCCACTACGTCACAAACAACATCACGATAGAAATACACCACAAAAAGATCCAAAAAGTGCAACAATTACAGCTAAGCCTCAAATTAGAAATCTCTCTGCTGACGTAACTAGATTTGTTCCTGCTACATTGCGTGTTAAGAGAGATGAACCGAAGAGAAAAAAACCAAAATCTTATATGCCAGAGACACAACGAAAGAACTTTTCAACTCAACGTCATCAACAACAACCAACTAAAGATGATGCTTATGCTGCATTTATGAGCGAACTGCAAGATCTTTTATAAATTCGTAAAATTTCGCTTTAAATTTGTTTATGAATATTCTCAAGAAATTAAATTAGAAATAAAAGTTTGAAAATTGAATTTCTTCATCTTTTAAGCTTTTCAGAATTTCTGAGCAATCTTTGATAACATTGGGGTACTTCGCTTTTGATTTTATTGCTTATAAGCACGATGATGAAACAATGCATTTCATTTTGAAAGCTGACTCCAAACGGTAAGGTTGTGTAGAATAAATTTTACAATTTTAATGGTTTTTTGCACTGATTGTAATCAAATTTTTATAATTTGATTCAGTGGAAAAAGTTAAGATAAGGTTTCTCTAATTCATGATCGTTTCGAATTCTGAAGAATTTCTTTATTTGCAAACTTTTTATCGCTAAGAAATTCTTCAGAATTATGTGTACAATGTATGCAGTAGGCTTGTTTATTATTCATGTCAAATCGTGTTTAACAGTGATTGGTTGTAAATGTGTGTAGAATTCTGTGCAGATTTAAAATATTGAAACGTTTCTTAAAAATTTACAATCAAAACTCTTTTGTCTGAAAGTTTTAATCTGATCAAATTTCTTTTCTTTTTTCATCTCATTTTTATTTAGATATATGAGAATTGCATTAAATTTAGAAGATTTTCAACAGAAAAATACAAAAAAAATGTCGTTAAGATGTGGATCAAGAAACTGCGGTGATACAGAAATTGCACATGAAAATGAAATAGCTTTTTATCAAGATTTAAATAATGGAGGCTGGTGTTTAGGATTGGTATCAGAAATTGTTTCTGAAGAATCTAAGCTCCCACCTAATATTAGCTTACTTACTCTCGAAGATGACAGATTTCCATTTGCAATTCTATGCAAACGTTGCAATGGAAAACTTGGAAAGGTTTTGGTAATTGCCGGTTTCCATGATTTTACAGCAAGTTTTTCGCCAAAACATACATTTTTGGTCGAGAGACGACATAGTCTTCCGATTAGACCAAAAGGCTATTCCAAGTGGAAACAATATATGGACAATTTTTCAAAAATTCGTCGCATAACCGCAAACATTACAGATTTTTCTCCATTGGTCGGATTGGATACCATTCATTTCCATGGACCAGGAGATTTGAAAGACATTTTTGAATACGGAAAACAAGTGGCTCAAAGATCAAATTTAAATCCTAGACGTTATCAATGGAGAGCTTTTGTCTTTTCGTGTCTGAATAACTGTTTGATGTGTCTGCCGACGGGAATGGGAAAGACTCTCATTGCAAATATGGTTATGAAAGCTTATCATCAGCGAAATCCTAACCAGGGACAAGTTTTTATTGTTCCCACAGTTGTTCTGGTGAGTAAATTAAAAAATGAAATTTTACATCCTGCTTGAAAATGAAATAAACGTGTATGAAATAAACGGAAAATGGAACGGATTTGTTCATAAATTTATTTCGTTTCAAAACCGTTCATTTCATTTCATGTTTGACAATTAAATTTTCTTATAGAAATTCAATAGATTGTTTAATTAAAACTTATCAAATCAGGTCACCCAACAAGCTGATGCGTTTGAACAAAACACTGGACTGAAAGCTAAAAGACGAAGTTCCCAACATCCAACTGTGCTCTGGAAATACGATGATATTTGCTTTTGTACGCCAGCAATGTTTGTCAATGCAGTCAGAACAAAACAAATTGATATGAACCAATTGTCAGTGTTGGTACTAGATGAAGCTCATGAAGGCCACAAATCTAATTCGGATTATGGAAATGTAGTTTCTTACATCATAAAGTGCCCTTTATCAGAACGTCCACGCATTCTTGGTCTCACAGCATCGCCTTCGGGACTAAGTACAACAGATATTCATCCAACGATTTCATCGCTCTGCACCAAACTCACAGCATTACCATTCTCACCCCTCATTGATGATGAAAAAAATAAAGAAGATGCACAAAAAGTAGAAAGCTGCTACGTTGCAATTCCAAAATCTGCTTTTGAAGCTCATTTCGAAATGTTTGTTTTTGATACACTTGAAGATTTGTCAAAACTTCATGACTTCTTCAAAATGCATTGGACTCCAATTCCAAAACATATCTTTACGAAATATAAGATTGATATTGCTTTGACAAATTTACAACATTCAAAACTGGTTGCATATTCACAAAATGACAACGTATTGCTGCAGTTGACTATGTTAATGACTAAATGGATTGATGCTTTAGACATGTTCACAATATATGGACCAAAGAAAGTGATCGAATCCATCAGAGAATATTTGGAATTTACACAATTGAAGAACCATTTTTTGCCATTCTTAAATCCAATTTTGTGCAAAATTAAGAACGATTTAAGTTTAATGGAAAATCGTTGGGAAATTCCAATAGATTCGCCTCGTGTTGGACAATTGCTAAATTATATCAAAATGAATATGAATGAACAAGAACGAATTTTGGTATTCGTGGAACGTCGTAACACAACAGAGAGACTTTACCGACGGTTAATTGATGATGAAGAATTTGCAAAATTGAATCCTGAATATCTTTATAGCTCAAATAATAACGGAATGGATAAAGAGATTCAGAGAAATGTGTTGAAAAAGTTTAATGAAGGCAAATGTCGGGTGCTGATTTCCACATCAGTTCTCGAACAAGGACTCGATGTATCTTCATGCAATGTTGTCATTTGCTTCAATGGTGTTAATTCTACAACTTCCATAATCCAATCGCGAGGTCGTGCAAGAAAGGACAAATCGAAATTTATTGTTTTTGTTTCACCTGAAAAACAAAAACATGTTAATGACCTATCATCAAAGGAATCTCAAATTGATTATGTCATTTGTCAATTGATGAACGAGTACAAAGCGACTTTTGATTCATCACTTAATCAAGATATTGAGAATTATCTCGAAAGTATCAATGAAACTTTTGACTTTAATGAAACAGAAACAAATGAAGAAATTTTCAGTGACGATGATGACGACGAAAGTGACGATGAAAATGAAAAGAAATTCTTCAAACTTCAGTTCTTCAACTATGCAAATGGAGATGATTTAGCTGAACATATCATCGCAAATTTCAATTCAAAATATGATCGATTGACATTTAAGAAGCAGCACATAGAAGCTCAATTTTCAATGAACAGTTCAACTGATGATGAACTAAAAATCATTAAGGTAAATTAAAATGTTGAATTAATTAAATTTTGATAAATTCATTTCAATTTTATTTTTCATCACAGAATATTTCTTCACATTCCGTTGGTAGTAAAGTTGGAAATCCTCGATCGTGGATGAGAATTCTCAGTTCAACTGAAAATTTTTATGAAATGAATATAAGAAAAGGGTTGTCATTGAAGTTTCAAAGTTTGTCAGGATTTCACTTTGAAAACACAAAAACTGTCGAGCTTGATGGTATTTGGGAAGGAGAAATAATGATGAATGTTGAGAAAAATCAAATCATTATTTCAAAATACGATAAACATTTCATAATCAGCGCATTTGACGTTGACAATCCAATCCTGATCAATGATTCAAATAATCAACTTGAAGTCTTTATTTGTATGCGCAATCCACCAAGTTTCTTTATTAACAATGAATATGCTTCATTTGACTTCACAAATCGTTCATTCAATTTATGTTTGAGAAGCTCGATTTCGATCAGCTCCGAACTTTCAAAAGAACTTTTCATTTCAATGCAAAGCTTCAGTTTACAAGTTTTTCATGTTTTCAATTTATTTATCAAGCATGATTTTCAACGACCACCGATTAATATGCCAAATAATGACTTTGATAAAAATTATCTCATCAAAGAATGGCACGATAAACATGCAGCAGTTTTCCCGCCGATCCTTCCAACTCATGTCGTCAAAGCATTTTTTTCTATCAAATCAACAATGCTTACACTTGTTTTAGATGCAACAATTCCAATAAGATTTCAAAAGTTGAATCTGCCACAAGTTAAAGACTATAACTTTCCTTTTGAAGATTGTAAGCCATTGAAGAACTACGCGATGATAGGACGAGTTAAAGTCACCCCGTCACGAATTATCGTCCAATCAAAAGAATTAATTCAGTTAAATCGAGTTTTTCGTTTTTTTCCTGATCCACAAAATTTTCTTCTTGTGAAGTTCTCGGATGAATACGATGGAAATCCATGGCGGTCAGAATATATCGAAAAGAAATTTTTAAATATCCTTGAAAATGGTTTTGAAATTGGAGGAAAACGTTTCATTTTTCTTGGTTGTTCAAATTCTCAACTTCGTGTTGGTCATTGTTGGTTTTCATGTTTGGATCGTGACGAAGTTTATAGAAGAATTGGAAATTTTCCTTCAACAATGATTGCTGGTCGAAAACTTACCAGACTTGCATTAGCTTTTGCTTCAAGCATTGAAACTGTTCAGATTGATTCAACATATCTGAATAATGTGAAACCCGATATCAAACATGATAACATTTGCTTTAGTGATGGCATAGGACGAGCTTCTCCAAGTTTATTCAAGAAAATCCAGGAAATCATGGACATTCCACAACATGTGTCTGCATTTCAAGTTCGAATTGGCGGCATCAGAGGCGTGATAAGTTTATACGATCAAAAAGAAGATGTGATGTTTAGAGATTCAATGAAGAAGTTTGAAAGCTCACATAACATGCTTGAAGTCTTGAATTACAGTCGACCAATTAAACTTCTTTTGAATCGTCATGTGATTCTTCTTTTGTCAACCTTTGGAGTGTCTGATAAAGTTTTTCTTGATCTTCAATACAATCAATTGACAGAAATCATGGAATCTTTGTCACAAGATGAAACTTCGTTATCTTTCGTTAAATCACATTCGAAAATATTTAATTGGGAAAGATTTCAATCTAATCTGATCGTTCAAGAGCCTTTCTTTCGACAATTGCTGGTGAACAATGCAACTTCATTAGTATCAGGAATTGTTGAGCATGCAAACATTGAAGTCGCGAAAGGACGAGTTTTAATGGGCGTTCTTGATGAGACTGGCACGTTGAAATATGGAGAAATTTACGCTCACATCATTGAAGATGGAATTGACATGGTACTCGAAGGAACTGTCATTGTGTTTAGAAATCCTTGTGTTCTACCATCAGACATTCGAATTCTTAACGCTCGAAGACATTTTTTGCCAGAGAACTTCAAACAATTTTATAAAAATTGTCTCGTTATTCCTTCACGTGGCGTTGATTCACATGCACGTGAATGTGCTGGTGGTGACTTAGATGGCGATCTTTATTACATTATTTGGGATCAAAATTTTATTCCCCCAAATATTCAACCACCTGGCTACAAAGTTGTTGAAGTTGCAACACAACCAATCTCAAGTCACAAATCAACTGTTTTGATTGGAAATGATCACAAAGAAATGATGAAATTTTTCTGTGATTACGTTTCAAAGAATCAACTGGGAATTCTTGCAAATGCTCATCTCGCAACGTCTGATAAGTTTGGAATGTGTGATGAAAGAAGTATTGCACTGGCACGTTATGTCGTAGCTGAAACTGATGCACCAAAGAAAGGATTTACAGTTGGTAAAGTTAAAGCTGAATTGCTTCCATCAGAGTACCCTGACTTCATGGGTAAAGTTGATAAACTATTATACCGTTCGAAGACTATACTTGGTGACCTTTATCGACAAGCCTCTCCAATTTTAAACATCTTGTTGGAGAAAAAACCTAAATTGCATTCAAATCCGAATTTCAACATTGATTACTCTCATTCAATTGAACGTCATTACACTCAATATTGTTTTGAAATCCAAAGATTTTTAAAGAGTTTTGAATTGGATTCTGAAGCTGAACTTTTCTCGGGTACACCAAGATGGCGACGTGGCCTTTATTCAATTTATAAGCAACAAACACATTTGCGTGCTATAGTTGAAGAGAATGTAAAGGAGTTTTGGAAAAAATGGCTTTTGATCTTTGAAAAATGGTTGAATGAGAATGGACACAATCAGGAAAGAATTGTGGAATGGTACAATCGTCCAAAATCAAGTCAATGGCCGGCTCATAGCTTTTCAATGCTCGCCTTTCCTTACGTTGACTTTGAAGAGAAGAAAAGAAAAACTATGATCGAGTTTATTGAGGGCTCCACAAAACGATGGATTTGCTACAATAAAATGACTTGGCTGAATGAATGGCACATCCGTTTCAATGTTGGTCAATCAGTGATGAGCAAATTAAGAGGAATTGATTGTCATTTCTATGGCAGTTCTATGCTTGGATTAAGTGAAGACTTTTCAGACATCGATATTTATGCTGCTGATAACAACATGGAAAGTTTAATTAAAGCTTTGTTAGAAATTGATCCGAAAGCTTTCGCCTCGAAGAAACCACATGAATGCGTTAGTTTGACGTAAGTTCTCTTATCATTAAAAGATTTTGCATAAATGTTTATGAAGTATGCTCAATTAAACACATCACAAACAGATTTATGCTAAGATTCAAATTTAACGGTTTGAATCACGACCAATTTAATTTAACTAATTCAACTTTTTTTTCATTAAAGATTTCAGTCCCTTCCTATTGATGTCACAAATTTCCAAGGTGGTGTTATAAAATCTTACGGACTTGCAGAAGTGTTTGATGAGAATGAAGGTTTATGGCCAGCACTTCGTGTGTTGATTGAATGGGGACGAACAGTTAATATAATTAAATCTGGTGGTAGTCAAGGTATCATGACAGTAATCTCATTTTGTCACATGTTCGTGTACTGTGCGACTAAACAACCTCCAAAGCTCGCCACAAAAATAACGCCTTACACAATAACAAGAATCAGCGGATGGATTGATTCATGTGAAAAGACAAATTGTGGAAATTTGATTTACGATTTCTTGAATTTTCTAAGAGACCCGAAAAATGGGCCGATTGTTGGTAACATGAAGGATCCGTTTAATGGCGAGCCTTTGATTCGCAGAGATTTGTTTGATGAGCTTAACAAGAATGCAAATATCGCTCTTTATATCCTCGCTCTTCATGATGGCGACATTAGAAAAATGTTTGAGTTTTCTACCAAAAAGCGTCTCTTCAAAATCCACAAACAATACTTGGATCCAACAACTGCAACTGAACTTCTAAAAGAACAAGCACTTAACCATATCCGAGCGAATTGCAATCCCAATAATTGTCAACATTTAACATTTGAGCTTTTAAACCGAAGTGGTTGCTTTTATCTTGAAGTTTTCGGCGAACACAATCATTTAGGAGTTGTTGAGAACTTCCTCAAGAAAATCCACAAAAATTTTTTGGGTTACTCCTATCGTAAATTGATTCGAAATAAAGCTCATCACATTAAAAGTGCGACAATGTTAATTCCTGAATATAATCATGGCATTCTAACACAATTCACATTTGCACCTATTCAAACTCCCCATTTTATGCCAAAACATACTGGAAACTTATTGTTAGCTTTAGTGATGCGTGACAGAGAAAAGAATTTGAAATGGGAAGAAGAGGAATATCAAAGATATTGCAATCGATTCTTACATCAATTGGAGATTTATGAAAGTAAGAAAAGAAATGCAAAACGAGGAACAAATGCTTGGCGTTTTCTTGGTGAATTAAGTAAGTCAAATAAAATTGATTTTAAATTAAATATCTATTAAGAAATTAAACTTTAATTACAGAATGTACAATCCGCACTGGAAATCATTACTTATTTAATGTTCCATCATCAATAATTAATTCTTTTGAGACAATAACATTGTTCCATATTGAAAGACATCTTTCAGTAAGAGAAGAAGAATTAACTTTGGAATCAGAAAATAAAATATTGAGCGAAATAATGACTTATAACAAAAATACTTTATTTCAACCATCACGTCAGCAGCAAAGCTTTGAAGATAAAAAACCATTAGAGTTGATGCAATTACAAGAATGGAAAAATCGCATTCAAAACAAAGCTTCAAAAACAGCCCATGAAGTAAAACCAGTTGACATAAAATTGAGGACAGATAAGATGCGTCATTCATTCTATCCATTGTATAAATACAGCAGTCATGACAAGGCAATTGAATTTGCAAGATTGAATGGCTTTAGAGAAGTTCAGACGACACTTGATGATAATTATACATCAATATCGATACTTTGGCGACAACGTGAACTTCGAGTGTTGACAACCTTTGATGGAATGATCAAAGAAATCAAGTATCGTACAACACGATGGCTTTCAACATCATTCTTAAGAGAAGATCTTGCTGGTGAAAATGATGTAAGAGTTTATCTACAAAGTCAATCAATGCTTGATGAAGACGATTCTTGTCTTGAAACGGTGATTGCTTTCTTAGAAGGTCGATCAATTTTTCGACCAGAATTAATGGACCAAATCAAAAATTATAACGCAACTGGAAATCTCACGGAATGTTTCACTTCAATTCCATTGATTCAGGATATGTTTCGATTTAATTGGCGTTTTAAAACAATGCGATACATCGTCGCGTTGCGGAAATTTATTAATTCATCAAATGATGTCATTTTACTTTGCGAAGTGCATGATGGAATATTTATAGCCGAAACTCGCGAGTACGAATGGTTCCGAAGCCACAAAGAATTTGTGATTAAATTAAATGTTGCCAATAGAAGTAGCCAAGAGTTATGTCAAGACTCTTATTTGATGGCCTTAAAACTTTTCAAAGCAACAAAATAATAATGAGCAAATATGATCAAAACTTAATGAATTATACTTAATAGAACTGATGTAAAAGCCTTTTTTTACAATTGAAATAAATATTTTTGACCTAAAAGAACCTCATTTCATTTGAGAAATTAGAAAGTTTTCACTTATTTGGGGAGGAAAATCATTATAAGAAAAGTGAAGAAAACAAATTTATTTCCAGATTTCCAACGAGTTTATTTTTTTTATGAATTGTAGTACTAGATTATGAATTGTGAGAAAAGTACTTGAGAAATTTGGATCCAAATTCGGCTTTTTAGAGAGGAATATTTTTTTCCGCGAACAAATTATTCCGCGACCACATTCATGCATGAAAATTATTCCATACAGAAAATTGCATGATGATTTTGAAATTTTTACCGTTAAAAATTTTAAGGTAAGTTTTTAATTTTATGATATTTAAATTATGTTCATCATGATATAATGTTTAAGATGACAAATAATGATGCTAAATAAAATATATTTTTACTTCTTATCCCTGTTATTAAATAAAATTTAACTCACGAAATATTTTTCTACGCATTTACATTTTTAACGGTTTACATTTTAAAAAATGTCGTGCAATTATCTGCCAAGCAATAACATAAATCTGGAATTTTTTTCCCGTACCTAATTCTTTTAGGTGGAAAATAATATTCTTCTCGGCTTTTTACGATCCAAAAACACGTTCGATGAGAGAAAATCCAAATCCAGCAAAAAATCCTGAAGATCTTGAATTTGCTGGTGAAAATTTCGTCAGATACACTGGTGACACTCAATCACACGCAACAGCACAACTTTTTGCTTGGGAAGCTCATGGTAAAGGTGTCGATGTTCATGTTCTAGCTGAACCAACAAAACTTGAACTTCTTCAAAAGGAATATGAGTCTAAGAAGGAAGAGTTCAAAGATAGTGTCAAAGATAATGTTCTTCAACAATATGGTGGAGAAGAATATTTAAAAGTTCCTCCTAAACAACTTCTTCTTGCCCAGACAGAAACGTATGTAGAGTACGCGAGAGATGGAAGAATTATCAAAGGTGCTGAAAAGCAAATAATAAGAAGTCGTTACGAAGAAGACGTTTTGATTAATAATCACACTGCAGTTTGAGGATCATTTTGGAACAAATGTTGTCATGCATTTATTAAAAATTCCTGGTGCTGTAAACAAAGTCTTGGAGCGTAACAGCAGCTTGATGNAGTTTTCACTTATTTGGGGAGGAAAATCATTATAAGAAAATTGAAGAAAACAAATTTATTTCCAGATTTCCAACGAGTTTATTTTTTTTATGAATTGTAGTACTAGATTATGAATTGTGAGAAAAGCTCAAGTACCAGAATAAGCCTTCACTTTCAAGAAAGTTTTTCGAAATTATAGAAGAAAAATAAATATTAATGAATTGCAAGAGAATTACACTTCAAATGTGAAATTTACTTTATGAGAAAGAGCCAAGTTTAAAGAGGCGATAGCTATTTGAGTCACATAAGACTCAGCAATAATGACATTTGAATATAACAAAATTTGCAGGTAATTGTTTTATTGTTTGTTTTCCAATGTTATCTCATTTGTTGTTTTTTCGTTATATTGATTCTATTAGACTGTGTCTGAACCATTCAAACACTTACTTAATGAACATATTCAATACAGAATATAGCATTATCGAGAAAATTGCGGACTTAATGAATATAGAGGTAAGAAATATCAAGTTTGCTTCTTCTTCTTAATTCCGGATGAAGAAAAACAACATCTTTTCAGATATTTCAGAATGATCCCTTTCCAAAAGTTATCTGTACGGATTGCTACTCAAATCTCGTCATTTTTAACGAGTTCAAGAGTATTTGTCGTAATTCTGATAGTCTTTTAAAGAAATATCAGATAAATAAATCGGAATCAAATGAAGTCGTCACAACACAAAGCAACAAGGGAAATGGAAAATGCAAATCTATTCGTAACTCAGAGGAGATGGCAAATCGAATAAAAGAGTGTGCATTTAAGAAATCTATGACATTCATTGAAAACATGAAAAACTTTTACTTTTTGATAAATCAGATTGAAGATTTGGAGAGTAATGGAGGGCAAGTCATAATAAAGAATGAAGTTTCAACAGAATCTTTAATCCCATCTGTTGAAATTAATATAAAGAATGAGATAATTTATCCAAATGAGGATAATCATCAAGGAATGATGGGATGTGTCATACAACAGCCTCAACAAGAGTCGAATTCTCAAGAGCCTAAGAAAAAAAAACGCAAAAATAATAAACGAAAATCGATAAATGGTCAGGCAACGATGGAAATTGATGAGACTGGAAATCTTTTAACGAGACAAATTGTGACAACACAAGACCATCATCAACCGAATATTCAATTAGCACAACAAAATGACAACGAAATGGCTTTGATGTTAACAGTTAAACATTCCGACAATCAACAGGAGACGACACAACCGCACACAATCACTGTCAGTAATCAACATCATACAATTCAACCAATTCAAATTCATTCAAGTATATTTACTCTTGATAATGAACGTCGTTTCAGTGATTAAATTTTATTTTTTTCCTTTTCAGATCATCCCTTGCCGTCATTATCATCAACTGTTCATCACACACCTCAAGCATCAGCAACAACAACATCATCTCAAATATCAATTCAAAGCACTCCACACACAGTGACCACAATAATACCACAAATACAATATTCATGTTCAGCATGTAATGAAATTTTTGCTAACACCGACACGCTTCGTCAGCATTTGTTCCAGTCGCATCAAGTTTTATTTCCATTCACGACATCATCAACTGAACATCAATATCAGGTGCAATTACCGGCAGCGAGTATCACACAAACATCATCAGCATCTCTCCAACCAGTAACACAACAATATACTTTTACCCATCCACACAAGAAGTATTTTGAATCGGAATTTCCATGTTTGCTTTGTGGCGTTATATCAAAGAATCAAGATGATTTAATCAAGCACATGATTCGTCATACGTCACAAGCTGGAACATCAAATCAGCCGTCAACGACAGCAATTATCGCCAGAGAACGTGAAATTGACACTTCATCAACACCAACTGATTTATCTAATCCAACACAATATAAATGAAAGAATGTGATGCCATTTAATGGATGAATTTTAAATTCAAACGAAAAATTTATGAACTTTCTTCTTGTTGAGACTAAGATTTAAATTTTTATTTTCTTTATTTCATTAATTTTTGATTCTTCTTTACACTTAAAGTGGGAGAAACAAAAAAAGGAAAGAAAGAGAAAAATCCCTTAATAAATGTCATATTTAACTTCTTTAACCGGATTGTTTAAAGGAATTTCTATGAATTGTATTTCATAAACTTGAGATGATGGATTTGTAAAATATTTCGAGCTTTCTGGAACTTGTGCTACGATGACCTTAGGTTGATCAGGTTTTGTCACGAGCTTCTCCTTGTTTGATGTCATTTCATCTTCCAAATTATCTTGAGTTAGAGACTCAGAATCATTCTTTACGTCTACTTTCGAATCGGATAACTTTGGATGTGGTTTGCTTCTAACACGATCAAGTGGAAATGCAAAATTATTCTCGTTAAATATTCTTTTAAAGCTGGTGTAACTTGGACTATTTCCTTCATAATCCTCTTTATAAAGATTATAAAGTTGCTTGAGACTTCTTATATCAACATTTGTTATGGTCTTTCTTTTACTTTTCTGGTTTTGACAAACAAATTTCTCACAATGATTGACGACACTTTCCACAATTGCACTACTTAATTTATTTGATGGCGTATGTTTCCCTCGCTTATCGTCACCATCAAAAAAGTTTGTGTAAATATTTTTATGCTCAAATGCTTTGTTTAATGGTCCATTTGAGATTGCTAATGTTTTGAGAAAGAAAGATTGGCAAACTCTTTTGTTGAGGAGGAAAAAACTTTTTGAGTTTGTTCTGATTTTTGATTTTTCTGAAGGCTCCTTTGATGGTCTTCTTCTTTTTGGTAACGAACACTTAACATTCATTAATATAAAATCTTTTTTTCTTCTGTAGTCGTTAAGATTCCAAAAACTCTTGCAAATTTCAAATCTGAGATCTTCAGAAAAGTTAAGACTGCATAAGAACTTGCAGCTGCTGCAATCAATTGGTTTCGGAGTTTTAATCTTTTCTTCTTTCATCCTTGTTGATGATGAGAGATTGTTCTTAAACGTTGTAAAAAATATTTACTTTAGGAAAAATCTAAACGAGATAATGAATCAAATTAATTCAGCCTTGACTTTAGCAAATTACTTACATCAATTTCCGTAAATCTAACAAATTAATACTAATTTTGATATGAAATTCAGATAATTCATTTAAAAATGTAATTAAAAGTATCTTTGATTTTATTTTGTATTGGAAATAAACTTTTTAAGAAAATAATTTAAAAGAACTGTATCAAAGTCGTAAAAAGTAAATAAAGTTTTTAGGCAGCGTTCAGTTCGAAAGTGCACTCAACATTTTCGAAAATATTTTCAATACATTGACACAACCTATCATTCGCAGAAATTCTCGGTAACAAAAAACTTAGTATCTAAAGATACTCATAAATATATCTTGTGAAAGAAATCCAAGCTTAAGGATATTTAAAATAATTTTATTTGTAAATTGTTCAACAAGAGTAAAGCTTAAATAGCATAGTTAAGTGTCATAAAGTGTGTTGAGATAACATCAATAAAGTCAAGTTTTCACAAGCCAAAACATTGAAGAAAAATTTTCCCAAGTGAAAAATCAATTTTCCAATTTTTGAAAACTATTGATTTTGTCAACAAGTGATAGAATAAAAGTGCTCAATAATGTCTCAACCCCAACAACAGCTTCAAGTTGTTTTAGATTTTCTCAAGTAAACAAGAAAACACGAAGAATAAATTCACAAATGACTTCATAAAATAAATTTTCATTTTTTTCTTCCTTTAGGACGAGCTACAAATTTGATGTCTTTCATGAACCAAGAGGTGTAATGAGAATCCTCCAATTGATCTTTGCTATATGGGGATTCTTTGCATGTCGAGACTTCTCAGTCACTTTAGATATGGATTGTAACGACGCAATTTTCAAAAAAAGATATGAAATTGAGTATCCGTTTGAGTTTGGCGAACATATTTGCAAAAAAAAGAGCGAGAATATGACATTGTTCTTATCAGTCGATTCCTCAACGGGTGCACAATTTTTTGTCATCACTGCTGTTCTGTCAGTTCTTTATGCTCTCTTTATCATCTTCGTCTATGCTTATCTCGATGAAATGTATAAAAGCAAGCCAGAGTTTCCAATGGCTGTAAGTCACGTCTTATTTTTATTTATCTCTATTAAATATTAAGAGAGAATAATTCATTTCAGGATTTTGCGTTGACAGCAATCTTGGCATTCTTTTGGCTTGTCGGAACATTTGGCTTCAGCAGTGGTGGAAGCGCTTTGAAAAAGACTTTCGATGAAAATTTCATTGGTGTTCAATGTGCTTCTTGTGTTCCTAAAACTAGCAGTTTTACGGATCTTAGTATTGCTTTGGTAAGAATATAATCACGGATATTAGGAAGGAGAGATATTGAAAGATTTTTTAATTCTTTAGATGATTGGCTTCTTGAATTTCTTCCTGTGGACATCTGACTTGTGGTTCTTGTACAAGGAGACAATTTGGTTCCAACAACGTAATCAGATTTTGAATCAACCGATGTATGCTCAACAGCAACAATTTGGTCAGCAACAATTCGATGGACAACCTCAATATGAACAACAGCAGACCCAGCAGTATGAACCACAGCAGCAACAACAACAACAGTACGGTTATTCTGAACAATCTTATGGTCAGCAGCAACCATACGGTCAGCAATCTTACGGACAACAGCCAAACTTCTAAAGATCTCAACTTATCCAAAGATCCTCAAATGAAAAGGTATTGCATTGTATTTAATTTTGTTTCTCTTTCTCTTTTTTTCTCAAAATTAAGAATAATTTATTTTACTTTTTGCATCATTGATACAATGAAAAAGAAAACAAATTTATCGCAAAGTAAAGAAAACATTTATTTGAAATCGTAGAAAAGGAAAATATCAACAAAAAAAATTATCATTAAGATTCACTCTCTTTAAGCACATTTGAGCCAACGTAAGGAATAAAATTAATTAACTCAATCTTCTAATTAACTTAAAAATATCAAATATTTTAATAAACAAGAAGAGAACGTTTTTCGCTATAAGTGTTTAAGGGGAAAAAGAGAAAATTATGCAAATTTAATCTTCTTAGTATGAATGGACGAGATTTCTTTTAATAAATATCCTCCTACTTCTAATTACAACAAACAAACATAACTTAAGTAAGCCATGATATGAAGCAAGTCGTCATCTTTCCTAGTATTTACTTAGCATACGTTCAAATGCTTTAAATTTACCTTCTCGCTAGTCTAGAGGAAAATTGATTGATAGGAAAATATTCGTTCATGCGTTGATAACTACTCAACATAATTCAGATGAAAAAGAAGGAAAGAAAAATGTTCATTACTACTAAATAAAAAAATAAATAAAACTAATTGTGAAGAGAATATTATCGTTGCCATAAAAATGGACAATCTGGCGGAACAAAATATGTTTAAATAAGACAAAAAAGCTTAAATTTGTAAATAATAAGTTTAACATTGAATTAATTATTTGTGGAGTGTTAAAAAGAAAAGATTTACTAATTTGTATTGATATCTTGCGGAAAAAGAGAATTTTAAAGATTTCTTGTTAATTAATTTATAACATTCCTCTTCCTATCCCCACCCAAAATCTATGGCTCAGATTTGAATCATTTTTCTTTATCAGAGAATAAGATGAAATGTTCCATCACCGTTTATAAATATTTAGAAGACTGTGAGAGATTTATTTTTATGTTATCACATACATAAATGTTGATCGAAAACAGATTTGCTAGCTTTTCGAATCCTTGATGCTGGAAGTTGATAAAAAGAAAAAATATCTCAAATGAATCAAAAATGAACAATTGAATAAAAAAAATTATATAATCTGATTGATAATCTCAAAATCACTGTCGTCTAGTCACTGAGTTGAACTGTTGAAATAAATAAACTGCTCGCTACCTTCAAAATACATGAAACATATGAAGAATGAAGAAATCTATCTATTTAGTTACGTTGATTAAATCTATAAACTCTCATAAAAGATATAAACTTAATGTACAATAAAAAAAGAATTAAAAAATCCTTTGAATATCTGCATAAATAATTTGAAGAAGACAAGAAATTTATCTTTTGATGATATATAAATGTGTAGACGATGTAAGAGATTCCATTTAGTCACTGGGAATATATGACAAGAGAAAGTAACAAAAAAATATTCAATGTTGCGCAATTATTTAGAGACAATGATAAGAAATATAAATTATAATTATAAATATTTCACTTAACTTTGAAACGCGGCGAAACAATTAAAAACAAACACACAAAAGAAAAACTTTTCGACCAACAAAATTCTTTATTTCAAATAATGTTCAATGAAAATTTGATATTTATGTTGTCAAGTTGGATGTTCATCCTTGCTGATAAATTGCACAAATCATAGAAATTTATCTGAAAAATGAAATTAGGTTGAATATCAGAGATTGTTAATTAAAACTTTTACAATCTGATTTGTCATTTTTGAACATGAAAAACATTTGGAAGAGAAAATTTTATCATGATGACAGTAAAGAATATTTATGAGGGTTCACTTGCATAACTTTATGATACATAAACTCACATAAAAGAAGATTACAAACAGAAGGATGAATAACATAAGAACCGTGAAAATAAAAGTTTAATAAAATTTATGAAATTTGTTTTATTTTATAATTTATGTGCTATCGACTGGCAAAAACAATTTTTCTAAATATCAAGCTAAATATATTTCACTCTATACGAAAGGAATAGCTTCAATATTTTATATAATCTTGATCTATCCATAGTCCCAATCAAGTTGTAGGCGTATGCTGATGCATCATCATAAACTGGATTAGTTTTAAGCTTTACTTGTTCATACCATTTCGTGAGATTTGGACGTCCTTCGAAAGGATTATAATTAGCAATTCGTGGTTGTTCTATTTCGCATGCCGCCATAAGATCAGCGAATGAAATTTCGTTTGTAGCTAGGAAACGTTTCGACTCGTCTTGAAGCCAAACATCTTCTATCAAATCTAAAACTTTCACCATGTGACCTTTTGCTTTATTGATTTTTTCTTTCGATGGTGGTTTTCTTTGAAGTAATGGCAACATGTATGCTACTCTGAAATATCCAGCACATGCAACTCTTGTATTATTATGCTGCCATTCAAGATATTCATCAACTCTCGCTCGTTCCTTTGCATCTTTTGGATACCAATGATCAGCGATTGTAGGATTTGTTGCAACAATGTATCTGAATATAGCGACACTTTCTGCCAAATGAAAATCATTGTCAACAATACATGGCACTCTCTTAAATCGATTAATATCTTTGAAGCTACTCTTCAAATGTTGCAATCTTCCTAGTTTTACAACATTTGATTCAAAAGGAATTTTATTGAGCTTCAGGAAAATGTAAATGGCACGACTTGGTTGACTAAGTAAATCATAATAAAGTTTCATTTTAAATGTTAATAATAAATATTCAGATAGAAATTTTCACCGAAAAATAATTATCCAACATCTATGATGATCATACCACAGATGTTGCTTTAATAATAAATCCGCGGAAAAACAGTTTCGTTCAAATGTGTGTGTGAAGTGTGTAAATTATTAAAAAATAATAAACAAGAACAAAGTCCAAAAGATTCCGGCAAAGTTTTTCGAATTCACGATGAAGTTCTACTACGATTTAATGAGCCAACCTAGTCGAGCATTGTACATCTTTTTCAAGCTCAATCCAAACATTCCAGTTACATTCATTCCTGTTGCTTTGAGGAAAGGCGAACATCTTGAAGATGCTTTTAAGGCGATTAATCGCTTTCAGAAAGTTCCATGTATTATTGACGATGATGGATGGAAGCTTTCAGAGACGGTTGCTATTTTTAGGTGAATTCATGAGTAAGAAAAATATAAAAGAAGATTTTAATAAATTTCATTAATTTCAGATATCTGAACGATAAATACCAAATCAATGAACATTGGTATCCAAAGGATATAAGAACAAGAGCTTTGGTTGACGAGTATATGGAATGGCAGCATAACAACACACGTATGGGTTGTGCCATGTACTTCCAAGTTAAATGGCTGATTCCAATGATGTCAGGAAATCCGCCATCAGAATCGAGACTTAATTTTGCCAAAACTCATATGGAAAATGTGTTAACATTGCTTGAAAATACTTGGCTTGAAAGCTCTGAGAAATCATTCCTTACGACAAAAGAAATTTCGTTTGCTGATATTCTTGCAGCTTGTGAGTTGGAACAACCAAAAATGGCTGATTATGATCCATTTGAAGGTCGACCACGTCTATCTTCATGGTATCAAAAGGTCAAACAATTTACAAATCCATTCTACGACGAAGCTCATGCACTCGTAAATAAAATTGTGAACAGCAACAAAAACAAGCCAAAATTGTAAATCAAGATAAATTTTATCTTAAAGACTTGAAACTTTTTGAAGCGATTTTAACAACGTTGGAAGCTTCGAAATTTTTCAAGTGTTTGTAAAGAATTTTATATTAAAATGGTTGGGGGTGTGGCAATAAATGAAAATATCAGTAATAAAATGTTTATTTTTTCTTTTTTTAACAAGCTTTAACTTTTTAGTGAGTAGTGAGAATAATTTACGAGCAAATAAACTTTTAACGGCTTCTAAGAATTCAAAAAAATTTCATTTTTCTATGTTGCTCAACAATTGCTCAGTTACTCATAAATTCAAAATAAACAATCTTAGAGCACATTTATTTATTTCATGAATATTAGAGATAATTAATATGACAGACGCAAGAGAAATCATAACATTACAGTTTGGAAACTTTGCGAATCATGTTGGTTGTCATTTCTGGAATATTCAAGTGAGATTTAATTGAAATTTCAAATCATCTGCATTTTCAATTTTTGTTTTTGTTTTTAGGAAAACTCATTTAATTACGACCCAACAGTATCAGATCTTTCCGAGATTAATCATGATGTTCTTTTTAGAGAAGGAACACATAATAGGAACATCACTTACACACCGAGAATGCTTCTTGTTGATTTGAAAGGAACTTTGAAATACATTCCCGAATCAGGAAATTTGTATAACCAACCACTCGAGTTAAACAATCCCGATAACAGTGTATTAGATCAAGTTCGGAGTACTATTCAATGGGATGAAGATTTCATCGAAGTCATGGAAACAGAACCAGTTGAAGTGCCCGAATTTCAGAAGTCATTGCAACAAAACGAAGTCAGAGACAATCAAACTGCTTTCAACTTGAAAGAAACAATCAGAGATTGGCCTGATTTCATGTATACAAGATATCATCCGAAGTCGATAAATATAATTAAAGAGTATGAGAGGAAAGATGAAGTCTCAACTCTTGACACTTTCACTGCTGGTTCACAATTATTTGAAACTCCATTTTTTGAAGATGACTTCTGTGATAATATTCGAAGCTTCATGGAAGAATGCAATCACAGTCAAGGCTTTCAAACATTCTTCGATTGTATCGATGGATTCTCTGGTGTTGCTCTCAAGTGCATGGAACATCTTGAAGACGAATATTCAAAACCAATTTTTGCTATTCCTTTATTTCCATGTATTGTTAAAAATTTTCAGTTTGCTGATGAAGCCATGAGTGATTCAATTAGAATGATAAACATTGCATCCTCTTTTGCAAAGTTATCAGAACATAGCAATCTCTTCACACCGTTGAGTACGATGGGACGAGCTTGGAGAACAATTGATGAACCGCGGAAGTTTCCTTCACTTAATTACGATCCTTCTAACATTTATCATAGTTCAGCAATACTCGCAACTTTCATGGACACAATGAGCTTAAAGTATCGACTCAAAGATTCAAGCTTATTGTGTTCTCTCTCGGGATTTTGTTCTGAACTTAATGGCTACAATCGAAAGATGTCAGCAGCTAAACTTGCGATGCCTTTTCCTATGAATGAAAAAGAAGATTTAATCGATTTTCTTGACCGTTTCGATGGAAGTTTAATGGAATCAATAACGCCTGGAGTAACAGTTGGAAATGATCGAATTGTCCAAAGTATTTCTCTTCGTGGTGTGCCCAAAAGCCGTCTAAAGCGTCCATTGGAGTCAGCAAAGAGTCAAATGAAAATGTCTGCTTATAAATGCACTTCAATAAGCGAAATGATTCAACTTTATTATCAATGCAACACCTACGCCAGTTTATCAAATGTTGCTGCTATTGAGAGTCGAATGAAAGTGAAATCTCCGTTTCCGAAAGAATTCTTTGATGACAGAATTGCAGTGAATGGATTTATGAAAGAATTTCAGAATTCAATTGTTGAAGGTGGGACAAACTTTTACTAATTAGTGCTTTTCAATAATTTATTATTTTCCTGCAGATATCAAAGAACTTCCAGTAATGACAGCACTTCAAACATCAAATGAAATCTCAAATGTTCTTGAAAATCTTCACACGAATGTTTCGAGAGTAAAAATTGCTAAAGTTCCTCGACTTGTAGATTCAGGTTTGGAAGTTGTAGATTATAAAGAGACATTGGAACAGTTGCTGACATTTAAAGAACAATACGATGAAAGTTTTTTCTTGTAATTTACACATAAACGTCTTTACTGTAGTTCTGAATAAATAAATTAAATTTTTAATGAAATTGCGTTGCAGAATTTTTTATTTATTGACACAGGTGAACATTTGTTGTCCTCAATTGTAATAACAAAATAAGTTTTAACTGGAAAACATTTCAGTCTATATTTGTCGCTCTTCTTCTCATCATTTTTTGTATATGAATTAAGAAAAAATGAATTTCTTTTCTTACTTTTTAATTCCATTATTTTATCAAATCAACAGTAGATTTGCTTATAGAATTGCACGAATGTGTATAAGAAGGTGGAAAATGGCAAGAAGAATTCAACATCATCATCACCATGAAAAAAGACATTGAAATGGGAATTTATTAGTTAAAAGCATTCAGCAGGGATTAATGACGTCTTCAGATGATTAACGAGTTGTTTCATCATTTTCTGTAAAAAATGTTCACTCTTTAATAAGTTTTAAATAATTAAAAAATTGTTTTTTTGGGTAAAAAAATTCAAGATTTTTTTCTTTTATTTCTCATGTTGTTGTCTCATTGTTGAATACAAAATTGATTTGAATCCTGAATTTCTTTCATTTGGATTGATATCAAGTTTGATTATAGGATTAGACCGGAACAAAAATCTAGTTTATAATATTGAGTTCATTAGCAGAACATGACGAGAATCTTAATGGAATTGAAATGGAAAGAAAAAAAGTTTCGAACGACTTGATTTCATAATAAACTTCTATTAATTATTTTAAAGCAACTACTAATCATGCACGACACTTTATTTAAAGATAAAATATTATATACTCGAATATTCTTTAATTAATCAATGGAATTTTTTTTATGCTTTCTCAACATTAATTTTTACTTTTTCTTTTGTCTCACAAAACAATTTAACGTAATTTTACTTCTCACATGACTTTAGATTATTTAATTATAATAAAAATACTTTCTACACAAGCAGACTTGTTCTGAACTTTAATCATTAATTTAAATGTACATGAAAGGAAAGAAAAAACTTAATTAAATTATAATCTAATCAAAGGAATTATTAATGAATGATTACATTTCATTTTCTGTAAGCTGCTTTTAAGATCATTTGATAAACCAAAATATAAAAAGAAGAAAACAATAAATAAATAACACAATAAGAAAGCTTTAGGTAGAAGAAATCATTAAGATTTGTAATATTTACTTTTATTATATTTATGAAAGCGGAGATTGGTATCAGCATTTACTTTGCTTTCAATCCTAATCTCAGAATAAAAATGATTAAATATCTAATCGTATGCTTTCAAAGTTTATCTTTTTGGGATGTTTAACGACTGGAGATTTTTTGTGATACTTTTTCTTAGTCGTCTCAATCATCACTGATTCCCTTTCTAATGACTCTTATCAAAAATATTCACCGACGAACGAATTAATTTTTAATTTTGGCCAGAAGGAAGCAGTAAAGAATTCCAGCCTGTGCCATCACATCGACTGTGCTTGATTCAAGCAAATCTTTTTGTTTTGATGAGTGTGGACCGGGCCGAAGAAGAGTTGGACCAAACACCATCGCCAGATTGTGCAGAGACATTTTATTTTCACCTTCATGTTGGTTAATTCTGCAAATAAATTAATGTCAATGACACGATTCATACATTCATTAATAACTTACCTTATCAAATGTTCAAGTATCAGATTAATTGTTGCTTTATTTGGCTGCGGAAGGTCATTGAAAGTAACTTGAAGTGCTTCTATTCTTGCTGCTTCATTTGCATTTGTAAACTGGTTGAATGTGTCAAAGAACTGTTAAAAAAATTGATTGTAAGACGAAATTCTTCACTCTATTAATTTTCACTCACTTTTTGGTAATGTTGATCAGTATATAAAGCTTCAGGCAACTCCCTTAAGTACGATTTCAAGTTTCCAGTGACTGAATGAATGTCAACTTCTTTTAACAACTGTTCAGCTTCATAAGCATCTGAAAATCACATTTAATGTTTAATTAAACTTCAAAATAAATTTTAACTTCTTACTTGACTCGAAAGATTTTTTCAGCTTCTGCAAATCCGATGCACTGCCACTAACACGATAAATTCCAACTTCATTCATACCACGACGTTCAACTTCACGAATCGAAGCACTGATAATGAAAGGAATGTCTCGTTTCTCACGTCTAGAATTTAAATCATCATTAAAAATACTTTTGAAACATTTCTTTCAAATGATTTAACTCACTTCAAAACTGCACTCAATTTGGCACCGAAGAGAGCTCCAGGCTTTGATGTTGGAACACGACGAAGTGAAATCTCAGCGGGAATAAAACGAAGTGAAGTGTTTAATGTCATTGTATCAGTCAATTTCAATGCACGACTCATCGTAGCTTCTCTCAACCATTGACGACTCAACTAAATTACAAAAATTTAAAGAAGATTAAAAAAAGATTTTAAATAAAATATTTTTAACTCACTTCTAAAGTGCTTTTAGCTCTCAAAATTGGTCGATCACCATCTTGATACAAGAGAATCCTCAAGTTCTGGCTGCCTTCTAATTCAAGTACAAAACTTTCATTCCATGTTGGCGACATGCTGTGACAAATGATTTTCGTCTTTGCTTTTCTAAAGTAATGTCCATAAGAATCAATTTCAACACACACATAAAGATCCAAAGGATGATCAAGTCCAACAAGTCCCTGAACTGTTAAATGTAAATCACCGACAAGAAGACTTTCATCGCCTCGATTTCTCATTAAATACGATCCCATCTCAGCTTTAATGACTTTTTGACACGCAGAAATCCACGCTTGAAGTTCATAAATGTGAACGGAATTTGAGCCCGGTAAGTTGCACGATTTCTGCAGCGTTAAAATTGATTCAGCCCACTGTGTCCGTTCAAAATCGGAACTCAAGAAGAATGTTATTTGTTTTCCATTCGATTTATTGCCAATCTTGAATACTAAGTTTGGTGAAGCAAGCACAAGTTGACCTTCAATGTCAGCGAGCTTCTTCTTATGCTTGTCATTCGCCCTCGATCCAATCTTCTTCGCGTCATGTTCCTCCATCATTATTTGATCTCTCACCGTGCATGCTTGTGATTTTAATTGCACAATATTCACAGGTGATGATTCTTTGGGTTCGGTGGGCGACGATTCATCAGAAACAATGAAAATATCTTTGAGCGGAATAAACCATTTCAATTCAAATTCAAAACGATCACGACCTGATGGCTTGTATTTGGCACATGCAATAACATCGTTAAAAAGAAAGAGATGACGAAGCTTTCGACGACCATCCACAAGTTCAACGATGAAAGAATTCTTAACAAGACGACGAAGTGCTTTATCATCAGTCTATAAAAAAGAAATTGTTCGATAATTAAACAAAGAATTTCATTTCTCATCATCGTTCATCACTTACCGTTGCAAAATTCTTCGTTTCAACAACATTAAACTCCATTAAGAAATTTCTCGTAATTTTATGAGCTTGTCTAAGTGGTTGATAGTCGGGATGAGATTCAGGCGTGTGGTGAAGCATATCTTGAAGAACAAGCGCATTCTTCTGCACACGTGCAACTGGCTTGTGCAATAAATCTTCCAACGTCAGCGATTGTTCATTTGTCGAGTTCATGATAATTTTCGAAACAATTTCCTTGAACTGTGGACTGTTTGCACCACATTTCTTTACTGTGTCAATAGCACGACCATAATTGTGCAAGAAAGCGCCGTAGAGTTGAATATTGTCGGCAAGACTCTTAAACAACTCGCCAACTTGAATGTCTTCAATCTGTGTTCGTTGCTTCTCTTTCAGATCAGTAAGAAATTTACTGTGAACATTGTTGAGCTCTTCAATCTTAAAGAACATTGTCTGGAAGTCTTCTTCGGAAATCACAGGTTGCGATGTCGTTAATGTCGCACGAATCGCTTTCATATATTGTGTCATTTTATTTAAACATCCAACGTAAAGTGTCTCACTTGTGATGATACTTGAAATGATTTGATTGATCATTGAACCTCGTGTGCTGCCTGATATTCTTCGATCAGGTGCTGGTGTTTGATTTGACGCATCATCGGAGATCGCACGTAATAATGGAGGTGAATTTAAATCTAATTCACCATCGCTGTCAATTGAACTGTTGCGGGGGTCTTGATTTTGTCTGAAAAAGAGAAACCAAATCAAATATTTAATTAATTCAATTAAAATGTTTCTTACTTTAAGAAGTAATCGAGGTTGACATAGTTGGAAGTTCTTCCCGGTGATTCCGGATCTATAACACTCGTTTGACTATCCAATTGACTTTTAATATTCATCGGTAATGTGCTTCCGGCATTTGATGACACTTCATCTCGACTTGACGATGATCCAGTCGTTCCAGTACTTGTCATAGTATTTGTGGCATGTCCACCACCCCCGCCACTGACATTCGATTGAACAAAGACAAACTCATTATCACCAGATTCAGCTGGAACAGTGTCGTAGTACGGTTCGCTTTCAATTTGTTGGCCAATCTTCACGCTATCGGAACTGAGCGAAGAAATTGACTCAAAGCTTTTAATTTTTGTTGACGTCACACCACTTGTAATGCCTGAATTGATTGATTCTTTTGATCCAACACTGTTTCCGCCACCACGACTAATTTTCTCTAAACTTCCGGTTGGCGATGCAGTTGACTTTGTGTCACGACTTCCTAACGATCCACTTGAACTTTGAGTTGATTTTAAACTTTCTGACTTTGCAAGTTTCTTTCCAAACTCGTCTGCAATCAGATCTGATGATTTCGAAAATTTGCTGATTTCTTTCTTTGCGGTTGTTGTCACTTTAATGTCCAATGAATCGGATGACTTCTGTCGAAAGATTTCTGATGGTTTAATGTTTCTTTCAAGGGAACTTGATGGTGAACTATCAGAATCTTTACGTCCCGGTGATGACGAAAGATTAGGAACAGTTGGTGGTTCAACAGGAGCGCCACGTCGTGGGAATTTTGGTGGTGGGCTGAGAATAAAGAAAGAAATATTCATTCAAGATTATCTTTTGTTTGTTCAGTGTAAGCAGCGCATTCAACTTTGCCATCTTATGCAATAATAATAAAGAAATGTCATCGCCATTTTCAAGTTAAACTTGTTGACATCAACAATATCTTTGCAAAATTAAGTTTCAACAATATTCAGGTTCGTTATGAAGAAAAGTTTTATTTAATCGCTTGAAGAATCAACTGAGAGGAATTATAATCAAACGACAACAGCATGAAACATAAGAGTTAATTTCAGTTGGCAAATTTATATCAGCACGAGATGATTGCATCATAATGGCGACGACATTTAACATTGCCACCTCTTCATTACCTTCTTTTCATGTTAATTTAGTTAACTTACTTCTCGCACGACATTTACGATCATTGTTAGCTAAATTTAAGTCACTCAGAAATGCTTTTCCTCATTGCATTAAAGTGAAAGTTTTTTTTTACAACTTTTTTTATTTCTTTTCTTTCTCCATGCCGATTTAGGAAAATATTTTTTCTTTCTTTCTTTTACAGTTCAAACGAACGATAAGTAAGTTAGACGGGAAAGGAAACATATGCGGAAAAAATGATTAATTCATTTCCATCACGCTTTAGGTTCGCTTAACATATGGGCCAACTTTGACCGAATAAATTAAAGGTGGCAATTGTTAAGCTTATGCACGATTAATTTATGTTCAAATTCAAAACGATAAATCCGAATATTGAATTAAGTTAAACATAAAAATTCAGATTCGAAAGTAATTGAAAAGTGTGAAGTTTGCGCAATCTAAAATTTATAGCTTTTAGTAGATAATTGTCTTTGATGTAAACTTGCAAATCGAAACATTTAACTCGCCTACCGGCAGAATTATTTGGGATTGGCATAATAAATTAACAAGAGTACTGAGGCAGCATTACGTTAAATGTTTAAGTGGTGGGGGTTTTAAACTATTAACTATTATTAACTTTAAATGACGATCTTAGATTACTCGAAATATTCCCAAAAAGAATAAGTATCAATGTGATGTAATTAATAGTTTCTAAAACAAAGAAAGACTTTGCTTTCGCTGTTAAGTAGATACTCAGCTCACTTACGATGACGAAACAGTCGAAATATTAGCAAGTGAAATTATTTTAACGGTAAAAATATTTCAGTTAAAAGAAAACTTTTTCAACCAAAAAGCAGAAGTTTGTGTAATGTTTACATTTTTAGCAACTTTTCCTTAACTGAACTGATCATTTTGCAGATTTCTCGTATTCTTTTCACTCTCTGCTTACCTAATTTCGTTTGAATGTATTTTGATGGTGCTTTGATTGTCTTTTGTGATATTTAAAGAGCTTGTTAAATCTGACTACTGCATTAACTTGCTTTTCTTTTCGTCATGCAAATAATCAGCGTCAGATAATCCTCAAATGATACGAAAGTGATTAAGGCCACCAAAACGCTTTCTTTGTTTTGATATTTTATTGATTGAAATTGAAAGCGAACACAAACTTTTCATTTTGCTTGCTTTCATCAACCATAAATAATAACTGTGCTAATAGCGCTTTATAATGTAATATTCTTAATTGCTGAATGTTCTCTCTTCCAACATCGTTTATATGAAAGATTTTTAATCCAATTTACTGCGCCCTATGTAATGAACATCACATAAATTCATTACTGAAGTCACTTACGACAATTCATACTTTGCAGTCTCGCTGTCTCTCCCCACGCTGATGAGTAACAAAAAATATAATCAAAGAACTTGTCCAGTTGCTTTCGTTGTATTATGCAAATTACTCTTGTGCAGATTCACAATGTTTTAAAATTTTTATCGGTTTATAAGAACAAAACGCTTCATATTAAAATACTCGGCTTTGAATGAACAGCGCATACACAACATCGTTGCCAATAAACGTGAATTTCAAGTTCGTTTAAAAATTTTCTTCTTTCTTTTTTTGCTGGTAAATAATCCAAACATTTGGAGAAGGAAATTACTTCTTGTAGTCGGCCAACTTGCGACTCACTCTCCTTGCTTGTCGTTGCTTTTCAATGACTTCAGTTTAACTTGACTTTTGAATCTCAAGACTAAAGAAATATTTTTTTTGACAATGATAACTGACGATTTGCATAATTAAATTCACTTAAATATCCGCACAATTATTGTCGCAAGACATCGAAAACATCAGCAAGGTTAGCAGTTCGTTTGTGTGAGAAAATTAATGCAAATGCAAATGAAAACTTATGGCCAATTATGCAATTGCAGAAAGTGCACGCGTCGTTGAAGTTTTCAAGTTTTTGAGGAATTCCTCAAACGAAGCTCTGCACGAATTTCAATTTCATTTATATCGGCATTATGTTGATTGCCTGTTTGTTTGTTTCCATTCAATAAACTTTTTAGCTTTATCATTTTGAATTTATCTAGCAATTCAGTTCACTTGCTTGTTCACTTGCTCGTTGCATTTGTACGCCCCACGTTTTCAATTGAAAACATACTTTTATTTATATCGTTACATTACATTTTAATCAAACATCCTCTAAAGTCAACTCATATGCGAATGTCATGACGGTTCGAATGCTCGTAACTTGTTCTGTCTTTCAACTGAACAAGCAAGACATGACGCCGTTTGGGATTTAATTTCAATGCTTCTGTCGTTTGATATTTTATTTTATTTCATACATTTCATTGATATTTGCGGTGTCGGTGCCGTTGATGTTGACGATCATAATAGGAAACATGAGCTTCCTGCTTTAACACAGAAAATTTACTTCAAGAGATGCTTCAAATCTTTAACAGAGGAAAGGGAAATTTCTAACATATTCTCCTTCCGTTATCACTTAAAAAAATTCAAAGGCAATTGAAAAATGAATCAGCGAGTTTGTAGAAAATTAAACAGAAAAATTTTATCTCAAAACTTTTCCCTCCCTTGAAATGGGGAGAAGAACAAAATTTATTGCAGGCAATGAAGGGAAAATTTTTATTAACTTTTACAGTCACTGACTCGATTGTAGAGACGACAACAACCCTCAAAGAAGTCGACAGTGTCTCAAACTCCCGTCGTACATTTATTGATCCAATATTTTATTCGCCATATTAGCGGACTTTCCCTTTACACTCTCATCTGACTCATTCGATAAACAAACATTCTTTGGCTTCCCACTTTTAAATGTTTTCATTTCCAAAGGATTTCTACAAGAACGACATGAGTAAGTTGTTACTGAAATCATTCATTTCTGACTTTTATATTTAAGCGAATTAAATAAAACAAAAAATATAGAAAAAGGCTTGGCTCGAATTTCAAGTTCGTGTAGTTTTGCGTTTTTGTCATCCAGAAATGAAACAATTTTTACGACTTTCGATTAGACATAAAATATTTCTTCGTTCCATTTCAGTTAAAGTCACGCAAGTAACAGGAAGAAATTCTTCAGCGAACAAGTTGCTGATCGGTATGTTTATTGTTTATAAATTGTTTTATTTCATATGACGTCATTGTTGATTTATTTAAAAATATTAAACAAGGAAGTGAAAACATAAAAAACAAACTTACCGTGGTGGAATTTTCTTTTGCGAATTCTTTTCATGAAGCATTGCAATCGGCGCCGTCGGTCGTGTACCAAAGCTACTAGTGAAACTGCTTGTCGTGTTTGACGATCGATCCAAATCGTTCATAAAGTTTGAATTTCTCTTATTATTTTCAATAATCACATTCTCGTAGCCACTTCGAACTGATTGAAACGAGGATGTTGCTGACGTGGTGATTTTTGTCGTTGATGATGTTGTGGTTGCGGTTTCTGATTCTTTCACTTCAATCACTGTCACAAAGTGACTTGGCTTTGCTAATATTTCACTTTGACTATTTTTACTTTCACGCTCTGTCACAGCGGAATCATCACTGACTTTATCATTCGAATCAATTGGTTTTTGTTCCATTTTTACACCATTTTCATTGTCGACAATCGCACTGTTCATCGTGTGTCTCGTTGAATCATCATTAACCGTCACAACTTTTCCATTTGCATTCGTATTTGCCGCAATTGTGTCGGTATAACGACGACCGTGAATATTTGATGATAATTCACTAATGAATTGATTAAGAGCGCCGTCCCTCCGTAACTGTACCTCATCCGTTTCCTTTTTACGAATCTGAACTTCACCACTGTCGTCGTCATTGGCGACAGCATCGTTGGCAGGTGTAGAAGCAGCTCGAATTATTTGGTTCTGCGTTAATGAATAACAAGAGAAAAAAATATTAAAAATTTATGCTTCAATACTGTAAAAGGTTTCATAAGAGTTAATAATTTTTATGTGTTTGCGTAACAAGAAAATAAAAAACTGTAATAAAAAAAGAAACTCTAAGCAATGCAGAAACGCAATGCAGGAATCAAACTCAAAACTGAATTACATTTCATGCAATTTTCTCAATTTTATTTCTATGTAATTGACCGTAACCTTTTCAGTATGCTTGCAATTAACTTCAATTAAATTGTTGTAGCAGAGGAACACATCATCGCACACAATCGTCGCATTTAACTTCATCTCGAGACTTCTTCATTCTTTTCACACCCAAAAAAACTTTACTACGCTCATTAAGAAAAAAAAGGCGAAGCAACTGCAATGATTTTCGTTCATCAAGACTTCAAGTCGTCTTCCGGTTGTCGTTTTAATTCCTTTTCGTCTGTAAAGTAAAAACTCGTGCAGGCGTCGAGAAAACATAACTTAAATGAACAACGAACACGTGTTTCAAATTGATCGAAACTTTTTCCTTCACATAAAATGTTTCTCATGAAAATCTTCACTGACCGGAGAGAAAGAAGTTTTGTGTCTCATGCTGAGATTTTTTCTTGAACTTATTTCAAATATTCGTCATTGTGAAGACAAACACAACATTGCACAACATCTGAGACTCAGAAGATTGTCGTCGTGGTTGGAGAAATGAAATTTTGTTTCAATGTTCGTTGTCATGGCCGCACATTGAAAATTATCTTGAATGACACACACGCTCGTGTTGTTGGTTGTTTGAAAGTAGTTTGAAATGCATTAAATAATATTTCGGCGACAGTCATTACATCATTTGTCGAATATATACATAAACATGTTGCAAAGCATGTTACATGTTAATTAGTTTGTAACTTTATCGCATTTATGTCATTCCGTCATGTGATTTCTCTTTTCACCCTTTTTAATGACATCACAAGACGATGATAATTGATCGTTAAGAAAACTTGGAAACTTCCAGAAAAACAACGTGCAATTTCTGACGTAATCAACTCAATGGCAACACCAGAAATGAAACACATAACTGATAAGATAAGAATAACAAGTCCAGGTGCAATTGTGTTTGTAATTTTTTTTTATCATTCACTCAACAAAATGCTTCACATACGATTAAAAATATTTGTGTTTGATAAGCCCACATGGAATTTAATTCAAATTGATTTCCTAGCAACTTCATTCATTAACTCAGATTGTTCATAAAAGATTACAATAAACAATAGAAAAATCGACAGAAAGATTCGCAACACCAAATCATGTGAACTAGAAAAGAGTGAAATGAAATCAACAACTCAGTTCTGACATGAGAAGAATTAACATTAAAATCCAGTTCAGGTTTAGATAAATGAAAACGAGTTTAAGTCAAAAATGGAATTGAAAAAATCGAATGAATCGCGTTTGACCACCTGCCTGCCTACGCCCCTCGTTGATAACTCTAACGGATCTTTTTTTGTTGTTTAATAATTTCATGAAATTTCAGTCTATTAAAACTTTTTGTCTCGCGTCTTTTAACCTTTTGTCTACTTAAATATGTTTTCGGCACAAATAAGTCTTCTTAGTATTTTATTGCTTCTTTTAATTGATTATTTAATTTGAATTGTAACTCTGATGAACATTTTCAATCTACATTTCAATGTGCATCAAACTCATAAACTTCGATTGAACATTGAAAAAGGGAAACGAAATAATTTTTTCTATTTCTTCTATTACACCATCGGGGCTCATAAATCGCTTCACTTAACTCTTTTTTGTTTTCTTTCATGAATTTGTCTGGGACTGATTGTATTGTTTCATATTTAATTGATATTTTGAAGGTTTCCCAAGCGAATGTCTCGTAAATTTTGTTTTATTCAAAACGCGTAACTCTTGCTCCATCCCCAAGCAATTCATTTGCTTTTCAATTACATGTTTATCATCATAACCGATATTTACTGCACTTTTCACAGTCGAATGAATTGAAATGCTTACCCTACTCGACCAAATTTTTATTTTGTCGGAAACCGACACCATCATGAGACGATTTTGTTTTGTTTTTGTTTGTTTCTAGTAATGTTGTAAGTAAAAGATGTTCTTTCTCAAGTTGCCTTCGTCGCTAGCAACACTCAATCGTAAAATGAATTGTAATATATTCTTTACTTAATTTCTGTATTTTTAACACACCAAGCGTTCACTTTTTTTCAACTTATATTCGACAAACCACACATTTAACTCATTAATGGGTTCAATGTTTCTTCCTCCGGTTCTCGAATGTTGTCGACAATACTCATGAAGAGCTTAGCACTTTTTTTTGATAATTTATTTTCATGTATTTATATTTTTTTTGAAGTTTTATTCGTTTGTATTATTCATCTGTCAATTATTTCCACTAAAAATGATTTTTTTTTATTATTTTCCAACTCAATTTTTTCTTCACGGAGCCAAGTAAAGTTGCCGCATTTATTCACATTCCTTTCGACTTTTGTGTTTGCATGTAATTTTCTTCTTTTTTTACTTTAAATCACTACAAAATCCAACTGTTGTTGATGCAACTTGCTGTGTAATTGTTTGATGAAAGGAACTTTTCCGCTTAATTGGATTTCATTTACTAATAAGCTTGATGGACTGTCGAGAGAAAAAGCAACAAAAAAAAAGTCCATCGATTCAAGAATAGCACAAAGTTTAATTTACACTGCGAAGTAGATAACACGTCTGCAAAAGGCGATAATTTCACAATCTATCAAACATTCAATGAATCACATTCCCTTGACTCTTAAATTTTAATAACAAGAAAAAGAGACAGAGATAGAGAGAGTGAGTGGGATAGATTACAGTTAACTTGCAGTTTTTCCTTTCCAACATAGATACATCAATTATTCATCTAACCCACTTAAGAATCTCTTTTAACTCGTTTCACATACGATCACAAAACCACAAATTAAAATCAAATTTCCATCAGCTTCGAGTAAAGTTTGCAGAAAATTTTATTTTATATTTTTCACCGAACTTTGAGTTGTTACTCAATTGAGTGCAAAATGAACAATGGGCTCTAAACAACACACAGATGTTGTGTTTACTTATTTTTTCCGTGTGACTTTATCACACGACTTGACTGTGTTGTTATCATCAAGAAATGACGTCATTTTAATGATTATCCATATTTATACTTTCAGTCAGTGTGAACATCTACATAAATACTAACAACGATTTCTCTCGCTCATCTCTCGCATGTTTGCATAACTCAAATGACAATAAAGTAAAAGAAAAAAGTAAATTTCTGTCACTCTCACCACTCGTTACCGTTTGTTGGGCCGTGTGACAGTTGAAAGACATGATCAGATAAATGATTCAGTCAAAAGAAATTTGCTTTGTAATTTCGTGTCCAAATGAGTGAAGAAGAAATTAAAATGGAAATGAAATTAACAACAAAATTAAATTGCTCCATTTGTGCAACTCTCATGTAACAATTTTCCTTTAATGGCGAATTTCAAGAGCTTTTTACGCTCTAATTTTGATGGCTGTGCCACTGATAAAAAGTGATTCATTTGACGCCTACTGTACCGTGTCTACAGATACTAATTCAATTGCAAGAAATTGGTGAAAAAAGTTATGACGAAGCTCCAATTGAAAGCCCATCAATCAATTATGAAAAAAATCGTATTGAAACTTTTTTCTTTCTTCCTTAATTGTTTTCATTCTCATTGTCATCAGGTGGATTTAAATAAAAACGAACCCAGAAGTTATTTCGAAGTCATTAAAAGGACAACAACATTTACAACGCCTCCTCTCGTCAGATAAACCAATTTAAATTGAAATGAATTATTTTTCAATTTCTTATTTACAATTACAACAAAAGATGAAAAAGAGAGTGGATTTGGTACACGCACGTCGAGTAAAGTTCATTGTTGAATGCTCAATGAACACCAAAAGCGCAACATTTTTTTTTTCTTTTTATATTTTATTGCGGCTTAACAACACATAAAAGGCAAATCACTTCTCGTTTTTGTGAAACAAATCGGGACTTCTTTTCTTTAAAGCAATTTTTGAATGAGAAAGAGTTTTTACTCGATGGTTTCGGCATTGACTGTTAATTCTCCATCGAGATTGAACGAAACATAAGAAGAGAAATAAAAACTTTGAAGGTGAAACAACAGCAACAATAAAAAGAATGAAGAAAAAAAAATGTAAACATTCAACAGTTATAATTAAATTATTTATGATTATGCTGCTGTTGGCTAAGCGGCTCGGACTCTTTTGCGAAAAGCAGAGCATTATTCCACTTGGCTCATTTACCATTTACGATTTTTGCAATGGAAAACAACGTGCGCCACTCCACGCTTAATGACTCTTTTAATTCTACTTTTGTACAGGTGCAAATTACCAACGGATTGAGGGAATGAAATGTTATTTAAAAAGCGAGAACAAGGAAGGAAAATGGAGCAGTGTCAAGTTGACAATTGAAGACACAGAAAAGCTTTGTGATAACGTTCAGTTCCTTCACTCGCATTTTCCACAATGAAACTTGACACAATTTTACCTCTTTTTGAGAAGATATTCAAGGATATGAGAGCATAAGTAAACATCTAATTAACTTTAACGATCATCGAAACGAAAGATTCAAACTGAGTAGATATTGAGGCTTCCAACTTACTCTAATTGATTCGCAAAGATAAATAATTTAAAGACTTCTCATTTGCACAAAAATTAAATCTCATTAAACATACATAATCATTCATCAGTTGAGAAATCTGGTTAATTAACTTTTCTTTTGGAAGTTTTACTTTTATTCGTCGATAGAATTTCTAGTGAAACACTAACATATGTGTGGCACCAATTTAAGCATGTCTTTCTCCATTGCATCATCATCATCATCTCTTCTCTTTCAATATATTTAATTTAGTGTCTTTAGCATCAATTTCCACTTCATGAAAGCAAGACTATTGAAAGAAATGTAAGGCACAAGAAGTTTTATGCTTTAGGCTCTTGTCGTAATTGGCTCATCGTGAGTTCCATTTCTAATCCATGAATGTAAAGAGCGAAAAATAAAAAGAAAAATGCTGAATTTTGTTTTCATAAATGGAAACTTTCTTTTACTCTTCCGATTAGTTTTCCAAAATAAAAAAGCCGAAAACATGACGAGTCACGATTTAAATAGTAAAAGTCATGGCGATGGTGGTTGATTAAGATCTCTCTAAACAAAAACTCATAAGCGTCAACTTAATGAATGTAAAACTTCAGGTAGCATAGGATGTGTGACAATTGATGATATTCATGCATCTACTACTTGACTTTCCACTATAATAATTATGATGATAATTTTTCATCTATTTCTTCCGTCTCTCGAGTCGAGAACTCAGACAAATGCCAACGACTAACTCTCAGTTTCACTCGACTTATGGGACTGGCATTCGCCATATGTCATCAGTTGCTTTTAATAATTTTCTTTGATTTCCGCTACAGACAACACGCAAGTTTACTTTTATCGCTTTTCATATCCCATTCAACGTTGTGATAATAATCAAATGTAATCATTAACACATTTTCATACTTTTATCTTCTTTCCAATGTCAACTTTACAAAGTTATTATTATTTTGTTCTATTCAATTGATAAGAAATCATTTTAAAACTATTCAAAGACATTTTGATATTTAATTACACTCGAGAACATAACGACGAGTTCATCGATTCTTGTTTTATTAATTTAACTCGTAAATTATAATTGAAAGTCACGAGAAGCAATAAAAACATTGCTACAGCTAATGAGATCAGCAATGAGTTTTTATTTATTTTACTTTCGGGGATCGTCCCTTAAATCAGTGTACATTGAAAGATGATATCACTTCCGGTGGTTTTCATTCTTCCAATGTTATATCCAATGCCATAAAAAGATTCAAAGAATCTTCACTGACGTCACAAGCAATCACTCATCTAAAATTGGATTAGTTATTAAATGAAAACGTAATTAATCTTCTAACAACACTCGAATAGAAAGAAATAAATAACGCCGAGTTTAAGCCGAGAAATATGTGCAGCATAAAACTAATAAATTTTATATTGACAAGCCGCTGGTTTATACACTCACACACACGCGTGTACACTTGGCACTTATGGCAAGCAAAGCGAAACTTTTTAAAATTCTCATTGTCATTGTCTTGGGCAAAGGCTAAAAATTGATTCTAATAAATAATTTATATTGGCCACAATTTTGATTCATAAGATTCCTATTTTTATAAGCCATAAATTTCAGGTCTCGGGTTATCAGGTTACGCACACAATCGTTTAATTAACTCTAATAAAAAATTTGCATAGATTTTGTTTTCTTTTTGTTTTTGTCTCACCTCATTCGGCTCTTTGTTGTTTGTTGAGCCATTCGAAGAAAGACGATTGGATAACGGATTAGGTGTGGGTGTTGCTGCATCGAATAATTGTGCTGGATCAGATCCACTGTCACGATACCGTTCAACTTCGCCAAGAAGCCGCTCTAAATATTCCACGTAGAGCGTTTCTTGTTCCAGTTCTTTCGTGAGTTCATGAATCTTTTCACGATGTCTTGCAAGACTCAATTTAACATCTTCGATCCAAGCAGCTGATAAATCTGAGTCTGGAAATTTTTCTTGCTGGAATGTTGGGTGGAGTTGTAAAGACTTCACTTCTTTTAAGAACTTGTTTTAAAACTTACCCAAAGTCTTTGAAAATCACTAAAAACACTCATTGTTGATCCGTCTGAGACGACTTTTTAATTTTTTGTTGGGTGGAAATATTTTTTTATGTTGATTTTTCTTCTTCTTTAAATTAAAACTAATGATTTTTTTTCATTTCGCACTTAATTAATGAAACTTTAATGAGATATGAAAGATATTTTCATCTTTTCTTTTGGAATTTTTAGCCACAAATAGTGGAATTGGAACACATTTAGGTATTTCTTTTCTCTGCTTATTTTTTTTCTTACTTCTCATTCATATTTTTTCATTGAACTCAAATATTCTCAATAATTTCACTTATAAAACACACAAATTTTGAGCACTTTCACCTACGCAATTGACTCATCGTGGAATTATTTATCAGTTTTCGCAAACACTCATAATTTAATTGGGTCTTCAACGCGATTATTCTTGTAAACTTTCCGATTCGATGTGTCGAGTTGAGTTTCTTGATTACTAATGACTGAAGAAACAACTAAGCAACGGTTTGAGCAATGGACAGGAGAGGGGAAATGTTGACTTTGAACTCAGACAATTGGTAATTTTGAACAACATTAGATTTGAATTTACAAAATCCGTTAAATTTTCTTCTGCTGAAAAAGTCAAAAATAATTTAAATAAAAAATCAAATTGTTTTGAAAGTTTTTATTTTCATCCTTATTTTATTTGAAAGGACATTTTATGGAATTATCTTCTCATTTAACCTTGTTTTTGGGCTAACTCACGGGCCTTTGCCTTTTCAATCTTGGCAATGCGAGCCATTGATTTAGGTCCCAACAAACCACCACCCCAATGACGACGAATTTCATCGTAACGTTCGTTGTAGTTGGTCTTGACGGTTTCAACGAGTTTAGCCAAATTGGCACGATCAGAATTGTCGACATTTTGCAAAGCAACAGCTGTGCATGTTTTGCGGTTCACCAAACGTCCCAAACGAGATTTTCCTTTGATGATACAGTATGGAACTCCCATCTTACGACACAATGCTGGGAGGAATAAAACCAACTGAGAAACAAAAGCATAAATTATAAATTTGTTTATTTATAAAATCTTATCATTTTGAGATTATTAATCAGGGGTCAAATCTCTGACACAGACCGAGTAAAACTGTAATAAACTCTGAAGTTAAAAGTAAAACTCTTCAGGTGAAGAAATTCTTTTCATCATGTGAACAAACTTTTGTTAGATTTTATATTAACTTACCTCAATAGGATCAACATCATGAGCGATGATGACAAGTTGAGCCTTCTTCTGTTCAACAAGCTTAGTAACAGTATTGCAGCCAGCTCTCAAAGTGTTAGGCTTCTTGGATGGAGCATCGTCCTTTCCAGCGACTCTGGCTTCAGCCTTTGCCTTCAAACGTGCACTCTTTTGCAATTTTGTTTCTGGCCGGTATTTTTCCATAAGTTTGAAGAGTTGAACTGCAGTTTGCTTGTCTAAAGCTTGAGAAAATTGGTTGATTGGTGGTGGGATCTTTAAACGTTTTTGCAAGATTGCCTTATGACGTTGAATACGAATGTATTTTGGCCATCTTACAAAGCGAGACAAATCACGCTTAGGTTGAACATTTTGACCTAAAATTTATCTTATTAATTAGAATTTTTGAATGATTTATGATCTTATAGTCTTACCAATTCCATAGTTCTTCGTGCGCTTTTCAAACAAAGGATTGCTGACCTTCTTAGGCGCTGCTTGCTTAGTACCGAGTGAAGGAGCAGCCGCGACTTTCTTGCCAACAACCTTCTTTTTGCTTACTGGCTGAAATATAGCAAAAAACATTGGTTATTAGCTTCATTTTAGAGCCAGTACATTGAGTCTTAAATTTTAATTAAGACTTTTTTTTAATGCAGCATAAATTTTAAGTTGAGGTTATAAGAAGAAATTTGTGATTTGATTTTCACATATCATTCCTTCTTCACCCATGTTTCTTCATAATCACTTGATAACAAACTTGTTTATTAAACATTTGAAGTTGAAACCAACCTTTTTTGCAACCATTTTCAATTTATTTTCGCGATTTTATTATTTCGAACGTGTGTTCGATGAAAATAACACGAGAGAAAAGAAAGAGAGAAACGAAATTCATTTTTGCCTCAATGTTTGCATCATTTCTGCCTTTATTTCAGTTAGTGTCCTCGCTAAAGTGTCTTTGCTAGTTTTTGTGAAAATTTCACAAGCAAACTTCTAGTGCGAATAAAAATGCATTTAAAAATGTAAAATCATTGCATTTAGTTTAAATTAGCATACCAAAATATCTAGTTAGGTTTCCGGAATGTGAACATCGTGGAGAACACCGCGTTGTATTATAAATAGTATGATTATTTTGAAAAAAATACCAAAGCAAAGCAAAAAAAATCTAAGTGAAAGAAAAGAAAACTTTAATTTATTTATTCTTCAATATTTATTGCACTGAGTTTGTAAAAATCTATTAGCATCTCTAATCTCATAATAAATATTTCCTGTTGAGTCCCGTGTTCGTATTTTGGAGTTTAAAGGAGTAACATTAATTTAAATTTCCACCCGTGGAAATCATTTTTAAACATGGAAGGTAAAGAAAAAGAAAAATCAAATGAGAACTTTCCCATTTTCTCCAATAATCACGCAACAGTATTTCTGTATGATAAGGGGGAAAAGAGTGAAAGTTCTAAAACGTACAGTTGTGCTATGTTCTAGCTAAAAAGAAAGTTAAAATATTTTCCTCATCATTTTCCAGACATAACATCAAAATTAATCGACAATACCAACAGAAAATGCTCATCAGCCGAGCATATTAAATCTAGGTAAGTGTGCCTTAACATCCAATCAATTAATTTCCCATCGAAGCGTAAATCAAACTTACCACAACTTACTTTCCATTTCGTAAATTGTGCTTTCAACGCCAACAAAAATGAAAAGCAAATAGTTGAGCGCCAAACTTGTAAGACAGCAGCGCATAAAGAAACATAAAACAATTTCTTATTGGATTTTTATTAAGAGTGGATAATCTAACAAGAAGAAATGTTAAAATTTCCACTGATCTTTAAAGCTTTTCTTGCTTATGCATGCCGAGTTAGTTGAATGATGAAGCTGAATAAATATGAATGAATTGAATGGGGGAACCACTTAAAAATTTATTTTTCTTCTCTTTTTTTCTTTGAAAAATGAAAGAAAAAAAAACATTACAAAGTAAATGAACCAGAAATTTCATATTTTCAATGATTTTCTTTTCTGTTCTCATTGATTCAGTTTTCGGTTTATTTACGGAAGTGTAATGGTGATTTAAATGAAAGTGATTCCTATACGATTATTGATTTTTCTAAGTTCTTCTAAAATTTCACTTTCATTTCTATCGCCATTGTCCAATATGAAGACGCATAAGTAATAAGAAAGATGCCGGGTATCGACGTCATTGTGAGACTTTTTCCTTTTTTTCTATTTGAAACATGAAGGGGAAGACAAGAAGAAAACGAAAATTTGCTATTGGCAAAAGGAATAAATGAAAATAAGATGTTTTATATTGTTATGCTTTACTGCTGATAAGATTGTTGTGGGTTGATGTTTTTCATATGCCAAAAAATAAGAATAGAAATCGATTTCAAAACACAAACATTCTTTATTCTATCCACCCTCACTTATTTATTTGAATTTCAACAAAAATTGATCAAACAAGTAAACAGTTAATGGTTAATGTAGAATTTGTACACTCATTCAACTGGTTATTGCTGATTTTTGATGGTTTTGACCTTGATGAGTGTCAGAGTTTCATAGTTAAATTACCCATTGTGCTAAAATCATCAGAAAAAATTTGCATAACTCACGTTTAACGTGATTTTTAGATTATACTACACGTTTAAGTGTCGTCGTTTACATGAAACTTACAAATTCCCTTGATTTCTAGATAACGTTGACATTTTAGTTCAAACTACTACATTATCTAGCTGTCAAATCTTATTTTTGCAATCTCATTTCTTGATGGTTGATCACTTATGCAGATACAATGAGAAATCCCTACCGAATGTTTATGAAACATTTTTCTTTTCGTCATATCCATTACTCAACAATGGGTTTTTCCTTCAAGAAACAAAAATCTTTCTTTTTGCTTCGCTTTTAAATGTCGTTGTGAATCTTTTGAATTTATTGTTGTTGAAGCAGTCTTTAGATCGAAAATGATTCGAGAATTTAAAGACAGCTGGTTAGTATAGACAGTAAAAAGAAATACCCGAAAGTAAAACCTCCTTTGTGTCGATATTCGTCTTCATATGAAATTAAAAAATAAAAAACTAACACATGTGAAGGAAGCTAAAGGACCTTCAGAAATTGGGACTTAAAACATAATTAAATGAGATTTTTCTCTCTAGCCTTGTCTATCGGTGAACGAAACACTTTTTTATGGCGTATCTTTGAGTTGTGAAATGAAATTATCAAGTGAAGCATAAATCAGGTCTTAAACAAGATGTAAAAAAAAGTTTCTCTATGTTGCCTTCAATAGATTTAAGGTGATTTTATTGGCGAAATTCAATTTAAGCTTCATCATGGTTACTGATGCAAAAAGAGCATGAAATGAAAGCTTCAATCAAACTCAATCCACATGTTGCTTCAAACTTTTCACATTCAAATCATTTTGAGACTCTTCTTATGAGCTCTTCGTACATAATTGAACAGCAACAACACCAGATGGTCGCGTGTATGAAAGAGAAGAAGGAAATAAATGTGCAGGCCAAAAAAATCTTCACAAATTGCTGCCATTAAATTTGCGTTCTGTTCTTTAAAAATTTATTATCATAAGAGAGGATGAAGTGTAATCATCATTCCTTCCGGATGAATCTTAAATTATGTTCACTGTTTATTATAACATTTAATAATTGGCACGTTCCTTAAAATGGTTTTTCCCTTGAATGTTGAAAGATGCGATAAAAGTCGTAAAATCTATTACTTGGTCAGTCTAAATAGCTTCGGAAATGTGCTAAAATTATTATCTTTTTCTAATATTTGAACTCGTCCCTTCGTAGAATTAAAAAAGAAAGACCAAATGTTGCGTTAGAGTGAAATGACTTCCACATGTGATAACAACATTTTAAGTCTCTTTGAAAAATGAGAACCAACATGAGTTGGTCGTTTGAAGTCCGAAAAACGAATGAAGACCAAAGACAAGACAAGAATTTCATTTTTTTTTCGGTTTCGGCTGAAAAGCTGCACATTCAAATGCACCTGGCGCTTTATATCGCTAAGTTTGGATGTTTTATCCCTTAACAGATCAACATTTAATATTTCTAACGAGTGCAGCTGTCCTTTGACTTACAACAAGCTGTTTGGAAATTAAAGTAATTTTTTTGATTTCTTTAAACTTGTTTACTGACACAAACTAAAATTCAAATTATTGTTTTGGTGATTCTGAACGCGTTTGTGGTGCAGGTTTGTTTATTAAATATCGCCAGGTGAAAACAAGCAAAAAAGAAATAAATAAATAATCCCCGAACGAAATGTTCATGGGCAATGGCCATTATTACGAATCCCCACTCAATTAAGCTATTTTCCTTTGCTCATACATTGAGTCATCAGATAGTGAATTTTGTTATGATTTAACTTGCTATGTAGCCAGTTATGACATTCTATTAATTGACCCTAATTTCGAGCAATTGAATGTTGTGAACAGGCGTGTTTAAGCCCTTAAAAAAGAGAGATACGATGACATTGGCCCATTGTCGTATTCAACGCTTCAACAATCAGTCATGTGAAGTTGATAATGCAAAGTTTCGAAAACAACAAAGTCGATTGTCTCTTTTCATGTGAATGAGTATTGTTTTCAGAGAATTTCTATTCTTTATTTGGATGTTGTTTCTTGTTTAAATAAAGTATTTAAAGACTTCTGATTATGTTGTTTGCTTTAATCCATAAAATAAAAGCCACATGAGAGATTGCCACTGACTTATCTTAAAATGATTTGCGTTTTCGATTTCTAATCGATTTATTGGTTTTCACCATATTTTTATTTTATTTCTTCTAAAAGGAAAGGAGAAGCCAAACTTAAATGTTATAACTACGTGTGTGGGTGAAAAAAAAAGTTTTAAAATTCATTTCAGCAAAAAATGGGAAAGAATTGGAAACTATTTGCTCGACAATTTGTTTCGATACGAGAAGAGAATTTCGTTTACAAATATTTTTCATCTGTAAGAGGTTTTCAATGGGTAGAGATTGAATGGATTTTGGGGCTCAAACAATAATGATGTAATGAATTTTGTATTGCCGTGTGTTCAACAAGTTATCGACTCATTTATTATTCCATGAAATTTATTTCGGTTTTTTAATGAGTGCAAATAACTTTCTCGCCACAAACCTTTAAAGAGGTGACTCAGCTGAACTCATAAATTTCCTGATAGACGTCACTGCAACTCATAAAATTTTATGCGACCGAAAATAACAGAAAATGCAGCATGAAGGAGAATATTGATTTATACAATTTGCGAATGCATTGTCGTCGTCATTCAGGTAGTTGGATTATAACCAGAACATAATAGACATTAAAACGAAAATGGCACAAAAAATCCAATAACAACAGAGCCATAAATATTTCTTGTTTTTATTTAGATCGTTGATTTGGCTAAACCCCACCATGGGATCTGTATCAGAGTTTTGTAATCATGATGAATTAATGCTTTTAGTGTAGTCTAAAAATCAAACAAACGACTTAAAGACGGAAATCTTAGATCTAAGTTTTTTTAGTTTTCAACCCATTGCGTAATGAGCTCGCGAACTCTTATTTTGGCATTTCTCACAGTGGGCGAGTCATCGTCTGATAGAGAATTCAAGTCGATCGAATGTCCATAAACTGAAAAAAGAAATCGGAGCTTAATTAATCAGAGACATAAATGGTTTTGATGTTGCTTTTGAGCGACTTACATGGGAGAGTCCGAGCCTCGACACTGTCGCCAATATCTTCAAGAACATTGACTGCTCGATGTGGATCCATCCCACCATTTGTAAAGAACGCGTTTGTTATTTGAGGTCGATTCCCACCGAAATTCAAATTGAATGTTTCATCATTCTCTTGTAACATTTCCTCTGTTATCCATTCACCAAAAACTCGACGACAAAGTTCAATAAAGTAATTTAATCTGATTCGACTTCCAAACGGTTGGTTATTTGAATCAGTTGTTGCAAACCATCCGTATTCAGTGCACGTTAAATATTGATATTGTCGTCGACCTGATATGACACCAAAATCATTCCAATCGCTTCCCGTTAAAAAATCGATTTGTGCTTGGAAATTCATTTGAAAGCATCCTTGCCATCGATGTTCAATAAGAAACCATTCTGAAAATGCGATGAGATCATTTGTGATGTTGATATTAGTGATATCTTGGCACATATCGTGAACGTATAAGTAATCGCCGTTAATGATTCCAAGGCTGACGTCTTCAACTATGCTAGCAAAGAAACGATCGACTTCGAGGTCATTACTAGCATCTAATGAGTTGCAAAGACCAAACATATCATCGAATAGATGAGATCTTCCACCATTTATTAAGTTTTCCATCGTTCGGAATGCACGCCAGATTCTGCGATAACAATCAAGGCTTCCATGTACTCTCAAATCATCACCAACAATCTCTAAATACTCAGCGAAATTAAGTCTCGCTTCTACAAAGCTCGACGACGACCAGAGACCGTCAGCATAGCTTGGATATTTCACACGAAACCATGACGCAATGTTTCCTCCATACAATTGACCAACGAGTATGACTTTAGCATTGCTTAATCTTCCGTCTTGTTGCTTGATGTGATCAATCAAACGCGCTGTGTCAGCGAGAATTTGATCTGTTGAAAGAAATCTTAAATTTTCTGTTGATGTGTCGTTTCTTGGTTGATTTTGTCCGAAAAACCTCGTTTCCGTACCGAAGACGATTCCATTTAAATCAACTGCAATGTCAAACATGTGACCATGTTCAAGCCAATATGTGCCAACTTGGTAATCGCCTCCAATATAAATAAAGATCGGTCCACCGTCCTGATAAAGTCCTTCATTGACAAAATATCTCTAAAATCAATTTAAATTTCATGAACATAAATAAATCTTGAATATTTATTGGAATCAGACCATCGTCCATGTTTCTTCATTGAATTCATTAAAATGATCCAAAGGCTGCGCCAAAAATCGTTCTTCTGAAGCTGCATTAACATTTTCCAACGTTGCCAGAATGAAACAACAGAAACAAATAAATACAGGAAGTTTTACGAGTGTCATTGTTATTTCAAGTGTTTGCTGCAATCAAAATAATCTTTACGACATGAAGAGCTAGTATTGTTGTTGTCAGTGATAAAATACGGCACTTAATACCTTCAGATGAGAATCCTCTGAATCTTTATTTGATTAGTCATACACTTCTGACTTCTCTAAAGATAACTTCAAAGTTAACTAAATAAAATTTCCTAATCGATGCCGAGTTTTGTTTATTAAAAGTTTTATAATTTATCTTATCTCAAGATAAAAGCAAAGTTTTTACTCTTTTTTATTATTTGAAGAAAAGAAAAAAAATTCATGTTTGTGAGCCTTTAAATTAACTGATTACAAAAGGCTTTTCCGAGAAATGAGAAAACTTGGAAAATATTACAAAAGATGAAGTGAAAACATGAGAAAGCAACGACCTTTTAAAGCAACTTCATAAAAGTTCTTGACATAAGCTTCAATTCAGCTTTCCAGACTTTTCTTTTATTGTTCTTGTTTTTTATTATTATCAGTCTGGTGAGTGCATCAAAAAAACTGTTTTTAGATGACATTCTACCATCGTTCATTATTGTCTTTTTCATTATACTTACGTAAGAGAATGTTCGACTAGAAATGTTTTTATTGAGTGAGAAAAAGAGCTATGAAGTTTGTACATTTTTCATCATACTGCATGAATATTCATTTGAATGAACATAAGGAACAAAAGCAAACATCCTTTGAGTGTCGCAAATATATGAAAATAGAACAATCATCAAGAGACATGATACGAAATTGTATATTTAAGTTTGTCAGACATTTTATGATGATTGCTAGAACTCCAATAGCAGATTAACAACATGAAGTTTAGAATTAATATTTTACAATTTGTAAATGTCCAATGAGTGAAAATTCTTAACAATTGCTCGACTTTCAAAGACTCCCATGCTTAAGCAGAAATTTCTAAAGAAAAAAATATAAAAATAATCCATAATCTTGCCTTATGGTTCGTTTCATATCGTTGAATAGTGAATACAAATCTCAGTCTCTTTTTATGTCATGAATAGTGAAAGAAACTGAATTGTAAAGAGCCAAGAGAAAAAAAACTTTCGTGACGTTTTTTTTGTTTTGGAAGACGATTGTGAATACGTGCGAAGGCGTTTATGTCGCTTCAATGTTGAGGCAGAATTTGGAAATTGAAAGTTTTTTTTTCTCTGCTTTTATTACTGAATAAATATCAAATATTGAAATCGAGAAAACTGTTTTCAGAGGCATCAAATTCCACGATTTCACACTTGAATTGAGAAATAAAGTTATAAATTGTGAAAATTTTATACACCATAAACCGAGAATTCCCGCTTTATAAAACCGTTCAATTCTACGAGAAAAATACTCCCAGAAGTGACATAAAACCATAAGCGAAAAAGAAAAACAGTAAAAGAGATGAGAATGACAATATTATTGCGCTCTGAAAAAGAAGAAGGCAAGAAGTTTCTTATCTCTACCTGAAACACTACGCCATGAATCATGTAAACACACACTTGCTGTGCTTATTGAAGTGTAGCAAGCAAGAAGAATATACATAAATGGAAAATTGTTTAAAAGTAGAAAAAGAAATGTGCATAGAGAAATCAACCAACACTAGAACGAATTTTTGGGGATATTTCATTTATTTTACTCACCCTTGTTGAGCAACTGCTGCTTGTTTCATTGTTAACCGTCTTAAAGAAGTGAAAAAAGTAGAAAACGAAGAAAAGCAAAACGAGAGAGAAACCACCGAAAAAAAACGTCTGTTGATCATGTTACCAACAATCTCCTTCTTCAGTCTTAAAGTGAACGTTGATTCGTCAAGATCGCTAACAAGTTTTCGCTTTTAATTAACGCGCGGCGACAGCTTTTCAACATTAAAAAAGATATTTTCTTTCATAAAACATTCGTGAAGTGCAAGAAAACAAATTTTTATTTTCGTGTGGGAAAATTTAGTGAATCTTGTGAATGAGATCAAATTTCTTTAAAGAAAACAGCATAATAATAAAATAAAATAAAAAAGTCGTAAAAATTGAATCGTTCTCAAGTGGAAATTGTAACACGAGTAGAAAGAGAAAAACGTTTGTTTATTTAATTTCCTCATCGCTCACAATTTGCATCATCATCGTCATCACTCGACAAATGTTACACGCAATTTCATCGAGAAATATTTTTTTGAATCGCTCGAAGAACGCTTTTAAGAGAGTTGATTAAGATTAGCGGAGCAGCTGGGCTATGTGTGTTGGATAATAAATTGGATTAAATTACCAACAACATCAACATTGTCACGCGGAGTTCCAAAGCAAAGTGATTTTTTGTGATAATTTTTCTTCCAACTCACGAGATTAATTTCTGATTGACCATATAATATAAAGGAATCCATAATTTTGTTAATTAATTTCCTTTCTGGTGATTTAGTTTGGAAAATTTATGCAAATAATAAATGTTTATAATTAACATAAAAAAAGAGCTTTTCCGGATTCAACATGAGATTATAGTGTTGAAGCATCGCCCATTTAATTATTGATTTATGAAAATTAACAAGGGGCAAACAAGCCACCCACACATGCTTATATGTATGCACACTTCAATTAAGCTAACCAAAACGTCTAGTGGAACCGGACCTGACTCTACTTATTTGTCAAGATTTTCGTTGGATTAACATTTAATTAAATAAATTTGCATACTCGATCATTCATTATTTTCACATCCACATTTATTTTCACCTGCAAACATAATCACACAAATTAACACAAAGAAAAAAATGATAATTTGCATATCGGGATTTGTTATCGGCGAGAGGTAGGCCAATGACTCTCATTTTAATTAAATTAAATCAAATCATGAACTTCGTGTTGTTCTTGTTCACGTTGTTGCCTTGATGTTCAGTTTCCGTGTATGTATGTTGTTTGTTCAATTATAAATAATTTCGAGAATGCTCCCAATTTAAAAGGTTGCTTCTGGTTTCCATCACAAAGCTTCAACGATTCACTTTCACTCGTGCCACGGCTGATCTGCCTGGTTAATCTGCTTCTTAAAATTTTAATTTTTTCTTTCTTTTTTTTCGGAGAAATTGTGTCTGCTTTCTTTGGAAATAATTTCATTTTAAGGTGGCGGGTGATTAAAAGTGAAACAATTCGTCTTTGTTTTATTTATTTCTTTTCATTTTTGTTCGTTTTCTTTTTACTAAGTATTTGGAATGAGCAGGCAAATGAGCGAGAGTGAATGGACATGATATAGTTTGACGAATAATGATAGTCTTCGCTTGTGATTTCGTGCTCTACTGAAATGAAACTTCTCGATTTCTCAATGATAAGCTTTCTTCCCACTCGTTACATGAACACACACAAATACTTTTGACCGTTCGTTCTGTGAAGTGCATGATAAAATGCACGGTCTAAAAATAACTGTGAATAAATACGATCTGCGAAAGAGAAGTCATCGCCGTTATTTGTATCAACATAAGTATGTGAAGAAATCAACTTTTCATTTTATGGCTTCCTAAGTAATTAAATTGCATTCATCGAACTACCGGCGAAAAAAAATGAATAAAATTAATAACTGGGTTAAAAGGTTTTCACTCTCAGTGTGATCGATTGGACTGAATTAACCTCCCCGCTTCTCAAAAACCATCATCATCATTAATGGCAAAGAGGCGGAAAACTGAGTTGCAAATCAAATTAAAATAGAAAATATTGATCATGCATATGTTTGTAAATATTTTCAACAGACAAAGAGGCTTTTAAATAAATGACTGAGGCGTTTCGGTAGTTTTCCATAGTGTGAATGACTCGATAACTTAACGAGTAGTAGTTACAAATCTCAATGAAAATATCCATGAAAAATATATAAAATCATGGCAAGTTGTTGTCACAACAAGGTTTGGCAGAAAAGAAGCCAAAAACTTCTTTTTTATTTTGGTATTGTTGATGATAAAAACAAACAGTTGAACGAAAGAGTCATGTTTAAGCAAACATTAAAAACTAAACAATAATAGATGTCGATGACAAAGAGAAACCACTAAAAAAGTTAAATAAAAATAATGAAATTTACTTAATTCCACTTCCCATTCATGCAATCACGAACGATCACACTTTTTTTAAATTAAGCATTTTGTGCAATGTTGTTTGGATATTGTTTAATGTTCACTGAAAGGTGCAAAATACTCGAAAAAGTGTTTCTTCCTTTCTTTGTCACTTTAAGCTGGTGAATGAGACGCAAACAGGTAGCAGATTAAATAAATTCGACACGAAGCATATTATTTTGGAATCAATTTTCCAATGTCACACTTTGAGTGAGAAACATTCAATAACAAGAAGAAAAAACAAAACGATTTCCGCAAATCATGAGAAGACGTTGAATAATCCTAAAGAAAAGTTTTACTTTTTATTACTAGATAAATGCTTCGCATGTCGTTATAATTTTAATGAAATTTTTGGAAGTTGGTGTTATAAAATTTTATGATCTTTTTATTGCCATGACAAAAACATAATTTTTTGTTGAAAGTAGAATGGGATTTCAATGGAAACTTACACAACACTTATCTAAGTATTCTATTTGAAGTCAACAAACGAAATCACGTCATTCAAATCTTTACAGACGTTGATAGTAATTACTACTGTAGTTGTCTGTAGAGCTCTCATTTTCCCTCAGTCTTCAACTTCTCTCTCAATCGATGACATTTGAATTTCAAGTCACAATCCATCACAATCGAACGTCACCTAAATTCAAAATTTATTTTTCTCACAGCGTGAGTTTATTGCAAAACGATTACGAATCTCGACGTTTCTATTAAATTACTTTTTTTGTGTAGCTAAAAGACTTCACCTGTTGACTTAAATGAACTTTCGATCGTTTTAACCTTTATCGGACGTCATTAAATGAGAGAGAAAAACAAAAAGTGAGAAACTAACAAAAACATCGTTGTAAATTACAACTTGTAATTACTTTAGAGTATCAGAATAAGGGAACAAGTGACTCATTCTGTTGTTCGTCATAATCTATTTGACTTACATCACTCACTCGTGTGTTGTGTATCTAATTGAGGGCTGTTTTGGTGACTGTAAATGATGAAAATAAACAAGCTTAAAGTGTATTGAGAAACTTTATCGAAGTTCACACAAAACAACATTGAAAAGAGAGAAAAAAGTATCAATTTACGATTTCTGGTTTTCAAATCGGTCGATGTCTGGTGTACAAAGCATTAAGAGTGTGAAGTTAAAGCTCTTTTTTCATTGAATTACGAACGCTCCAATAGTGCACTTTCGAGGCTTTTATTTAACAGATCAGTTACGAATTCTTATACGGTCTTTGCATTGTTTGATTAAATTCCTTTTGAACTTTCGATCTGTGCTGTTGCTGAATATTTTGTTAATTATTTTAAGCTTGAAGGTAAAGTTTTAAGTTTTTTTGTCTTTTGTTTTTGATGAAAAGTTTCGCAACAATCCAATGTAATGTTAAGTCAGATCTAATGGCTCGTTCCGTTTGTGCAATAATTGTGATCTAATGGATTTGTAATGATTGGCTTCAGTTAACGATAGGTGGCATAAAAACAAAAATCAATGCTTGCGGTTATGTTTGCCATTTTCTAAATGCTCCGCTCATTCAAAGACAAGACAACACAATCGTTCGGTAACGACTAGAAAGTCGAGTGAGAAACATCTGTTCTCAATTTAGTGATGTGCTTCATATGTCAAGAACAAAAAGAATAAGAAGAGTTTCAGTTTTCTTTCTTCTTGTGTGCGTTGCATGACGTTTTTTCGTTTCTTCGGAGACAATTTTCTTTCAAATTATAAAATTTTCCTTGTGGACGGGAATTTTTTTCTCTCATTCCATTGTACATCAGTTCGTAACGTGTGTGCTGTTATTTTCTAGAATTCTGTGATTAATGGATCTGTCCGTGAACGTTTTGCAATGTATATCGTACAAAGAATAGAATTTCGAAGATTCGCAGGCAACATTTGGATTTTATTTCGCCAATTTTTCTTGGCATTTTGGTAGGGTAGCCGAGAAGAAGTAAAACAAAAGTTGAAAGGGACAACATCGGAGGTGGTTTTTGAATGGGAAATGAACAAAATATTAATCTCTTAGGTTTCATGGGAAATGGTTTTTGTTTGGATGTGATGTTGGTTGAAGGTGTGAGAGATATTTCTATTTTGTACATAAGTAAAGATGAAAAATATAATATATAACGTCACAGTTGTGCCTTAAATACTCAGCACCATATAAGATCTAAAGCTCCTTTGTTTAATTTCACTTCCTTCCTTTCTTTTGTCACTTTAGTTTGCCACAAAAAGCCGACCGTCCACAGTGCACTGGAAACATCAACACTTCCACCGAAAAATACCAATTTGAGTCATCACATTCATCGTACACCACTGGACATCAACATGTAATTGACAATAACCTTGACGGTTATGACATTGAGGATGAAATTCTTTGCGATCATATTGATGATGATGAGAGTAATCACAGTTACGTGTATTTACAACAACAACAGCATTACACACCACCACCGGTAGAGTTCCAAGAACCAGCAACACCGCAACACCAAACGCTCATTAAGAAAGGCTCAATCATGCGGAACAATCCTGAGCTGATGAAGAGAAACCGACAAAATAATTCGTAAGTTAGATATTTAAATATTCAAAAATTGCGCAATTTAAAGTGAACTTAGACTTTTAATCATTGGCGGCAATTTAAAGTGAACTTTGATTGATCTTTTGTCCGAGAACGTTTCAGTGGCGGCGCTACGATCGAAATGTTTACACGGAGAAATTGTTTACACGGACACATTTTTGTGCATTTTGTATGGGAGGTCAAATCCGCGCGAACGTACAAGTCGGAAATTCCACTTATGGTACATCATAAACACGCGTTTGATATGTTTATGGGGATACGAAGGATGAGTAATTGAGGGGTGTAAAGCTTATTCCTCCCTCATTCGCGATATCCTAAAAGGGTTGACTGATATCAATTTTATCAAACGTCATTTTCGAACATTCCCCAGTTACTTGTGGTGTTAAAATTCCAATATATTTGTTATGTTTTATTTTATTACGTAGAAGTTACGAGCTATCGCAAGATCTTCTCGATAAACAAATTGAATTGTTAGAACGAAAATACGGTGGTGTGAGAGCAAGAAAAGCTGCAGTTTGTATTCAACGTGCATTTCGTCATTATAAAATGGTGAAAAAGTTTGCGTCCATAACCGCTATGGCGAAAGCAGATAAAAGAATTTCGAATCGCTGTAGCATGCAATCACTTATCAGTGTTGGCGAATATGAACCGGAGGGCGGAAATCAATCGGGACAAAAAGTTTGTGCCATGTAAGTATTTAAATTAATAGGAATGAAAGTGAAATTTATTTAAATTTATTCAAATTAGAATCTCAGCAACACCACCCGGACAGCGAACATCAATAACAGCAAATCGTGCCGTATCATTTCGCGAACGTCGTAATGTTCTCGATTCGAACTTTAATCAGGTCGCAACACCAGCGGTTAAACGTCAGCCACTTTCTCAAAACAACTTCCAACAGCTTCCGTCACAAGCGAATCCACAGCACTCGCACGCTTATGTTAATTTGTTGCATCAACAAGATCAGCAGTACAATAATTATCAGCAAAGTTATCACAGTCACAGCAATATTAATAACAACAACAATTTCGCTATTTCTGGTTCCAATAACAGTTCGCTGAACAGCTCATCGCTACATCATTTTGATGTTTCACATTTGAATTCATCGGCTGGTTCTGCTGGTGTCAACACATCGATGAATACATCGTGGAATTCTTATAATAATTCACCAAATGCGTCACTTTACGCCCAACAGCAGACTTACTACATTAGGCCACGTACATCAAGTGCGTCAAAGAAAGTTCCGCCCGAAGTTCCTAAACGAACGTCAAGCATTCAAAACCCTCCACCAAAGTATCAACAATCGCACATGCATCATCATATGAAGCATCATCATCATCACCACCATCATCATCATCATCAAGCGCAACAATTTGTGCAAACAAAAAGTGGGGGTGGAAATCAATACTTTAAGACAGAAAATGGAAACCATTCGTCACCATCAAGCATTGATTCTCTTTCCTTGTCTTCGAATTCTCCTGTTCCACCTGGACATTGGCAACAACAAGCTTCCATTGAACAACAGCAGATTCTTCATCAACAATATCTCATAGAGCAGAAGCAATTGCAACAACAGTTGATAATTCAACAACAAAATGAAATTCAATTGCAAGCTAAATTATCAGAGACGATAAGAAAGCGACAGTATCGCATTGGATTGAATTTGTTTAATAAGAAGCCGGAAAAGGGAATCGCTTATCTGATGCATAAAAATTTTCTTGAGAATTCGCCACATGCTGTCGCCAAATTTCTCATCTCACGGAAAGGTCTTTCACGTCAAATGATTGGCGAATATTTGGGGAATTTACAACAGGCATTCAACATGGCAGTGCTGGAATATTTTGCTGAAGAAATGGACTTTTCAGGACTTGCGATTGATGTCGCTTTGAAAAAGTTTCAAGGATACTTTCGAATGCCTGGCGAAGCTCAAAAGATTGAACGATTAATGGAAGTTTTCTCACATCGTTACGGTGTCTGCAATCCCGATGTCATTGAGAAACTTCGCACACCTGACACTGTAAGTGACCTGCTTTACTTCAAACATGAAAAATTTTCATTTTTAACAACTTTCACACATTTTTTTATAGATTTTTGTTTTGGCTTTTGCAATAATTATGTTGAACACTGATCTGCATACGCCAAACATTAAAGCAGATCGTCGAATGAAGCCTGATGACTTTATAAAGAATCTTCGTGGAATTGATGATTGCATGGACATTGACAAGAATCTTTTGAGTGGAATTTACGAGCGTATTAAGGAGACTGAGTTTAAGACAGCATCAGATCATGTGACACAAGTCATGAAGGTTCAGAAGACAATTGTTGGAAAAAAGTTGAACTTGGCACTTCCACATCGACGACTTGTCTGTTATTGTCGTTTATATGAAATTCCTGACATCAACAAGAAAGAACGACAAGGTTTACACCAGAGAGAAGTGTTTTTGTTCAATGATTTGCTTGTCGTGACGAAAATCTTTACAAAGAAGAAAGCATCGGTAACGTACACGTTTAGAAACAGCTTCCCATTGTGTGGTTTGGTTGTGACGTTGCTTGATGTGCCAAGTAAGTTTTAACATTTTACTTTTCTTCTTTTCCGAACATTTATTTCAATCTTTTTTCTTTAGATTATCCTTTCTGTATTCGTTTGTCTCAAAAAGTTGATGGTAAAGTTCTTGCCACATTCAATGCACGAAATGAGCACGATCGTTGTAAATTTGCTGATGATTTACGTGAATCAATTGCTGAAATGGATGAAATGGAAACAATTCGTATCGAAATGGAGCTTGAGAGACAATTGAAAGCGACACGATGTGTTGGTAATGGAATGAATAACAACGTTGAGAATCGTGACAGTGGAGTTGTTGGTGATATTGAATCGATTCAATTTACGTCATCGAAATCATTTGAAGCAAAATCTTCGTCAAATCATGACATTCAGAGTGGTCAACTTAAACGTGGTGGTGCTTTGAGCAATTCATTGTTGGATATTCACGATCAATGTAAGCAATAAAAAATTTCTTCCTTCATTTTCACTCATTAAAATTAATCTTTCAGTTGGTAATGATTGTCGACAACGTCGTGGAAGTGTCGGTTCACTTGACTCTGGAATGTCAATTTCCTTCCAATCATCAACAACAAATAATGGAGCAGTGGGTGGTAAGCAAAATAATGTTGAAAATGCTGCAACTGTTTATGTAACATCAGCACAAGTTGCAATGGCTGTTGCATCGACAAATATTCAACGACAACCAATGACGGGTCAAATGATGGTTCAAGTGCCACCACTTCTCCCAAACAGTGCATTATATCAATACAATAATGATCACATGATAAACATCCATGAAATTTATGACGAACATCATCGAATTCATCCAGAACAAACTGGTCGATCGACTGATGTCTAAAAAAAATATGAAAAATGATAAAGTTTGCATAATCAAAAAGTTAACTTTTGTTTCCTCCCTTTTTAAATGTTGGCTTTTCTGTGTGTCATTATCATCATCATAAATATTAAAGTTTGATTCCTTGAGTAAATTTACCATCCCAAAGATGATTTTGTTTTGTTTGTTTTTAATTTAAATGCTTCCTTCATGATAGTAAAACAAAATACGAGTTTAGTTTCATTTCTTTTGTGAATATTTATCAATAATCTGTTATTATAATTTGCATTTCTTCGAGAGTGTTTAGAATTTGTTGATTGATGATTCGAATTGCTTTCGTCACATGAAAATAGAAAAACCTTCATGGCAAGTCTAGAAAGAACTTTATGACAGATCTCAGAGTTTCATCTCAAACTTCATCTACGAATTTAGAAGAAGGTTTAGTGACGAAGATGGAATCACGATTTTAGATTTCCTGATTTCAATTTCACAACCAAAAACTAGAATTCGATCCATCAAGTCAACTAATATAAAGTGTGGGAAGAAGCTAATGAAAAACAATAAATATTTAAACATAAAAAAGTAACACGACATGAAAAAAGTTGGAAAATCTTATTTTTTTACCAAAATTAGAACGTGATTAATTGATAAAATTGATTGATTGATTCTGCATGACAAGCAGACAAAAAATTTCCCTCGAAAAAGAAAAAAGAAAAATATTTAAACACAAAAATTCACCATTTATTCTGGATACTAAAAATGAAATTGAATTTAAAGTATTATACACAAAAACTTGATTAAAACTTTAATTAAACATAAAAAAGTAAAAATTAATTAATCTAGTCTCATTATGATTGCATCTTATGTAAGTAACTATAAAGGGAGAAATATTTTCTTTCTAGAAAAGTGAAATAAAAAACTTGAAAAATTAAATGAAAAAAAAAACGATTTTAAACTTTTTTTTCTTCTTTCAGAAGCTCAAAGTTTTTTGATTTTCCTTGAATTTATGTTTAGAACATAAATTAGAAAATAACCCATCAGTTACACCACCGAATGAATCTCCAATTTCAGCCATGAATTAGGACTACATTAAGTGTATTTATTAATGTAAAATCTTTATGAATGAATCATGAAATTGTTATTTCAAACTCTTTTGCTTTTGAGCAACATTTTGGGCCTCTAATTTTTTATACTCCGACCTTAAATGAGGACAAAAACCTGATTATTGCAATTTCCTTGTTTGTTATATAGTCCAGACATCGACATACTGAATAAGAATTCATTTCATTGACGTAATTAGCTTTAAAACCGGATTTAATGAATATTCGCAAATGCTTTTAAGTTTCTTACTTTCCTCTTTTTAAAATATTTTTTGTCTGCAATTTTTGCTGATTTGATTAATTAATTTGCTTGACATTCGCTTAGTAAAACTCCAGAATGTCAATATTTATATGACTTTTATCGGTTTTTAATACTTAATTAGTTAGGAAATTATTTTGTAGAAACATTCACAAATAACGTGTTCAGAATTCATGCCCGGTTTTATTTAATATATCCCGATAGAATGTAAATGAAATTTGGAAACGTCTCTAATGTAGATTTGCAGGAATCAAGTTAGAACCCATTGAGTCAATTGCCAAAGATAATAACTTAAAAGTAAAACTCCAAAGATCTTTAAACTTCTGTCAGCATAATAAAGTTTTCTTAACTTCTGTTGAGCTTTTGGGATGTTTAATTCACTTTCTTTAAGAATATATTTTCGAAGATTCCGCCCACCATTTTCAAAATAATCAGGCCAATAAATTGTTGTGTGATCGAAGTAAAACTTTATCTTATCATCCTTATCCAATGAATTGAAAAGATTGTGAAGCTTATCAGTCTCGAAAAGAAAGTTCCTTGTTGTGAAATAATAGAAAATTTTGATTCCTTTGATAACTTTCATTTGAAGTGATGTGAAGCTTCAAGAAAAGTTTTAAATTTTAATTCAATCATTTGTTTATCTACCAAAAATATTTTAAACTTACATTGGTTTCTTTCCGGATAGCATTCGAAAAAGATCGAGAAACATTGCGGGGAATAATTGAAACAGAATCAGGCATGTCATGTTCCATATGTAGCTGGAAGTAAACGTGAGATTTGGATACCAAATAATCTTTTTATAAGGCGCGTATTCCATGAAAAGATGTTTGTTTTTCTCAAAGCTTTCCCTCCATAGGAAAGTATTCTCATTTGTGCTTGTGCAGTTGTAGAACAGAACATCATCGTTCTTAGTTTGTGATTTTTTCCACGCCGATGCAATTGTTGCACTTGCAAGGTAATCTGCTGGTGTGATTTTAGCGCCAGCATCATTGGTTGTATACATTGTTCTGATAAATCCCGTCATTCCACCACAAATTATCGAAACCCCAGAGTTCATTCCCTCAAGGTAACCAGGAAGTGGCTCTCTATTAATTTCGACCATCAAACATCATTTTAAACCTCTTATCAATTATTTCATGAATTACCTAAGTGCGAACCAAACAAGCGATGGACGAATAACAACAACTGGAAACTTTTCCCGGTATGTGTAGACAACATTTTCAGCAAAACCTTTGCTAAGTGTGTAAGTGTTTGGATGTTTTGTTAAGTCAAGTCTGAAGTCAAAGAAAAATTTCAAAATAATTTCATTGCCAAAAAAATGTTCAAGTCAGAATAAATTAATTTTTCTACGTAAGTTAATAAAACAAAATAAAAAAGACTTGCAATCTTTGTTCGATGAGTTCCAAGTATTCTGGTTCCAGTTCTTTTGTAAGCTTAATTATTTCAAAGACGTCAATTTTTGTCGGATAATATTCTTCTTTAAGTTCGGTATAACATGCTTGGCTGAAAGCCGTCGACATGTACGAAAAGACTTCCAAATGTTCACATTTCTCAGCCAACTGTAACATTCTCCAAGTACCAACGACGTTAATGTTAATCGCTTCTCGTATTGGATCGTCAAATCTCACATTTGCGGCGCAATGGAAAATGATGTGAAGTTCTTTGATCAAAATGTTCATGTCAGTTTCACTCATTGCTAAATCGTCAATGGTGATATCACCACTTATTAAATGAATTCTCTGTGAAAACAATGGATCTGTGCTTCGAAGTCCGTCAAAGATCTAAAGATGAGAAATTATCTCTTAATATTTTTTTCATTCTTTAAAGCTTTCAATCTCAACACTTGATGACACTTACACGATGCTTCACATAATCATTGAATCTTTGTTGAGGCGAAGCTAATGTCAAATCAATAATTTAATTAGATATAATTTCTCAAATAAAATTCACTCATTTTCCTTTTACCCTTTTTCTTATGACGAACAAGAATGAAAATTTTTCCAACATTGCACGATCTTAAAAGCTTTTCCACTAAAACTTTGCCACAAAAGCCTGTCGCTCCTGTAACCAAAATATTTTTTCCCTTATAAAATTCACTTATTTGACCCATTTCTAAGATATGTGTACACACACGAGAAGCTGAAAGTCGACTGAAAATGAACAAGCAATATCTTTAAGCGAAGCTACTTAAAAAAAGGGAGTTACGATTTCATATTTCTTTGATTTATTTAGTTTTTTTTTCTTCAACTGCCACTACAGACAAACTGGTTTAGGAAATGCCTTGTAATTGACTAGCTCCACATTAGGTATTGAAATAAATTTACTCTCAACAAACTAAAAAAGTGAGAAAGAAAAAAAGTTTCCTTAGAAACTGAGGGACAATTTCTTATCAAAGTTTGATTGTTTTGTATCGAAATGAGATATTCAATTAAAGAAATAATCTCAATTTTGGAAAAAAGGAATGTTTCGAGCCTCTCTTTGGTTATTCGTCATTAACTAAATAATCTAATGTCATTTCTAATTAGTTACGTACTCAACTTCAGTGGCTAAATAAACATTAAATAATATTTGGAATAAATTTGCTATAAGAATTTTGTAATATCAAAGATATAAATAGAAAAAATATGTACATAATGATAATTAAGCTCATAGCAATAAATAAAAATAACATTATTGATAACAAAATGTTTAATTCAAATGATTAAAACAATTGAATTAAACTCGCACTTTGACTGCGAATATTCATAAGAAGCATTTCCTCAAAACAGGGCTTGATGTTGCTACACATTTTTAATTGCTGAAAATATTCAAACTTAATTCATTTTTCACCTCCAACTCTTCGTGTTCTTTCCCTGAAAGTTCATCGACTCTTTCGAGTTTCAAATAAAACTCTAATCCCTGTCGCTAAATTAATATTTGATTTTATTTCGCCGGCTTAAAGCTAATTGACAGACTGGAACAATTTTATGTTTTAAAAATATTATAAAGTCATGGTATTTGATTGTGAGCTCGACTAAATATATTTACGAAATATTTTAAATGATTAACGAATGCAATTTAATGACAAAAATTACATTTTGGGTGACAACGTTGTCGGTCGCCTTTTTCTCTGCAATGACAGCCATCAATGATTCTTCCATCTGAGTTCATAAAAGGCTGTCTCGGCTTCTTTTTCACCCAGCAAATTCCAAGTTTACATGATGTGCATGTCACGAAATCACAGCCACTAACTTTCATCACACCAATTCCACATTTTGGACACCACATAGCATCACCAACTGCCACCAAATTTCTCATATAATCTTCTGTTGCATTATTTTCACGTTGTTGTCTCCCATTTGGATCAATCTCATCTTGATATTGTTGACAATTTTTACCCTGATGAATTGTTTTACAACTGATGCAGTTGACTCTCATGCAAACCGGACAAGGAAATCCACGAAGATGTCTGTCAACTTCAATAAATCCACGACAATCAGGAGTTTTGCAATGATAAACATTTTGAGACGTGCTTTCAAAAACCTTCAAAGACTTTTCAAGATGTTTTTCATAATCTTCTGGTGTGACTAAACTTCGAATTTCACAATCTTGAAGAAAAGCTTTGCATTCAATTTCACTGCACTTCACTTGATATTCATCAGAATTCACAATCGATCCAGTGATGCATTCTTTGCAGAATTTATGAAGACAATTTTTAAGCATCACTCCATATCCAATGTCAATGTTATCCATACAAATTCCACATTCAAATGCCTCATAATTCTCGAAATATTTCAAAGTTTCTTCATTCATAAGAAGTGGAACGATTGGATCTTTTGCAGCTGCTTCTTCTCTCTCAGTTTTGTTGTATTCATCTTGAAGATTTCTCATCACTTTTGCAGAGAAATCTTTGTACAATTCACCTAATAAAGCTTTGATTTCTTCATCCTCGAGTTTGCTTTCACAATTATTATTACTCTTGAATGGACACTTAACGTCGCCCATTAAATCGTGATTGTGTTCAATCTCGTAGATTAAGCACATTTTACAAAACTCATGCAAACATCCTTTAAGTAACACGCCTTGATCTTTGAACACGTAGTCTTCACACAATGAACAAACAAAATCTTCTTTATTTGGCAGCAATGATCTTCCATTCAATATGAGAAGTTCCTTGTATGATTTTGGGGTTGGAAGTGGATCCATAAATTTCTTAAAAACCTTCCAATCTTCTTCAGTAACTGGCGGTGGATTTGATTTCGTCGGCTGACTATCTTTAGAACAACCAGGTTGATCATTTAATGCCCAAAGTCCTGCAGCGCCTTCTTCATTAATTGGACCTTTGGTTTGTTTTGTGTCATCTTTTACGATTTTAATAAAATTATCAACAAATATTGGTTCGATGATCTTTGGACCACTTGTTGAAGCAATATAGAAGCAATTTTTAAGCGCTTCCTGGTTTTTATCTATTTTCACTTCATGTACCTTAATTTCTGTTCGCAATTTCTCTAAACGTGTTGCATAAATTTGTTGAGGATGCTCTTGAGACATCCTTTCCGATATCGCGTCAACCCTTCTAGGATTATAATCGAAATACATGACGAAAGGTTCATTTGGATTTTTTATTTTTTCTTCCATCTTAGTTACTTCAATATTACAACCATTTGGAGTTGCTACACACGATGGCAGTTTTGGTTTTCGTAGATTTCTACCAGGACCATTGAAAGTTATGAGCTTCTTCGTTTTCTTTGATGGATTATTAGCATTTTCTTTCGTTTCCGACGGCTCAGTTTTACCAGGTCTTTTATTGACATCAATCGTGGTTTTATTATCCATTATTTCGATTGTTAATCCATTTAAAACCAAAGTTTTTGATACTTTGGGAGGCGGGACTACAATCTTGTTAGTTTCTTCATGTGTTTCCACTTCCTTTATCACAACATTTTCATTATTACTGGCATCAAAACATATTTCAAAAGCTTTCTTTGGTTTCTATAAAAAGTAACAACAACAAAAAATGCAACAAGTGAATAAGTTTGAAATTGACGTGATACGTACCGGCACATTAGAATTGATATTGTTTGCAGAAGCAGCAGAAGATTCAGCCTTGTCTGATGTTTTACTGGTTGTTTCATTAGAAACTTCCAAGTCATCTTCTGTTAAATCAATCACCACTATTGTCTTTTCCTCCATTAGGTAAATCTTTTATTGTTCTGTTTGTGTAATCAACGAAATGAAGTTTTAATCAGTCGTTGTTGATTTGTTTTAATCTAAAACTACTAAAGTAACATCGATTGTGTTTTAAGTTTCTTTATTAATGAACTAAATATTGTAAATAAATCTCTCAAAGTTAATATTTAAAGATTGTTTGTGCGTGATTTGTTGTTGAAAAGTGACTGTTTTCTGCCGAATTCACCGCATGCTAATTCATTGCAAAATTTTCAAAAAATGAAACGACGTTGGCTTAATTGAAAATGATTCTTAAATTTGTACTATGTAGCATTGATTTACTGCAGATTGCAATCATTTCAAAGCACTTTACTTATCACGTGTAAACACTTCGGTGGTCAAGGACTCCCGTTCAGTCAACTGTGACAACTTTTACAGCAGATTTTTCTTTGCATTGCGGTCGCCCTTGACAACACGCATCATAAGTTTTCTTATATGTACTCGTTTCATTCTGTCTCCCTTATATTGTTGAAGCGCTGGTTTTATCACATTATGTCTCCGCGACAGTTGATCGTAAAAGTATCTCGTACCTTGGATTTCCCTCATACATTCAGTTGCAGCCCGTATTTTGGTGGCGACTTTTGGTAATCAAATATCCACGTCTCCCGCGGCGATCCCGACTAAATGGTGATCTATAATTTATACTCAACGGGAAAGAAAACCTACGCTTCACTTCTCTCTCTTTTTCTATTCGGTGCAACAAATTGTTAACTTCGTTATCTATACAATCATCATTTCCGTTAAATTTTCTTATGATTTTAAAAACTAATTAACTTACGGATAACTCACTAGGTGTCAGACAAGTGATGAGCTTAACAAAATTTCTAAAAACTCCAATAAACCAAATTTAAATCTAAACAAAATTAAAAGAATAATAAAAGAGTATTTGAAACCAGATATCTTAAAATTTTATCGTGGATTGTGGACATATAAGTTCTTACTCAAAGATGACTTCAAACATTTCATTTAATGACACATTTGACGTTGTAAAATTCCAAGAACAAATTCTTAGAAACAAATGTCGATTATGTTTGAAACCAGTAAATTCCGAAACTGATAAAATACAACTAACAGAAAAGTTTAAAGATATGATACATAACATCTTGCAAATTCGGGTAAATATTAATGAAAAAAGTGCTGAGTTAATTATTGATAAATTTATTTATTTTAGTTAATTTCATCATCAATAGCTTCGAATTTCATTTGTCAAATATGTCGCTCCCAAGTTAATGACTTTTATCTTTTTAAAAGAAAAATGAATGATCAACAAAATTTACTTAAGAACTTCTTAGTTGTCGATGATTTTATTGATTTCAAAACTGATCTTGATACTACTTTAAATGAGACTGAAACAAACGAAAACATGTTGACGGAAAACACGAAAAAATATGACACATTAGAACAAAGACTTAAAAAATCCTTAGCTGCGAATGATACGACAACAGATTTTGAAGGAACTGATTTCAACACTGATCTTAGCACTATTTTAAATGAAACTGAAACAAACGATAGTATGTTGACAGAAAACTCCAAAAAGTATGACAAAATATTAAAAAGATTTGAAGAATCCTTAGCTGCGAATGATTCAACAACAGATTTTGATGAAACTGAGTTCAACCCTGATCTCGGCACTACTTTAAATGAAACTGAAACTAACTGTAGCCTGTTGACAGAGAACTCCAAAATGTATAACAAATTATTAAAAAGATTTGAAGATTCCTTAGCTGCGAATGATTCAACAACAGATTTTGATGAAACTGATTTCAACACTGATCTTGGCACTACTTTAAATGAAACTGATACAAACGATAGTATGTTGACAGACATATCCAAAGAGAATGACAAATTAATGGAAAAAGAATTTCATCTAAACAAATCCTTAGCTTTGAATTCAATAACAGATTTTGATGAAACTGATTTGAACACTGATCTCAGTACCACTTTAATAGAAACTGAAATAAGCATGTCATCAACCATTTTAAAACCAAACAAAAATTCAATTTCTAACATTCAGCTTGAAGACAGTTTAATGGAAATAGAAATTGAAACAAATAAAAGCAAAAATATGGACGACGAAAAAGAAATCGGTGACGCTCAGAAAATACATTGCAAAACTTGTGGAAAACTTTTGAAACGCAAAAGTTTAAAGAGACATATTTTAAGGATTCATAAGATAGAGAAAAAACCTTCTGTTTGTAAAATTTGTGGAAAAGATTTAAAAAGCCAGTTCTCTTTGAAGATGCATATGAAAAAGGTTCACGACAAACCCTTCGAATGTGACATTTGTGGAAAGAAATTCTTCAATAAAGGTGCTATCAGTGAACACTTGATGTCACATGTCCCAGAGGAATTTCAAATCAAACAATATAAATGCCAATTATGTGGACTATCTTATCACAGAAGGGGATCACTCAACTATCATCTATCTACACATAAAGAAAAAAATAAAGAAAAAACGGTTCAATGTGTTGGCCCGGGATGTACAAAAATGTATTACAATAGATCTAATATGATGCACCATTATCGCAATCACTGTGAAAACAAAAAAACAATTCACAAAACAAATTCAATCAATTGGCAGTTGTCCAATATAAACTGCCCAGTTGGCAGTTGTGAATATTCAGGATCAAGAAAGCATCATGTTAAAGCACATTTTTTACGTATGCATTCAAATCTTTCTCGTGATGCATTGGAAAATTATATAAGCCAAATATAAGTCATAGAATGTTTAACATAGAATGATGCTTTTAAGAATAAACTTTGTTGAATAAGTAAAGACTTAATTAAAGACGATTTTTATTTCAATTTTACTTTTTTTTCTTCTGAAGAATGATAGAAATTTGTTTCTAATGAGAACTTTTATTTATGAAAGAGATTACAAAAATGAACAACGTAAATTAGAAGAAGCAGAAATTATCTAATCAGTTTTGGTATAAGAACCGTGTTCATCTTTTATCACATAAAATTGATCAATAACAGCGCCAGCTTTGTCAACTGAAATTTGTTTCAGTTCTAGATGAGTTGAATTATGTGCATAAAGTTGAGTGTATCCATAATCTTGTGAATGGAAAGCACTCCATTCTGGAATTTTTCTAATAAATGGTTCACGACCTTCTTTACAGCCAGCTGACCCAGTAATGATGTGAACAGGTGCGCGAGGATTTCTATAAGGTTCTTCATACGATCCATTGTATACTTTATAGTCGTAAATGGGCCAGAGACGTTCATAACTGTGCTCATGAGCCCAGAACTCGAGATCAACTCCATATTTATAAAACAATGGTTCAAGTGCAAAGAATTCACTGAAAGGTAAACCGCTTCTAACAAGAGTTTCATAATGAGTGCAATCGTCTCCATTTTCATTCGAGCAGTACATTGGACGATGAGCAAATGTTACGATCCATGGACGTTCCTTTCTATTTTCTGGCTTGTTCGCTTCAATCAAATCCTTTTCTAGCCATTCATATTGATTCACTAATGATTTAATTCCATAGTTCATGAAGTAATAAACTTCTGATGAGAATCCTATGAAATGAACTGGACCCATGTTGAAACTGTAGAACATGTTATCAGTTTGGCCTGGCATATTGAAGCGAGCGCGATAATTCGAGAAATTACTGCATCGAATAAATGTTTATCAATTAAAATTCTTTCTTTGTTCATTTATTTATATTTTTACTTACAAAGATTCTTCATGATTTCCAGCACACGTCATATATGGAACGTAAGCAGCAATCGATTGAATTTGATTCATAAACTCGTCACCAACACGAGCGTTATCTGAGTTCATGTCATACGCAAAATCACCAACATGAATTATTGCGTCGTAAAGTCCTCTTTGAGTTTCTTCTTGTAGTCTCGGAAGTGATTGAATGTTTTCATTTCCCATGTCACCGAATAAAGCAATACGAGGAATCCAATTGTTACCATCAGGAAAAGTTTTAAAAAAGAACTCAGCAGACCATCCTAAATTGCTTCCACAATGATAAATATACTTTATATCTGGTTCTAAATCAGATAAAGTGACTTTATGAATCCATTGTGAATGTTTTTCCTTTCCACCATCAACAAACAATTTGCGAGTTCCTGATGCAGTTAAGATAAATCCATTAATCCCATATTCCACCATTGACTTTCCTGGATTATCAATTGTGTTCCATGTTACAACAATGGAGTTGGGTTCATCTGATAAGAGAAAAGAATTTTGATATTCATTGAATTTTTATATTTATAAAATTTTATTTTACCTCCTATAGACAAATGAATTTGCTGTGGCTGATAATGTAATGTGTTAGCTGAAACACATCCCAGATAAACTAGTAGACAAAGAAATTTTATAAGATTTATTTTCTTTGGCATGTTTACTGTCTGAATAATTTTAATAAACTGAAAATAGGTATTCAATTTTTGATAAACAAAGTAGTGTGGTGAATATTTTGCTCTCAGAAAAAAAAAAGTGGTGAGTAGAGAGAGTGGTGAGTAGAAAATTGAGAGAAAATGTTCAGAAAGCTTTCAGCCCTTATTTCCAAGCTTATTTCAGCCAAAGCTAAAGGGTGAAAAAACTCAAAAATTGAAAAACAAATTTCATAATTTAAATGTTTATTGTATTAAAATAATAATTTCAAAATTATTCAGCAGCTAAAGTTATTCGACCATTATTTGCATTTAAAGTGACTTTTTGACCATGTTTAATTTTGTAAGTCGCCGAATCAGCGCCAATTATGCATGGCAATCCATATTCCCTTGCTACAACAGCTCCGTGGGAAATGATTCCACCAATTTCGGTGCAGACACCTCCTAAAATAGGAAAATAAGGAGACCAAGCAGTATCGGTACCGAAAGTTACTAAAATATCGCCTTTTTGGATTTGATTGGCGTCAGCGAAACTTTTACAGACGCACGCTTTACCCGTCACAATTCCACCACAAACGGGTATTCCGCTTACTAAAACGCTTCCTTCAGAAGCAGCTTCATTATTGTTATTAATATCGTTTGACAACGCTTGTGGTACACCGAAACTCATTTCAGGAAATTTCAAAGTATTTAACATGGGGAACAATTTTTGTCGTCTGAAAGCTTTTGCAATATGTTTGCCATCTCTACTTGCAATAATGTCTTTAATTTCAGTAAATGATAAATGAAAAATGAGGTCTCTTTCAGGTAGAAGTCCTTCATGCATCATGACTTCTGCAAGATAATAAATTCCTCTTCGCATCTCATTTGCATTCGCTACGCAAAAACTTTTTGTAATTTCCCGATTTCGAACTCCTTTTTGACATCTCGGAATAAGTTTTGCCATGAAAAATTTAGCAATTGATCCGAGTGGTGTTTTCAAGTTTTCAATTATTTCTTCTGTTGTTGGTGTTTTTGATATTTTTCCACTTGACGGAGCAGCTAAAGTACTCACATTGAGTTTGATCATATCGATGACTCCTTCCGGTTGTCTTTCCCAAGGTTTTGAAATCACATCCATCTCATTAATTCCACGATGACCGTGACGTTTTAAAAAGTTCAAGAATATTTTGTGAGCTGCTTCACAATTGTTTTCAAGCCATTCAACGGCATCTTTTCTATCAACTTTTAAGAATTCTTCTTGCTTATTCGATAGAATAATTGTACTTGCAATTTCTCTTATCATTTCAGGAATATTTGCTGATTCAACATTTCCCAATGAGCTGAGAATTAAACTTACATCATTCAAGTTATCAGAGCTCAATGTGTTCGCTCCCTTAGCGAGAATCTTGTAAATCACCATTTGGTAAAGCATTCCATTTTGTGATGTTTTCATATGTGTGTCGCCAATAGCTTTCAAATCACTCTGAACATTCTCAATCAAATCGCAAATATCTGACGATGTTTTTAACTTTTCTAGTCTTTCACGTGAGAATTTATTTTTTACGTTTTCAAGATATTCTCTTGCTTCACCTATACGTTCATCATTTTTGAATAATGATGCTAACATAACAGACAACATAGCTGAAGTACGCTCCAAAACGTATGATCTGTAATCTTTTCCATAGTCAATGATTTGGGGATACTTTTCATAAATGTCACATCCATAAACACTCAATGAAGACAATCTCTCAACAGCTCCAGGATCATCACTTGCATTTTCAAACATTAACTGCATAATTCAAAATAATTACAAATTTAATGGAATAAAACATCAATTTAATTATTTACCTTTGTAACATTCATTAGAAGATGATGATGACTAATGACAAATACATAACGATATAGTCCAAAGTAATTCTTCTTTCGAAAATTATCTACAGCTACGGCTTTATCCATACCTTCACCAAACAATGATTGATTAAGCACCGACATGGCTCCAGGAAGAACTTCACCAACATTTGATTTCGTAGTAACTTCATGTGAATTCATTACAGCAAAATCATTTTCATGAATGATTTCATAATCAGTGAAATTGTTTAATGCTGTTATTGGTCGTGATTGTAACAAATAAATCTTGCCTGTGTTTGTTACAGCGAATTCAATATCGCGCGGTGTTCCAAAGAATTTCTCCATAATCACACCGAGATGTGATAATTTCAAGACAATTTCTTCACTCAAACATAATGAATTCATTTGATCTTCATTAATTTGTGATTCTTTGATCGTCGACTTTTCTTCATCCATTTCCATGAAAAACTTCTTCGTTCCAGCTTTAGTTCCCAACAATTCAACTTCGTCTTTATGTGATCGTTTCACAAAGAAAGTATCAGGATCAGCTTTGCCAGAAACGACTGATTCACCAAGTCCATAGTTGGCTGTAATAACAACGACACTTGGATCACCATTCAAAGGATGTCGAGTGAAAAGAACTCCGGCAGCTTCAGCTGCAATCATTTTTTGAACGACAACTGCCATAGATGATACAACGGGTTGAATGTGTTGCCTAAAAAGGAACTCGAAATAATTTCGATCGATTTCATCAAATCATTAAATTTACTTTCGATATAAAACACTTTGATATGAATAAAGTGACGCCCAACATTTAAGAATTGCAAGATGAACATCGTCATATGTTTTAAGTCCAAGAAAAGTTTCATTTTGACCAGCTGCAGAAGTTTCTTCATTGTCTTCAGTTACACCCGATGATCTTACAGCAAATCTAACTGAACCGTCATAGTTGATTTGATTAAGTTTTTGTGTAATCAGTTCAATTAGAAACTTGTCCAATTTAGAAGATTTGAAAGCTTCTTGTACTCTGAATGAAAGAAAGAATTAACTAAAAATCAGTTGTTGACAATAATTTAATATTATTACTTGATACAAATTTCTTTCAAGTCACCAACAGTTCGTTCATATGCAACATTCTCAAGTTCAAGTAAAAGTTTACCAATTTGTGGTTCACGTTTCAAGTGACGCATGAAAGCAGACACACTAACAATGAAACCTTGAGGTACATGATAATCAGGAACATCAAAGTCATGTGGATCGGGAAATATCGCGTTAGTCAACGATCCCGAACGTTGTCTTCCTCTCTGTGGAACTCCTTCTTTCATTAACATTTCAACTCGAAAACTTTTCTTCAATGGCTTAGCTGCAACTTGATCGATCAATGCATTTACAATTTGTTGACTTCGATCACGTTTATCGAGAAAATCTTTTCCTTTTGTCTCTTGAATGACTCGCATTATAGCTAGAGATGATCCCTTACCACCAGAAACAAACACGCTTTGAGCTTCTTTGTCAGCAAATGACATCAAAAGTTTATCAGCACATGGAAGATCTTTCCGATTGAAAATTCTTTTAATCTTCGTAGGAATTTCTTGAATGTCAAATTCACGAATATTTTTAGGATACCAAAATATTGCAACTCCACGACCATTCAAAGTATTGAACTTAATTTCAATCGACACTATGAAAGCATTCCAACTTTCATTTTGTGTTCCACCATAAAGTGGAACTTTTGTGTTATTTTTAAAGTTCACCATGACAGTTAATTTAAGTTTCTTTGCTTGAATCATTACTATCGTTGCTTCTGGCAAATGATTTTGATATTCCCCCAATGCTGCTAAATTGAAATCTGTCCAATCAATTGGATAAATGTCACCATTTGGTAGAAGAACATTTCCAAATTGTGAACTATAAAAGAAAAAGAATTTCAAACAAAATTGTTAATTAAAATGAAGAAATTAAATGACTGTGTTAAGCCATATTTGTGACTGAAAGCTCCAACTTCAAAAGCACAACCGTTCTCAATGCTGCCTAAAAGAACGCCAGTTCGGTGTAAATGTTGATTTTTATGAGGTCCCCAACGTCTCTGACGAATTCCCGGTAAATTCAATTCGAAGTTTTCTATTTTTGGTAACATTCCTTCGACATACGGTGACTGATCTTGATCATAAACTTTCACTTCACCAGCACATGATCCATATTGATCATAACCACCTGAATCTTTCTTGGTCATCAATTGCATCCATTTACCATCACGCCATTTCTCAGTTGCAAGTGATGTTGCTATCAATTTTGGACTCCAATCGTTAGGCCAAAATACTGGATTTGATGCAGTTGTCCAACTAGGTATTTATTTATTTTAAATATTAATTAAAAATCTTCAATTTTGAATTCTTCTTACATGAAATTCATTCGAACAAAGTGAAGATTTTCTTCACTGTCTGTGATGTCTTGAGCGATTCCACGTCTTAGCATTCCAGAAAATGTGATTCTCCATTTCGAATAAGGTCTCAAACATTCTAATTTCAATCCACTGCCTTCAAAAATTCTCGGCGTTGCATTTACAATTTTTGTGTTTGGATGATCAGCAAATGTATAAACATGACCATTGCTTAACCTCATGATAAGCCAAAGTTCAGCAACACGATGACGACGACGAGTAAATTTAATCAACAGAGAATTCCCTTCCTGATCAGTCCCATAAATTTGTTGACTATCGCTGCTGTCCTCGTTTGGGAGAATTTTCGGCGCTTCTATTTCATATCGATTTGACTCATTTTCAACACGCAGCTGATTACGTTTTTGTTTTTGTTTGATTTTGTATTCAGCGTAGAGTTTTTTCAAGAAGAAATTCCATGCTTTTCATCGTGAGAGTTAATAAACACATAAAAGAACGATAAGATAATATTTTAATGAGATTTATTGAATTTGAAATTCTCATTTTTTCTCTTACCGGGACGTGTGTAGTGACCTTTAGTCTTATCTCGTCTTTCATAAACCATAAGACGATAAAACACAAAAACTGTCACGATAAATCCCAATATCTTCATAATTTCAAAATAATCCATTTTTAATGATAAATTTTCCTGATAGAACTTAAAATAAAAATATTTTTCTTTATCAATTAGGTATTTTATGTTCTTTTATAAACTGCGAACCGTTTACTGCGAAATATCATCAAAGACTGAAGATTTATTTTTATTCTCAGCAATTTATTTTTTTTTCAGCTCGCTTTCAAATTGAAACTGAGAATTGAGAGTTTTGCTATGAGTTTTGAACTCTATTTTTGATTAAATTTATCTGCAATAAATATTTACTAAATCTTGAGTTAGGAATAATGGACAAAATGATTTAACTTAGTAATCCCCTTCAAACTTTTTCCAAATGTTTTGAAATTTGCAAATCATCTTAAATATTTTATATTTGAAAAAATTCTTCAGATTATTATGAAAGGAAATAAAATCTCACGGAAATTTTTTACAAAATATTTACATCATAACATAAAAAAATTCTAACATTACTCGCATGAGCAACCTTGATTCATCTCTAAAAGTAGTTATTTGATTTAGATAAAGCGTAAAAAAATTTAACGATTAATAAAATGTCAGTAAAGCGTATCAAATGATCTTCTAGTCGTATCAGATTCCACTGACGCTATTTAAGCGAATGAAAATTCCAATTATTTTATTAGTAAATATCTAATTCAGAATGAAGTTTAATATTCTTGTAGTTGTCGTTGCATTATTAATTGTAAGTGAACTTTGAGTTACTGAATAAAATTAATAAATTTTGTTGTTTACATTAGGTGTCAACTGTCTTGGTACAAGGCCAGGAAATAAGTGTTACAGGTGTCGATTGCAATACATGTCGGACTGCATGTATGGCATGTAAAAAAGAATGTGGAGGTAAAGGAGGTGAAGGAGGTAAAGGAGGTGGTAAAAAACGTCGTGGTGATAAAAAAAAAGGAAGCGATGAAGATGGCGAATAATTCAGGACCGCGAATTCAAAGACCCCATGGAATCGATTGTATCAAATGAAATGCTTAACGTCTTAGCGCTGTGAATGTAAACATTTAAAAATATTATGAAAGAACTTTCAATAAAGCTTTTAAAATGTAAACATCAAACATGTAGAATATTTAATCTTGAAAACCTCGTTTGTTCGCTTTCTTCTCCCCATCATCAATGATTGATAACGATGCATGATTGTCACTGCATTTCCAAAAATATTAATTCAGTTTCAGATCAATCTCATTTGATGCACAATGTTTCTCAAGATTTCGATTTTACTTCTTTCAATTTATTTTGCAATGTTGAACGCAATTCACGATCATCTTCTAAAACTAAATTGCAAACGCGATCGAACTTTATGGTGTGAAAATATTGGCGTGATTGCAGATGAAATCAATTATGAAACAAAGTTTGCACTTAACGGATTAGAAAGTATTGAAAAAAGTGATGTAGAAGAATTAACTTTCTCTTGGTGCAGAAAAGGATTTGATCAAAGTTTAGAAGAATTCATCAACGTGACAAGTTTGCAGTTCTCGAAATCAGTTTTAGAGAATTTAAATTCTAAAATCTTTCAAAGTTTAAATCAACTTGAGAAACTTATGTTAAATCGAAACAGTATAAAAACAGTGTCACCGTTCCCAAGACTCATGAACTTAAAGAAATTATTTCTTGCATACAATGAAATCGAAATGATAACGAGAGAGACATTCGTGAACCTTCCAGCTGTTATTTTACTTACACTCGAACAAAACAAAATCTTTTACATTGATTTCGAAGCTTTCGTTGAGAATAAGCATCTTGAAGAATTGAACTTAAATCGGAATATGTTAAATTGGCTTCATCCTGAAATTTTCACTCATAACAGAATGTTGAAAGAAATTTCATTAAATTACAATCTTTTCGAAACGATTCCAGAAAATATTTTCAGTGAAATTGAAAATTTGAAAGTTTTACGACTTCATGGAAATCTTTTGACGACTCTTTCAAAAGATGTTTTCAGACAAAATAAGAAACTTCAATGGCTTGAACTTGGCGATAATCGACTAAAGTTTATCAACACAAACACTTTCTATAATCTAAGCAATCTTCAACTTATTGACTTATCAAGAAACGAGTGCATGGATGAAATTTTTCCAACAGAAATGGATTTCTTTCATCTACTTCAACTCATCAAGAGAAATTGTCATTACTTAGCTTCTGTTTACTTTGGTTTTCTATAATTTGTAAAGATTAATTGCTCAACCGATTGAGTGTGAATAAATATTAAAGTTGTGAAATATTTTAAAAATGAAATCAAAATTTCTTCGAATTGAAAATATTTTTATTTTTCAAATCTTTAATCAAAAATATATTCTTAACTCTTAAAATTCTTAATTCTAATTCATCTAAATATTTTTTTTTTCTCAAATTAAATCTTAAAATGAATTTATGGAAGAAATTGGAGATGAGATTGAAAATACTTTGAAAATATTTTCTATTGTGTTTGTCATCACATTGCTTGGATTTTCTTATCACTTCTAATCGATTCTTTTGCAAGAAAATTATTGTTCACTCGTCAAATATTGGCACATAAAATAAAAAGTGAAGTTGATTCAATCTTGTCCTGTTTTAAGTTATTCATGAGAAATTAAATTTAAATTTTTTTTCTTCAACTTCACTCGTTCAAAATTTAAATTTAAATCAAATTAAAATAAAAATTATAAAATCAAATATAATACAAACATTTCTATCGAGATTCAAAGGATTGGCAAGTTGTAGCTCTTATGAGATTGTCTTTAATTGATTACAAAGTTTGTACTGTTCACAGATGATCGCTTTGGTTGTTCATCAAAAAAATCAATCAAATCGAATTTCAATCAGTGACACCAAGATGAACGAGTTGCTCCATGCATCGTTGTAAATATGTTGGATCTGGATACATTGAGAATTGAGTTTTATGTTCAACATTCTTCCAAATCACCACATCCTCACGTCCAGTCGTTGCTGATCGTCCGATTGAAAATAAAAGTCCGCGATCGAAGCCAATTTTAAGGAAGCGCAAAATTTTTCTTCCTGTTGGATTTTCAGGAAGATAACACAAACGAGGAAATCCGACAGCAAAGAAAGCTCGCCCAGGATTTGGATGATGTTCATTTTGAACACCGGAAGCAATACTGAAATTAAAGGGAAATTAATTATTAAAAGGAATTTAAATTAAGAAGTAAAAAAATGTTTACTTGTAAATAATTTGAATTGTGTTGCAATCTTCATGGCCTGGCAATGATTTCGGTATTGTTATCCAACTCATTGTTCCTGGTGGTTGATTTCCACGCTTTTCGCCATAAATTATTCCACATGTTGGACATTCAATGTACAAACTCTGTGAAAACAAAAGAAATTTATAAATTTAACAAAAAGATTTTTAAAAGTTTTCAATTTAATTTACCTTTTGAAGATCATTTTTCTGACTCAATATCAATTCATTTAAGCAGTTTAAATGCATCAAATGCTGACATCTGCTTAATGACACTGTTGGATTCTTTGCACTGTTTTCTCGATGAAGTTCATCTAAACATATTGGGCATGGTTTTGATTGCGGTGGATCAACGACACTCACAAATCGTGAAATTTGTTCGCTGTTTGAATCAATGCCAACAATGCTGCCTTTGATGATCATATTCATGCTCATGCTACTCGATAAACTGCTATGGCTGGAGAGGAAGACTTCGTCATTCTCACTACTCAAAGAACAGTTCAGAAGATCAGACACTGAGCCATAACTTGGCTTTCCTCTCACACTTCCACCTCGACTGCCTTTACTTCCATTACTTAGATATGTGGAGATTGTGTCAACACTTGGTCGTCTTGAATTTATACTGCTTGTTTCCAGATCAAGCATTGACGTGCTGCCGTGTGAATTTTTACAAAGACTTTTCTTAGATTTATGGCTGCCGTTATGACTCAAAATGAAACCTTTTTTATACGTTGATGTTGATGATGATGATGGTTCTCCTTTTTCATAATGATTATGATGATGATGATGAGAAAAAATATTCAAATTATTAAGAATTTGTCTTGCGAGATTGGTTGGAGATGTTGTTATAGTGTCGTGAACATTTTTTGATGGTTTCGAAGACTTGGAAGACTTTTTACCGCTCGGCGGTATTCCAATGACTGAGCTGTATTGATTTTGTGTAATTGGAGCTGGAGCTGATTTTGTACTTCCCGTCTGAGATGTTGTGTCATTAAAATTATTTAATTTCGGTGCTGATGTAGACAACATTTGCTGGTGTTGCAAATAATTACTTTTTATGCTTCTTCGATTTGAATTTATTGACATTCGATTTGTGTTATTAATGGCACATTTCGGTGGAAGTTGATTAAATTTATTAGCATTTGATACCAAAGTTGACTGTTGATTGATTGCACTCTGGAGTTTGGTCAATGGATAAACGGCTTGTGTTACTCTTCGGATTTGTTTTATGGGTCCACTAGGCTTACGTGTTTGGATCATGTTACAGAAGTCGATGATATACGGCATTTGAATGTAAGATGCAGAAATATCGATTTGCTGATTTCCATTTGACCATGCATCTTCGATGAGGCATTGAATTTCAATATCGTACTGGTGCCATTCGTTGTTTAGGTTTCCAGCATGCTCCCATTTGATTCCTTTACCTGGAGGACTTGACGGGCTGTAAAACTGCCGTCTCACATTCAAAAAAGGGAATTCAGTGTTATTTTTCTCCGAACATTGTTTCATTGTTCTTAAATTCACATAAAAATCACTCAGACTTGCATCCGAGTCGCCAAGAAAGACTTGCGTTAATTTCTTAGCAAATGCTCGCTCGAGATTCTGCGACACCGAAGGAGAGTACGGAATATATTTCTTAAGTGAAGTTGACTCAACTTCCCAAACCACAACGACACAGTTTGAACTCATTTTTGTTGATGGGATTCGTGATCTAAGAATTAAGCGCAATTTTTTTTCCTGATCTTTCTTCTAATTTTTTCTATTTCATATTGTAAAGTTCATTGACATAAATTGGATTATTCAAAATCAAATTTTGCACTCAAATTTCACAACTAACAAGCTACATTTTCATCGTTGGTATCGAAAATACATGTAAAAATTTAGCTGCACTATTATTAAAGCGTAAAACTAAAAGCAAAAGTGAATAAACTTAAATTATAAACAAGTGGTTTTCACTTTAAAAATAAATCTCGCGAGACTGTGATTGACACATCCGAGGTTATGATTATGAATGAAACTTTACATTTCAAAATATATGCTAAATGTTTAGTGATATTTCTTCAAAACATTATATTTGTATTCTACACTAATTAAAAGCTATGATTTATTTCATCAATTGTTATAAAAATATTAATTTAAGACAAAAATAATTGTTTTCTTATTTTTGGTAGTTTTTTTGTAGACTTGCAAAATTTTTAACGAAAAACAGATTTTTAACGAAAGTATGCTGGAAACTGCATCTTCGTTCTACATGTATACAGACATAACATAAAATAACCGCCAAATGTTGCGATTTATATGCTGATTAATAAAAAAGAAATTCTTAATATAAAATGTTATTGAATACATTTAAATGTTAATAAAATTGAAACTAGATACTTATTTTTCTATTTATTTTCTTTAAAAAAAGAATAACTTGGCTACATAAATATTTTCTAAGAATTTGATGTTCAAACAAAGAAGAGAAGAAAAAGTAAGAATGCACTTCAAGACACTATATTCAAATAAATATTTACGAAAATGTTGAGCAAAGAAGGAACGACGAAATGGACTGGAAGAAATTCTCGAAGCAGAAAATGAAATTAAAACAAGTTGAAGCGATGACATCATATGTAGGAATAAGAATATATGTAGAATTGTGCATTCGCATATTTTTACAAAGAAGAAAACTGATATAGATTGAGCATTGTCTCGAAGAATGAAGAATCAAGGGATAAATGTTTAAAGATATCTCGTTAATTTGAAACTGAGTGCACGTCTGACATATGTAAAGCCGCGTAAAACTTAAAAGGCGATTTATGTATAAAAAAAGCAACAACAAACTTGAAACTTTGAAAGAGTCATGCGAATTTTTGTTGAAGCTTGAGGGAAAAAAGTTATTTTCATTTCATCGATATAGCTAACTAGACGTGCCTTTAAATTGATCTCGATTTTCAACTGTAAATCGAGATTAATTAAACAGTTGCTTTTATTTCGGGTTGTTTAAACTTTTTGTGCCTTTAAAGTGCGATGAAGCGAAAATAATTTGATGATCTAGTGTCAACGGAACCATCAACTTTGTAAAAGTCAATAGAATTTTAAAGTGTTGAAAACTAAAACATTTTGACTGTCAATAGACCCAAGTTTAAATATCTAAGTGAATAACATTTCATTGTTTATTCGCAAAATACAAAGTACAACAAAAGAATCGAAAAATACCATCACTAGTGAACACAACTAATCAACAACATTTGAAAGTTTTCAAACAACATCCCGAGTGAGACTTATAAGGCAGAACTTTAAAAGGTAATTGATTAACAAAGTTTCGATGATTAAATAAAAAATCAATCGTTCTTTATATTAAAAAAGCATCAAAGTTTATATCTCTTAATGAAAATTACCATTAATAACATAAATTTTCGCAAGCGCGTTGTAGGCTGTAGCCATAACTTGACTTAAATTGCAGTAGAATTTACGACTTGAAGTTTGAATAGAGATTAAAATTGGACTGTCGTTTGACTTTTTTCCACTAGGAAAACGGACATATAACGCCTACAATGAATTTCGGAAATCATGTTTATAGACATGTGCATAAATTCCATAAAAGAATGAATAAAACTTTCTTGCAAGTGATCATTTACCTTACGCACGAGTTTGAGTGTTTAAATGTTGATTTTGTTTCACTTCATTTGCATATAAAATTGCTAGTTTCATTCAAAGTTTATGTCTGATCTAACTACTGATTAACTTAAATGTTTGGGTTTCGAACTATTTAATAATGACAACATCACTAAATACGGGAGTTTCTTTTTCTCCAAATCAATTCCTAATCTTAAATTATGTGTTATAAATTAGTTATTTTATCTTAATGTCTCACTTCTCAAAGCGATAAAGGAAAATACTTCAACAGATGGTCCATGTTGGGAGTTCATTGTGAAGAGAAATTAAATTATCGCTTCGCGTACCTGACATGCTTTTAAATTTAAGACTTTTCGTTGAATCTTAAGCTGTGGTCTCGTACGATCATAAAGCAGAAGGCTTCCTTTTATAGTTTTCATTGTGTGAATCAGAAAAAAAGTATTTGGAAAGTGACCAACGATCACGTTTATTGCGAGATGAGAGATTTGTCAACAATGTAATGTTGAGTAAGAATTGTGATTCATGTAATTACATGTCAAAAGAATTTCATCTTAGATTTAACAGCCTTGTGAATTAAATTGATTAAATGTTATGAATGCAGCAGACAGATATTTAAAATTCTTATACGAAAAGAGACTGTTGGCCGTCTGATTACCATTTTGGACAGACACAATTTAATTAAGCTCGTGTTCTCATGGAAAAATCGATTGGATCAACAATCGATTAAACCTAAATCGAATGTTAATCTAAATTTCTCATCTCAACCTTCTGTTAAGTAGAAGCATATTAGTAGTTAAACACCGACAGTTCCATTTAGACAAACGATCTCAATTAATACAACCAATCGGAAAATTTATTAGACATCGAATCGATTAATGTTGATTTATCAATTCACAAAAAAATTTTGTATTTATTTAGCAGTTGTTGAAAGGAAACTCGCAAGCTGAATTTCCATTTAAGATCATGTCCAGTCTGAACAAGATAGTTAAGCTCCAAGCGACATGATAATGATGTGAAAAGACATTTGATTAGTTAAAGTCAGAAAAATCTTGAAATAAAATGTCTGAGAAATTCTGTTTCTTTTCTGCTTTTCTTCTTCGTTCTTTTTTTATCATCTAAGGTAAAGACCAGATCAAGTATGCTGGGTACAATCTGACAGTCAAGGACAATATCGCGAAAAGGAAATTGAAGTCTTTCTTTTTAACTGAGTATGGATATAAAAGCATGAAAGGGCATTGGCAAATATGATGAAAGAGTGAGATGGAGTCAGCATGCTTTGCTGTTTGTCCTCGTCATCATACGACAAAGCATCATATCAATATTGCCATCGCTCACAAAACACTCAAAAATTAAAAATTACTGACACATAACAGTCATTTGAATTAACTTTATGATCGATAAGGTCATGAAAGAATTTAATGTCAGTGTTGTGATCGAAAGATTATTAGATGAAAGCGAAATTTTGACATAAACGGAGCTGTCTATAGAGGGAAGTTTAAATTTACTTTTGTCGCTCTCTGTTAAAGTGCAGTTGCGAATCCATTAAAGAGTAAATTATTTATATAAATAATCTGAACCTGCGATATCTTTTCACCATCATATAACCTCGTCCAAAACAAAGCAAAAGAATAAGATGAAGCTGGTGCGGTGCGTCTTAAGCCGCACTTTTTAAAGAAAACAACTTTTAATATTTAATCACTCGCGATGACCGAATATGGCATGAATTATTTCTCCTTTTGTAAAAAAGAAAAAAAAATCATTGCTGTTTTATTGAAATTCGAGTTTTTTCTTCTTCTTCTTTTTTTTCGTCTCACTTAACGACAACATTCAGTGTACGCACCATAAACAGCATTTTGTTGCATTATTTCAAAGATTGATCGCTAGACAAACAATCCAACATTTATTGATGAATATCTTCTCTTATGTATGTCATTACGCTGATCGTCAGCTATCCCAAGAGGCATGTCCAAGTGTTCTTGAACATAAAAGATTTACGAGAATGTTAATTGATGGTGGCAACAAAACAAAAATATTTCATGAGGTCACTAAATGGAAGGAAAGAAAACATTGAGTATGCAAAATTGCTGTATCACTGATAGTATTGCAAAATTTCTCGTGATTCAATTGAACAATTGAGTAAAATAAGCAAGGCAACAATAAATTTGACCATAAATTTTCGCGAGTGCCCGAACGAACACTCCATAAATATTTGTCAAAAGGAGGCGAGTAAATTTGTTAAACTGTTATGATGATTATCATTGTTCATACTCAAAGTGCAATAAATATTTCATAATGATTGTGTTGGAGACAATGTTGAACGATTGATTTATTGAAAACAAAAACAAGAATTAATTGAATCACATAAACGACAAGAAAATGTTGTTGATGCAAAACTGATCGTTAAAACGTCAATATCGTTTCTCTGTTTAGAAGGCAATAAACACGAATTTGAAACAAATATGGTAACAGCAAAAATCTGAGAATCTAATTAAAGGCTGTGATGAATTAGCATGTACACATCGGCTAGTCACGTTCTTATTGAAATTAGCTTTAATTGTTACATAATTTAATTCAAATCAGCTAATGGACTAATAATAGAAGCATGTCAGTTTGATGAATCAGTTAGATGCGTGGGTGTTATTAAATCAGTAATATTCTAATTCAATAAAAAGGGATCGTTAACTGTGAATAATTTAAAATTGTTGATTTAATTACTTACATATTTCTTTTGATCTTGATAACGCAATATAAAGTAGGTAATTAATAAATATTTGAAGTTTCTGGAATTCTTGACACACTCGCACAACTTTTGCCTCATTAGATATTCTAGAGAGAAACTGAAAAGGAAACATTCTTAAACTTCATGACCATCGCGAGTTGTTCGTCGTAATTGTAAACATGATGAAAATAAAAACGATGACGTGACTCTACGAACCACCTAAAAAAGCCACAAAACGAAAACTTTGTCCAATATTTTTGTGTGTCATTTGCGAAAAAAAAGTGAAACTGATTTATAAGAAGCAACAATCAAGATGTTGAGTCAGCAATAAAATCAAATAAGGTTCAAGGAAGATTATTTGAAGGAAAATAAATCGCATTTTTATTGATTTACATCATAAGTGTTGAAGGTGATGTTGCATCTAGACGAACTTTGCTTTGTCTATCGATCAGATTTATTTTCGCTTTTCCAAATAAGGAACTCACTGCTAGTTTGCTATTTTTAAATATCTAATCATCTTTTTTCTCATGCGTTGACACTTCAGTTAGAAACAACATTTTCGTTCTCCAATATACATTCGAATTGTGCAGTTTCGTGTTCATATGCTGAGACTGAGACCTATTTATCCGAAATTGGATGTCCATACCATTTATGGAAGTTGTTTGCCTATGTTTAAATTATTTATCTCTCATTCTTTTTTTTATTTCAATGATCATTTCTTGAGAAAAAAGTTTTCTACTTAACTCTACTGTCTACTTGACTTTACTATCAAAATCACAAGAGCAACATTTTAGATTTAAAAATTCATGTGAATGTTAATTTTGTAAAGTCGATAAAAGGTAAATCAATACTCAAAAGAATATCGGCTTTCGAGATCAGCACAATTTGTCGGCAACTTTTTTTATTGTCTATTTTGTATTTTTTTTAAGGTTTTCGAGACCCGCCCCACTTGTTTATGCAATTTAATCACTCTATAATTATTCAATGTTTTCATTGTCTAAATTAATGCGTTTCAAGGTGATGGTGAGAGAATCTCATTCAACATTTAAACCGGGCTTAAAAACTTGTATGTGCTGCTTTGTTATTTCTGCGAACCTATTCACGATTGACTGCAAACATTAATCCATTGAATGAAAAAAAAAGTTTATAGAACGATCGCGACTAAAGTCACCGATTTAATCTCTTTCATGATGTCATTGTGTGAAATACACGGTGGATGTTTGACGAAGTAACAACAATAATAAATAATACATACAAAGCAATAAATAATAAAAAACCAAAGCAAATGTTAATAGCTGCATGAAGAACATAAAACTGCCTTAACAATCAGAAGCGCACTACGCAAACTTTGTAATTAACTTCGCCATTCAAAACTCCATAAAGTACAATGTTTGTAAATGCATTTGATTTATTCATTGATTGACCAGACATGATAGGAAATCATTTTCAATAACTTTAAGCAATGTAAATTCATCGAGACACTTCATGAATTGACATGATAATTGAATAACTCAATCAGTTCAATTTTGTTGGACTTAATTTGTTTAAATTGTCATTCCTTTTAAGACATGTTTTAATTGCTGTTTGTTTTGAATTCCTTTCAGTTCTTTTTCCGAAGATTTCGAATACAATGTCGAGTGAGTTCGGGGACATCAGGGATGAAGACATTCTCCGTCAAATGGTAAGTTCATGTAACTCATTTTTAAATGATCTTCGTGTAAATAACGGAATCGAAAAAAAATTATTGTAATTTCTTTTGAAAGCATCACAAATAACTTCAAGTATATGTAATTAAATTGTAAGGAAGACAATCATAAAATCGTACTTGAGTAGGTGAATACTGTTGTTGACTATCATTTTTGGACGTCAATTCCATCCAGTAAAAAAAATTAATATAAAATCCGACTCGCATTAATAAATGAATGAAAATAAAAAAAACAACTTCGTTTTCAACGATGAATTCTCACCACCCACAATAAACTTATCTGACAGAAACAATAAAGTTTATTTGCGAAAAAGAAAATTAATTTTTTGCGTGCAGAATTTTCTAGCAGAAACAGAAATTGAGTCGAGAAGCAATATAAAATGATTCAACAAGACATTAGGAGTCGCGTCTTCATGTCAAACAAGAGAAACTTTATGGTTTGTTCTTCACACTGAACCCATACATCTTTTAAGTGCTCATTCATTCACAACGGGTCATTGGCAATAAATCTAATTTGCTCTTAGCGACTCCCAAGTCGGCTGGAAGCTGAGATTGAGTTAATGGACCGGACCATTTCGGGCGAGCTTTTCGCAAACTCATTATCTATTATTCTAGAGTATCATAAACATGTGAATCAATATCATTTCGAGTGCGTGCTCAATCTACTTCCTTCCCCATCAATCATCGAGAATGTATCACTTTGAAGTTTCCTTCGACAAATGAATGATTTCATCACAACGAAGCATATTTAAATTTATTCATTTCAAATCAAAAATCAGCATTCAACACTAAAAGTTTTCAAGTTCACCGATGAAATGCGAGTAGGTTGGTGACAGTCAATTGATGGCGTGATCTTCGTATGTGCGATGCTCAATTTTAGAATCATTCTCCATCTCGTGTCATCATCGTTTTAGGAGCTTTTGGACGTTTTTAAATCTAAAATAAAAAGTGTGATAAATGCTCAAGTGACTTTGAAACTTTTCGTGTCTTTTTCCTCTAACTGAATTTTGAATTTTTATTTGTTTCGCTTAACTCCGCTCAACAAATTAGAAGTTTTAATTCAGAAGCACACGTCAAATTTGTGACAAATGAAAATGTTTTTCGTTCAATTTGTTCAACAATCATTCATCATGTTTACTTTTCTCGAAAGATTCAACTGTCAACGAGACGACCACAGCTTATGTTTGTCTATTCATTACTTCCTGCTCTATTTCGGTTATTTGATAACGAAACACTCATCGAGATTGTAAAGAATTGTGGAGGCAAGAAGCAGTTTAAAGCCAAGCAATATACTTTTTTAAGTGGACGGTCGAAACTCATGAAAATTTGATTTAAAAGACATAAAGCAGCAATTTCATCCAATCATTATCCAATTTTCAGCCACAATGCGATCATCAATTCGAATCGAACTTGACACACACACGAGTGAATCTTTAGAACAATAAGTCATTAAAGAGAACATCTCAGTCTCATTTGCATATGACATCATAAATCTAATTAAGCTAATATCCTATTTAGTCGAAGATTTCTCCACTCTATAGCAACATTTGACTTTCTTGCACAAAATTTTATACATGCAAGCATTATGTGGGTGGATTGAATATAAAAAAAAAGATTTAAGATTAACGGAAATTCGGTGTCAGCTTTTTCAATAGAAATCTACCGAAATGCAACGCGATCGCCTGTGCTTAAATTTTTATTTATTTCGCTAGTTTTACTTCGATAAAAAATTATTTACAGTATTCAAAGCCAATGAAGAATGCGTGGGAGTTTGGTTAGTTCGAATGTTTGCAAGTAGAGACTTTTTCTCCGGGAGAACTCTCTTTTTTTATTGTTAAAGTGTGTAAGTATCTTGATGCGATTAATTGCTTTAACATTTTTGTGGTCATATGTGTGGTCAGAACGGGAGGTTTTACTGATTATTGTTTAACTATTATTGATAGATTTTTCTCGTAGCACTTTCAGCTTGACCAGAGAAGATTCGATGATTAATTAGCTTTTGAAATGAAACGCAATTTATTAAACAGATTGGTTTATTATACAATCTTGCACTTCCGTATCGATGTACTCAACAAATGACCTTAACACGATTACGTAATGTTTCTGCTTGAAATTCATTTGCATTTTCCGTTGTCATCCAATGTCGTCTCAGTTCTCATAAAAATAAACTTCTAGTCCTGAACTAGCATTAACGTATGTCTAAAGGCAAATCGCAAGATCCATAAAACTGTAAACGAGCTTAAATTGCGATGCTTTTGTTGTTTTATGAATGTATGAATGTGTGCTGTTGAGGGGAACCCGCGCATTGCCGCGAGAGACTTTTTCATTTATTCATTTTCAACAGCATTTGTTTTTATTTGGACGGCTTTTTTCCAGTTCGATTTTGATTTCGGAACGGTGAAGTTGGTTTCTCTAAACGAGCAAAAAAAAAAAAATCTTGAGAAAATTTCGCAAGAAATAAAATTAAAAAAGTTCTCAAAAGATTTTTTTTGTTTAACAAAAAAAAATAAGTTTTTGTGATTTGAATATCATTAATAAGATCACAGAGGAATAAATATTGATCAGTGTAAGTTCTTTAAGGGACATCAAAGACACCGCTTTGACTAATTACAAGCTGATTAGTCCATGATCGGATAAGATTAGTCGCTTAACAAGCCGCATGAAAGAAAGGTTCTAAAAATGCTTCACAGCATGTCTTTCGTAATTTATTAGATAATTGAAATTTATGATCAAAACGATTTGTTTTCATGTCGATAATATCAAATTTTTGTGAAACCAATTCAATGCGTGGGTGTCTGAATGAAAAGAAGCTTGAAAGCAATGAAACTTGATCGAACTTAATAATTCACTGTCTACAGTGGCTTTGTTTTCAAAAGCCGATAAATTTATGTGAGTGTTGAGTGGAAAGTTAAAATTGTGACAGTGATCGAGAGTTTCGGGACATTAAAAGGATTTTTTTCTAACTTTTCAATGACTACATTTGTCATTGAATATGTGAAGTTTGTTTAGCAATTTGCAGAAATATATTTTTAGAAAGCTTTTGTAATTGAAATAAAAAACTGGCTGAAAAATCATCTTGTGCTCTAAATCGGATTACCAAATTGCGCAATGCGATTTTCTACTTATTGGGAATAATAATAAAAAAATGTTTTAGAAAAGTCAACAACATTGTAACAGTTCAGAGGCAAATACTCAACTCCATAAAGAGTTCTTGGTTTAATTATTGTTTTACACCAAACTGTAATATTATTCATTAAGCTTGCCATTCATGTTTCATTTCTTTCGCTCAACCAGTAATTCTTTTTCTATTATTTTTAATGATTCAAAAACAACGACTAGAGACTAGCGTTAACATATCTCTTGATACTGACAATTTACTAAAAGGAAAAAATATATAAAATTATTTATTATTGAAATTGAAGAAAGGCCATTTAAGGCAATCGAGACTGTAGGTGTTTCTCACTCGACTGCGAGTTCGACTAATATGAATCATTTTGTGCTTTTAAAAAGGCCTGGCCGTGTGCAGAAAACTAATGGCTATGAGATGTTAGTTATGTCTTGACAATTCAAATGTCGCTTTATTGATGTTTGCACAAATTTAAGCAGCACGATCAAAATAAATAGAGACATTTGAAGTTCATTGACCGATTGAAATGGTTTCATTTTTTTCCGTGAAGTGTGTCGATAATCAAACACCTTTAACATCACCCACACCATAAATATTTCATTGACCTTGCCATTGAAGAATCTTTTTTCTTTTATCTCGTTCAATATTCAGTGGCAGGAGACAGACGACTTCGGCCGAAAGAAGGAGATTCGCACTCATATGTACAAACTTCGTGAGGCGCGATTAAGAGAATTTTATATTAAAGAAATGGAATCTAAATCACCAATAACTAGTCGTCATGAAGACGCCATGGCTGATCACAGCTTCGAAGGCTTCAAAAGCAACGAGATTCGTGGAGTTGACAATCCACTGAGGTGAGAATATGATTTAGATCTTTTTCACATCACTTAACATTAAGATTAATAGAAGTTTTTATATTTCCCGAGTTGTTTTGTTGAATATAGAATTTCCTGGTTATTAATTTAATATCGAAAATAATTTATGACGATCACAAATGAAATTAAATTTATTTTAACGACAACAATTTATTTAGTGACATCAAGTTTGGACCGATATCTGGCAACACAGGCGGATGGAATGTAATTAGCTCATCTGAGACGTCTGACGGTGGAAAAGCTCGTACAGAAAAAATGTTGGCTACAACCGAGGGCGTCACTGCCATAGATGGAGGCAAGAAAGCATTTTCGGGTAAAAACGAAGAACTTAAAACGGAACGATACGATGGTGACGCAAATAATTTCACATATTCTACTGGCGAATCGTCGAACATGTCTCTAAGTGAAAATATTGTGATGGGTGATGAGAACAATAAGAGAATTGAAAACAAGTCATCAACGGTTTCTCATTCAAGTAAAGTCGTGCGATCATCAGCAAATTCTGGCGATGTTATGATTCAAGACGATTTTCAAAAGCCAGTTCGTGAACATGATTTGCGAAGTTCATCAGTAAATTCTGAACATTCGTCTACGACAAAAAGTCACGTAGAACAGAAAAATGCTACAAGTACGTCAGATAATGTGAAACTGTCTCAAGATTCATCGACAGTTAAAGAAGCTTTTCGTCTTTCGAACGAACCGGGGAGAATAATCTCACGACATGTTGAACGTGCTAATCCATCAACAAACATGGTCATTGAAAAGAAGGAACTTGCTGATGGAACAATTGTCACAACGAAACGATATGAAACGGTCAACTCTGATCGTATTAATCATGTTGATCTTCAGCCTGCAAGCCGCGATAGTCGATCATCATCCGTTAGCAGCACTCACAAGAGTGACACTAAAACTCATCAAGATTCGATTAACAAAACATCACAAAATGTTGAAACAACTTTTAAGACATCACGTGACGAAGAAGCTTTCAGATTATCGCAACAGCCAGGCAAAATTCTGTCTCGTGATGTTGAACTGAAAGATCCAACTACGAAAATGATAACTGAAAAGAAGGAGCTTCATGATGGAACGATTGTCACCACGAAACGGTATGAAAAAATTGATTCGTCGTCAACGAATGTTCACGATAATCAATCAACAAAAAACTTTAAAAGTGACATAAAATCGACAACAGAAGAGAATCGAAAAACATCAACAAATGAAACTTTTAAAACATCGCGTGATGAAGAAGCTTTTCGTCTTGCGCAACAGCCTGGAAAAATAATCTTTCGTGATGTTCAAATGGCTAATCCAACAACAAGAATGATAACTGAGAAGAAGGAGTTGACTGATGGAACAGTCGTGACAACTAAAAGATATGAATCAGTTGACAGTGACTCTCAGTCGACTAAAAGCTTCACGAAAGAACAAAAATCTGACAACTTTTCAAAAAACTTGAGAAGTGATTCTTCAACAACATCGAAGACGGAAGAAGTAAGAAAAACAACACAAAATGTTGATCAAAAAACTGCAGAAAATGTTAATCAAACTTCACAAAAATTTGATCAGCAAACATTTAAAACAGCTCGTGATGAAGAAGCTTTTCGCCTTGCGCAACAACCTGGAAAAATTATTTCTCGTGAAGTTGAAATGGCTAATCCAACAACGAAAAGGATAACTGAAAAGAAGGAGTTAACTGATGGAACGATCGTCACTACGAAACGCTACGAAACTATTGACAGTGACACTCAATCAGTTAAAAGCTTCAAAGAAGAAAATAATTCCGATGACTTCTCAAAAAACTTGAGAAATGAATCGATAACAACACGAAACGTTAAAGAAACTTTCAAGACAGCTCGTGATGAAGAAGCTTTTCGTCTTGCTCAACAGCCTGGAAAAATAATTTCTCGTGAAGTTGAGATTACAAATCCAACAACGAAGCGAATAACCGAGAAGAAGGAATTAACTGATGGAACTATTGTTACAACAAAGCGTTATGAAACTATTGATAGCGACACTCAATCAGTTAAAAGCTTCAAGGAAGAAAATACTTCCGATAATTTCACTAAAAATTTGAGAAATGATTCAACAACAACACGAAACGTTAAAGAAACTTCCAAGGCACCACGAGATGATGCACCTGCTCGACTTTCTGATCAGCCTGCTAAAGTTATTTCACGAAATGTTGAGATGACGAATCCAACAACAAGAACGACAACTGAAAAGAAAGAACTTCATGATGGCACAATTGTCACAACTAAACGCATCGAAACTATTGATAGCGACACTCAATCTGTTAAAAGCTTCAGAGAAGAAAATACTTTTGATAATTTTGCAAAGAATTTGAGAAAAGATTCAACAACAAAGAAAGAAGACATCAGGAAAGTTGACAAAACTTATGACAATTTGAAATCGTCTAATCAAACTTTCAAAACACCACGAGATGAAGAAGCTTTCCGTCTTGCCCAACAACCAGGCAAAGTTCTTTCTCGAGATGTTGAAATGACAAATACAACAACAAGAATGATTACTGAGAAGAAAGAATTAACTGATGGAACGATTGTCACCACAAAGCGGTTCGAAAATGTTAACGAACCTAATGAACCTGCTGCAAAGAACGTTCCTCGTGATAATGTTGAGCCTCGAAATGTCAGAAAAACTTTTACTGATTCAAATGCTTTCGACACAGATGACAAGAATACAGAACGTGAAATAGTTGAAGAAACAGTCACAAGAAAAGTCTTTGATACATCTTGCAAGTGCCCTGAAGATCACAAGCCTAATAATCGTGAATTTATTAATAAAGAAAGAAATGATGATCATTACGATATGACATCAGAAATCATAAGCAACGTTGACAATCGTCGCCAAACTAAGAAGCAGAATTTAACTGAAGTTGAAAAGAACCGTGAAGAATTAATGACACGAGAAGAAGCTCGAAGAGTCGAACAAAGAAGAATTGAAGAACAAATTAAACGGCAAGAACAAAAACGAATCACAAAAGATTTGGAAGTTGATTCAGCTCATCGTGCTTTTGCAAGTTCTTTGCGTTGTGTTACGCCACCAAATGAAAGAGTTGCTACTCCAAATGTTCCAAGAATGGATTACAGAACAACTCGAAGTCCATCTCATGAAACAACGACGAGTAAAATCAGCACTTCAACTGTAACATTGAGAAAGTCTTCCATTGATCGACCATCTCCAAGACCACTGTCATCTGAACAGCCTTCAAAACCTAATAAAAAGACAACGCCAGAATCTCGTAAACCAACTACACAAACTGTTGAAACTATCGAGATTGACACAAGAAATAAGAAACGCCCAGTTAGTCCACAAAAGGTTGTTCAACCACGTACAACATCGCCGAATAAATTGCCACAAAAATCTCAACCGAAAAAGCTTTTCACTGATGATTCGCCAAAAATATTGCGTGAAACTTCACCACAAAAGCAGCAAAAGCCTAAGGGAAGTGTCACTCGCGATGTTCCATCGAAGTCACGTCCAAGTTCAAATGAATCTTCACCAAGGGCAACATCGCCACAGAAATCGTCTCCAAATTCTGGTTCTGCATCTCCACGTGGAGTTTCACCACAAAAGTATCCAACATCATCAAGAGATTCTTCTCCTTCTAAACCATATGTTGAAACCACAAGAACCACAAAACCTAAAGATTCTGATGATGAATTGATGACGACCACAATCACAATTGACAACAAAGATACGAAATTCAGAGATGATTTGAGAATCACTCAAACAGTTGATTCTAAAAACATTTCAGCCACGACGAGTGTGAGTGACTTAGAATTTATCTCTGCAAATGATCGTCGTTTATTAACTGATTTGGATTCAGAAGATAATCTTCAGATTAAGATTGATGTTGCAAACTTGAAAGATGATGATTTAAAGATCAAAACGACAATTCGTGAAGTTGATAGAAAATCTCCATCAAAACCGGATGACAATGACAAGAAGATTTTCCAACGACGTGAAACGTTTGAAGAACGTGCCAGTAAGTTGATTGGTGTCACTCCTGAGTCACCTTCTAGAGATGTTCCAAGTTATTTGAAGCCAACTTTCTCAAGCCTACCAGCAACTGATCGCAATGTCACTGAAGTTGTTGGACGTAAAACGAAAGATAATCAAGAAATTGAAAGAACTCAAAGAAAATCTGTGACAACTGAGTCTGAAGATTTTATTACTCGAGAGAAGAATGAAACACGAAGAACAACTCACACTTACTCGTCACCAGATCAAAGCCCAACACGCAACTATTCGAAGCCGACAACTCCAAAGGACGAAACACGAAGACCAACTCACACTTACTCGTCGCCAGATCAAAGCCCAACACGGAGCTATTCGAAGCCGACAACTCCAAAGGATGAAACACGAAGACCAACTCACACTTACTCGTCGCCAGATCAAAGCCCAACACGCAACTATTCGAAACCAACAACTCCAAAGGACGAAACACGAAGAACAACTCACACTTACTCGTCGCCAGATCAAAGCCCAACACGCAACTATTCGAAACCAACAACTCCAAAGGACGAAACACGAAGACCAACTCACACTTACTCGTCGCCAGATCAAAGCCCAACACGCAACTATTCGAAACCAACAACTCCAAAGGACGAAACACGAAGACCAACTCACACTTACTCGTCGCCAGATCAAAGCCCAACACGCAGCTATTCGAAACCAACAAGTCAGAAGCCTTCCGAAACCAAGAAACCTTATGAACGACCGAATGAAAAAGGCGATTTAACTAACGTTCCTGATACTAAAACAACTAAACCATCGACGACTCGAACTTCGAGTCCCGATAAGAAGAAGCCGTCGTCCGTTGATTCACCGACAAGAACGAGTCAAAGATTTGTTAATGAAACAAAAACAACTCGACGTGTTACGACAGAAGATGAAGATCGAAGTCCAGTCCGACCAGAATCTCAAACTCCAGCTGGAAAACCGTCACGTGTTGTTACAAATAAGACAACAAAAACTTTCATTGAAACCACGAGAACTTCAAAAGCTTCTCCAACAAATCGTTTAGTGAAAAGACCAACAGATATTTCAACAACTGATCAAGATTCTGATGTTGAAACTGAAGAAAATTTAATCAAGAATATTGATAAATCGACTTCAAAAACAACACGCAAGAAGTTGATTCAAGGTCGAAAAGATTCAGCACCAGTCACGCGAACAACAACAAGAAGTGACAAAGAGAAAGTTTCGCGATCAAACACTGACACTGTCATTAGAACTGACACGACAACAAGCAGCAAGAAGACAAGCAACATTCAAGCGAGAAAAGATTCTGTTCGACCATCGAAAGTTATCACAACAAAAACGACTAATGTCAACACCATCAACTCCAACACATTGGATGATGTTTTGATTGATATCCAACAAGCGAAATCATCACGCGAAGCTTCTCCAAATAAAATGATTCCAACTCCCGTTCATCCTGATGAAGATATTAATGGAGATCAAATGATTTATCCTGATAAAGTCACTGAACCAGACGACTTCAAAAGGCAAGCACCGAAAGTGAAAAACATTCCAATTTTCGAAGAGAAAACAAAGAAGTTTGTTGGAATTGAGATCACGGAAGTTGGCACAGATCAAAGTCGAATAATTTTAGAAGAGGAAGAACATGAAGATCGTGAAGTGATTAATTCATCAATTTTGGAACGAGCAGATCGGAAGAGAAACTCAATTCAAATTGATCCAATTGACGATGAAGATGACGACGATGATCATACACATCTGTTGAGTGTTTCTCAAAAAGTCCACAAGTTCATTGAAACTGCTGAAGAGTTGAAAAAACCGAAAACTTCAGCGCCTTTTAAGAGTGATGATGTGAAGCTTGAAGATGTTTCAGAACCTGAAGATGATTCTAGATTGACTGTTAATCGTAAAGTGACAAAATTCTCTACAACAAACGATGAACTTTCAAGTAAAGAATTATTAAAATCAAGAAAAACAATTCGCGAAACTGTAACAACGTCATATGATGAAGTTGATGAAAATTTGAGAGATGATGAATGCTTGTTGAGTGTAACTGACAAAGTCAACAAGTTTATAACATCCGCTGAGAAGTTGGTATCATCTTCGCCTCAAAAGTCGCCTGAACTTGTCAAGAATATTATGAAAACTTCAACAAAGTCTTCAAGATCAAATGACGAAGATATTAATGAATCGTTTTTAACACGTGAGAAAGTTTCAACACTTTCACGAGGTGATCGAAGCGACAGCAAATCAACTGTTAAGAGTGAGAATTCTGATATCACTTTGAAGAGTACAGAAGCGATTAAAAGAGCTCGAGCAGTTTTTGAGACCAACACAGCATCGCGTGATGTGAAACGACATGATGACATCATGTCTCGGCCATCAGTGTTTGATGCAAAACGAACTCCAACATCTGATCGAAAATCTTATACAGAAACTGCCACGACTCGTTCGACAACATCTCGTGAAAAATCTCCATCAAGAGAACGTCACTCGCCTTACAAAGATTATGATTCAAAGTCTCCATCTCCATCTTCACCACGTCGTGGATCATCGGAAAGAACGCCAGCATACATGCGTGATCAAGTGTCGACGAAGAAAGAACTTTTCGAGAAGCGAATTTCGTCATCACGCTTGGAGAACGACATGTCGCATCAGAAGTCAATTTCGCCACAACACTCTGTTAATGAGAGAAGTTATCGTTCAGAATCTGAAGAACGTCATCAGAGAACAAGAAAAGTTTCATCTGATAAGCATTACATGAGTCACACCGTTGCATCACTTGAACATGTCAACACTGAGCGAAGAGATTCAGAACTGGAGAGAACTTCACGTCATGAATCAAATAGCGGCAGTCGAAGAGATTCTGTAACGAGGACACCAACAAAGTTTCACAGAAATATTTCCGAATCAACAAACGATTCAGCTGCAATGGAATCACCAAGAACACCCACAAAGTTCGGTGTTGAATTGAAGCGAACTGATTCCGGAAAACATGTTCAAACACGTAAAGTGAGCGCAGGTGGTGAAACAATAAACGTTGAAGAAATCTTTGACTTGGATGAATTGGAACGATTGTTAGAAATTGTCGTTGGTTACGAGCAAAGAAGAAGAATTCGAGCACAGATTCGTTTAGTCAGAAAAATAATAAGCGAAAGAGAAATGAACAATGAAATTAAAACTTCAACAAAGACAACTAGAGCAAGGAATGCATCTCCATCCCGGAAAGAAACGACAACAAAAGTCTCACAAAGATTCGTTGAAAGTCCCGAGAAAATTCCCCGTGAACGTATTGAGAAAATTGTCACAACAACAACGACAACAAGAATTTCCGGAAGTGACAAACCTCGTGACGTTGTAACAACAAAATCAACAAAAGTCTTCGACAAAGGATCAGCGCCACGTTCCGTTATTGAAAGCTTGAATAAGACAGGCAAAGTCAAGTCAGAAAATGTGGTGAAAACGACGAGAAAAACTTCTGCAACCAGCAGCGCATTGAAAACGAATACAACTCGTGAGTCACGTGTTGATGGCGTTGATTCTGTGACTTCATCTTATGGTGTCGGCCCAACAGATTCAAACGGACTTCCCTTGTTCGGATTGAAAGCTTTGAAGAAGAAAACTCCAACAACAACAAAAGAAAGTAAAAGTAAGTTGAACAAAGTTTTTTCTTCTTCTCTTTAATATTAAATTAAATTTATTTTAGCAACTGGATCCACCTACACTGAAGTTTCATATTCAGAAAATGGACGACCAGCAACTGTCGAACGAAAAACTACTCGCTATTCAACAGATCCGTCAGATTTTGATAATAAACTTGATTCGGATTACAAGAAAGGTGAACGAAAAGGTTCACGTGGTGGAATGTATAGCGTTACGAAAACTGAAAAATTTGTTGATGATGGAACGACACCATCATCAAAAGTTATTCGACGTGGGTCAGTAAAAGAATTAAAGGAGAAATTTGTGAGAAAAGATTCATCATCGAAAGTCACTGAAAGTTCATCTTCGAAAAAGGAAACGAAACGATCTTCAGTCGACCATCGTGATTCTGAAAGTGAGAATGAAACTTACAGAATCTCGAGACAATACAGATCGTCATCAAGAGACAGCAAAACATTTTTAAACAGCGAGAAGAAAGCATCAAATGTGCAAGAAGTGATGAGTTATATGAAGAATGCTGATCGTGGTAAGTTTAAAGTTTAACATAAAGAAATTAGAATATTAAAAATTTCCATTTCAGTTCGTGTTGATGGCGACACAAAAGAAGATGCAGAATCTCGAGCACTTTTGAATAAATTCCTTGGTGCATCTGCCCTTATGACAAGCATTGAAAACAATTCGGGATTGTCAAAAGAATTTTTGTCAACTGGAGGAAAGACGGCGAAGAATCAACGCGTAAGTTTTTCAAATCTTAAAAATTTCCACGAGAGAGAGAGAGAGAAAGAGAAAGAAAATTAAATAACACGGAAAGGTTTTCCTTTATTAGTCTCTTTTTCTTTTTCAACGATCATATGCGGAAACATCTGTTGGCGCTCATGAAAAAAAGTAATGAAAGTGATAATGCACAAGAAGAGATTGCGGAGCGGATTTTCCTTGAGTTTTCACTGTAAAAAATCTCTCGCGAAAAATTTATGTCTCGTTGAAAATTCTTCAATGAAAAACATTCAGTTGAGTTACTGCTGTAATCCATTCATCTTCAGTCGTTTGAAGATTCTTGAAGAAACTGTTTCGCTTTATTTTTGTGTTGAAAGAAGCGCTTCTCACAATCGGAGAAAGAGAAGAAAGAAAAATAAAATAAAAAATCAAGCAAAGAAGCGCGAGAAGAGAAAATTTTTCGCTATATTTTCGCGAGTTTTTCTTGCTTTTATGGACATTCAAATCAGTTTCGATCGAATTCACAGAGGAATCGGATCGAAGAAAAGTAAATTATAATCGTAAGGAATTAAAAAGCTTTGACCTTGCCTTTTAAGGGAAAATTTCAACTTCTTGTAAATAAATTGAAGTGAAGTCAACATAAATATTCACGATAAAACTTCATCACGAGTAAATTTAATTGAGGTAATCATCAGAGATCAGCGGATAAATAAAGCACAGCAAACTACTCAATTGAAAAATAAGAAAAATTAATTAGAGCGCACCTGAAAAATGAGAGTAAAACGAGTAAAATTAAGTGCATTTAAACAAAGCCACATGACTGATGAATATTGTTCATTGAGGTCTCAAATATGAAGAATAGAAACGCAATAACTTAATTTATTAACCAGACTACGGTTATAAAAGAAATTTAAGTCAAACTCAATGTCTAAATTTGGTGCGATATCTTTTAAAGAAAAACCACAAAAATTATCGGTAAAAATGAACGAAAGTCTCCCGTAAAAAAAAAAAATTAAAGAAAAATTGAATTGGCAGCTGATCAATAAAAATATGTTTGAAAAGAAAATTATCGTCATTAATTTTCTAAATCGTTATCTATGATGCGAGGAGAAAAGTGTTTCTAAATATTTCGCCTTGTAAACGTCGTTCAACATCTTAAAGGTTTTTCCAATCGCTTCAATGCCACTGACATAAACGTGAAGTGTTTTTCGGGGAAAGATTAGCCCGTTGCGTCGCGACTCGCGAGTGAAGTATTGACTCTTGAGAGAGCACGAGGAAGATGTGGGATGTGGAAATTTTCTTTGAAAAACTTAAAAGTTGTAAAATAATTTCGTGATAACATCAGGTCGAATGAATAAAATCTTGATGAAGATTTATTGTATGTATTAAAAATAAATGTCACGATCATCTTTCCTTTCGTGATCACTGATCATCATGATGATCAACAATGATTCCTTTCAAGTCTGCAAGACACAAAAATCTCCAAGTTTGTCTTTCTTGTTTTCGTTTCCCTAAAAATAGATTTTCTTTAATTATTTTGGGATTTAACGAAATGGAAATAAATATTACTTTTGAAGGTTTTCATCACATACTCTGAACCATTTGACATGTGTGCGTAGCATCGTTACAAAGAATTAAAAAAATCACCTAAAAGTTTATTTGCTTTGTTTCAATTAGCTGCAACTCGTGTTCCTTTTGAATTCTTTTAATTTTCCACTAAAATTGATATTTAAGAAAAAAACATTCAGTCGTTCAATCTAATTTTAAATATTTTCATTTTTTTTTTCTTTCGAAAACAAACCTTTAGTCAAGACGTAAAATGTTGCGCTTAATCTATTCTGGAGTGAAAAATTGTTGAGTTTATTTTCGTACCATCGCTACATTAAACGTAAATTAAAAATGTTATGGCTTGAGTAATTTTTTATGAGACGCGATTTGGCGCAACTCGCAAATGAAAAGAAAGATTTTTAAATTTTTACACGCTTTATTGGCAAAAGTATTATTGAGGTATATCTAACCGACTATTCATGATAATTTCCATCACACTGGAAACTATTAAAGTCATGATGCGTTTTTCTTTCATTTTGTTTAATGTAAACAAATCATTAAAGAATTAAAATCGCAAAAAGTTTCTTTGATTAAGCAGATGCCGAAGAAGAGAAAACTTTGATCATAATTCGGAAGAGCTTGAAATATTTCGTAATTTGTTTTATGCAATATGTACTAAGTAGTAGGAAGTAGAATAATTTTAAAATGAAAACTTAATTAAGAATAATTAGGAAAGGCTCGTGAGACTGAGAAACGTTCAGCTAACCTGGCATTTGTCACACTGCAAAATTTATTTTCCTACTTAATTAATATAAATCATGCAACGTTAAATTTGCACAGTTTAGTCTCTAGACTGGAGAATTTTTCACATCGTTTTCAACTCTCACAATACTTAAAAGCTGAGTCGTTATTTTTAGATAGTTTAGAGAATTTTCCATTTCACATGAGACATTGACGCATTTTTTTAAATCGTTTTAGAGATTTTCGAGGTTTTTCTTCGCTTGCTCTCTAAGAAATTCAAAGAATTTCTCACAATTTCGAAATCTTTTTCTTTACACCTACAAATTGTTCAAAGCGAGAGTGCTTCTTTTTCGTTTTCGCTTAATTGACTTGAAATGAAAAGAAAATTATGCAATCGTCGTCCATGCCGCATTGAAAAATCTGCTTGAACTTTCATTCATGAAAATAAAAAGAATTGAATTGAGAATCTAAATCTTGTCATAAACGAGTAAATTTTTCATTCACGAAGATGCGTTCGTGAATTCAGGTTCATGCGTTGATGTATCGACGAAAGCATTGAAACAGTTTCTCTTCATTTGATGCAACACTTGTGCATCAGCTACAATCGAAAATAGATACAAAACTGACCTCATTCATCCAAAAATAATTAAAAAAAAAGAAACAAGAAATCTAGAATTTAAATGTAGACATAAAAGTTTTACTTCATGAAAATTAGTTTACATTCATTCAGTCTCCTGCACTTTGTTGTTTCCTTTCCCTATGATGAGTTGCTCGTTAAAACAAAAACGTTTTATTGATTCTCTTTTTAATTGTTGTAAAAAAGTGAAAGCAACTTTAATGTTCTAACAAAATAAAAAGTGAAATTAAAAAGTTTTCGATGAAAGCAAAATTTGTGCAAACTACGAGGCAGAAAAATTCAAAATGAATGAAAATAAATCGCCGAAAATGAGGCAAATAAATATTATTTTTAACAATCATTCGATTATCTTTTTAGGGCAAAAACACTTGAAATTTTAGGAAATGTGATGATGAATCTTTACATCTGGTATTTTAAAAAGTTTTCTTGTCATTCTAATTAAGAAAATTTATTCAAATATTGAACTTGTGGGAATCACAAATATCATCACACAACCAGATGATTGTGCATTTAAATAATTAATAAAGAAATGTGCGTCGTTGATCAACACAGCATGTGATACATGCACACGGTCTGAAAATTCTCCAAAGATTTAAACCGCGAAGAAATTCTGAGAAAGTCGACGCGCAAAAACAGTTTCGGATGAAAACAAAAATATTTTTTTAATAATTGAGAAAGAAACAAAATTATTTTTAGGAATATTTTTCCCGACAGATATTTCAGTGAACGTGCTGAGCTTTCCTTTTCACAAAGAGGCCGTTGGTATCAGCATGTCCCACCTGTAAAGCATTTTCGATTTTCTTTTCTCACTGGGAAATTTCTTTCTGTTATTTTCTTGTCTAAAAAAGGATTGACTTGTGATTGAATCATTAGAAAGTGAAATGACTTCCTTGTCGTCAATGTCGAGAGTGACTTTTCCCCTCAAACGAGACCAATAATGAATCGTTGAGAAATGAAGGAAATCAGTTCAGCGACGGTTAACTTTATTAATGATCTCAATAGACAAAAGATGATTGCGGATCATTTTCTCTGCGTGGGTGATTGTAAGAAATTTTGGCAATGAACATGAAGGCGACAATTTTCACGATGGGATATCCCGCAATCATATCTATCAAGCACTTGACCATACAAAATTTTCTTCTTGCTTTGGCGAATATTGAACACACAAAATGAACTTCTCTTAGCTTAAAACCGGCGTAAGAATGTTTTGACATTGTATAGAATAGAAGCGGCTCTTAATGTATTAAACATTCACACAAATAGACGTTTCAATTAATGACCGAAAATATTTACAACTCGGTGAAAATGTGGGCTAAATTTAATCGTGGGAAACTAAAGAGATTTAGGGATCTACATGGGACGAGATATTTTTCTGTCTGATGATGATGCACTTGAAATAACTTAGTAAAATGTGCACAAAACGAGAACATTTCGATTTCTTTGAAAGTTGAAATCAAGTTTTGAGTCGGTTTTCGATTCTTTCTCGACTCAAACGTGATTTGCATAATGAAATGATGTTGAAAATAATTGAAATTAATGTTTTTATAAATTATTTTAGACACCTTCTGGATCAAAAGTAACGAAGACAGTCACATCGTATTCAACTGCTAAATCTTACGATATCAACGACATTTGGGACGCTGATTTATTGAGGAAACTTGTAAGTTGACTGTGCATTAGATTTATGTTGATTGCAACAAACAAAACAAAAATTTTCTCTGTTTTCATGATCATTTTGTGATTAATGTTGCCCCACACATACACGAACACAAAATTAATACAGTTGGAAGCCACAACAAACTACGAAGATCGTCGCAAAATCCGCGCCCGTTTACGTCAAGTCATGGCCGATAAAGAAGGTATTTGACATCATCCTCACCCGAAATCTTTTGTGTCTTAATTTTAGATCTCATTTTCAAAATATCAAATCTCATCGTCGACTTTCACTCAGTGTTGATTCATTATCGTTGTTGTGATGTTCTGTGTCTCGATGTCTTTCGAACCATTTTCTTTTTAATTGAAAACAAAATATTTTTTCTCTTTCTTTTCTCTTTTTATCGTTTCATTGTCACACGACATGATGACTGATTAAAAAAACTTTTGCGAATATCGTTTGAATTAAATAAAAACTCTTAAAGTTTGCGCTGAAGTTGTCAACCAATTGACGACTGAATTGGAAGGAGAAAGCATCGCTGTTGAAAGCAGTGAAGAAAAGAAAGAAGAGGGTGAGTCTCTACTACTTCCGCTTATCCAAGGCATCCTTCAAAATCCAAAATATCAAAACCTATCGGCGCGTCAATTATTAAGCTTAAATTTAAGTAAAACAATCGCCCAAAAATCGGGTTTGTTGCCTTCTTGCTCTAAAATGAATAGTGAACATAATCAATTTAATGACGGTCATCGTTTAGGAAATGATTATTTACCAATAGAAGACTCAGGTACTGAAAGCGGTGAAGATTTGCGTTTATTAGCTGCTGGACTGCAATCAAGCTTCTCTAACATGGAAGCAGCAGCTGAACTTTCGAAGGATTCTCTGGAACAAGAACAAGTTGAAGGTGGAAGTTGTAAAGCTAAAAACGATTCATTAGCTGCTGGGTTGTTAATGGAAGTGACAACAGCATTGGCACGACTTCAAATTTCAATTAATAAAGGAGAAATAGAATTGGAAGAGTCGAAGAAAACTTCACTTTTGTCACTTGTCGATCGTTTGCAACGTGGTTTGATTTCACCTGAGAAGATCGTTGATTCAAATACCGAAACCGGCACTTCGGGTGGTTTGCTTGGACAATCTTCTTTAGAAGGTGTGCAGGATGTTGGAAGTGATAGACGATCATCATGTGGTGGTGTTAATAGATTTGCTAAACGCAGAAATCGCGTCAATCGACACACTGTTGGTGTAACAAGAGAAGAATTAGCTGATGCTAGAAGAATTATTGAAGAACTTGAACTTATTGGCATTCATAATGCAGCGACCACGAATCAAAATTTAATTAACAATAAACCAAAGATTACAGCGACAGTCGTCAATTCAAAGCCTGGCGTTTATAACGCAATTTTGACGAGACAAATCTCTGAGCCAATAACACTTTTACGTCCAAGTCATTTTGTTCCTAAAGAAACGTCAAAAGTCGGCGATGTTCTTAATAAACCGAAATATAAATTATTTAAGCAATCAATAAGTCTGGATCAACCAACATCAATCTTGAAGAATTCTGCAAATACTGAAACGACATCAAAAATTGAAGATCAACAGCCAATGCCCCTTTTTAAGAAATTTTCACTTCAACGCAATTTGAGCGGATCGAACAATAAATTTGCAATCAACAATCACAAAGACGAAGATGATGAACCGACTGATGAGTCATCGTCAAGTGATGATGAAGACGAAGTGATAAACACGAAATTTTACAATCACAATGCAGCTGGTGCGAAGTTCAAGGCGAAGGAAAATTACTTGAAGAATCAACAAACGGAAGAACGATCATTTAATTACAGTTCGGGTGATGAGACGAGCGCACCAGGTCCTCGTGTTTCGAAATATACAAGTAAGAAGATGAAAATGAAGCGTGCAAACACAATTGATCTTCCAAAGTCTTTTAGTTTTGTTAACACATTTGATTTGAGTGATAAAGAATGTTCCGATAGTGAAACAACGACAAGAAGTTCTTATCATAATCGTGGCATGACAAATGCAGGATTAAGAACAACAATCACTGGTGGTGTTGCTGCTAATAATCTTCCACCAAAGTTCACACCGAAAACTGAAAATGATAAAAAGTTTCTCGCTTTCATTCAAAAGCAAACGACAGAAATCACTCCGACTTATGTCAATCCAAGTACCACTCGTACCTCTCAAAAAACACCAAATTGGAGGAACAAGTTTGGTAATTTGAAGCATAAATTTGAACAGGAAGATCCACAACCAAAGCCAATCAAAGCACCAGCAGTTAATGCAGCAGCAAACTTTTGGAAAAATGTTGAAAAAGAAAAGCCGAGCGCAAAGGTGTCTCCAATGCCACCAGTCGCACCACAGCCTTTTGTTAAATCTCTTCCCATTGTGAGTGATAAATTTCCATGGAAAAACAATGCAAATGAAAGAAAAATTGATGAAGTGAAACCAACGACAAAGAAAACGCTTGTTGAGAAGTTTTTACCTAAAGAGCAACCGCCAGTGGAAGTTCATCGGATTATTCCCGAGCCAAAGAAACTTCCTGCTTTGAAACCTTCGAACGTCAACAACTTCTCACATGCTCCAATGTCAGCATTTAAACCGCCAATCTCAAGAAAACTTTCAAACTCTTTCAAACCTATCAACATGACTGAAGATGTTGTTCGAAATCCTTTGCAACAATTTTCTAATGGAATTGTTAAGCAACTCGCTGAAACGGGTTACAATGCAAATGGTAATCCAGCACCAATATCAAGGAAAATTATTCTTAGTTCTCCAACACGTTCAATCGCTGATCAGTCTTTTGTGAAGGTTACAAAACAACCAGAAAAAGTTGAACAAGCAAAGCCTGTGCCATGGGCTGGCAACACAAAATCCGATCGTGTGTTGAACCTTGCAGCAGCAAAATTCGAACAAGGAGTTCCAACAGTTCACATGGGAGCAGTTTTACCAGCATCTGCACCTGAACCTGTGGTTAAATATCGCAATAATCCTTTGTATAGTGGAACACCAGAAAAACGTTCGTCGTTGCCACCAAATGCTTCTTATGCAACTTTTGATGTGACTTTTGAATCAAAACCAATTTCAATGATCAATAAAACAGTGAAAGTTGTTCGAAAGGAAGCAACATTTGTCATCACTGACTTTACTCAACCAACTTCAGTATCAACTTATGCACCAGCAATAACAGAAAGCATTACGAGACCAAAGTTTGATCGACAAGATTCATTGACAAATCCAGCACAAGAACCTCTCGTTTTAACATGCAATCGAACTGTTTACAGTCCAAATGAAAAGCCTAAAATTATGGAACTTTACGAGATTCCAACACCAAAGTCATCACAACTCTCCAGTGATGCTTCAATTGCTTCAATTTGTGATGACATCGAGAATGAGTTGCAAGGTCTGAGTGACACTGTTGAATGTAAAGCGGCAGTAACGCGTGTGATGAAAGGTCCAGTGGCACAAACTGCTTACACACAAAGCTCAGAATTAACAAGCTTAAGTGATCAAAACAAAGAGAATTCGATGATGAAAAGTCTTCATGATTCACTTAAGAAATTGTCACAGAAAAGTCCAACACCGGAGAAGCGACAAATTTTATCAAAAGAATCGTCAAGCTCATCAATTGAGAGGAAAGTTTCACCATATAAATCACCAACTCACAGCGAATCTCGATTGTCACAAGACTCGTCAAATTCATCAATTGATTTGAAACTTCCACCTATAAAGATTCCAATCCCAGCTGTGCCGGAAACTGCATACAGCATCACGTACACGTCTCCACCTAAAATACAAGTGAAATCACCATCAACTGATCCACCACCACATGTAATTTTTAATAACGTGGCACAAGTTCAACATACTCAGGGTTTGCAAAAAGCACGTTCGTCACATATGTTGGCAATTCCAAAGCCAACAGATCCCGCAATTCCACCTCCAACAATGTACGGTGCTACACCGAATCAAGTCATGGCGAAGCAAACCAAAGTTCAATCTTATTTTGGACCTAAAAGAGCAGAAAGTTTAGCTATTCGATCAAAAGCACAAGTTACATCACACGTCAAACCGATGTCCTTCAATTCCGGATCACAAACGTCAACCGTTTCTAGGAAAATTTCTATGTTCACTCAACCAGTTTCAAAACCCGTTCAGCCAGCTCTTTTTTCTCTTTCACGAAGCAAAACACTTCCTTCGCTGGCAAATGTTCAACTCTTAGATGAGAGCAATATCGACGATGCATTTGAAGAGCTTCTTAGCTCAACGAACTTATAAAAAATTCGAAAAACATGTGCCAAACTTCGACAGCATGTTGCGTGTATATTTCGGTTAAGCTTTTATTTGACTTTATTTGTGCAGAAGCGTTTAACGTTTCTGAGAAAAAAGATTTTTCCAAGACAAAGGAAAATCTTCATTGGAAAAGAACTTTTTTTTTGTGACTGTGACTGATGCACACACGTGGATCAGCGTGATGGAACAAGATGTTGAAACATTCCATGAACTTTTAACTACGAAAGAAAATTTTTGTGTCTTTTTGTTATCAGCAATGATTGCTGATTAAAAGCTATTGAAAGAAGGAAGAAAAAAAAACTTCAATTAACAAATAACCAAAACATATTAAAGAAGGAAGCAAAGCATGTTTCTACTAACTGCTGTAAACTTACGACAACAACTTTGATGAAGTTTTCTGTGAGAGATGAGAAAACATAACATGAGATTTCATGTGAAACGTGACAAGGTCGTGATAGATTTTGGCTTAAAGTATTCAAGAAAATATTATGTAACAGATGATGAAATTGGTTTAATCGAGCATAAGCTTAGTAACTCATCCAACTTCTATTGATGTGATGGCAGCTTTCATTGTAAATAGAGAAGAATGGAGAACGAAAACGAGAAATTCTTTAGAATAGACGCAGGAAACTATCAATAACTTACTTCAAGCCATTTCACATGAACTCAGACAAATGAAAATTGTGAGTCGAAGAAAACTGACGCATGAGTTTGTTCCTGGTTGTTTGTATTTTTGTGGCATCGCATAATTAATGGATAACAATTCATGAGACAAAGGCTTTGTCCATTTTCTCACTGATCTCAATTAAACATTGTTTTGTGTTGTGTGTAACTTGTCGTTGAATTAACGAGATTTCAGGAAAAATGTATTGACGCAAGAGATGCTGACTGATGAGAAAAACCCTGATCGTGTCATTTAAGAGAACATGGAACAGAAGTGGCCTTGAACCTCGCTTTCAATGATTATTGTATAAACATCGAATAACTTTTTTCTCTTGCTTTTTGTGTATAAATTTACTTTGCTTTGTTTACATCTTTTTTCCTTCCTTTCCAGTTGTGAACTTTCCCATCGCTTTTATTAAAGGAAAATTTAATTACTCGTCACTTTTAATTTATTCTTAAAGCGACATAAACAATTAAGTGCCTGACGAAACTAAGGGGAAAAGCCCCACCGAAAAAGAAAATTTGAAAATTTTCCGAACCATAATGAGCGAGATTAAAATTTAATTTTTTTTTGTCGTTCGTGAGCGTTCGAAGTATCACATGCGACTTGCGAAATTAACTAACGAGGTTTTCCTTCATCAACGAGTACGAGAAGAAAAGCAAAGAAGAGATTAAAGTTTAAGAAGCAACGTTTGTTGAGTTGAAAATTACAATTTTTTCTTGGCTCTACACCAAGATTTTTCTTCTCGAGATATTCATGTGTTGAAGAATAATAAAACTATAACATATTGCCCCCATGTCTGGTGAAACTTTCCCGGCTGTTTCTCATCTAACTTTCTAATTTATCGTTTTGCGATATTGCGTCATGAACGAATGAGAGACGATAATGAAATCGCTTTTCCTCGAACCTCGACTTAAATGAGTTTTTATAAGCGAGAAGATCAGACAGCTTGCGAAGTTTGTATCAAATGGACGTATCCACTTGAGATTCAATCGCTTTCAAACTTTTTCTCTATTAATTTCAACGTAAATTTGGGTCAGAAGCCAATACACGATAATTTCGTTTTGTTTTTGCGATTATTTCCATCTGCTATTTCCGCAAAGTGAAGTTTCCAATAAGAAACTGTTTTTCGTGAGATTTTCCGTCTTCTAACTAAGCTTTTAGTGTGCGTCGTGTGAGAAAAACAAACAGAGGAAAATTAGTCGGAAAAAAAATATACAAAAGAGAATTTTCGTGAAAAATTAATTATTCTTCCTTCTGGTTTTACTCGTGATCGTGAAGGAAAAGTTCGTCAGTGATGTCTGTGGGTAAGATTCACTGTGATTGATAATTTCTTCAAGTCGCTTTGTGACATTTTCCACGAATATTTCCCGTACCTAAGTTTTCCCATCGTGTGATTTAATTCCCTCAATTTGCTCGCTTTTTTACACAACTTTTTCTTCCTTTTGCTTTTATATTTGTGAGAATTTATCGCGTAGATCTTTTTTTTAATTTTTCTTGTACAAAAGATTGAAAAGAAAGAAAAATCGTGTTTTTTTCCTTTGAAATGTTTTGCTTACCGAACTTCACGAATCTCATTTTCAATTTTTCTTCTCCTTTCTTCTCATTTTCACAGAAACTATGACAAAGACCAGTTCGGAAGTGCAACAACAAGGAGATCGAATCATTAAAACGACAACCACAGAAGGTGAGAGACGATTTAACGCTAAACTGTGAAACAATATAAAAGTGAATTGTGATTGCTACTTATCAATATTTCGTGTTTAGTTATAACAAAATCAGCAATGCAACCACAACAAAAAATGTCACCCTTTGCAAAATTCCGTCAACTTGATCGACAGAACTCATTGCCAAAGTGAGTATTAATAGTGTGTTGATTCTTTAACGATTTCTTTCAATAAAAGTTTATCGAAATTGGTGCCAAGATCATGATCGAAAGATTATTAGATAATAAATTAAATCATCTTCACTTCATATTTAGAAATTAGAAACTAACTAGTAGTAACTAACGATCATATTTCTACGCATTCGACTAAACAAAGAAAAATATTCTGAAACTAATTAAAAATAATTTGTGAACGGATTGATCGCTGACTTTAAATGAAACAAAAAACACGTAAAACTTTGTTACAGCCCGAAAACTCCAACAACTCCGACCACACCTGGCGGCTCGAAGGTAGTTGGCCGTCCTTTGTTTGTCTTCACCGATCCAAACATGGCCAATCGGGCTTTAACTGCCAAGGATTCCTTGCTTTTGTGGTGCCAGACGAAAACCTTTGGATATGAGGTAGCAGAAAACTTTCCTTATGGTGTTGCTTTGTTTGATTTTTGGTGGTGTGGCGAGTGTTTTTCAATTCATTTCCTTTTATTGCGATACAACATTTTGGCTTGATCGAAATAATTTTTTTATTTTCTGTTTTCATCAATTAATTCCCGTTTTTCTTTTTTATAGTTTTATTCAAAATTTTGTAACACAAAACATTTATTGTGGTGTTGGGTGCATGAGATTCAGTCGCTTGCTAAGTCTACTGACGCGCTATTTTCGTCCATTATTTACGCAAAAAAACTAATAGGTATTTTTCTCACAAAATTTTTAAACTTCTCCTTACACACTTCGAAACTCGTGTGTGCTGTTTGTGTGTGGGATGTGATGTGAATTTTCAAAATTCATTTTCGTTTTTGTGTACAGTTTTCAACGTGTCGTTTTTCTATTTTTTTTTGTTGTTTTTGTAAGAACAATTTTTCATTATTAAATTTCCACTAAAGTCAATTCATTGGTTTGTAACATGAGAGTGGAAAAATGAGTAACGAGCTGTGATAAAGCTGAACGAGCCCATTGCAATTAATTTTCTATTCTATTTTCAGAACGTCAACATAGAAAATTTCTCAACTTCTTGGTCAGATGGATTAGGTGAGAAAAATCGTGTTTTTACGAAAATTCCACCAGGAAATTAAACGATTTTTTTTCTTCTATTTTTATGCAATATTTCAGCCTTCTGCGCACTCATACATCACTATTTACCAGATGCATTTGATTTCAGTAAATTGACACCAAAAGATAGACGACATAATTTCACATTAGCATTCCGTGTTGCCGAGTAAGTTTTACATTAAAAGTTTATACATGAGATTCACTAATTGCGACTTAATTGGGGTCATAAAAATATTGCGTCACACAACATATCAGTTCAATGGCCTTCTAATGAGATGAAGTTTATCTTTCATCAAATCTGTTTCTGAAATGTGCACTGCATTTGCTTTTCTAAAATAATTTTTTACGACGCAAAACATGAAATCACTCCAATAGACAAATTAGTTACATTTTCTTAACCCGGACAACTTGAATCTGTTCTACTTTATTCTGAAAATAAACAAAAGAAAAATTATTTTTCAGCGAAAAAGCAGGAATTGCTCCACTTCTCGACGTTGATGACATGGTGATGTACAAAAAGCCCGACTGGAAGTGCGTCTTTTGTTACGTCCAATCGATTTATCGTCGCTTCAGAAATGAAGATTGAGAAGAAACAAAATCTTGTCTCTTGGATGTCATCAAAAAAACATTTTTTTTTATTTTCGACAAAACTTTTTAGATTTTAAATTTAAATTTGTATTTTTAGTCGTCAAGTCAAAGTTTCATTTGTAAAAAGTCGCAAATCAACAGTCTCGATAATTTATTTCCTTTTTATTTTTGTTTAATAATGTTTATTGTGATGTTTTAAAAGTCTAGAGATTGTAACATTGTGAATTTGATCCATCTGACGAAGTTTTCTCGCCAACTTTAAATGTGGTTGTTGTCATAAGCCAACGCAACTTTTTTTCATTCATTTTTCTCACATCTCCCAATATATTTTTAATTATTATTATTGCTATTATTATTATTATTTTTATTCTCATTGTGAAAAATCTGATGAATAAATTCAGATGGTGAAGGATTTTAATTCTTTTTATCTAACATGAAATTTTTTTAAAGAAAATGAACTCTGATTGCAATATGATAAAGCAAATCACAGAAAGAAGATAAAAATGTGAAAACAAAACTAACCATATTATCTAACGTCTAAAAACATTAAAATTTTTATAACTACCGGACTAATTGCAAAGCAAAGCAAAGCATTAATATTGTTATGATGATTATACGAGCAATAAAATGTGTAAAAATAAAAGTTTCTTTATGATTAAAAAAAGTGAAATTCTTTTATTTCCGATCAATAACAATTTTTTAATTAATCTTGATCATAAATGATAACATCAATCAAATATGTTTGAGAAAGTTAAGCATTTTCAAATCCATTTGAATCAGTCATGTTAGCAAGATGAGCTTTTGTGAGAATACATTTGGTCATGTGACATTCGCATGGTAGAGGATGCTGAACATCGTCACTCATTGCATCTAAAATCTCTAAGAGCAGATGATAATGTCTGGAATTTTCAGGATTTCTTTGAACAATCAGTTTAAATGCAATCGGATCCAAAGGTTCAAAAGTTTCAATGTTTGATGGCAGAGGAATAATTGTTTGTTTCCAATGAGTTGACTGCGCTTGCGGATGAGTAGAAAGAATCACTTCTTCCTCATTGTCATCACCACAAGGAAATAAAACATCAAACCAAATGCAAAGGCCTTGAAATTTTCCAGATTTTCTAGCAATAATTACTTCATTGAAGTCGATTCTATTGAGTTCTGTTGTTGAAATGTCACTCAGGTCGAGAAATGCAATAACGATATCATCAGCAATTAAGCAATCCTTATCAATATTTATAATTTCCGGTTTACTTGATTTTTGTTTCCTTAAACATTCAGCGTATTTTGACATTTTAACTCCACTGACGTTGTCCCAGTTGTCGAAATGTGTTGGTAAGTTACATGGAGAACAATACAGAATTGCTCGGTCAGGAAATAATAATCCCCCTGGTTTCAAAAATCTATCACGTGCCAGAAGAACAGAATCAAGCATTCCTTCGTGTAGTAAATAGAAACCCATCCATTCACTGATAATTATGTCAACTTTGTCAACACTTTCTGGTAATTGAAAATCTTCAATTCTACAATTAAAAACTTTGATAACATTTTCAAAATTATTTTCCTTGATTATTTCTTGAGAAAGTTTAGCAAGATTCGATGCTTCAACAGCAAACACTTGCGAAGCACCGGCTTGAGCTGCAAAAATCTAATAAAATATTTAAGTTAGAATAGAAAAACGTGTGAATGTTTGAAACTTACCGATAATATTCCAGTGCCTGATCCAACGTCGAGTACAACTTTACCCTATAAGAATAAATTACTTAAATTGTGTTATCACGTTGAATTTTAATTAATTTCTGACTCACATTAAACAACGAGGAGTTTGTTGTAATCGCTTTTCTATATGCTTCATTTCTTGCTGTGTCAGTTAACATTATTTCGTGTATTTCAAGGTTTTCATAACTGGTAAAGTATTCATCATTTGTATCGACTTCCATTGCTTCTAATAATTAACTTTTTTATATTTTGTTAGTTTGTTTTGATTTTTGCACCACGTTTATTTAAATTAAAGAGGTTTTCCGTTGAGCAGTCTACGTAGACTGCAACGCAACGAGCATCTACGTCTTCAATTGCTCAGTTCGTTGCTCAATCGCTCTCTTAAATTTTCTTTAAGAAAAATAATAGTCAAAGCTTCAGTCTTTCTTCTCGCTCGTGTTAACCAGTCTTCTGTGAATAATCATGGATTTTTACTTATAGCATCGAAGAGTCTATTCTGTGATTGCTGACTGATTAAGTTCGAAAAATAATAAACTCAGGAAATCACATAATTAAGATTCAACAAAAATTTCTCTTGACATTGAAACATCTGAAACATCCATAACAAGAAAAGTCGCTTCCTGATTATTTGTGAATGTGCAATTGCGTTATCAGTAGCTAACCTCATATAATCTTTAACTAAAGTTTTTGGAGTCGTTTTATGTGAATACATAATTGAAGTATAATAAAAGATCTACTGAAGTTCGAGAAAATGTCACAAAAGCAATCGAAAAATTCAGTTCCAAGTCTTTACTTCGCCAGTCTTCAACATTTTGTCAATCAAATGAATTACACAGTAGATTGTCTCAACAAGATTCCTCAATTACGGTTGTTACCTCCTGCCATTCTCTCCGATATTTACTGCGAGGTAAGTTTAAATTCCCAAAACTCTAAATTTTGAAATCGAAATTGTAACAATTTCGAGACTAAAAAAAAGAAAAAAATGAAGAAAAAACTTTCATTTTTCTTTATAACAAAATAAACCTTGATCTTTGTTGTTGTGCATGAGTCGCAACTCACAAGTGGCGAACGTACAACAAAAGTGAATATGAAAAGAAAACTCCGCGACTGTTTGAAAGAAGGTTAAAGAATAAGAAAAGAAGATAAGCCAGAAGAAAGTGTTGAGAGTGTTCAACGGCAATAAAATATTGAAGGAAACATGTTGAATCATTTTAATGAAATAGTGATTTGTATACGCAGATGGCAGAAAATAAAGATCTTCGTGATGGTCTTCTTGTTGAGCTCTCTGATGTCGATCTGTTTTGCAAGCTGATCAAATATCAATTGATACGCGACAACATGCTGAAGATATTCAAGGTAAGTTTACAAATCAGCTGATCTTGACTCATTTTGTGTGCGTATTTTCTACTTTTCATTTCTCTCATGTTAGACGAAAGAAAAACATTTCATTTGCATCTTTTAAAGAATTTCTTGATTTATTTATTTTACTAGTTGCGAATTTCGCAATTTTATTTCTTAATTTAACGAAAACGTGAAAACAAATCTTATTCTTTGTAATTCAATTAAATAACTTAAATGTTTTCTCATTCACATCACCATTAAATATTTTTAGCTTTTAATGACCAATAACAAGCCGCTTGTATCAGAATTGCAACGAATCTTCGTTCAACGAGGGCAATTGTTGCTCTCAGAACAAATTGATCAAATGAGGAATTCCAAGCTTATAGCTAATGAAGTTGACATGGATACAGAAGACTCAACAACTGAATTTATCAACGACGATTATCAACTTAGTCGCCAATATCGTAAAGAAATAGATAAGGGATTACGTCTTGGAACATTTCTGTACGAATCTGGATGGCTCGATGACAGTCTGAAAGTTCTCAAAGTGACAAAATCAATGATTAATCAACTAGGCGAAGATTATCAGAAGCTTCTTCTCATGCTCAGCTGTCTTCAGAAGCTTCTTCATGTTCAAGCACTCTTCTGTTGTTATAAAGACGCATCAATCACAACATCCCAAGCGCTTAATCTCATTGAGAAGATTCACAACATTTACAGCGAAAGCGGAGTTCCCGAAAGCCTTTTAGCAAATATTTATCATGAGCTTTCTGTGTTGCATTTCAACCGCTCAGAATATGATTTAAGTTATAAATGGGGTGTTAAGGGATTAGAATATCTTCGAATCAATACACCAGCGAAAATTTCTGTTGATGTTCTTCGTCAAGCAGCAAAAAGTTGTGTCGTTAAACGAAAATTCCAAATTGCCAATTTACTCATAAATAGTGCTGTTCGTATTGCTGAGTGAGTTAAATATTCATTCATTCATTTTCTAGTGTTTAATTATTATTTTTTTGCTTTCAGAAATGCTTTTGGTGATCATCATACAGTTTATGCTGATGCACTTCTTGACAAAGGTTTTTTCTTACTCAACGTCGATTCCATTAATAAAAGCGTTGAAGTTTATATGGTGAGTATTTGTGAAGATTTCGTCAGAGATAATTAACTAATTATTGCTTTTATCTTATCGTTTTTATTTGTTTACTTTCAATGAATGATTTCATAGGAAGCACTGAAGATAAAATGTTGCATATTCGGAGAAAAGAATCTCAATGTGGCCGTGATTCATGAAGATCTAGCTTATGCTTTATATGTTTATGAATATTCTCGTGGTCATTTCAATATGGCACGATTTTATGTTGAGAAAGCAATTCAAATAATGTCTGAACTTGCACCATCAAATGAAATTATGCTGGCGTCAGCGAAAAGAGTGAAAGCGTTGATTCTTGAAGAGATTGCTTTAGACAACATGGTGACGCCAAATGCAAGAGATTTTAAAGGATTATTAAAAGAGTCTGAAGACTTACATCAATCAGCATTGCAACTGTCACTCGATGCTTTTGGTGAGATTAATGTTCAAACTGCCAAACATTATGGAAATTTAGGAAGATTATACCAGTCGATGACAAAGTATGAAGATGCTGAAGACATGCATCAACGAGCGATCAAAATAAAACGCGATCTTTTAGGTGATTACGATTATGAAGTTGGACTTAGTATTGGACATCTTGCGTCACTTTATAATTATCACATGAAGAAATATCGCGAAGCAGAAGATCTTTACTTGAAAAGTATTCATATCAGTAAGTGTTTCGCAATTGCCGGAGATTAAATATAATTTATTGACGTATTTTTTCTTCTCTCATTTTATTTTTAAAGGCTTAAAACTTTTCGGCCAAACGTACTCGGGGTTAGAGTATGATTATCGTGGTTTATTGCACGTGTATGAAGAGCTCCATGACAATGAAAATTACATGAAATTCTGTGATGTTCTCGATGAGTGGCGAATTTTAAGATCAGATGAGAGAAAAGTAAGAAAAAGTTTTAAGTGAATCTAGAATAGTTTTATTAATTAAATATTTACTTTCCTATAGAAACCAAGGTTTATTGAACTTAGCGAAGATGCAACAGTTGAAGACGTCACGAAGAAGTTTTTCGAAATGTCTGCTGAATCTTAAATGCTAAATCGAATGAAATTTCAAGAAAAAAAACAAAATAAATTAAATATGTGATTATGTGAGTCATAAAAAGCGTAAAATCTAGTTATCTCAACATGAAAAGTTCATTATTGATTAAGTGAAAGCATCAGGACCGTTAATTATCGTAATATCATGAACAGAATTCTTTTTTGTAAAACTTAAGAAATTCGAACAAACTGCCTTAAAAATTGAAATTTGTCAGCGCCATGCTTTGATTTCATGAATTTCATACAACAACAAATCAATATCAATGCTTGACTAATTCCCAGATTTCGGTGTACTTATTAGAAGTTTCTAATGAAATATCTTCTTATTAAATTCTAATCCAAAGGATGAAATTTTGTAGAAATATTTTTCTTTTAGATAAACAATTGAAAATTTCCTTAGAATTTGCTTCGACATCAATCAAAGATTTGTCAACCTACACATTTCTGACGATTATTTTTAATGTTCGTCAGAATTGTTATGACATATTGAGATAAAAAAAAATACCCGAAGATGGATGATGGATAATGAAACAAAAAAATAATAAACAGATAGAAATTACTTGATTAGTCATTTTATGGAAAAGTAAAAAAGAAAACCTTTGCAATCGTAGATATCAACAAATTTAATGCGCAATATTTTCCATAACATTCTCTCGGAGATGCCACTCTGAAGGATGGTTTTGTGATTCATGAAGATTAGAATCTGAAATAAATTCTTAATGGCAAAAGAGAATTTATTTTGAGAAGCGACGTTCAGAAATACATTTCGCAGAAAAAGCTACTTATTTCTGATTATTTCCTTAGTGATCCATCATCTTATTTACGTCGTCAACAGAAAGCAAAAGAAGAAAAATATAAATTTTTAAATTTAAAATTGTAATAAACTCATAAGGATATTTTATGACGATATTTTCAAATATTTACAAATAAAAACAAAATAAAATTTCTATAGTCAAAACCAACACGTTGAATCTCAATCAATTTTTCATGGTGGCATTTGTGAAATAAAAGATGAAACAAGCAATTAAATATTTATGAAGAAAGAAAGCTGAAAAAAAAATTTTTTATGAATAAAATTTTTTGTTTTTAATTTGTTTTGGAATATTGTCCATAATTTATTAGTTAAAAAAGTTTTGAAGAAGAAAATTGAATGCAATTATGAGTTGAATTGTTGTGTCGTTACCGTCGAATCAACTCTTCTTTTTCTCGCGTCAAAATATGTCTAACAAAAGATTCTTTATCGCGACGATCGTATTTCACTTGTATGGAGTTCGTAATTGCGAAAATGAGAATTTATTTGTCCTTCTTTTGATTAATTTTTTTGCAGTTCATTGTGATTTGAACAGAATAAACTTTTTTTTGCTGTTTTACGTTTTTCTAATCAAAAAATGCCATTGGTGATAAGAATCATGAAAAGATCATCAAAACTAAGCCTCGTATCTTATCAGTACGAAATATGAAGCCAATGGCTAAACAGAATCGATTAATAAAATGTTGAAAGTGCAAAAATTTATAATTGTAATTTGTGTCGCAATTTTTTATCAGTTTTTTATCCAAATAAAAATAAAAAAAATTGAAATGAAACATTTTGCCTTCTTTTCTTCTCTTTAATTAACGAGTAAGTTAATCATTTTATCTGGCTAGATATTTTCCAGATATTTCTTTCCTTTCTTTGTTATCTTTATTGCCGCCATTCGGCAGCCTATTTAAATGCTATTTGATTATTTTATCTAAGTTAAACAAGAGGAATGCGAGATAAACTTGTAAGAAACACTACGTAAGGGAAAATATTTTAGGTAATCGGTGGAATCTTTGGAGTTTGCTAATACAAACTCGTAAGTGAATAGTTTCATGCTTTCCGCTTCCATCTAGAACATGACAATGAAGGAAATTGGTATAAATCTATCTGACGGATGTTCTTTCAAGGATGGATGGTCGGTTGTGCAAATATTTATTAAAATATTTAATAAAACAAACTTCAAGATTCATGTCATTTGTGACGTCAACGAAATATTTTCTATCATAAGAAATGACCATAATTTTTTATCGCTATGGATTTCACTCTCAAATATCTATCAATATATCAGCTTGGAACTGAATTATCGCGATAAAAAGGAAGTGAGAGACAGAGAATTATTAATACTTTGTAATTTTACGAGAAATCGATTTCAGTTGTTTGCAAGTTTTCCTTCTGGTTTTTTCTTTCATAATAATAATATTTAATAACATTTAGTTTCATTGTTTTTTCAATATGTCTTAGCATCAAATACTTCTTATCTTTAAATAGAACTTCGTTATGTCGTTCACCTTAATTCCGAAAAAATAATCGACTATGTCTCTGTCTTCATCAATATATCTAATTTTAAATATAATGATTTAAATATGGATTAAAGTTTCGAGTTAAATATTCATTATTCTTGTATATATATTTAAATTTTTCTTTCTTTCTTTAATTTTTGGTGTCATCTTCATATTGAATGTCTTTAATTATATTTCACTTATCTAAATATCTTAACATTTTAAAGGCTTACAATCTATTAATACTTTTTCTGAATTGAAGTGAAATGCAAAACATAATTCAACAAAGAACATAAAATTGATGCCAAAGTTCAATCTTTCACTTTTACACTGCAAAAATAGAAGCAATAAGAGATTCAAAGTTTTATTTTTATTTTATTCAAATGGTGCATAAATCAATATATATTTTATCTTTTTATTTTAACTCGATCTAATCTAATCACTGTGATTTTCATAAGAAAAAAATCTCTTTGGAAGCTCAGAAAGCTCTAAGCTTCACTTCTATTGACTTCATGTTTTAGTCATTCTCTAATGTTATCTAAGAAACATTTTCATTAATAATTAATGAATTTTAAATGTCAATTCAAATGTTCCTTTATGCACCTTCTTCACAAGGGGACTCTCAAACCGTTGTATGTCACTAGAGAAAGTTTATTAATTGAACTATCTATCGACTAATTCCTCTAAATCCATTCGATGTAGTAAGCAAAATAGAGCCCATTTAAGACCGTTTCATATTATTGAATTTCATTCCCTGCTCCATGTGACTAATCTTACAAATAATCCCCATTTACACTGCCATAGTTTAAACGTATGAATCACTACTGAAAATGCACTTGTGTGTGGCATCTTCAAGTATCTAATTAAAGAACAACAAATAAATTTAACAAAATATGTTTTCAAATTTATAAGATGCTTTTTTGAAATTTAAAATTTTTAAGCTGATTACTGCATTGATGAATGAATATCTACAGATTTAGAATGATTTTCTTAGATTTTGATTTTTTCAGTATAAGATTTAACAGAGTTTAGATTTTTTATCCTTTTGGAAATATTTTTTAAGTGTTCATAAATTTATGTAATAAGATATCTACTTGCTAAAACTTCATTTTTCTTGTTTAGTAGGTATCTATTTTATTTCGTCACGAGTCTTTTGAGCTTTGTGAGCGAAAGAAACTTCATTTGAATCACAGAATTTGATAATTTAACAGAAATAAAAATAGAAAAATAATTTCGTTACAAGTTGCTACATTGAACTTAAATGTTTTCAGAGTTTATTTTTGTGATAAATCTGAGGGCTTTTATATTCTTTTAAAAATAGAACCAGACGAGAAAGCTTCTTTGTCAATGTTTTCGTCTTCTTTTTAATAAATCTTCATATAAATTTGTGCATGAATATTGAACTCTCTCAACTTGCCTCATGTGTCTGACATATCTTTTCTTCCAATGTTACCAAGGAACACAGAAGAAGCAAGAAAGACTTAGATAAAAGAGAAAATCGACTAAGATTGGTTTGAATCGCATAGTATTAAAATGGATGGATTTATATATGAATCTGAATCTAGCTGGGATTCTACAGCTCGATATTGTGTCATCATCAAAATTCGTTGAGTCGTTATTCTTAATCTTCTCACTTAGATACGTTGAGGATTCTACAATAATAAAAGAAAACTATAAAAGCTTCTTCACTTGACAACCTAAATAAGCGGTTGCTATTTAAATGGATTAACTTTAATTAGATATCATTATCCTTGTATTTATTGCTTTGGGTGTGAGTGAGAGTTTTAATAAAGTTAAATTGAATATTCAACGAGATTCTAATTTATATATTGAGCAAAATTTCTTTATCAATTGATAATGAATGATATGACATAACTCGAAGTTTTAAGTGAGAGAAGCTTTATAAGGAATCCCAAAATACTTAAATATTCATCAAAGTTTGAAAATACTTTTTAGACTTTAACGCATGTGTAAAGTTTTTCAATATTTATTAGTTTTTCATTTTAATCATCAAATCTATCATCTTTATTGAATTTAATCATCTTTATTGAAATTCCACAAGGAAATTTATCTACTAAAGCTTTCCCTTTCCGACCTTCAGCGTCGAACGTTTCCTTCCATTTTCATTCAAATCTTATTTAACTTTGTGAGCTTTAAAGCTCAAAAAAGTGAAAAATCTATAAAAGCTCATAAACATTAGAAAGCTCAAACTTTGAAAGCTTTTAATGACTATCCTCAAAAGTTTAATGATCTTACATTAAATAAATAAAAGTTTAAAAGTATGCATCTTTTATAAACCTTAAAAGCTTATCAAGCTTGAATGGAACAAAAACTCTCAACATTACTCAACACAAAAAGGTAAAAAGGTTTCAAAAATTCAAAGTAAATCTTAAGCCCAATTCGATTGAAAGATAACTTTCCAAACTTCATCTATGCAACTTCTGTTTAAACTCAAAAGAAATGAATGAGAATGAAGTTTAAAATTAAATTTACAAACTAATTAGCTCTAATGCCGTTAAATTTGATTTTCTTTCTAAATTTCGCTTCTATCTAACTAACTTTGTATCCATTTTTCTTCATCCTTCGCTGTAAATTCTCTGATGTCTACTAATGCATAAGAATTTTTAGGAATTTGACACATGACACACCTTAAAACGCCATGCTTAATCGTCTATTTCTATTGCCACCACAACGAGCTAGACTACCACCGCTACTAATGCTTCGACCCAATTTACCTTCACTTCCTTTCCGTTCACGAGCTTTACGTAACAACTCAGAGGTGGATGGACGTCGTTCTTTATTCAGAACTGTTGGATCAACCGTTAAAGTCGTGCCAGAACCATGCACACTTTGCACGTTCTGATTAGACTTTTTCGGTGACAATTCATTGGGATTTGCTGTCGGTATTTTCTTATTAAGAATATCTGAAGTTGAAGAACGACGTGGACTTATGGAAATCGAAAGATATGGCGATGGGCTTGCGGAACGTGGAACATATTCTTGATATTGTAAAAGTTCAGTTGTTGATGAAGTCGTTGGCGTGATAGCTGGCGTTACACAAATCGACGATGTTGATGGATATCTTTGGGGACTTTGACGATAGTTGAGTAACATTTTCGTGTCATCGCTGTCAACATCGTCGATTCTAACGCACGGAGCTATCGGTGGATTGTAAGTTTTCTTCACTAACTTTGTTGCTTCTCCAACTTCAGCATCACTAGAACTACTCGTATCGTTCCTTGAAATCTTAAGCATTGCTTTGAGATTTTGGTTAATAGATTTCAAACTTATCAAACTTGAATTTCGTTTTATTTTCATTTTCGATTTTTCTTCAGTTGTTGGCGAATCTTTTTGTTCAATATCATTGCCAAATGAGTTACCACGTCCAAAAGCTCTCTCATCTTTATTATTAAAAGACGTTGATGTTGATGCTGGAATTGATTTGTAATCACGAATAAACTCTTTCGCATTCGTAAGGGAAGATTTCTCTGACTTTTTAGAATTTTTCGATTTGTTGCTATCTAACGGACCAAGATTTAATTTTTGTCACTGAATCTCACAGAAGCTCATCTTTGAATCTTTCTGGTCATCACCAGCTAAACTAAGATTCTCATCTTTTGGCGATTCAGCAACACCTGACATTCCAATTCCACTAATTACTGATGACGGTCCCTGACTATAGGGACCAGTTGATTGTCATCTAAGTGCGAGCGTTGAAATCGGTGCCGGCCTCACAGGCTTATTCTCCAATATCCTTTCAAGTTCCATCATAACAGCGACAGACATTCGTGGTAAAAGTTGTAATGCTTGAAGATTCATATGAAGTTGTTCAGTTGTTGTCGCACCGAGAAGCAAACATTGCACAGGTTCATGTTTCAATGACCACGCAATAGATAATTGAGTCGTTGAACATCCGAGTTTCTCAGCAAGCATTGCAAGTTCTCTAATCTTTTCACAATGTCTTCTTGATTCATCCATTCGATCCTAGAACGGTATCAGCATAAGTTCAAAGTCGACGTTTAAATGTTTTACATGACTCAAAAGTCATGTCAGGTAGCTTCTGACATTTATGCTTGTACAATAAAGAGAATGAATGAATAAATAAATGAACATCGTGCTTTTTGTGAAGAACAACCTCACAAAACATAACAAAAAAAGAACAATTTTTGAATGTCATCATTTTGATGAATGATAGTTTAAGTTTACCTCTTTATTGAGTTCATCTTCTGTCCACGAATAACTTTGACTTTTGTTTCTTAATGATCCTTTTGTTGAAAATAATAATCGTTCACTATTTTCCGGTAATGACATAGAAAGTGGCCCCCAAGCCATTAAACCAACACCAATTTTATTGTACAATTCAGGAAGGTAAAGTTCCGCCTTCTCTCGACAAAACATGTGATATTCAGCCTGTTCAACAATCGGCGTAACACAATTAAATTGCCGACAGTTACTGTACGCCTCCATGATCTATGTATGTACATATACAACATATTAGCATAAGCTTGTACATTTAATCGAATGAGATCAAATGGAAAAATGTTCAACATTCATCAATAAACTTCACTCACTTCGACATGACTCCATTTTGCTGTACCCCAATAGAGACACCAGCCTTGGTTAATGACGTAATTCATTGCACGAATCATTTCTTATGGGGAAGATGTGAAAATGGAAAACATGAAGAGAGTAAAGAAGAAAATTTATATGCAGGTAAGATGATGTTTTATGACTGAATACTAATGTAAATATATAATTTCTCTATCTACCTTCCATGGGACACATCGCGTCTGCTTTATGAACAAGAATGATGTCGATATAGTCGACTTGAAGACGCTGTAAACTCGCTTTAACGCTCTCAATTATGTGCTTTCGAGATAAGCCTCGTTCTTCCGATTTCGTGCTCCAATATATCTTTGTTGTGATGACATAACTCGTCCGTTTCCAATTGTATTTTTGTATAATTCTGCCAAGTTCAAGTTCCGCTCTTACACCGGAATGCGCTTCTGATAAATCAAATAAATTGATTCCACTGTCGGCTGCTAATTTAATAATTGCTTCAGCTTGTTCATCCGACACCATGGGAGAGAAAATTGACCAGGTACCAAGTCCAACATTGGACACACGAAGACCACTTTTACCCAAGTTTTTATATCGTAAACCTGGTGTGGGTGGAGGAGTGGGACGAATGGCTGGATTAGTTCCATAACTGAATGGATGACCTGAATATAATTGTTTGATTTATTCATTGAATTTCAATTAACAAACTTTTTTTTTGTTTCGTAAATAAATGTCGACAAGCAAGAGTAAACAAGTCGATAGATAATTGCTTACCGTAATCAATGTGAGAATGACCTGTGAATTCTTCCATGCAATCAAGAGAAGCGATTGGACATCTACCGTCGAATAAATACTTCAGATCTCATTTAAATATCGATAAGACTTTATTTTCATCTCACCTGTAAATTGTTACTGTGTTCTTATCAGCGTCATTATTATGGTGGTGGATGTTACTGTTATTGTTATTGTCGTTGCCGCTTGTTGCGATATTACACATCACTAGAGACATTGTCGGATATTAATGTGCAGGTTTGCTCGAATCACTTATATCAAAATGTAATTGATCTCTTTCTCGATTCGGAAGAAGATTATTTTTTATCCTTCAGGTGAACTTCAACGTTTGTCAGATGAAGTGAAAGCTTCAAGTATCCGTTTAAATTAAAAGCTTTTGATGATTTATCTGACGTTGTTGTCTTGTGGAAAAACCACTCAATTGTTCACTTCTCTAAGAGGAGAAAAAAAAACAATTAAGCTCTCGCAATTCCTCACACCACGATTAAAGTCAACCGATGAAGGCAAGGAGAAGGGAAAAATGTAAAAAGAGAAAAACAATAATTTTTCCGAAGCTCTCCTCTGATATTCAATATATTTTCCTTTCCCTAACCGTTCAAGTACTTTACACGATCCTTAAACAGAAAGCATAATATTTATGAGAGACAAAAGATGCTTTATGATACTTACAAAGCATCAAATATTATGTCGTTTGCGGTCTTAATTAATGGAACGTAAATGCTTAATTAGGTTCCTTCAAATTAATTTTTTTTTCCTTGGAAATTGTAAAGACTGCTACAAAAATATCAATTAAAATAAATTACAACTTTCTCAGTTAATGAAAAGTAAGGAAAACTTCTTTCACCCTTTGGAAATTTTTTCTTTATCTTCAAGCTTTTCAATATTCATGATATTTTTATAACATTAAAGTTCACACAAAAAAAAGCGAAAATTTAATAAGATTCAAATGTTTGGAAGGAAGAATCATATTTTTCATCGAATGCCTTTTAGTTTAAGCGCCATGAACTTTGATCTTTTATAAATGCTTTCAGATGGAGAAAATCTCTTTTGAAACGAACATTTTTATTTGAATCTTGATTCGATAGAATTTGATCGAATTTCCCAACACCAAAGTTAAACGAAGAGAGGTTGAAAGCAGCATCTATTACAAATGTTTCTTTTCATTTTAGAATATCTGTTATCAAACAATATCTGTTTTTCATAAATTTCCATCCGTATAATTGTCTTTAAACTTGATGACATCGAAACTTTCCCATTACCATTACGTAACGGTAACGAAACCTTTCAGTAGTGAAGAGAAACTCGTCCTATTTTGCATATAAATCCATTAATGATATGCAAACCAACGTTTTTGAAGGAAAACTTTTATTCTCTTCTTAGCAGTTTCAGTTTCAGCTTACCGTTTCGGTAAACAAATGCAAAGAGTTTTCTTTATTTTCATTTAATGTGCGAGCACTGCTCTTCACGCTTCACACGGATGTTTTTCCTTTTTTTTATTATTCCCTCATACGTGTGTGTGTATGTGTGAGAGTTTGTTTATATAAAAATATTAAGTAGAAGGACACAAAAGGGGATGACATATTCTCGCTTGAAGAACTATCTTTATGACTTTTCGAATGAAGTAACAAACGGTAAGTAAAGCACTGAAGCATTTGTAGAATGCAAAAGATTTTTAAAGGAAGAAATTGCGCGCTGTAAAATTCCTCAAAGTCTTCGAATATAAAAGTTTTAATTATTCACGATGTTTTTCCGCGTCGCTTAGCAATTTAGCATTTCGTGATGGTTTAAATTTATCAAGCAGAAAAGAAAGATAAAAGTTTTGATGTTCAAGTATTTAGCCAATGTTGTTTACATTACAATCAAAATGGATAAACATGTCATGTCCTATTTCGGGTATCGTTAATGACAGAAGTTTTTTCTTTGTCTTCCATTTTTTTGGTTTTGACGTGACATCAATTAATGAAAGATTCCTTCCAGGAAATAATGTTTTACATTGGCGTTGATTGAAATTTCCCTTGAGCTTTGTCATCGATATCGAAAGTAATTTTCATTTGACAACGAAGAAGAAAAACAAGTAAAGTAATGACGATGAGCTTTGTAATTGTCACTCGTAATCAATATCGATCTGAATTTTGAACTCAACAACACAACTCTGTTCCTTTCAAATGAGTCCCAATTATTATTCTTTTATTCCTTTGTGAATTGTTTTACGGTTTGGCAAATTGTGTATCTACACCCGCGACAATTTATTTATTTATTTTCCTCTACCTTTTTTCTCTTGTCAACCAAGTTACGGAAACTTTTCGCGCTTTGTTGTATCTTCCTTCTTTTTTACAATTCAAATCGGATTACACAGTATAGGACAGCACAAAAAGCACCAACAATAATAATAAACTTCATGACAGTGTCACCTTCTCGGAAATTAAATGCAGAACGGATGTTAGCAATTTTTTTTCTAATTTTGATGTTCTTCCGTTGCACAAAAATCAATGACGAGATCACAAAAGTCACAAAAGAAAATCGTTTTTAATTTTCCTTCTTTTTTGTTATCACTTACAGGTCGTCTTGTGATGATGTGAATTCTTTGCTGACTGAACAAGTTTTCTTTTTCTAATTTTCATTTTTTGGTGAGAAATTTTCCGTGGAGAAAGAATGGAGAAAAAGAGAAGAAAAATAAGTTTGGAGAGAGCTTTTAAGCACGCGCTAAGCTTTTACACGCATTTCATTTTTTCGTGCTGAGCGGAAGAAGGAAGCAAAGCTCAAGGGGCAGAAGATTCCAAATGAAATTAATGACTGGTAAGCCGCTTTCGTCTATTCAATAGATAAGAAAGACGTTTGATGAGAGGATGTAGAAAAGGTTTTTCGGCCCTCATCTTAATTTCAAGTATCGGACGTGTGTTAGGAAGCTATTTTATGCATGAATTTATTTTTCTTCTTTCCCTTTTGAACTTTCCCCTCCCTGTCTAACACTGAGCTCATGAATTATGAAAATTCTTTGCTCCGCATTTTTCTATTTGAATTATTAATCGATGTGGTGTTTGAGCAACACGATTTTGTGAGAAATATTTACATAACTTTCTGCTTTCATTATTCATTCACATTTCTTTTCATGGATGGAAATGCATCTCACATTTTTATAACTTTTCCCATCACATACTTTTTTTTCTTTTGATTCCGGGATTTTCTTTTTTATCCAATTTGACGATTATCGTCGCTGAAGCAAACTATGGGAAAGCGATGAAATATTTTGGTCGCCAGATTAGCTTTCCTTGGCAATGGACCAAACACGAATCCGAAAAACTTAAATCGAAAACGGAAATTGAACGAAATGAAAATTCAATTGAGTTGTTAACATTGATTTTTCTTTCCTTTCTTCACTCGTTCGCGGGCAAACGACCGGCCGATATGTTTGTCAAGAGCTGATGATGGAGACTGAAACGATTTGGCGAGAAATGAAAATTCTTTTACATGAAGAATGAATGAAATTTGAGAAGCTCTTCGGTGAGAGACATGCGCAGTTCTGAAAGCTTTCTCTGAATTTTCTCGCATTGCATTTTCATTTATTTACGTTTTTCTTATCAATGATCACATGCTTCTCTCCTCACTGATATTTATTGTTTACCATTGGAAGGAAATTGATACAAATTTGACTTGATTTGTGTTCTTATGGAAGTCATGATGTGATTCTCCATAAAAGCAATACCGATGATCATCAATTTAATAAATTTTTATTCTTCATTCTCCAATGGAATTTCAAATTTCCCCAACTAAAGTTAATTTGGTAAATATTTTTATAGATAAAAATCTAAAGGGTAATGAAAATTCCACCTATTCATTACATTAGCGTTAATTCATTTGAGCTTTAAGCTTCCCACTAAAGCTTTTACAAACATTACTTCCGTAGGCAAATTAACACACAAATCAGTGAAATAAATTGAAGCAATGTGTTTAAGGCAGAAATAAATATTCTCTGTCACGCAAATAATTAATTCTAACAACAACCTGTGGCCTGTTCCAGATAATTGTTTGTTATATTCTTTCGTTAGATTTATTTCCATTTGTTATTGTTAATTTTAAGCATGTGCGTTTCATTTGATGTAATGATTTGATCTTAAATATTTCCCAAATAATTTTAAAGTTGATGCTTTGAATTTAAAATCAAAATAGAATTTTTATTTAGAAAACTTGCAAATAACGTTCTTGGAGTTAGATTGTGGAACTCATTGAGCCCAGAAATAAGAATGAACGTTGCGCAATCGAGTTTCAAGCACGAGTGTCTAACATTTTTCACCTCGAGAGAGTCGTAAAAGCGAAATCAAACACAATCTTGTCCTCAATCAACTTTCCCCAACCTTACCCCCTTCATATCCTTCACTGAAAACGAATGATTTTATGAACTTACTTAATTTTTCTTTTTCTCTTCTCTTATCATAATACATTAAATTTAAGAATCATTTTTGAATTAAAAATTTCTGAATTCCAATCCTTTGGGTAAAAAATGGCATTTATGTACATAAGAAGACTTAGGTCTAAAGAAGAGTTCAGCTCTTACTTGTACAAAATTGAATTCAAAAATAAATAATAATAATAAATAATAATAAAAAATAANAGCATGTGCGTTTCATTTGATGTAATGATTTGATCTTAAATATTTCTCAAATAATTTTAATGTTGATGCTTTGAATTTAAAATCGAAATAGAATTTTTATTAAGAAAGCTTGCAAATAATTTATAAAACTTTCATCTAAATTTTCAACTTGAAATTCATTGACATCAACCTGCTATAAATATTTAAAATTTTTCATCTAATTCGACTGGTACTCAGCCATTCACAACAGCTGTTGCTACAGTCAGTGTTTTATTTCCAATACAAGTTTAAATTTAAAATAGGAAAATATCATTACGTTCACGTTCATTCGACATCGACTTTTCTTTTCTTGCATGGTGAGCTTAACAGGCAGGCACAGGTAGAGCGAGCGCGTGAGAGCAAAAAATTGCCCAGCTTTTAGTTGCTTCGGAGAACTCGAATGGAATAGTCGCGAAATGATATGCGCAAGAAAGTGAGCGTATAAAATAAAGTTTGGATATTTGGCAAACAGTGAAGAAGTGACTTTAAAAAATATTCAAAAATAAAATTAAAATTCATAACAAGATTACAAATGGTAGTTAAAAAGTTTACATAATTCAGCAAAACTCGCAATGACTTGTTCGCTTTGCATTCAAAATTGAATCAGAGAAAAGTTTTTCCCAAAATTTCTCCCGAATGAATCACAATTTGACTTGTAAAGATCCGCATTGATTCAGACAAAACAAACCGCAAACAGTGCACTGTGAACAAAAGAAACAAGACAAACATAAGAATTTCATTGTTTCCGATATTAATGCATAAAAAAAGAAATTTTCGCGAAAGTAATCAAGTTAACGTGAGACAAGAATTGAAATTTTTATGTGATGGTCACGCGATGTAGGTCAGAAAATCCGATCATGTTAAACATTTAACATCGAAGAATCAACAAAATCGTTTCTTTCTTGTGCTTCATTTCTTCTTCTTCTTTGTTTGTGAGCCATCTCTTGACAGCTCACGTTCATTGTTAAATGTTTATTCATCTTAACCCAAACTCTGAAGAGTCTTAACATGATCTTCCGTTTAACTGAAAACTTTTCTTTGTGTACCTGAAAGGTTTTAATTTCTTAATGGTTCAAGAGGAAAGTTACGATCGGATGTTACTTTAAGAAGAAATTCATGTCATGATCAATTTGTCGATTATCTTTAAAATGTTTTGCATTAGCTATCATTAAGCGATTTCTCTTAAAAAGTGCTGCTGCTGTGATTTCTTGAAATTAACGCAATTCCGCTAATTCAATTGAACAATAAAGTGGCTAGAAGAATAATTTTTCATTTCAACTAAGCCAACCAAATCGACAATGAATCAATTTTGAAATCATCTCAATCATTATAAAGATCGTTTGGTTAGCCACGGGCTGCTTTTTTTTAAATAATCACAGCAGCAAAAAAAGAATTCACCGTGCGATTTCACAATTATCGTTAGTCTGACCTTGCATTGATTGTCGTTTGTTATTTATTTGCAGCAAAAAATTGACAATCACATCCAAAAACACAGCATGAGCCGAGCCAAATGTAGCTTTTGTCGATTTAAAATTCAACATGGAGTTTTTATCTGTTGAAATTTTAATAAGAAACTTTTTCAAATCAAGTCACATTATAAGGTATGAGAAAAGTACGAACGGTCTCAGCTGAACAGAAGCCAAGTTGCTTACTTAGTCTTCCATTTCTTAAATCAATTATTCAGACTTCGTTTATAATTAATAGCTGAAACGGGGAAACGATACACAAGCGGTTTATTTTCTGTTTGAGTCACGCAGTTCTAGAACTCGTCTTAAATAATGATAACTCATTAAGTAAATTAGATTACTTTTCGGGCTTTTTATTGCAATTTCTGAATCATCCTCTGACGAACAAAATTTTATGTCAGTGTAAATTTATAAAACATTTTTCATTATTTCATTTTTCTAGTGTAAACATGTAGAACTTCGTTAATGAACTGGAAACATACATAATTGGCGAAATATAAAAACAATAAAAATTTGTAATAATTTAAAGTGCACGCTAAAGCTGTAAATTTAAACAAAGTGAAAAGATTATCATTGAGGAAGTTTAAACACGAATCGAAACTGTGTACATGAAATTACTAATCAGGTTAAGTCATCCACAAAAATTGAGGAAGAAAAGAGAAATAATTGAGTACAAAAGAAATTAATTTGTCAACGCAACGACGATTGGAAATTTGTGTTCAATTTCTTAAGATATTCAGTCAAAGTGTTAAAAAAGATAAAATGTCGTCACAACCAACGAAACAACGTCTTAAGAAATTTATCTTCGTCTTGATAAGCGCATTGTTTACCGTGTTAACATCGAAGACAGCGAATTGCAAGCCCACTTTACCATTTTCATTGCCACCTGCTTTTCAGTTCAGTTTACCGAAATTTCCAACATTTCAAGAGATTATCGAGAAGAGACAAATTGAAGCGATGAAAACTTACAGGTGAATGAAATACAAAATCTGTTATTTATTTAGCTCATTGACGTAAAACGCCTGAAGCATCCAACCTATTTCAAGCTCACCGTCCACGACCTTTCCCAACTTTACAAATAAGATTCCAGCTGCTAACTGTTGTTTATTCTCTTATTTTGTTATGTATCACCGACGAACTCTCTTTTATCACTTCAAACTGTTGTCATCATCAGTTGTTATACATCTGAAGCAGTTCACATGAAATGAACAGTTTCGAGTCGTTCTCATTATGAATATGTGTGAATATAAGAACAGAAAATTAGCCTACAGAAGCTTCGGGAATATGTAAAACTGTCATCCGTTGTTTCTCTTCTTTTATGTTTTAATTAAATTTAAATTTCTTTCACTTTATCGATTATTTATTGATTGATCTACATTTTAATATTCAAACAGTTAAGTCATATTTATTGATCTAGTAAATAAATCAGCAAGCACGTGGAATAAATTTCCATTGTTTTATCCTTCAATAAATGTAATAACAGAGAAATTATACCAAGCGCTGTTCAAACAAGTAATAAACATGAAAAATATTCTTCCATTCTATGTCATAATCAAGAAATCCAACTCACCTTTTACATAACTTCAGCATCATCTGCGGCTTTACATCCACTTATGTAATGAACGAGTCTTTCGAAATGATAAGCTCGACTATCGTAGCGAATTCGCACGATCCGAAAAGTGTTAAATTGACCAATTTTTCTCGTTTTATTTTGCTTAACATTTATTTCAAAATAATAATAAAAAATATTTTTTTATCTTCTTTTTTCTTAAGTGGTCGTCGATTAGCAGTCGATTCACTTCGAATGATTTATTTCAACGATCAAACGATAGCAATTGTGGAATTGGGACCAGAGAAGCTTCTTCTCAGCTGTGAGCTCATTGAAATCTAGTGAGTATTATCTTTTGAGAATCATTAGTAGTTTCGCTTTCAAAATCATCGAAGTGCAGAGAAAAGGCCGACAAACTCGCGTAACTAAATACAATCTTCCGATCTACTGATCTCAAATTTCAGCTTATAAAAATAAAATTTTGAAGAGCTGTTGAGTCGATTAACATTCGACGAGTGTGCGACTTATAATTGATATAATCTTAAAGCAAGAAACCAAGCGAAACGACTTGATAAATTTCCTTTTTTAAAAGCTTCAGTTACCAGTTTGCGGACTGCACCAGCACATAAATTAACTTTCATTTTTTATTTCAAACGAACATGAGTTGACTTCACTTTTTAAAGAAAAGAAATTACCAAAACTAAAGAAACTTTTCTTCGTCATCATGTCTTATTAATGAAATGATATTGATGACTGTGTTAAGTATTGTGAACATCAGACATGTATGAACAGAAGCTACAGCTACAAATTAAAAACGATGCTTGAACATTGAACGGTGATTTGCGTTATTATTAATTTTCTCTTCAAAAGTTTCTTTCTTTCTTTCTTTCCAAATGATTAGCACTCGAATGTGGTAAATTAGTGTAAAAAATTGCAAATCATTTTCTTTTCACATAATTTAATCTCGCTCCATTTGCTGGAGGAGAATGAAAGTCATTTATAATTTTTTTACCTTCAAATATAATTTTAATGCAAAATACTACACAACTGCATAGTTGAGATTAATGTCTTTGTCTGCATCCGTGAAGCGAACCATTATGAGGGAGAAGAACAAAGGAAAGTTTAATACCTAACAGCATATAGTTGGCAAATTTCCAACAAAGAGATGAAATTTAACTCTCAAACTCTATAAATATGTCACAGAGAAACATAAAAACTTTGCAGTTGTGCTGGCAATTTTACGATTTTGTGATATTACATAATTCGAACCGCACCACAAGTTCAAGGGTATTGAGATTGTCAGCAATCACTTCTGAAAGATAATTCGATCTAATACATAAAACAGTTACAACTTAATGATAAGTATGTAATAATATCAAATAAAAGCAATAAACCTACCGACTCAATGCCAGCAGCAACCCGTTCATAAGCCAAGCCAACATTTAACGACAAACTCATCGCGTGCAATCAATAATTATTGTTCAAGTTTAATTGGCCTTGAAGATATTTCACCTTTTACGTCATCTTAATGTAAATAAACAAATCTTTAAAAAAATTATTGTAATTAAAGCAATCAAGTCGTTAGCACTTCCATAATGATTTGTCGTTTAAAATATAATCTTATGACGTTTGTTCAACATTCAATGGTAATTTCTCGCAATCTTCACATTCTCGATATTAAATTTGCTTTGTAACTACTCATCGTATTGCGCAACGTCAATTTAGAGATTGTCATTTCATTGTGATTACTTTTTACAGTCATTAATTTTATTGCGAAGGTTAAATGCAACTAATTCATGACATTTTAAGTTGACGATGTTTGCAGAAAATTTTCTCTGTTCAGCAATAATTGAAATTGACCATTTACAAATGTTCAACTTTATTTAATTAATTATTTTTAAACTTTCACTCACAGTGATGATGAAGAGGGAGCAGTTCTGCTTCGTAAATTATCGAGAATTAATCAACCTATGGAAATTAATTTCTACGACATGTTGAAACTTATGCAACAATGCAATCAAGTGGAGAAGAATCAAGATGCATCGAACAGAAAAGCTCAAAGATTCGCAGCTTTATATAAGAGAAATGGTGAACGAGACATTATTGTAAGTCAAGCACAGACAAGTTCAAACAATGCTGATGATGAAACTCGTGGAGTTCTTGCTGGAAATCCTTTCTCAGTGTTCAGTGGAGTTTTTCCAGGAACTAAATGGTGTGGAACTGGTGACATAGCCAAGAATTTTCATGATCTTGGAACGGTCAGTGAAATTATTTCCTTTTTTTTATTTTGTAAATTTAATCTTTCGTTTGTTAGGAGAAAAACATGGACCGTTGTTGCCGTGATCACGATATTTGCCCAGTGAAAGTTCGTGCTTATCAGTCACGATATAATCTTACCAATAATTCTATTTACACAAAATCTCACTGCGTTTGTGACGATCTTCTCTACGAATGCCTTAAAAAAACTAACACATCAGCATCTCAAGTCATGGGTTCAATTTACTTCAATCTGGTTCAAGTTCCTTGCATTGCTGAAGGTCCAGATGGAAGAATGACATTCCGTAATGCCCGAGATGGGTTTTGAGATTGTTAAGGCACGACATTCTTTTTTCCTTGCTAGTAGTTTCTTGTGTATATAATAAGCAAAGCAGAAATTGACATTATGTACTTTTAATTAATTTATTTTAAATTTGTCGTAGACGATAAACAGACAGAAAATGTTTGAATGTGATGAAAACAACTTTTAAGTTTATGAAATAAAATTATTTTCAAGTTTTAGTCGTTAAATTAATGACGTTTGATTAATTTATTTAAAAATCTATCGAAACTCAAGTAAAGATGGCTCACGATCTAACATTTCAGTGTGAAGAACTTTCATTGAATAAAATCTAAAAAGGAGATTGACGATGCCAAGAACTCTTCCAATTATTCCACTCATGTTGAATGCAATTATGAAGAGATCAAAGAAAAACGACGATAAATCGATGGAAAATGCCTGAAAGATTTTGAAAACGTTTTTAAAATGAAAAATGAAATTTATAATTGATTTTACAATTTGCGACGCTTCAACAGAATTCCTTGAAGCAATCGACCAGATAATTGCCACCACAAATAAAACATTGTAGAATAAGTAAGCTGGGGATGACCAATGAGTTAGTAAAACGCCAACAACTAGCACAAAGTGAACATGAAGAACAAACTGTAATTATTTCAAATTAACTTTTACTGAAAAACTTTCAACTTTGCTACTATAATTAATTACCCGGAGTTTCGAATAAGATTGAGAGAAATCCATTTCTCAACTGAAAAGCGTTCGAAATATTTTCCGACACGGCTTCCTTTCCATTAGCTTTTTCCTTCCTTCTAATGAAACTTGATATCTCGTCTGAAAATCAATAATCGAAAGCTGATACTCATCGAATGTTTTCAGGTTTTGTTAAATACATTTCTCTTTTATTTAATTCTTTAAAGAAATTATTGTGAGTGCAAATAAATTAATAAGCTTGATTAATAATTACAAATTAAATGTTCTTCACTTCAACGGGATAACATCATAAAGATCATAAAGATTAAATCATAATTCATTTGTCTTTTTATTTCGAATGATTTAAAGGAGATTTCTAATAGATCGGTTAATGTGTTTAATCATTTTAGGTTCATCGAAAGAAACAGCAAACTAATGTCATGTGAATAACAGCGAGAGAAATGTCATCTTGATCTCAATAAATTTTTCAAAACAGTTCATTAAAATTCCATTGAAAATCTTGTAGAAATACATTTGAAGTTGGGATAAATTTTTGATAAGAAAATAGACATTCAAAGGGTGTAAAATATGGCATTTGATCCACTTAAAGCACATAAATAACCATCGACTATTGTTATCATTTCTTTGTAAAATGTTTCACGACATTAGGATTCGTTTTGGCTGTTCATTGTTTTAGAATAAATTGCTTATGTTTGATTGAGCTGACTGACTGTTGGGAATATTTTGACGACTTCCGTCGATGTCTTGATAACTTCTTGGTGTTCTTGCATTGTTTGGTGGATTATTTGATGCGACACTGACAAGCACAAAATCACCACCTCGATCAACGAGTTCTTTGTGCAAAAGCAGCAGCGAAAATGGACGCACACAAAGATTAATCACAGCAAAGATTGTTGACCAGATTCCACCTACACTGGGGAAGAATGCAATAACAATAATGAAATCGAAGAAGAATGAAGAGAAATTGATCGCCGCTGCCTAGAAAAATTCTTCAAGATAATGAGAAAGTCAAAAATTCATAAAAATGTTAAACTTACAGTATGAATGGCATCAACCGATTCTCGTGAATGAATCGCCCATAAAATTGATACCAAGAAGAGGATATTGTAAAACATATAGGCTGGCGGAAGCCAGTGACTTAACATTGCATTCACCAGCAATGTAAAATGAACAAATCCGATAAACTGGAAGGGAAAATAAATGTATCGATTACATTAAATGGATCAAATATCATTGAGGATTCCTTTCTTAACCTTCTGTCATTCAAGCGTATACATAAAGATTCCGAAATAAATCAGAGGGCTCATGATCTCAGATTTAATTCAGGATTTCTTAGGATTTGATACATAAATAAACTTGAATTGTCAGCAGGTTCAACAAGTTGCTTTTCAGACATATCGTGAGACTTCTTATTATTCAATTGCTTATGCAATCATTTGACAATGTAGAAATAAATTATTAAACATCAATTAATTATGTGAGCACTTATGAGTTATGTTTACAAAAACATTTTGAAAGTCAATGTGAATTAGTCATGAAGTTATCAGGAAACAAAATTGCTTTATCACTTTTTTTAAAAGATTGAAGTGAACTACAAAAGTCGGTTGTTTACATCTTTTACTTGGAGAATTTCATAATTTAGCAGGGAAATAGTTGATGAAAGGGTCAATAAGAAATTTTTGATAAGCATAGAATGAGAAATAAAACAGATAAAGAAACAGATGACATCATATGACTTGTAGTTAATTAAAGAAAAAATGGAAACACGAACTTACCCGAATTCTCACAAAAGGAGTGTTTATTGCTGTTTGAATATCCATTGAGCGTAAACTTTGTAGAACTTATTGTAAAATGACCAAACTCAGAGCGAAATAAATAACTTTAAGAATTTTTCTCCTTCAGTTTCGAAAATGCGTAATAAAATTATTTTTTGCGGGACTATGAGAACTTTCTTCTTGCGACGATAATGGAAAAGTGTTTTTTCTTGTTGTTGGTAATGAAATTACGAACAGACAATTCTTGATTGAAAGATTAAAATAAAATTTTTTTGGTAGAGATAAGAAAATTTATTTTTATTTCTTGCAACCGAATGTGCGACATATTCGAGTGATGACTTTTGTCGCTAGAAATGTAAACAAATCCATTTGGACAGCTCATAAAAATTCTTTGAGAAAGAAAATTTGAAATTCTCATAGAAAAAGTAACATCATCAACAATAAAAATAATTAAAATTGAATTTATACGCTGAGATGGCAACCAGATACTTGACAGAATTGTTTTCTTTGATGAGAAATTCACATAGTTACAGAAATAATCATTTTTCGGTAAGTTTCCAGATGTTTTTATTTTTTCAGCATTTTAAAGAATTTTTTTCTCTTTTCACTAATAATTCTAGCGTGACAGTGACAGTGAAAGACTCTTAAAACGAAAAAATTCTGGTTCAGATGAGGAAGTTGAGCTTAATGAAGAATGTATGTTGCCACCAAGTTGGTACGATCTTGTCGAAAACACAAAGTACACAATTTCAAAAGTTGCAACGAAAATGGTTGAGTTGGAAGCATTACACAAAAAGCTTCTTCGTCCAGATTTTGTAGAAAAAAGCGACGATGAAATTCAAATGGAGATTTTAGGACAGGAAATATCGAAGTTGATTGGAATAGCCCATAAGAACATCATGGTGATTAAATCACATCAATTCACGACAAGCAGTGGACAAGAACGAAAATTAATTGAAAACATCGTTAGAGGCTTAATTGTGATTCTTCAGAATCAAACTGCTACTTTCCGAAATGAACAGAATGCATATTTGAAGCAAATTCATTCATTGGAAGAATACACGAACGACTTTTTTGACTCTCTAAACTTCAATGGAACGACGAATGAAGAATCAGCAAATAAAACATCAGTTGAAACTTTTGATAATTTCCTTAAACCTACAGCATCCTCATCGTCGGGCTTCAATCCGAGTCAACTTGATGATCTTGAGAACGACGAACGTCTCGATGAATATTTCCAAATCAAACCAAATCAGAAATTAAATCAGAAGCAACTGCTTCAGTTTGAAATTGATAACACAAAAATGATGGAAGCTCGAGAAAAAGAAGTTATGGGAATTGTAAAGTCCATAGTTGAATTAAACCAAGTTTACAAAGATTTATCAAACTTAGTGCAGGAGCAAGGCACAATTTTAGATAGAATCGATTATAATGTTGAATCAACACAGTCAAGAGTTTATCAAGGGTTAAAGGAACTTCAGAAAGCAGAAAGATATCATCGAACTAATAGGAAAATGTACTGCATCTTTATTCTCAGTGTTGTGACACTTTTCATGATTATTCTATTGATTTTAACTAAATTATAAATCATTCATTCCATATATTAATGTTACTTAGTCTAAACAAATGTCTAATTTATTGAAAATTATTATTGAAAAATAAAGTTTTAATCATAAATGTAGTTAATCACAAAGAACATTTAATCTAACTCTGAAAATTAGACATCTGATCTAATCCTGAACTTTAATCTAACTCTGAAGCTCTTACCCTCTCATTTGTTTCTTAATAAACTGAAGTTTCATCGATATTGTTTCGACTATGAAATAACTGACCTGACGCAATTTTCAATGTGACGAAAAACATTTTTAAATAAACACATTCGCACACACAAAATTTCAATATGCTTTCATCGCCTCGTAGCTGGTCAACGGAAATGACTACTGAATGATTTATGACTTTTAAATGATTTATGACAGTCAAAAAAATAAATTATAATGAGAATTTTTTTCATCTAAACAACGTGTAAATTACAATAGTGAAACATCAGACGGTTAATTGAATTAAGCCCTTTACTTCCTATCATATGTATGTGACATCCGTGATAATGAAACGGAAGTAGAACATTTAATTAATTTTTATCATTCATAAAGGTCGTCATTTTGCGTTAGACTTTATGTTTATGTCATGCAAAATAATGATTTCGAAAAGTTTAACTTTATTTTTCCTTATTTTGTCTAATCGTTGTCGCTAATTAATTTGACGTAGGCCCAACAGATAAAATTCACACCATTTATTTTCAAATCACATCTCTTCATAGTTATCGTCAAATATCAACCATTATTGACGTCATGTTCATCATGTATTTACATTTTCGTGCTTCTCAATACCATCGGACGGAAAAATATTTTCTCTACAACTCATTCCATTATTGTTACGATATGCTACGCCTGTAGGAGAGAACCTCTCGTTCGTCTGACGTCATAGAGAAAAACAATAAAATGTAATGGCAGATATTTTATTCGTGAAGTCTCCCCGCTCGCACACATCTGAAAAGTCGAGTAATCGGGCGACGGTAGCTAGCCGATCGTCGTGTATACATAAACGAAACGAAACGAAAATGTTTTCGGGCCCCAGCGAGAAAACTTGCTGAAAAAACTTTTTTTCTTCTCTTCTCAATTCACATTTTCATTCTGGTTGGGAAAGTTTTGTGGTAGAAAAGCTCCGTGTGACTCTAAAGATTAATTAAGAAGGCTTCGAAGGAGAACAAATTAAAGTGTAAAGTTTTAAGAGTGTGTGTCAGCTTTGTCGGAAATTGTGGAAAGTTTCAAAACTACAAAATAAGTTTTGCATCTGCAGTGATTGCGTTCGCTCGGTAGCTTATCTTTCGAGCAAGTTACGAGGAAGAAAATTTTCAAGGTCTTCGTATTGAATTTTTTCTATCGACTTCTTCTTGTTCCGATCTCGTTATATATTCGATAAAAATTTCTGCTGATTTTCGTTTCTGTTGTATAAAACTTAAGTCGTATTACAAACATAAACAGACTAAATCTTAGAATTAAAACCATAACAAATAAATAAACAAGCAATTGCGAGTGGGAAAAAGCCAAATAAAATAATAGCGAATTAAAAAATAAAACACAGAGGAAAATAATTCTTCTAAAAATAAGAAGCAGAAAGTGAGAATTGACTTTGAAAATTAAAAAAAAGTGTCGGTGTAAAGCCAAGGAAAAGGTCAACGCGGACAGCGCATTTTCTCATCTCTCGACGTTCACTAAAAATAAAAATCTCCTCGATCTCAGCTGATATTTTCGCGTAACTGCTGAGATCAAACGTAATCAAAGAAAGCGACAGAGTGGCTGAAAATAATTTTCTTCAGTGTGCATCATTGGCCTAGGTGCCGACAATTTCATCAACAGAAAAATTGCAACTTTACAATAGTAAAGCTTCGACAAGCGTCTAAAGATATTCATCAACTGCAGCAATACTAAAATCTAAATAAAAACAGAAGGAAACATTTTAATTTGCTTCACATTTTATCGCTGTGACTTGTGACCGACTTTTTCATTCTCGAGACATTGTGTGCATTCAAACATCTGACTTGTTCACAACGCAGTAAATTTAATACTGTTTGGGTGAGTCTATAAATATTATGAAATTTTATTTCAATTTATTTACAATGTTTGTCAATATTAAAGTCATTAAAAATAATGATCGATCAATCAGTTCTTATGTTGATCATCATCTAAATTGAGCAATAAAGTTTGCTTTAATTTAATTATCAATTGGTCGTGTGAAAGTTACGAGACGACAACAACTTTTTTAAGAAAAAGAAAAGAAAGAAAAGCTTAATTCAATAATAATAAAAATAAAATTTGGGAAAAAGAATTTCTACTAAAAAAAATCTTAAAAATTTGTGAAAGTCTCTTGAGATGTCACAAAAATAGAAAAAAAGTGAAAAGCCTTGAAATTTTTCATACATTTCCTTGAAATCATTTAAAATTCTTTTCTAAATTTGTTCATAATATAAAGACATAAATCAACAATGACGCTTCCCCTTGACATTCCCAACTGATAAGTAATTAAAAATTACACAACGTGACTTGAAAAAAAAAATACATAACATTCACTGTCTCTTACAATGTCTCGAAATTTTAATAAACTCGCCATCACGTATTTGACATAAAAAAAGCGACAGATTCGAGACGAGTTATGAACAAGACGGAAAGAAAAATTTAAAGAATTAATATGGGAAATCTTTTTTTCCTTCATTGGCAGCTTAAAACTGAATTAGTTTTCATGGCTAATTTCGGTATCACGTGAAACTTTTTATCGTTTGGATTTGTATTTAAGTTAATATTGTTTACTCTTTAAAAGCGCAACACCGATAGCGTATCAGAACGTTGGTTTTTCGTCATCATCGATAACGTGTGTGTTGGTTTATGAATTATTTATTATTAGTGCTCTATATCCATCACATGTCATAGTGAATAGGCACAAGGAACGGAACTCTTAAAAGGGAGGGGGGATAGCTCAAACAATTTACTCATCACAAGTTATTAGATTTAGATTTATTGCTGTCGAGATTTGAGCAGTATATGTGCATGGGGAGCAGTAAAATGTGCTACAACGACTCGCTCGATATTGTTTTCTTTTTTCTTATTCACATAGTGATGCTAAACGTTTCGATGATCGATTACGTTTGAAGATATATCGTCTTCGCCTTTCCCCTTCTTCATCTGCCCATCGGGAAGAAGACTTCGATGATAAAAACTGTTCAAGAAAAGGAAACTAAGAAATATTGTTCAATAACTTATTTTTTCTATTCTCCATGTAATGTCGTAAAAAAGTGAAAATGTGGAGCAAGAGCAGATTGAATGAGAAAATGATTGAAGAAAGTAGATCACTATGGCACCAGATTGTAATGACTCAACTTATTTAGAATGTTATGTATCTTTAACATTCGTTTCGTTCTTTTACTTTTTACACTTTTTTTTGAAGGTTAAACAAAAGTTAAGCGTAGGTCTGGATGTTAAGGGGAAAACAATTACTTTTCTTTTGTAAATTGGAAATGAAATATCGTTGATTGTTATCTTTTCCCTACTTCCTACGCTAGCCCACGTAATTTTCTTCATTTTTCTCTTTCTACATTGTTCGACCCATTTCAACTTTCGGCACTCTCAAATCACCTAATTTTCCATTCCCTCACCTTAATTTAACATTATTAAGTACATTGCTATTAACATTCCCTCGCATCCCACACCTTCTTTCATCCAGCATTCCCAACTTGCGCAAGAAGGAACAAATTCGTTCTAGTTTTTTTTTGTTTAGCTGCTGCTTTTTTGTTTAACAAATTGAATTAGCAGCCATTTCGTTCAATTACTATATCCAGGTTACGCACCCAAAAACAAGTTTATGTTATGTATGAAAAGATGTATCAAACGACTTAATGCATCTGTTATTAGATGATGATATAAATATCAACAAAAGAAAGAGGGACGTCATAGAATTTTTCTTGTTAACATTCACAGTATGAAGTAAAGTTAGTTGATATCATTCACAAAACCTAAAGGTCTAATATTTTATGAAATTTATTATAGATGAAAAATCCTCGTAAAGAAGAAAACTCCTTAAACCTCGCCCAAAGGAAAATATTTCGAAGTTCTTTGTATGTCTTCACTTCTTCAGAGTTTTTTCAACCATGAAATCACTCGCCTCTTATATGAAACTCTCGTTTGTTCTGCGTGGAAGATTTTTTCCTTTCTTTTTGAAGGGGAGAAAGTTCTATGACTATTTATGCACATATTCAGTGATTCGTGTACCCTTCGTTGAACTTTCGTTATGTCATTATTCATTCATCATTTAGCGAAAGTTTCCATCACGTTAGTCACAACTTTTGTCTTAATTTATCTTGACGGTGTTGTTGTAAAGTTAGCTTAGATTATCAACGACAACACTTTCACACTTAAGCAATTATCATAACAATACGAAATCCAAGAAAAGGTAAAAATCTGCGTTGGTGGAAATCAGATTACAAACTGATGCAAATTTTATGGAAACTTCCATGTAACGGAAGCAAACCATCTGTGACTCTGACATCTTGCTTGTTGATTTGACTATTCAAAATGCTAAAATATTTTGATACAATTTCGTTCTCACAAAAGTATTTGGTAAATATTTAAAGAATCCCGCATAAATTTAATTTTTTTTCTGCAAGCTTTCATTTACGATTGGAAAAAAAGAAACGAAAACATTTTTGTCACATTCTGATGTACATCGAAGTAATATTCACAATAAATAAATTTTAGAAAATAAAGTCATGACGATTGACGAGAAATAAATTGACCAATGCTAGCGTAACGTGAGATTAGTTTTTCTATCTCTCCATCTCACTCCCACACAAATGCTTCTTTTTCCTCATACTAAGTAGAAAATGAGCATAAAAAATGCATGTACGAGTGCAACGAATGTACATATTTGCATACAAATGGCGCTCTGTCGCTTTGGTAGCAATAAATTGTTTGAATGTTTAATCACACAGAATATTCATCATTTCACTCTGATAAATATGGAAAGCAAGAAATGAAGAGACAGAATTTGTGAATCTCCCCCATTTGAATGCGAATCAAATTCAAAGGAAAAACTTTTTTATTATGTATTCGAGAATTTTATTTTTCGATTCACTCAAATTGTCGCAAAGTAAACAAAAACAAAATACGAGTTGAGTCGTTTGAAGCTTCTAACGATCAGTAAACGGAATCATATGTTCACAATAACCCTCAGGCAAATTATGAAGCTTCGTTGAATGTGACACGAGAAGTTTTACATTGCAATGGGAATCATAAGTCGCCACGCGATTTCATCGATTCTATTGTGTAGATAGTTCCAACTTTTCAATTGATTCAATTGCAGAGAAAATTATATTAAATAAAAATGATAAGTTGAAAAGCTCATCAAATTGATAGAGCGCCAGTCACGCAAGTCACTTTTTACCTAACTAATATTGCACACGAGACTTTAAGTATTTATTATTTATTAAATTTCCAATTTGTCGTGTTTGCGTCTTACTTCATTGCTTGTCATGAACTGAAAGTTAATCTAATGCAGTCGATCAAATTAATAAAATTCTTCTTATTATCGTCTTCGATGAATCTTCATTTTTATCTAAATAAAAGATAAGGAAAAAGGATTGTCATGACGTACATAATTGGAGAACGACAGGTGGGATTAAAGTCGTATTTTATTTAAAAAGGGGCAAAGTCGTTAATTGAACGGTGAACGCATGAAACATCATACAATCAACTGGCAACAAGAAAACAAAAAAATGTAGTAAAGAAGTGTAAAGAGTCTAATGGACAAGACAAAACGCTAATTAATTGCATATAGTTGTTAATTGCATTTGATAATGTATCAGATATTGTTCGTTACTGGTTTATAAATAAATGAAAAAAATTGCGACTTGTGGTTGTTGTTCGCAGTTTATTCTCTTTTTCATTTTCACAATATGATTGCCATAGAAACCTGTGATGACATTTTATGAAATGAAAATTAAATACATTCAAAGTGAATTATTTTTATTTTTAACTCTGACTGGTTGTCTCTTAGCCTCGTGACTGATGCCGAGCTCGGCTTTTAAAATGACATAAAATGCATAAAATTTCACATGAATAAACAAGTCAAATGTGACCAACAAAGCTGACGCAAAATAAGACAACAAATGAACAAAGTGACAACAATGTGTGAAAAACTTGAAGGTCATCGTCAACTTGACGATGTTTACAAAAATAAATTTTAAAAAGATTTTAATTTCATCTGAGTCGTGCAGGGAATGAACTGAAAAGAATTTTGTTTTGAATAATTTAGGAAAATGTTCACGTCTTCATTTATGTTTTAAATATGAAGAGAAATTATTTAATGCACCTGCATCAAGCAACGATCCCTAACTTGCTTTTTTAATAAAGAAAATCGATGAATTACACTCGAACACGCCAATTTCTGCCATATTTCTGATGTTATTCTTTTCCTTCCTTTATTCATGCTTCGAGAAATTTAAATAAAAAACTGTCTATGAAGTGAATGAGAGGCTCATGTGTGAATGGGTCGAGTGTTTAAATAGCAAACCACACGATCGATTGAAAAGAAAACTTTGAAAGTAGTTACTAGTACAAAGCAGCTCAAATGTGGGATGAACCAGAATTCGTTTTTATTCTAGGTAGGTAGACCGATATCACGATCCCAATTCAGAAAAGAAAAAAAACTTTCCATGAACCACACAATTTCAGTTCGTACGAAAAGACAAACTCTTTTCATGTAAGTAAAGAATGTTTTATTTGCTGCATGGGAAAAGTTTTCATGTCCTCGAGGCATAAAAGATAAACTTTCTGTTCTTTTACTTGATATTTTCTTCATAGAATGTTAACAAGTGTTGGGCTCTAGAAACCTGAATTGAAAATGGCGAAGGAAAAAGGTTGAGTCGTTTTAAAAGAAATAAGTAGAAAAGATTTGAAATTATTATGGAAATTGAGGAAATGGGCTGGTAGAAAATTTAAGGTGAAGTTGAAGTTTCTGTTTTCTCCTCGTTCATTTAATTTGTTTTCATTAAACAACATAACATCAATGAAAACTATAACATTGTATGGAAGGTTCACACTTTGACATATTCGATAAAATATCCCCAAGAATTATTTATAACTTTGGCGAAGGCAAAAGCTTCTGTAATATCCTACACTTAACCTTTTCATTCAATTGGCCTTTTATATTCATTAAATCATGTGGAAATGAAGAAAGAAAAAAGCTGAAAGTTAAACTTGAAAAGGGCGTGAACTAAATAAAAATATAAAACGAAAATGGAAAATCTAAAAGCGAAGAAAAACTTTCAAATCTTTCTTTCAACTTCCAAGTGAATTATTTATGAGTCCGCCGGTCAGGAATGAGAAATTTAGAGAAATTACAGAATTACTTACTTAAAGCGAGACAAAAAGTTAATTTAAGAAAAGAATTTACTTTGTATCACATAAATAAACTTATATGAAAAGAAAGAAAGACGAGTACTGAGTTTCTTGATAAATAAATAGAATCAAGTATCATCTGTCAACAGCCGACACGTCATCCACGACAATCCCTTGAAACAACACTGGAAGATTAATATTAAACGCTTAGTTCTTTTTCGGTACTTTACCTACTCAACAATTATTACACAAAGGATTAGCAACGAAAAACACAGAGAGCGAATGATACAACGAAAGCAATTTTTCATTTTCATCATGTTGGTTGAAGATGCCGATGCGTAACGCACCTAACATTTCTCATAATGAAAGCATTTTGAAATAAGCCTGTCAAGAAGAATGTCATGAATCTCTGACAATGTGATTTCTCATGAACTCCCTTATTGCGTCTTCGTCGTCTCAACATGAAGCCTAGTGTGATGTCTCATCAAGTTAGATAATAATGAAGAAGGAAATCATCATAATTTAAATAAAGCATTTAACATTTTTTCTCTCATCGTTTACACAACGCTTTGGTTTCGTGTCATGATTTTTATGCTAGGAAATACTTTGCCATAACAATTTCACAGCAATTGGGGAAGCTTCCACCATCCGAAGATCCTTATCAGTTATCATAATTGATATGCTGGTTTCGTCAGTAATTTGTTGAAAGAGAAATGAAAAATATTCGAGCTGTCGTTGACAAAGCAGCAAAATCCAGTATTTACCAATAAAATTGCCTCAATTATTCTTTTATTCTCATTCTTATCTCTAAGTAAACACTGCGCAAACAGAAAAATCCTTCATTGTTGACCAAATTTCGTAATTCCACTTCAAAAACTTTTTTCTTTATTTAACAGAATGAAAAATCTTTGGTTTGTGTTGGTGTTTAGATTGGTTTAAGATAGCTTCGAGAATTATTCTGATGAAATAGACAATTTGAAAGTAATCATTTGAGCAGAAACGTTTCAGCTACAAAATAAGAAGACGGAACCTTGAAAGGTCAACCACAACGATGTTGATCGGGTAAAAGTTCAAACGAACTCTGCTTTTTTAAATCTCCTTTTTCCAGACATTGCACAAATTCATGGAATTCGAAAAACGGGTTACTTCTAAATCCAAATTCAATGACCGACGTTAAATCGTAATTAATCCACCCACACCCAACGCTTATGAACTTAATTAACGTTGAAAGTTTTAATTGTTGAACCAATGATTCTATTTGATCTTAAATCGTTCGTTTCATCCATAACAAACTCATAAATTTCGACTTAATGTGAATGAAAGAAGTTCATTATTAAAGAAATGTGCAAAGATTTCTTTGAATTTAAAATCTCATGTCGCACATAAATATCAAGAAGATGAATGCAGAATTTGCAAGAAATTTCTCTCGTTGATTATTCAATTGAAGAAATAATAAACTCAGATCTGAATCGAATCTTAATTTCGAAATGAGAATCTTTCTCCATCCCACGAGAATTTCAATAAATTTTCCAAATAATTGTCTGATGCCGACATAAGTATGTCTATTATTAACAGTTAATGTAAAATTTATCAAAAATATCATTCAAATCACATTTCAATCTTCTTTTCTTAAATGTTTCCAAGTTACTTAAGAGCGTGGGTGTAATGAATTGGGATGAGAAGAAGAAGAATTTCGCTGAAGCATTTTAAATTGTGAATCGTTTTTTGCTAACTTAGCTGTTCATTGTGAGGATAGCAACGATTATTACGGAAGCCCAACAACAATTTAATTTCATGCTGTTTCCTCAGCGTGGCGCATTCCAAGACATTAGATATTCTTCCATCACACGTGAATAGAATTCCTTTCATCAAATTGAACACAAAAAAATACACCGCAATGACGAATAAGAAAAGAAAAGCACGATAAAGTAAAAACGCTTTCTATTCGCTAAGAAAATTGCCACAACATTTGGCTTTTATTTGAACGTTGATAAAAGATTGCGTAAGCGAAGCGAATAAAGAAGGAAGAATTTAAATAAGATCATGTTACATAACCAACTTTGGCAATTCAATGATTTAGTTAATGCGACGTCCTTGACATATAAAATAATATCAAACTCATCTGAAAAGTTTTCAATTATGAAGTTAAGTATCTTTTAAATAATTATAGGAGTAAGAGGATTTTAAAATAGATCTTTATGTAACCATCGTCACTTGAACGAGAGAAAATCGTTCTAAATATATAACACTGGAAAATTGTTCATTTGAAATGAAAATAATTTAAAAAGTTAGTTAATGCGATGATATTTGATGAGAATTAAACTTTTAAGTATTTCATGAAGAACTTACTGTTAAGAAAAGTTTTTCGTGTTTGATTATTGAGAAAATGTTTTGAGTTTCATTCAAAACATCAAATTTTCGACAAGATTTTTGAAATTTAATGAGAATAATTGAACTTGAGACTTTTTCATCAACTTCAGTTGAAAATTATCTTGACTTAGGAATTTTTGATGTATTGAAAATTCCCCTGAAAATTTCGATCATCTCTTGTCAGCTATTGTTCCGCTTTCTGTTTTTCGTTTTCTTATTTTTTAATGATAAACAAATTCGAAAGCTGCTTGGGAGCAATGGGAAATCAATTGGTTTCTAATACATCAAAAAATAGAATCATTCCGATGTTCCCTACGGTTATTTATTTCTATATCGAAAGAAAATATTGCAACATATAAAGATTAATCACATGAGTGCTTGGATATTTCATATATCCAAGCATCATAAATAAAACTCAAAATAAAAGAGATTCACCTCAGACATGAAGATAAAATAGAATATTGAAGCTCGTCAAATGTCCATGAAATATTCGGTAGAACACAAAAAATGTCTACGCTTGTCACCATGGAAAATCATTATAAACACCAGAATAGTTCACTAAAAATTAATTTATGATTTGCGCCATCCGTCAGTGTAATAAAAAAGTTGTCAAAGCGTTTTTGCGCAGAAATATTTTAAAGCTTCATGAGTTTCACAAATGTCGATTGCTGATGTTTAAATGCTAACAAACATAAACGATTCAAGGTTGCGTGGGTGGGTGATACTTATTTCTTTCTCGGACTCATGAATTGATAATGAAAACGACGCGCATATGGCGTCAACAAATATAAAAACATCGACTAACAGTCAAATTTGAAGATTAATGTTCTGCTTTTAATGTTGGAATTTTTTTTTCCCTTTTCCTCTCCCATAATTTAATTCTTGACATAACTCATAGACGACTTTAAATAATTATTCAATTTCAAAAGAATCCAAATAAATGAAAGTGAATTCCTAAAATTTCTGCTTAATTAAATTTAGATTTGTCAATGAAAAGAAGACTTAATTTATGATTAGTCAACAATTTTGTGGTTGATTGTATGTAATAAAGAAAAAGAAAAAACATTTGATGTTAATTGAAGCATGAAGGTCGCTACAAATCCTCATACCAGCACCACAAAGTGCCATTCATAAAACTGACACCTTTTCTACTACTTAAATTGCTATAAAAATAAAACTTCCATTGATTCTTCGTTACCTTTTTACGGCTTCATCTATAAAGGTGTTTTGTGTCGTATTTGCAGATATTATTATTATCGACAACACCATTTTTATATTGATAGAATTAATCAGAATGTATTACGACGCAAAAAACTTCCCCTCACTACTCTCGTTGGATTAATTCATGAAGCTTGATCTAATGACGATTAATCGTTTCATTTCATACCCCAACTTTGTTTGGATTAATGGAAACTTGCGTTAAAGCTTTCCTCTTCTTGTAATTATTTTTTTGATGAAATGAAATTAAAAAAAAAAATTAAAAGCTTCACTGTCGCTCGCTGCTGCTCTGTGTGATAACAAAAGACCAAAATTCAATCATCAAATCTTTGATACTTTTCCGGCGACCCTTTTGAAACCCTCGCTTGATGATACAATATGAAAGCCTTGAGCTCCAATGACATAGGGAATTGATTGTAAAGCCCTTTAGATTCATTGAGGTTTCAAACTTGTTACGAAGAGGGTAAAAACTGTAAGAAAAATTTACGACATTATGACACAAAGATAAGACGAGGCAGTTTATTATTGAATTAGAAGGAACTTTGGTAGAGTAGATAAAGCTTTTTCTCTCTTATTTTCAATTGTAGTGTTTGTAATGAAAGAAACTTTTTTTTATTTACAGCGAAGACATTAATATTGAAGCTTAATTGATGAGTCATATAATTTGTCTTGTCATCTTTATTCAATCCATATTAAGACACTTAAACGCGGGAATCTTAATGAAATGATTTAGAAATTTATTGCTTTATGGCTTCTTTTACACTCACTTGAACATAAAAGCTTCCTACACACAATAAAATGTTTTTAATTTCTCATCGCGTGCCATTCAATTTGTAATCGATACAAAAAAAATTGATCAACGAGAATTAGGTCAAAATTTTTCAGTTTTACTGCATTAGGCACGACACGAGAGTTTCTAGATCGTATCAGTTTTAAAACTCTATTGAATGTAAATGGAAGCAAAAAGCAATACTTCAACCTCACACATCACTGTTAGTCGAACATGGAAATGAAACTTTGAGACATTTTTTTCATTACATTCGACTTAGTAGAGCTCAAGACAAGAAAAATGTCTATGAATAAAGCAGGAAAATTAATGCCGTAAGAGAAAAAAGAACAAGAACATAATATTGGGAATCAGATAGAAACTAGGACAAATTTTTGTCTTACACTTCTTCCCTGTTTTTTTTTCTTCTTTTTGCTCATGACGAGGGTTCCCTTTGAATCTCAATCTTTTTCTTGTTTTCAAACAGTTTTCCTCTCGATTTTCCTCGTTTCTACTCAAACAATGTTGCTAAATATTATGGAGTGAGTCGTGGGTACGTAAAGAGATCTTCTTTCGAAGATTAAAAGGCAAAAAAACATCTACAAAAGAGAATCTGCGATTGTTTGTTGAAATACTTTTTGGATGAAAGTGTGCGTAGATGGGATGAGAAGAAATAAAAAAAAAGAATACAAAATGGGGAAGAACAAGACAAGAATTGATTTATGAAAAATAATTGATTTTTTCCCCTTCTTACACTCAAATCCAATTGAAGTTTGAATTTTATTTCGAGCAGAAGGTGCTTGAAGCAAGCGTAAAAGTTTTGCAAGTAATTTTACATATTTTACATCCTACAACAACTTTTTCTCTCGGTCAAAAAGTTAACACAAGGCCAAAAATGCCCCGAAAACTTTTTCAATATAATGTAAACATAAAATTCGTAATTTTCATATCTTTTCGAATATTCTTGAATGCCTGAGAAGTTTTTCTTTTATTTTTTCATTTTATCATCTGTTCTGTCTTTCTATTTCGCTTATTTCGACATTTCTTTCACATTAATCAACAATTTCATCAGCATTTTTCATATATTTTACTTCTAAATTCCATTTCTATGTACATTGTAAAAGAGAGAAAACTCTTGTTTAAATTATACAGCTTTCGGTTTTACTTGAACATTCTCAACTTCAAACTGACCCCAAATAAAAAAGTTTTCCTTTTTTTCATTATTTATTTTAGAAAATATTTAAATGAGATTTGCTGTAGATTTTTATTTCTGTTTAAAAAGATGAGAAATGCATGAAATGGCGAGAAGAATACAAAGCTTTAAGTGTGCTTTGTTGAGCTTATGGGATAACCAGATCAAACGGTTGGATCAATTTCAAATTCCAATTTTATTTATACAGACTCAGGTAAAAATTTTCACATAATTTTGAAGGCTCAAAGGACATAATGTATTCAATCATAATTTATATCTAATTGATGCTCCCTTCAATTTTCTTTTCCTTGTTTTAAAAAGCTTTTCTAATGTTCAAGAAAGGAATTCTAGAAGATCCCTCGATTTCCAGAAAATTCTTATAATCCACAAGAATTTCTCTATGATTTTTATTAACATATTTCTTGGTTTAAATGGAGCAGAAAATATCGATAATATTTTAACACCCAAACACTAACTCAACAATCAACTAGATCATGTTTATTTGCTTTCACATATTTCAAAGGATGGAAGTACATAAACTAAGATGAGAAAGCAGTTATGAATGGTGGATGTTGTATGAAAATATTGAAAATGCTAAAGGCCATGATTCGACATCGTCTTACAACGACAAACAGCAATCGCATTGCACAACGGGAGTATTTAAAATTTAATGTCTGCTCTTAAAAGCCTGAAGGAAGGGAAGAAGCGAAATATGTTCTTATCGTTGATAAACAACCGCAAAGAAAGCTTGCTTCTGCTTTCTCCCATAAGTATATAAATATGAAGACATTCACGATACTTTGAAAATATTAGATGCTTTATTGTGGGTGATTTTATGTACATACATGTTTGTAGGAGGGAATAATTTATGAAGGTCGAATTAAATATTTCGGAATGGTTAAGAAACAAAAGTAGAAATGAGGTTCAAGATAATGATTTATGGTTCATGTTATATATATCCGAAATATCTAGCTAGAGAGATTTTTCTTCTTATAAAAGTTTTATGACTTCATCGATGAAAAGAAGGAATTTTTGGGATTGTTCGGTGTACCGTAAGTAGCCATAAAATAAGTGACCACATCGACATTCGTAGCCACAAAGTTTTTCTTCTCAGATTCATGTTTCAAGTCACTTCGTTCCTGATTATTGAGGTCATCGAATTAAAATTCAACCCAAAAACCATCCAAAGTTGCACAGAAAAAAATAACTTACTAACGAAACATTTTCCAGCCACTAAAAGAAACATAACAACCAACCCTCCACATCCATTCGAAACATGAGAGAAAAGAAAAGAAAATGTGGTGCTTGCTTTTCCATTTGACCTAATTCTGCTGCTTTGACTCTCATCCCATCTTTATCTTTTCATATTAAACGTGGCAAGCTGGATGGCGAAGAGAAGCAGAAAACGTAAACGACAAAACTCCCCTACTGGCCCACTGACGAAAGACCCGACAACACAATGACACAGACTTTCATGCAATCGGCATATAAATCAACACAATCAAACATGGGAAGAATATTCGTGTTCGGAATTGTAGGCCAAAGCTTGGCACAGACATTTCTCTCTCAACCATTGCCACTAACACATGTTAACATAAACGCCCCAGATGTTGAGTTTTCTTCCCTACAACATTATGTTGGGGAAAGCGTCTCGATTCAATATTTTAGATTCCCTCAGAAACTCGAGCCTTTCCTTTCCTAAATCGTAAGAGAGAGTGTGGGGGAGAAAGGTGGTGAGGGAATCCTAACTCAAATCTTTGTTGTTATAGACGTAAGGAACGTGATTGTGTCAGTCAGTGTGTGTTAGTAAAATAATTCATTCTTTTATTTTTATTTTTCTCTCGAATCTCTTTTGTTCATTTTATTGTCAGCATTCGGTTTAAGATTTTTTCTTTAAAACTTATTTCCAATTTTGAGCAGTTGTAAAACTTCTATCGTAAGCCTTTGAAAGCTGGGAATAAATTTCAGTTGATAGTGTTGGTTTATAGGAAAAGCTTTTCATCCATGAATTTTTATGTGAAAGGAAAAAAAATTATCGACCCACCAGCTGAATACAGAAAATCCCAACCTACGTCAAAAATTTTCTGTTTTTATTTTCCATTCTTTTTTTGGAATGGACAACGCTGTTTCTTTTTTAAGATAATTCCGTAAATTCCATCGTTGGTAATTTATAGCGCAGTGGAATGACGACACTTTAATTGAAAATGTAAAAGATTTTTGAATCTTTCGCATAATGGAAAATGAATTTTCATTGTTGCGATTTTTCCTACCTACAAAATACAAACAAACAAACGCTTGTCAACGGTAAACACAATAACCTGGATGAAGGGAATTTAATCAAGTGAACTCGCTTTGTGACATAAACTGTATTATTTTATAACTGAAGCGTTTGCCTTTCTGTCTCTGTCACTTGCTTTCTACTTCCAACAACTAAATCGATTTTGCGACGCCATTCACTTATTGAATTGTGCTCTACATTTTTATTTTTGCAACCAAATGTCTAATAAAAAATGTTGAAGGGCAGTGACGAGATGATAAAACTGCACATCTAAGCTACTTAAGATTAGGTCATGAACGAACAATAGCAGTTCATTTGAAAAGAGAAAGAAAAGCAAAAGTTGTTTCTCAATGTTCAGTTCAACGATGTCATTTCCATCATAAATGTTCCATTGCACCATTTTCTGCTTTCTCTATTCGAAAATAAAGTAAATGCACACAAATTGCAACATTTCTTTGTTTGGCTTATGAAAGGCAGCAGAAGGCGGTTGCATGTTGCTCTGTAATTCAATTCATCGTCACTAGTCACTATTTTATGACTTTTGTTTTACTTGTTTTCTCTTCTAGTGAATTAAACAAGATAACGAGATAGTTGGACACACCTTAAATCAGGTTCATGTTACGAACTTTAAATGATGCTTTCGTTCATTGACTTCAATCATCACACTGTGCAACATTAATTTTCATTTATATTTTTCATGTCTTGATGGAATTAAGTGGAAGTGAGATTAATTCGCAATTCACTGAAAGCTTTAAATTGAAGAAATTTTCCTTCAAGATAACTTACTTGTTTCTTTTGACATAGTTTTCAATTAATTATTAAATTAGTAAAACTCTTCTCAGAATAAACTTAAAGTTGCAAAATGGAGACAAAACTGATGAAGAATCCTTTAAAGTTGAAAACTCTTCGTAATGACGACTAATTTCAACAGATTCAAAGCTTAGAAAAATAAAGTTTTCATTTTTTCCGACCTAGAACCTTCTGAAAAAGCATCGCTCACTGCAAGTGACTCTTTTGTTGAGTTGAAGGGTTGTTGAAACTTTTTCTTTTTTTTTACTTCGCATATATTTTTCATTTTCATGCAGTGGAATGACTTGATTCGAAACGAATACAGTTTAGTGGTGGGGATGGGAGAATGTGGGGGAACAGTTCCTTAACACTCACCAGCATTTTCTGCACGAGATCTTTCTTTTTGACGTGTTGTACACTTCAAAACGTTAACTGCAGTGCATTTCTGTTCTTCTGTCAAAGACAAAGGGGAATGGCTTCGATAGATTGAGGTAGCAGATATGTACATAAATGAATGTAGAACATGAATTGTGGAGTAGAAACGTGCGCGAACATTATCGGGTACAATAAATCCAACTGTTAGTTATGAAAATGTTATTACATTTACGTAACAATTTTCACTTCACCCTCATTCCCTCTAAGTTAGTTAAGATGAGGGTAACTGTTTTCCAACAGTATTTATATGCAGTTTTCCATGTTTTATAAACGAAGTAATAGTTAACTTGAACGTTGCCATAGGCGAAGCTTATCCACCACACAAAAGCACACCAAAAAACGCTGCACATTTGAGATAGTTACTTTGTGTGCTTGTGTCGTAGCGTGAACTCGTTACATAAATTGCACTATCACAACGACTGAAGGAGGATAACAAAAGTTATGCAATGATTGCCAGTTAAAGTTAACATTTATATATCCACAACGATTTCCCAGTCATTTTCTTTTTCCCTTGCATGGAAATCAGGACGATTACGGGAGATAAAATTTTACACTAACTGAAGTCCATCTAAGGGAACCAATTGAACAAAAAGGTAGTCGGAAGAGCTCTGTAACAAGAAAATATGCGAATAATTCATGAAAATCACCTCAATATATGAAAGTGGGTTGAAAATGTTGAGATGAATCGAGAGATTTTAGTAATGGTCGAACATTCTTTATCCCTTATTGAGCGCTTTACACATCATTGCGCTCATCTCATGAAGTTTCAAAATGAGGCATTTCTTTCTCGCTTTTGCTGATAAGCAAGAATGTTTACTATGTTGTCCCAAATAGCTTCTGGGAGGTGTTTGGGTTAATGCAGGTCTAAGATGAATGTGTTTCGTCCATCTTTCTTTCTTTCAATGTAAGCTTCAATAATATTTCTTAATAAAAGTTTCATGATGATGTCGTTTTATGTTTAAAATATTATATTGCTAATAGTTCACAAGTAACTCATATAAAATATATTTTCCCATTCGATGGCAATCAAATAATGATAAAATTTGAAACAAAGTAACAAAAATGTTTCCATGTGGAGAAAAATTACAAAACCAGATAAAATGTCCTTCATTGAAAATTGAAAAAGTTCACAAGTGTCATCGTCAAGGAGTCAAATGTACTTAAAACAGAATAAAAGAACATAGTGTTGTCCATTTAATTCTCTTTTGTTTGACTATCAAGATTTTCAAGTGGAAAACTCCATTTGACCAATGCCAAAGATATCCAAAAGCAAACATAATACGAATCTTTCATCCAATATTTAATAAGGATTTGAATTTGGGTTGCGAATGGGAAAGACAAAAGTTGGAATGTTTCAGGTTGCTAAGTGCTGTCTTATCTCTTTACCTCATAGAAAAATCACCGTAAACGTCCTCAACGTCATGTGTCGCGAAAGAAATGAAGTCGTTCCTGGAACTTTGCATGATAATATTGTTGTGACATAACTTCATGCCAGTGCTTCCGACTGTGTTGATACTCGTGTAATCGAGTAAGTATCATGAAAAGGAAAATGTAGGGAAGAAAAATGAAAAAGAAAATCAATAATATCTGGGCCAATATGAACACGGCGTGAACTTGAAGCTATTCGTTGTTGATATGGTTTTTATGGCACACGAGATGCGATGCAAAGCATCCATAAATTGAAGCCAGCCCGATTATATTGTTTTAAACATACAGTTTTGTTTTTAATCAGGCAGCTTTGTTTGGTTTAGAATGAACATCGTGTAGGGGCCATGCAAACATTAATCCTTTCTCTCAATGTGATATTTTATGTTTAATCTCTCTAGTTCAGCTACTAAACATACTCCGTTAGTATTAGTTGTGTCGTAGTACATTGTTTTATGTTATGCTATCACCGTACATGATGACGTCGGTTGGGAAAGAAGAAAAAAGAAATAATAAAAAAAATACTGAAATGTCGACAGTCGCACGAGAGAGGAAAATTCGATGAGAGGGAAAATGTTGTGTATGGTTTTTAATCGGAAAAGTCGGAAAAGTGTTGGTGGCCTCGAACAAGGTGGTTGTAACTTTGTGGCAGAATGAAAATGCTCGCTCAAGCTTTACATCAACACCGACTTTGCACGATCGTCTCTCATCCTCTTGTTTCTTGTCTCACAATTTCAAGTTACACACACACACACAAGCGTAGGCTGAAGAGTTTTCCACGAGGAATGGGAACATTTTAATATTCTTCCCAATTTTTACAAGCATCGCATCGCATCACAAGGAGAAATATATTTTCCGTTCAGTTCTCATTCGTGTGTCGAGGCATAAACAAGCCAAAAACGGAGCAAAACTTTTATACTCGAAATTCGAAAATGTGTCGTTCATAGTGTGTAAGATGAAAAAAAATCAGTAAAATTAAAATTAACATAAATTTAAACTGGAAAACTTTCATTTCTATCTTTAATGCTAATTAAGTGACAATTCATTCATTGGCTTTTGATGAAACTTTTATTGTTTTCATTAAAATTACGCTGAGGAATTTACATTTTATGAATAAACATTTTGTTGACTCTGACATATATTTCAATGGACAATTATCAGTTTGGATTACATCTCCTGATTTATTTCTGTGACAGAGAAATTCTTGCGCGCGTAAATTGAAAAAGCAGTGGAAATGAATTGAATAATAAATGAGAAATGTTTTGATTTTTTTTTGTGTTGTTGAATATTCTGCTAAAAATATTTATTATGGGAGCGCTCATGTCATGAGAAAAAGATCGATGATACACGAGAAATCTATAAATAAAAGTTTTCTTATTATTTCTTTTTGGGCACAAATAATGAGATGAAATTTCCGTTTTTGAAGTTGAAACAAAAATCAATTTTTTTATTTTATGAAACCAGAAGTTTGTAGTGCAATTAATAATGTTCTCTCCTTTTCTTTCTTCAATTATTTTTTAACATTCCAGAAGGCCCCAAAAACGACGAGACCATCGTATCAAAAGTCTGTTTTGTGAATGTGAATAAGAACTAAAACAGAAATATTTAACAAGTGCTGTGACTGTGAGTTGGAAAAGTATTTAAAAAAAATCTCTCTCGATAACAAACAGAACAATAAAAGCTGCAATCAAAAAGTTTTCCATTCCCCGTGTTTGAGAGAAGTGCTCGAGCATCTCCGGGATCGAATATCATAAATCCATACTTCAAGCAGGTGTTACAGCAACTAAATTAAAAGATGCACATTGAGATTCAAGTTGCATTGAACTTCGTCATATCGTACCTTTACAACAAACTTCCACGTCGTCGTGTCAACATTTTTGGCGAGGAACTGGAAAAGGCATTAAAGCATAAATTTCAAGGGCACTGGTATCCTGACAAGCCATTCAAAGTGAGTATCGATTTTCTAGTCTCTTCGTTCGCCTTTTGTTTCTCTGCTTCAATACAAGCATAAATATTCGCATCTCTCTGCTTATCCACCCACTTCTCTTGCGTTTATCGAAAGAACAAGAAAGAACCAGTTCTCAATTCTTCTCGGCTTGGGGCTGCTTTTATGGAATGATACACATTATGATTATTTTCCTTTTTCCTTTTTTTTATCTGAATAAGCTTACCACTAGAAATGCTGCTGCCCCTCGACGCAGAGAAAATAAATGTAAAGAATGATAACAAGAAGGCATTGCGTGTGGGAGTTCTTGTTAAAATGTCAGACTTGTATCCTTTTTCCTTTACACTTTTTTATTTTCTTCTCTACCAAAAATATTCAATATTTGGGTAAATGTGTCCGTAAGAAATTTATCGACCATGATTTTCATGCTTCAAACACTAAATCGATAACTTTACTTTGAACTTAATAGGGCGACTTGTATGCATCGTTGGATTAAAAACATTAACGTTTACAATCTATTCTAAACGGCGACAGTAAAAACAAAAGATATTTGATTAATTTTTCAAGAACATCAGAGTGTTTAGTTCAAGGTTACGCATGTCTCGTAACGTTGTGTGGGCGTATAAATGTAGTAAAATGTAAAAGAAATGTAGCACGTCATCGTTCTCACTCCTATTGTCGTTTTACAAGCTCTTTTTATTTGTGATAATCAATCAAATGTTCACGAATCGAATGAACTACTTTTCGTTTTTCCTTTCTCAACTGTTTTGTTTTGATTTTTTTATATTCGTGAAAAGGAAGAAGAGTGAAAAAGTTATTTTTATTGTACGATTGCTCCTTTTATGCTTCTTGATTCCCATTGCTGCTAATGGTTTGAATATAATTAATTTGGACGTGGTGATTTGACAATGGAGAGTGTAAGGTAAATGTGTATTCGTCGTACAGTTGTAGTATAAAAAGTTGAAATATTTTTGTGAAAAAAAAAGACGGACGAGGGGAAAAAATTGCTTTTCAAGGGCAAACATGAAAACGCTATGATTGTTTGTGTTTTCGTGTTTTTCTTCTTTACTATTTGAACGGCGCTTTTTTCTGTTTTGTTTCGATGTCAGACTGTTCACGTCTTGCGAACGAAATAGTGAAAAATCATCGAGCTTTCTTCTATCGACCGTCGTTCTTCTTCATGACGTCACAGTTTGTTTTCTTAAAACTTCTGACTTGCAAGAAAATTTGTTTAGGATATGAATATTCATAATAAGAAATTATGTGTTATCACTCTTAACAAGAAAAAGGTGCTTTTAATGGATGATTATCATAAGCCATCATAAGAAAAGTGTTAATTCTCTTTTATAATATGAGTGACGTTTTTTTTTGGAAATTCACTGCTGTCTCTCCCGACATAAGTCAACCATCAATGGTGAGTTCTAAAAATAAACATTTGCTGTGGCTTTCCATGTTTAACTTTCATGAGATATTTATCTTCTTGTATTATGATTACAAGAGTCAGTTGCTTGCAGCCTTGAACTTTTGGGAACAAGTGGGAGTAATTCTTTGTGATTCTCTTGCAAATTAACAACGAAACTCTTAATTGAAATGTATATTTGACTTAATCCTACTCTATCTACCTCTAGCAAAATGTAAAATGTTGTTAAAAAACGCCATAATTTTTCATTACAAAAAACGAAAATGAACATAAATCGAGAACCTCTTTAAAATTTTATATTGTTCTTGTTGTTCATGCTAATCAAATATTCAAATTCAATTCTTTGTAATAGATTTTTTATGATGATTTGTTATTAACATGAAGTCATAAAATCTTGAATTAAAAAGTTATTTTCGTACAGCCTACATTCTACGAATAATAAATAGAAAAAACTTTTTTTAACCTTGCAAAACGCAATTGCTTTAATTTGATTTTTTTTTGTCGACCCAGAAAGACTTAAAATTATAATACATTTATAATTATAATAAATTATTCTGTTAGAGAAATAATTTTGTCAGAAAATATGTCAGCACCACCAGGAGTGAGCCAACAATGAATGCGCATAAACGTACAAAAAAAAAAAGAAATAAAGAAAGAAAACGAGGAAATGCTTAGTGAATCTGCATGAGAAGAAGGTCATTTGAGCTTCATGAAAATAAAAAGCTCTTTCTGGAAAAGCTTTTCAAATAAATTTATGTCTCTATATAGAAGAAAATAGCTTTCATAAGTCTACTGCTTTCTAATAATTTCCAAACATTAAACTTAAAATTGTTTCCCAGTCATAGAGTGTGAATACAACAGCAGAGAATTGCGAACAACGAGAAGAGATTTATGATTTATTGTCATGGTTCTTAATGGCTTTTCTGTATTCTTTTTCATATTTTTCATACTTTCATGGATGAATTACCAGGGCTCAGCATTTCGATGTCTCAAAACAGGTGAACCAATCGATGTTGTTCTTGAAATTGCAGCTCGAGAAAGCGGAGTTCCCATCGGTGATATCTTAGAGAATTTACCAGCTGAATTGTCAGTATGGGTCGATCCAGGCGAGGTTTCATATCGCATTGGCGAAAAAGGAGCGGTTAAAGTATAGTTTTGCGCTGTTCTGACCTTGAAAACGTGTTTTATTGATTTTTCTCTGTTTTCTCTTCCTTTAACGTCACAGATTTTGTACTCGGAGCAGAAGCACGATTCCCCGGATGATAACAATGCTGATCGCGAAGTAACGACGACCTTCAACCCTGAAGCTCAATGCTTTCGTCCAATTGAAATTCTCAGCTCGTCTTTAAATGGATTGACTTTGAGTCCAAAGAGTTCACCCAACGATTCATCGCCAACATCATCGACAAGCCCAATGTACAAGAACAACAGTCCTTCGGGAGCTAATGGTGGAACAACCGCAACATTCCTTGGACGACAACATGAACCCGTTCTCTTCACTACTGCGACCTTTGCACAAACGAAATTCGGCAGCACAAAATTGAAGAACAACTCGAAACGTACCAACAGGTAAAGTTGGAAAATACGTGAGATTTATCATTGTCACGGGCAGACTAATTTTGGACGATAGAATTAATTAACTTTTTCATGATTTCCCCGCTACGTCATTTGGCGTCTGTTGATAAGATACAAACTTGAAAGCGACAAAATTGAGTTGAGTTTAATAGTGTGGAAGTAGAAATCTACTCATGAAAGAAAGAAGACGAACGAACACTCAAATCACTTCGAAACAGAAAAATATTTCAGAGACGTCATATTTTCTCTTTTTTTATTGCTATGTTTGTTTTTATGTATGAGATTTTTGCCAGGCAAAATTTCTTTTATTCATAACCATCACTGCATGGATTTTATAATAAATTTTAGACACAACAAAACGAGAGATTTCAAATGAAATGAAAAAGAAAGAAAAATGGAATAAAATTACTGTCACGTTCAATTGCTCTAATTGATTTTATTTGCACAGAATCAAGATATGAAATATTGATGTTCTGAATATTCTCAAATATTTCTATCAAATTAAATTTTCAACTACAAATTTAATTCAACTCAAGTATCGACATTGTATATCAATTTCACCCACGCTTCTTACCAACAAACAGTGCCTGGCAGTTCAATATTTTCTGGGCTCATTTTACCTGACAAAGCTACTTCAATTTAAAGAAAGAAGAATAAAAATAAATAAATTTTCTGTCTTTATTATTTTCAAATGAAAAAGAAAAATTCACGTTGCTAGGTACCTGATTCGATAACAATTTTATGTTTGACATGTTAATGAGAGTTTGTAACATATCATGATTTGTTTTATTGTTGTTTTTTGAATAGGATGTCGCCAACGGAGTTCTCAAATTACATCAAGCAACGTCAACAATTGCAGCAACATAACAATCATTATCATCATCAACCAAACCATCACCAGAATATGTATGGCGCTATTGGTTCTGTTTCTCCAGCTCGATCGATCTCTCCTAATCCAATGACGCTTCAAATGACACCAAATGACTCGTCCATGCATCAACCCAATCCATTCGTATTTCCTTCAAATGGATTTAATTTGAACATGTATCAGTCTTTTGGCAGCCCACGCAATATGTTCGAAGGATTGAATGGTGGCAATTATAACCAGTTCAATGGATCATCTGCTGGGGACAACGATTCATTGATGTTCGCGTCTGGAAAATGTTCTTCATTCATGGATCAACAGCCGAATTATTGCAAGATTCCAATACAACAGCAACAACCCAATTCACAATCTGGATTGCAGCCTTCACCACAGGGCACCAATGCTACAAATGGCAACACTAATGGATCGTCATCGTCAAACAACTCCAATCAACAAGCTCAACAACAAGATAGCAAATTGTTGGACGGCATGAATTCATTCTACAACAACAATTCGAATCCATCCTATCAACACCACCTTTTGGTTGCTAATTAAAGCAAAGAGCTTGTTAATTGACATTCAACCTAATGAGAAAACGTGAAAACGAAAGACGATATATATGCTATAAATACCACTTGCTTTATGAATTGACTAAACGAAATAATTATGATGAAGGAAAAGAGAACCTTACATGATGATACAGGTTTTGTGTTAATAAATATTGAGTAACTACATATGGTTTGTCATTTTTTAGAATTAAAATCGGTGATTTTTTATACACAATATTTTTGTTACGCAAATCCTCGAAGCTAATTTTTATCTTTCTTTTGCATATAAAAATTTATTTTTTTATGAATCGATGTTTTGTATAATTTAATTATTTAGATTACTTTCTGAATTTTTATAAATACTTATAAAGATGAGAGTAAAAATTATATTCCCATTGAGAAGTCTTAAATACTGTGGGGGTTTGTTCAAGTGTTACATTTTTATGTTTGATGATGAAGTCAAAAGCTCTCAGCGTGTGAAACGCTTTCGTAAAGCTCTTCATGAAAAGTTCTAACTTTTATTTAATACTTAAAATCTTTATATCTTACATAAATTTAGATTAATGAGATATCTGTTACACTTTTCATTACATCAAAGACAAGATAAAGTTGAAAGGTATACTTATTATACTTAGAACAGGCTACAAGATTTACACATTTGATGAATAAACCCCAAAATGTAAGATTGAATCTTTTCTAATGAAAATGAAGGAAATACAACATTTAAAATCTTTAGAAATGTATTCACTTAAAACTTCTTTCTCAAAAAAAATGATTTCACAAATTAAAAATATGTCTAAAAAGAGAATATAAATGAATTATATTTATAGGACAAAGTCGTAGCGTAAAATCAACAAATTTAACCATTTTTTCTATTTTTGATAAAAATGAATGAAAAAAAAAATGAATAAAAATATTTTAATATTTTTGATTAATAGTGACAAACAAGAAGAAAAACTCTTACAAAAAGAAAAAAGATATAAATAAAATATCGTTTATTCTATGGAACATGATAAGATATTGGGTGTCGAATTCATCATTTCGTTCCGTAATCGCTTTAATAATGAGATGAAAAACTTCATAAATTTTTATATTTAAAGAGATATGAAAAAAGAAATAAAAATTGAAATTCGATTTTTCTAGTATTAGATAACGATATTGATGATATTTGATAGCATCTCATGATAGATTTTTCTTTCTCATTCTCACTCAATACCCACCTTGTGTAAAAGGTCAATGTGAATTAATAAGAACCATTTGGAAACTTAACATCCTCATTAATTTAATTCGATTAAATAAAATATTTTCTCATCATTTTCCTGAATACTAAAAATTCTACCATGGAAACGAGAAGCACAAGAGCTTACAAGCTCTCAGGAAGATATTTCCAAAAGAGATAAATAGATAGCAGCTGTTGGGTGTCTACTTTTCGGACACTTTACTCAACATCTCCTTCCTCTTAATTTCTCCATGGGCGAATTAAGTAAATTTAGGTATTTGTGTTCCCTTTCCATTATATAGACGAAAATAAACAAAAAAAAAGTATAATAAAATAAAAATCGGATTAGAACGCGCTTCGTTTTTATATGAGACAAAAAATTTATCTAAATTAAGATTAACTGAATATTTTTTGGGTAGAAAAAAATCATTGAAAAATTAATAATGACAAATACAGGAGACATTTCTTTGCATAATTTAAAGCTCATACATTTTTGATATTTAAGTCGGTAAAAATCATCATTATTCGGAAATACATCGGCAAAAATATTTAGCAATTATATCTCGGTTTTTTACTGCAACTCAGTTTTAAGAATATTGACAATTTGATATGATAACTAAATTAACGGATAGAAATAAAGACGACAAATGAAAAGGCACATTTCTTAAGATGATAATTCAATTTTACCCTTTCTAACATGATGATTGAAAACATGAAAAAGTTTAGCGCAATTGCATATCAGTTTGATGTAGTTCATAAACTAATCTCTATTTATATAATCCTGTCGTTAATTTTGCTGTTCCTTAACGTGCAATATTAAGCATCTCAGATAAATCAAAGTTGATAAAAGCTGCTAATTCATAGCTTTAAGAAGAAAGCAACTTTTGGAAAAACTGAGATCTAATATTTTCCTCTTAGTTCAATATTAATGTGATGACGATGCGACGCATTAATAATTTCTTATTGATACATACTTAGATGGTTTGTTTTGTATTCGTTGAAGAGTGAAAGCGGTTTGACTTCGTTAATTCCCTACGGGAAAATTTGGCAAGAATGTCGAACCGTATATCCAATGTAATGAGTTTTTATACCACATTTCTATGTTTCTTACTATATACTTAGAGCTAAATGTTAAAGGTTACTTTAGTCGCAACATTACACACATATAACTTTTTTGTACCATGTTGATCTCTAAGAACTTAATGATGATTAAAGAGAAATACGCTGATAATGAAAATGAGAATAACAGAAATAAATATTTTACTATTTTACTATTAACTAACGCTATGATGAAACTTATATCTGATGAAAGTTAAAAAAAGAAAAATGGGAGAAAAATCTATAACAATAATTACATACAAGATACCATTAAAGAATCCACACATAAATCATATATTTTCTATATAAAAAGTCCTCTTCAAATTAAAGATTTAAGATGAAAATGAAAAAAAAAGAATTAATAATAATTAAAATTAAAATTGCAAAAATTAAATAATAGAAAAAAGATGATGAAAAAATGTAGCTAATTAGTTTTATCTTTGATTTTTTTATTGATTGACGAAAAAGAAACACAAACAAAATCCTACAAAAAAGAGAAAAGTATGAATAAAGTGAATACGTAGAAGCAAAAATTGGTCTTTTCTTTCTTTTCAAAATTTTATATTATTAATTATTGTTTTCTTTTTTCCTTTTAGGGAATTTGAGCTTTTATTTATGTTGCGAAAGCTCCATGGAATCAAAAAACAAAATATTTATCTCATTTAAAATGAAAAAAATAAAACATAATATTATTATTGATATTTTGTTTAAATTGGAAAGACAATTTAATCCCGTAAAGTCATCCGCTGAAATGTTAACTTTTCGTATGCTTTCATTATTTATTTTTAAATTAATGCTATCAACATTCCTTGCTCTTCATTTTCTTTTTCCTTCGTTAATGATTTATGTTGAGGAAAATTAAGCACAGAACATATATCTATCTATACATATAATTATGATGGAGAAATAAAAATATTTATGCTGCGTAAATGGTATTGAATTCATAATTAACTTAATCTACCGTCTGTTATGAAAAAGGAGAAAAGAAATTCATGAAAGTCTGGAGCTTGAAATCTAATCTTCAAGGTTTCCGGGCGTAAATGAGACGACTCTTGTATGAAAAATAATAAAATCTCTAAACAAATTATCTATTACACTTCTTTGATTCATGCTGATGTTAATGTACTGCATATCAGAATTCATACAATTTAAATCGTATTAAAAATTAATAACAGTAAATTAAGCTGTTTGAGTAACAACCTTGGTGAAGCTAATTCACTGTAAAGAATTTTTATTTTACATAAGTTTGTAAAAAAATGAATCAACATAAATCATCAAATCTCATTTATCTGTTTGATCTGTGAAATAAAAAATTCACATCAAATGTAACAAAAACTTTTCCCTTGATCCTTGTCCAGATTCAATAATCTTTTAAACAATGTTTGTCTTGAACATTAAAGAATAAATGAAAGGTGCTAAAAGTCAACTTAATATGAAATAATTTTTTAATGATTGCTAATATGTAGCAAAATAGTCGAAGATACCAGTAATCCAGTGACATTTGACCCTTTTATTGGTAGCGCTGAATCTTGATTCTTGATTAGCGATATTGAAAATTAAATATCCACAATATAGAAGAAACAAAGTATTAATGTTATAGATACAGAAAGATATTTATTAAATGCGCTTGAACATCATCCAACGGTTGCAAAACGAGGTCAGAAATGAATCTGAGAGTTTTGATAATGAAACGGACGAGTATTTCAGACATCAACAAATTAAATTGTACCTGTTAAAATTGTTCAACAAACTAAGTGTCATAATGAATAATTTTTAATTGAAAAATATTTTAATTAACTAATTTAATTTCTTAAGTGATGCGCAACGAAATTCATTTCATTCTCCGGTAACAAAGAATAGAAATTTGCATAAACGAAATTTATTTTAATGATAAGGGAAGGAAAAGCATGTCAATATCATATTTAAGATAAACATGTATAAGATTAAAACATGTCAAAAACGCGTACATGTATGTACACTCATAGTGGGAAAAATCCTGGAAAAGAAGATCAAAGAATTTTCTCTCATCTGACGTAAACTCAAGGAGAACTTGTCATATTGAATGAAAAAATATAAATTTTCTCTTCTGATATATATTTTTACTGTACAGCAAAAGAGAAATGTTTTTATGTCACAAAAAATAACCCACAAAATGACAACAAACTGATTATGATGTACTTTTTGCCACTCAGCAATTTCCTTTCCTTCCTTTTAAGCTTCGTTTTCTTTTTAATGTCATTTCATGATAAAAGAATGAAAAAAGAGAAAAATTGCTTTGACAAAAACATTTCTTGCCACATGCCATTCAATCATCATAAGAAGTCAGAAAAGTTTTGTTGATTTCTCTTAATAATAAAAAGAAGTGAAACCAATATTTACTGAAAGGTGATGAGATTTGAAAAATGAATGTTTTCATCACACCGCTTTAAATTGAGTTGACACATTTTAAACTCTTCAATTTTTAATGTCGAATATTTTTTGCGTTATCATTGCAGCATAAACTGCTTCATTGAATCTTATCGGGATCTTAAAATCAAATATTTTTTAAATCTATTTCCGCAAGGTATAAAGTGATAAAATCAATTGGAATTGGATCAATTTGTTTTAACTAATAATAAATATTTAATGCCTGCCGGTTAAACTCGTGCAGTGATAATCCTTTGCTAAAAAACAAATTTTAATTCAAATTTTCATCAATTGCATTGAAGAGCTAATCGAAACAAATGGTATAAAAGTAGAAAAAAAAACTATCTAATCACATCTACAATTCTAGATAGTTAAAATTTATTACTTTTAAGGTGTAAAAGATTATTTAAAATTGGCTATTTGGTCTGCGAAAGGTTTTATCCTGACAAGATATTCATCAACTTAATATTGGTACCAACATCACGAATAAAACTTAAATAGAGATTGGATTCAAATATTGTTTTTAAATACTCTCAAATACATAACATGCATCAATATGAAATTCATAAAATATTTTGGAAGAACAAAATAATAGAAAAGCTTCCGTTTGGAATGCAGTGCTTTTTTCTTGTGCAACATGTTGATGAATCAACCAGCATTTAAATAATACTTTTATATACATTATGAATAAAAATTATCCCGTTTTTACCTTATGATATTTAACCCCACAAATACAGAAATATTTTTAATACTTCACTGGAATAAAAAGATAAAAAAATAATTGAAAATATATTATCAAAACCATAGTTCGAGAGGCTTTAATTAAGAGCTATTAAGATAAATAAAAACTTATAAAAAGTTTATAAACAAAAAGAAAAATTAAATTTTATTCTTCATTTCATTCGAAATAGTCTTAAATCAATTTAAGAAAGTTTGAGAAAATAAGGAATTCTAATTTGAGCTGATGATGTCTTCACATTGATTAGTTATAACGATCGGTGTGGCTGGAAAACGAAAAACTAACTTTATCAATACTAAAACTACAACTTAAGTAGATGTGTCAATTTTCATTTTAATATATTTTGAATATCAAATTCATTTTCAAATGTCTTTTTTGTTCGAAAATATAAAATATAAACAGACATCTAAAATTGTATGTTCTGGAATACATATTTTATGCTAAATGTAGGTCAAATGCAGACCAAGAATGAAAATAGAGAGAGAGAGAAAGTATGTAAGGTTTTCCCTGAACAATAAAGTGAAAAAAAGAATATCAAGAACGATTACATTGTGTGCAATAAATTTTATTATCCCAAACGCGACCAGAGCGCATATGGTGCATACGAGAACAAAATTATGTGAGTTACGAATTTGTTCTCGACTTTTTCATGCGCTCATAAATCTCTCGTCGTTTTTTTACTTGTAAACACTTATAACTCTATATTGTTTCAATAAAAACGGTTAGGAATCGAATAATCGTGGATAAATTCCTTAAATTGGCTTAAATTAAATGTGTTTGTTTAACAACCACTTTCTGATTTACTATTGAACGTAATTCTATGAAGATATTCTTCTTATTTAAGTTTCATGGGCCCTGCTTTTATCTTAATTACGTTTAAAGATCAATTTAAGTTCTATTCGATTAAATATCAAGACAAATGTACGAAACATTCATAGAATTAAAGTTAAAAGAGAAAAGAAATTAACTTTTGTTTATTCACAACATGAAAATAAATCTTTTAATTAAGCGTTCGTATATTTTTTTAAGAAGCTGATGAATTTAAATATTCAAAGAAAAATTGTAAGGAAAATATTTGTAAATAGACAACAAAGAAAACAGAATTCAATAAAAAGAAAAACATGTTTTTGAAACTTAGTAAATTATTGTTTAAGAGAATATGATTGCAATTTATGTATTGACATGTTAAATCAAGATCATTGAAAAAGAAAGAAACGCTTTGCTTTGGTATTTTTCAAAGGCAATTTACAAATTAATTCATTCTAATCAAGATTTAAGATGCCAATTTTAAGTTTCAAAAATCACGAAAATCATTTCAACAATTTTTTAAAAACACAAAACTTTAACAGCAAAAAGAAAGGAATGTAACATGATTGCTTAGATTACTTTAATTGTAGAAGAAATCATCAATTTATAAACTAGTGAGCGCATTTGATATCTTCTAAACATTAACATGACGATTTTGACAACATTATTAGTCGTCATTACTTTGTTCTTCACTTTGAACTGTACACGATCGCGTTGCGTCATCGCAATTTTCGTAAAGTCGCAATTGTGGAAGATCAAAGTTCTCTTTTTTAGCGCAAACGCAAGAGAAAGTCTTTGAATCTTGGTTAAATAGTTGAATTGGATAACCAGCCCATTCACGATCGATGCCACCAGATTGCTGAAAATTATTTAATTTTTTTTTAATATTATGCTGCGTTGACAAAATGTTGAAAAACTTACTGTTGTACACCAATATCTGGTTGTTCCAGGGTCAGCTTTATATTCTATATTACATGGTGGAAATTCTTGTTTAAAGTTTTGCTCTTCCTCTTGTTGCTTCAAACCTAAATAAAGAAAATTTCGAAACATTACTCAACAATGAATATGCTTTTGGAATATTTGTTGTCTTATGTAAAGAGATAAAAAGAAATTTCCTTTTAAAGTATGATGATGATCTTCTTACTCACCAAATTGTATTTTTCGGTCAATTTGCCAAAAATATTCCGTTGGCTCACCGGTTTCTTCATAAAAACTTTAAATACAAAAAAAGAAGAAGATACAAACATTAAACAATCATTCATCTTTCCCTTCGATGCAAATAAGCTTAATCGCTTTGTCGTTTGTAAATTGTTGTGCAAGGTCAGTGAAGATGTATTTGAGAAATCTCACTCACCGTCCGATCAGTCGTCCCACGAAGACGTAAGTTTCGGCATAAAAATCGCGCCATTTTTTTAGGCTCACGAGTTCACGAGGCGAAAGTCCAAGAACATGATCAAGGCTATCCTTACTGGACTTTGCATCAAACTCACCAGTTACGAAAGCTCTAGAAATATCTTTAGCCACGAATGCATTGTAAGGCATTCCAGGCCCATAATGCTGCAATTTAAAAAAAATGTTTAATCGAACTTTAATTTTGCATACTCATCGAACCTGTTCGCCTCTTGTTACGTCAAATATTTCGCCTAATATTGATAAGTAGAGTTTACTATCACCTGAAAACGAAAAGCAAAGCAGAAAAAAGAAGAAAAAATTAAACACATTGTAGAATAAACATTTGAATTTGGTGGCATGACCGAAAATGAAAAATCAAAGAAAAAAACGTGAAACGTGTTAATGACGCAATGGATGCTTTCAACCTCCTTTTAATTTAAATTGTAAATTTTTTTTTGTTTTCTTTATAAGTACGTAAGTTAGTCAAGTAAAGAAACTTCAAAAATATGTACTTACTGACTCCATCAAACTTTTTTAATTCATTAGCTGTAAATAGCGGAATTTCATTTATTATCTTATCGCTCTTTTGTGATTTAAGCGTTTCATCGGCTTGTGTGGAATCCTTAGCTAAGTACATTTGATAATATGCACCGTAAATGATTGCGACAATTATCACTAAAAGATTAAATAACGCATAAGGCGGACTACGGTTGGATTTTCGCTTTTCATTTGATTGCTCTTGTTCCATAGCTTTCTTAATATTACAACTTTTATTGAATTAAAAACTTAAAGAGAAATTATAAAGAAACAAAAAAAAATTGATACGTGCACCTTGCAGGCTTAAATTTGAATAAAATCTCTTTTCGGTAAACCTGTTTCTTTTTGTTTTCTGAGATTTTATTTCAAAGAGGTTGATTTGTAGAAAATGTAACATTCTCTTGATTTGCTGTGCTTATAATGAGTGAATTCACTGAAAATTATTAATTATCAATCATTCAAAATTTCTTGAGAAAAAAAGTTATTCCTTTAAATAAAAGAGTCATTTAAGATGCAATGATTGTAATCAAATTTAATCTATAATAATAATCAATGGCCATCATCTTGAGATTCATCCAAAAGTTTAAGGGGTATAAAGTTGTCATATTTGATGACAATAAGGGGTATAATGAAATTTACAAACTTATCTAAGTAGCACAACGCTTGCTACGTTTAACCACATTTTCATTTAGATTTATCACCTAGTTTATTTTAAGAATAAAGCTTAATAACGTGATCCTTTATTGATTTCAAAGATGGAGTATATCAAAAATATTCAAGAAAATTTAATAAAAATTTCAGATTTTGTTGGCGCGTAAGTTTAAATACAAATTGATGACTTTTTGTAATTTCATTCCCCTTGAAAAGTATCCACACACTGAGAAATCTTAAACAACAACTTTGAAATTCCTTTTTTTTTAACAGTAATACACGACAAAAGAATAATATAACTGTTGTTAACATGTCAAAACGCAAGTCTACTACGAAATTAATTGATGAAAAGAATATAGATATGCATTTCGAGGATGACGACGAAGAGGAACAAGCGAATGGATCATCCATAGCTGGAGATTCAGGAAAGGGTTCAGTTTCACGTGTCTCTGGAAGAGCTAAGAAAGCAAAAGCCATCTACGATCCCAGTGAGTATAATGGTCCAGTACATAAACGCAAAAAGGAGGCATTGGAAGCCGAAAAAGTTACCAAAGTATTGAAGTCACCAGGAAAACCGACAAACCTTCCACAAATTGAAAAAGTTGTGAAAGTTCCTATCGAACCAATAGCTCCACCAGTTGTTCCTTCTTCTCTGCAACGTCAAAAAACTACAATGAAGCCAACTACTAACAAAAAAATTAAAAAAAGCTTGAGTACTGTGACACGACGAACATTTACTACGAATGCACCAACGGAGAAGAAATTGATCGTCGCTACAAAGAAAGAAACTCCTGTTATTGCTGCACAATCATTACCACCAGTAAAGGAACCTTCAAAGCGCATTCAAGCACGCAAGCAGCATCCAAAACCTGCTTCATCATTATTGAACGACGAAAAGCCTTCGGTTAGAGTTCGATCATCATCAGAAAACTCTGATCAGGCTTCCACAATTGAGTACAATAATCCAGAGTCATCAGCTATCCCCAATGTTGAGAAATGGTCATATCAACATGTTTCTCGATACTTCAACACTATTTTGGGATTCTCTAAAAAAGATTCATCCGTCTTTACTGATGAGGAAATTGATGGTGAGGCCTTATTGATCATGAAGCGAAGCGACATAGTCAATACTAAATTTCAACATCTCAAGTTGGGAACAGCTTTAAAGATGTGGAGTCATATTATCACTTTCCAGACTGGCTCAAAAGACCCCACACAAGCTTGGAAATAGCATCATCTCTACGACTATTTCTTCTTTAATTTTATTCTTAAAAATCATTCATCTTCGTGAAGAAAATCAATCATCAACAATTCTTTAACTATTTACATTATTAATTTGTAAACTTAGATTAAAATACAGAGATCTCTTGTGCTTATTTTTCAATAATAAATTAATAAAGAGAAACTAGATACGTTAAAGATTCGTTTTAAATACCAATGGGAATTGGTTTCATACTTTAAAGAATGAATTTTTCTTTGTAACCCCAACAAAACTATATAAACAAACTACGCGATGTAACCCCAACAAGATCAGTAAACATTGAATCGAGTAACATCACAAAATAAAATTTAAAAAAAAATCATAAAAAGAAAAAGATTAACTCAGTTTATTGAATAAAAGAAAAGGAATTTCTGTCAACAAACTACAGGCAAACATTCTGCAATCACAGTTTTCTTTGATAAACTCGTAAAATTTCGTAAAAATTGAAAATTCTATACTAACCTAAAAAGATGAAATACCGCGAAATTATTCCAAGCTTATCTGCAGCTGAAGAATGGAAGGAAATAAGATTAAATACAGGAGCAACTCATAGCACACTTCAGGATATTAAAGTTCAAAAACAAGCTTCTGGTTTTTGTTATCGAAATGATGAATTTATACGAAATCGTTTCATTTATTGGCGAACATCTGACGATATATTAGAACTAAGTGAAAACAGCTTGGATCTGAATTTAAGAAACAAAAATTTGAGAATCATTTTCGAAGAAGCTCCAATTTTGTCAGTTAACATCAATGAGAATGAGCAGAATGTTTTCATTCTTGTTGTTACAATCAGCAACATTCATCGACTTCAATTCATTCATCCAAAACGAGGAATCGGTGCGAATGGAGAGCAAAATGAGAATTCAATCTTCACTAATATCACACAAGAATCCGCCAAAGATCCAACGTCATTTTACACCATCAGCAATTTACTTGCACAAAATGTTCCACATTGTGCTACTTGCTTCTTATCACAAACAGGAGAGGAAGCTTACTTCGCAGTTGCTCACACAAATCATCTCCTTTTGTTCCAAATGAATTGTTTCAATGGCCATACTAATGTCACTGAACTCAAGAACTTTCAAATTCTTCCAAGATTGTTTAGTAATCTCACTGACGCCATTCGTGGGAAGAGCAACGTTAATGACAGCAATTACGTGACATCGATTGTGTTTGATACTGTCGGAGGTGAAATTGTTCTTTACGCTTTATATCGAGATAACAATCTACGAATGTGGTCAACAAGAACTGGACAATGTCTTCATACTCTCAACATTATTAATGACAGTGAAGAGAAAGGAAGTCAAGGAAGTGAGTTTCATTTATTTAGTTTCAATGCAATTTCTCTTAATTTTCTTTTTATTTTCAGCTCAAAATAATATTTTGAAGAAATCAACAAGTTCAACATCACTTTGTGTTTTTCTTTCGTACACTTCATGTTCAGAGTTTCAACTCTTTAAACCTACTTGGGATGGCGCTAATAGTTACACAATTGTACCGACAAACTTCATAACAGCTCCACAATTTGATTTGGTTGACTTTGAACTAACCGAACAGAGACTTTGGGGGTTGTGGTGTAATTCAGAAGGTGACATGCACATCTCTGCTTACTCATTAGATCCTGAACCGATGGAATATTGGCGCACAGCTGTTTTAGAAGGAATCTCTGAGAAGAGACGAACAGTTGAAGCCGACATGGACGCCAAACACATTTATTGCTCAAACATCTTTCGACCAGGGAATTTTCAATCATCAACAATTTCAAAAGCTTTAATGGTGAGTTTAATAAGTTTTCCAATTATTGTAATGAAATTTCTTTCTTTAGATGTTTAGTCGATCAACAAACTTCAGTGACGCATTCACACCTTTACATATTCTCAAGGAACGTGTTTGTCAAGCTATCGATGCTGAAATACAAAATGAGATTAAAATGCATGATCTCAGCGAAGATGAATATATTGAAGTTGCGATTAACAATTGGGAAAAGTTTTATTCTTGTTGTGAACAATATCAGATCGCTGCACATCAACCGATTGGAATTTTTGTTTTAGATTCATTGGATGCTGTTTGTGTCATTAAGAACAGCCTCATGTCGTTTCTTCGACCATGTGATGTCATTGAAAACATGCTTTTGTCTGGACGATGTTTAGATGAGTTTAGAATCGATGAAAGATTAAAAGAAGATCTCACAAGTCTTGTCAAAGTTGCATATTACTTGGAAAATCATCTTTCGATTGAAGTCAAGACTGAAATTTCCAATAATATATTTAAACTTCGAATGCCAAACGACATCGTTATGGAAATGATTTCTGATATGTTGTTGGACAACGACGAATTAGAAGCTTCGATCCCAAAAGAGCTGATTGTTGATGTTGCTGATCGCTTAAAGTCAATTCGTGATGCTCAGAGTGCTTTAAGTTTCCTTCTCAATCTTCTTCGTTTGGATCGAAATAATTTTCCTAATGAAGAATTTAATGAAGATCTCACAGTTTTTCAACGTCAACTCTTTGCTGGAAATTATGGAACTTCAATTTTGACAGAAACAGTTCGTCAGATTTCTTCAAGTCGCTATGCCATGTGTCGGAACTTGTTGATTATTCAACATATTCTCATCGATAATGGAACTTTAAATTGTAATGAGGCAGAAATTATCAGATCAAAGCACATCCCAGAAACTGTCATTTTCCTTCAATCTTATTACGTCATGGTGTGGATAAGCGAAGATGCATTCGCAATTCCTCAAACAAAGACAAATGTCATTGGGTTCAATAATCAGGGTGGTTACAGTCAACCGTCTTCACTCTTGCAACTTTTCGTCAAGAACAAAGGACTTCAAACATCGTTAAAGCTTTTCTTCAAATCTAACGCAATGGATGAAAGTGATGAAGAAACTGACGGTGGCGATTACGAGACGGAAAATTTTTGGTCAAAGAATCTTCTCTCAATTGCAAATTACATTGAAAGATTCATTTGGGCGATTTCTGGAAGTTTCATTTTTGGTGAATGGCTTGCTGAAACAGAACAAAATCTTTTAGTTGAAGAATACGTTCGATTGTTGAATAAATGGTGTGAATATCATAGCTGTTCACGTCACTTTATCTTAGCAATGTCATATCTTAATATGGGTGAAACATTCAAAGCTTACGACATGTTTATTGAGTCAGCAAAAGGAGTTTTGTATGAACCATATTTGAAGCAATTTGTTAATTCGAATGAGTTAGAAACAGAAAATGAAATAATGTCGCAATACTATTTGAAAGTTATGCGACTTTTTGAGAAACATGAAATCTACGATTGCGTCATTTCAATAGCTGAAGTTGCAATTGGAACAGCTGAAAAGGAATCGCAATTGGCAATGTTTCAAAGTATTATCTTTAATAATCATATGAATTTGAAACATTTCGAAGAAGCTTATCACTCTTTAATTCACAATGTTGAGATGTTGAGACGAAAGGATTGTCTTCGTCAACTTGTCATTATGTTATTTCAAGAGAAACGCTTCGATATTCTCATCAAGTTTCCTTACATTGGACTTGAACAGGACCTTCAAGATATCGTTGAAACGAGAGCCCGTTCAATGCAAATAGAGAACAATGAACATTACAACTTCCTTTATTCTTATCACATTAAGAACAACAACATGAAGCAAGCAGCGATTGTGATGCATGAGAAGGCTTTGAGATTCTTACACGAATGCAGTTCCGTTGAGTCACTTCAAATGCGTTACAATAGTTTACTCTCATGTTTCAATGCATTGTCACTTGTCGATCCTGATTACAAATGGTTGGCAAAGCCGGGAATTGAAGATCCGAGACAAGATGAAGATGTCGATGATGCCATGGAGTCGGATGTTCAAAGTCAAATTGTTGTCATTGAGATTGAAGACATAAGAAAAGAATTGCTGATTGTTGAAGCTTTGCTGTGTGTTGCGAAAGCAAAAGAGTTAAAATCAATGCTTAACATGGGACCGAAAGAGTTGGTAATTCTTTTAGCGCAACAAAAATTCTTCACAAATGCTTTGAAGTTGGCCAAAGGATTTAAATTGTCATTGACGCCGCTTTTCGAGAGTCTCACGCTTGCTTGTCTTCGATCATCAAATCCGGAGTTTAATGAGAGTCTTGAATGGTTGAGCCAAAATAATCTTAGCGATTTAACTTTGACGATTAGTTATAGTGAGATGCCTTGGATGTATTTGAAGAAATTATTGATGGAAGAAGATCTTGACAAAGAATATCTACGAGATGTAGTCAAATGTGTTCTCGCTAATCAAGCTTTTGTCCCACAATGGCTTGTCGACATTTATAAAATTCACAAGGCATCCGAATTGCTTTATCTTTATCTTCAATATGGTCGTCTCGATGAAGCAGCTGAATTAGCAGTTGAATATGTTCGAGCATTCTTAGGAAGTGGCAGTGAACTGTTTGGATTTAAATATTATGTCGCTAAAACTTTGCCATCTTTTCCTATCAACACAATGGATTTGTTACTTCATCAGCTCAAAGTTCATGGACGAAAAGATAAAGTTTGTGAAGAGGTAAGAAGGTCGAGAATATTTCTGAATAATTTTTAATTCTTTTTCTTTCTTTAGAATTATCAACTTTTAAAGGAAACCATCGATAAATATTTAGTGGAATCTAATCGAATCACTTTGGAAAGTATGGCGATGTGAACTTAATCATAATTTTTTTTAATTCTCTTAGTTTAAGAAATTCAAAATAAACTAATAAATAAAATTTAATCGAAATTTTCATATTTTGAGTATTAGATTTTATTTGATACTAACATTGAACTTGTTGGCATCTGTAGCGTGATAAAATTTAATCTTTTCACACCTGGAAAATATTTCCACGCGTAGATATTTAGATAACCGAAAACAAAAATTGAAAAACTCGAATTTATGTTTTGATTTTCACATTCGGGTTGTCAATTGGAAGTGTAAAGATGACGGAATTATTTGAAATATTTAACATGGAAAATCATGTTTTCCGAGTTTATGTTTTTTGGGTAACTGTTCTTGTGTTTAAAATGCTGTTGATGCCGGTGTTGACAGTTTACCAAAGAGTCAAGAACAAGGTAAAAATAATAAATTTTTCATCTTTTTTATATTTTCTTGATTTAATTTTTTTAAGTCTGTTGCAAGTCCTGAAGATTCACCAAAAGGAATTGTTTTGTGTTCTGAAGACGTAGAAAGTATTCGAAGAGCCCATCGGAATGATCTTGAAAACATTCCACAATTTATTGTTGTTGCATTCTTTTATCTAATGACAAATCCTTCACCATTTATTGCAACAAATCTTATTCGGATTGTGGGAATTGCAAGAATTATTTATACGATTGCTTATGCTATTGATCCGAAACTGCCAGCACGAGGTCTTTCTTTTTTAGCATCTTTGATAATTACAACCTATATGTCAATTTCTGTTCTAATTTATTTTTATTGAACTTTGTACATATGTGAAATTGCTGTGTAATCATTAAGGTCATTTGCACACACACTATCATGGAAATCATCGACATCTTTAATAAATACATAATTTTACAAAAGTGTTAGTTTCTTGTCAGCATATATCAAACCAAATATTATTCAACCTTAATAGAAATCAGTGTTGATTTAACTTCTTAGGTTTGAGGACGTCTTGAAACTTTTATTAAAAATGACGACTGTTGTTGATATTTTAAACTTTGAGAACCCAATTTTTAATGCATTTGTGTTCTGGTCGACAGTTTTAGTTTTGAAAATGCTTTTGATGTCAATATTGACAGCGATGCAAAGATTCAAGACTAAGGTTTGTAGGAGATTGATTAGAAAATTTGAAATGTCATGCTATCATAATCTTTGACACTTTAGACTTTTGCTAATGCAGAAGATACAACAACATTCAAGAACTTGAAGCCTAAATTTAATGATCCCGATGTTGAGAGAGTTCGACGAGCTCACAGAAATGATATGGAAAATATTCCAGCTTTTATAACTGTTGCATTCTTCTATATGTTAACTTCACCATCAGCATTCTTCGCTATTAATTTATTCCGAATTGCAGCTATTGGAAGAATCGTTCATACTATTGTCTATGCTATCTTCCCAATGCAACCAACTCGGGCAATTGCATGGTTTGCATGCTATGCCACTACTGCCTACATGGGAATTCAAGTCTTATTTTTCTTCCTTGGATAAATGTGTGGGTGTTTAATAATAAATTTCTTTTATTTGTTATGCAACATGTGAAATAAAAATTCGAATAAAAAAGTTAAATACATAACAGAATTCTTATTTCTAACTCATGTCATATTTAAGAATATTAATTTTGAGATTTCAAGTTCACACACACTATCACACAATGACGATAATTTCGTTAATGATAATCATCATCATCGTCGCTATTATATTATTTAGCTTCAACGGAAAACAAAATCTTTTTCAGTCGATAATAAACTTTGTTGAAAGTAAGATCGTTCAGTCTCGTTAAGCAATTGAATAATTAACAATGGTGTCCGTAATTGATGTAATAAATCTCACAAATCCAGTATTCCGAGCATACGTGTTCTGGTCTACAGTTTTGGTATTAAAAATGTTGGCAATGTCCATTCTTACTGGTCGCCAACGCTTTAGGACAAAGGTAACCGTAAATATATTACACAATAAAAATTATAATTGAGAGAGGATTTTTTATTAAAGACCTTTGCGAACCAAGAAGATCTGAAATCATCTTCGGAAAAGCCAAAGTTTGATGATCCCGATGTTGAGAGAGTCCGACGAGCTCACAGAAATGATATGGAAAATATTCCAGCTTTTATCACTGTTGCATTCTTCTACATTTTAACATCACCAGCTGAAGGTTTAGCAATTAACTTGTTCCGAATTGCAGGAATTGGAAGAATTGTTCACACTGTCGCTTATGCCATCTTCCAAACTCAACCAGCCCGTGGAATTGGTTGGATGCTTTGCTATGCTATCACAATTTACATGGGATTTCAAGTTCTCTGTGCATTTTTCTAAACAGTTTATTTGAGCTTTGAAGATTAAATTCAATATAAAGTCCAGCATTGTTCCAAGAGAAATTTCAAATAAAGGTTTTCATTTTTTTTAATTTTTATAATTTTTTTGGAAAGGTGTGGTTTCAGATTCATTTCCAATTATCGCTTTAACAAGATTTATAAATTGATAGCGTAAATTCCAAAAAAGGCGAAAAAAATTATCGAAACTATTATCTCTCTTTTGATAGCCATAAAAGTATTCTTAGTCATGTTATGTAATTGTGTCATTGTCATCGTGATTTACTACAATTTGAATCTGTTAATCTCATAAGAATTGTGAAATACAAAGATAATGTCGTGGAACTCCAATGCAAACATGTAAACAATCATTAAAAAATAATGACGATGACAATGATTATACTTACTTACACTATTGTAAATATCAAAAGCCGGTTACCAGTTTTTCTTAAATTTTCTAAATAAAAACAAATTTAGAATATTGATGAAATAAATTAAATTAAAGGATTTTGTGATTAGATGATTTTTGCGTTACTTTAAAGTTCGCACGTACGGAATTCACTTTATTAATAATACAATCATTATTTCCGTTAAGTTTTTGTTCCATTTTTAAATAAATTAACTCACGGATAACTCACTAGATGTCAGACAAGTCACGTGCTTCACAGTTTTACACAGAACTGAAGTTAAATAAATTTAAATCTAAACAAAGTTGGAAGAGTAATAAAAGAGTATTTGAAAGCAGATGTCTTGAAATTTTATCGTGGATTGTGGACGTATCAGTTCTTACTCAAAGATGACTTCAAACATTTCATTCAATGATACATTTAATGTTGTAAAATTTCAGGAAGAAATTCTTAGAAACAAATGTCGTTTATGTTTGAAACCTGTAAATTCCGAAACTGATAGAACACAACTATCAAAAGAGTTTAAACATATGATACATAACATCTTACAAATTCAGGTAACTATTTATGAAAAAGGTGCTGAGTTAATTATTGATAAATTTATTTTTTATAGTTAAATTCATCATCAATAACTTCGAATTTCATATGTCAGATATGTCGCTCCCAAGTTAATGACTTTTATCTTTTTAAAAGTGAAATGATAGAACAGCAGAATTACCTTGAAAAGTTCTTAGTTGTCGATTATTTAATCACATACCTTGATGAAACTGATTTCAACACTGATCTCAGTACTACATTAAATGAAACTGAAATAAACGATAGCATGTTGTTAGAAAACTCAAAAAAGTATGGCAAATTAATAGAAAGACTTAAAGAATCCTTAGCTGGGAGTGATTCAACGATTTACTTTGATGAAACTGATTTGAGCACTGATCTTAGTACATCAACCATTTTAAAACCAAACAAAAAATCAATTTCTAACATTGAGCTTGAAGACAGTTTAATGGGAATAAAAATCGAAACAAATAGAAGCAAAAATATGGACGAAGAAAAAGAAATCGGTGACGCTCAGAAAATACCTTGCAAAACTTGCGGAAGACTTTTGAAACGTGGAAGTTTAAAGGCACATATTTTAAGGATTCATAAGTTAGAGAAAAAGCGTTGTGAAATTTGCGGAAAAGTTATACGAAGCCGATTCGCTTTGAAGAAGCATATGAAAGAGGTTCACGACAAACCCTTCGAATGTGACTTTTGTGGAAAGAACTTCTCCAGCAAAGATGCTGTTCAAGAACACTTGATGTTACATGTCCCAAAGAAATTTCAAATCAAACATAAATGCCTATTTTGTGGAATGTTTTATCGCAGAAGGTCATCATTCAACTATCATCTATCTACACATAAAGAAAAACCGTTTCAATGTTATTATCCAGGATGTACAAAAACGTTTCACAAAAAATCTAATATGGAGGAACATTATCGCACTCACTGTGAAGGTAGAAAAGTACTTAAATGTCCCTATGAAAATTGTAACACAACTTATTTATACAAACATAGTTTGACATTTCATATATCTTCCATTCACAAAGGAATTAGAATCAATTGTCCAATCGGAAGTGGTTGTAAATATTCAGGACCACACAAAAACCATATTAAAGCACATTTGTTACGTATGCATAAAAATCTCTCTCGTGAAGTATTAGAAGATTACATAAGCCAAATAAATGTCATGAAATCTCTAATATAGAATGATGCTGAAAGATAAACTTTGTTGACATAAGTTTTTATTATTTTCATGTGGTTGATAATGAATGAGATTTTATTAATTTTTTTCTTATTTCTAGAATTATTTATACCTAAATAGACATTGTAAAGGACATTGAAAGACATTGAAATTCACTTTATTAATGATACAATCATCATTTCCGTTAAATTTTTATTCCATTTTTAAATAAATTAAGTCACGGATAAGTCACTAGATGTCAGGTAAGTCATGTGCTTCACAGTTTTCCACAGAACTGAGTTAACCAAATTTAAATCTAAAATAAATTAAAAGAATAATAATTAAAGAGTATTTGAAACCAGATGTCTTGATTGAAATTTTATAGTAGATTGTGGACATAGAAGAACAAATAAGTTCTTACCAGAGATGACTTCAAACATTTCATTAAATGACACAGTTAATGTTGTAAAATTCCAGGAAGAAATACTTAGAAACAAATGTCGATTATGTTTGAAACCGGTAAATTCCAAAACTGATAGAACACAAGTAACAGAAGAGTTTAAACATATGATACAAAACATCTTGCAAATTCAGGTAAATATTTATGAAAAAAGTGCTGAGTTACCTAATTATTGATAAGATTATTTTTTATAGTTAAATTCATCACCAATAACTTCGAATTTCATATGTGAGATGTGTCGCTCCAAAATTATTGACTTTCATCTTTTTAAAAGTGAAATGATAGAACAACAAAATTATCTTGAAAAGTTCTTAGTTGTCGATTATTTAATCACCTACCTTGATAAAACTGATTTCAATACTGATCTCGATACTACATCAACTGAAACTTACTATAGCATGTTGATACAGAACTCCAAAAAGTATGACAAATTAAAAGAGAGACTTAAAGAATCCTTAGCTACGAATGATTTAACGACCTATCTTGATGAAACTGATTTGAACACCGATCTCAGTACAATTTTATTTGAAACTGAAGTAAGCGATAACATGTTGTTAGAAAACTCTAAAGAGTATGACAAATTGAAAGAAAGTCTTAAAGAATTTATAGTTGTGAATGATTCAGCAACATACTTTGATGAAACTGATTTCAATGCTGATCTAGGCACTACTTTGATAGAAACTGAAATATGCGACAGCATGTCATCAGCCATTTCAAAAGCAAACACAGAATTAATTTCTGACATCCAGCTCCACCTTGAAGATAGTTTAATAGATATGAAAACCAAAGCAAAGAGTAGCAACAAAAATTTGGACGAAGAAAAAGAAAACGTGGACGGAATGAAAATACCTTGCAAAACTTGTGGAAAACTTTTGAAATGTGATAGTTTAAGGACGCATATTTCAAGGTTTCATAAGTCAGAGGAAATACGGTGCGAAATTTGTGGAAGAATTATGCGAAGCCTATTCGCTCTAAAGATGCATATGAAAGAAGCTCACTCTCATCAATCTAGTCATAAAGAAAATAAAGAGAAAACGGTTCAGTGTGCTTACCCAGGATGTATAAAAATGTTTTACTTTAGATCTAATATGATGGAGCATTATTCCACTCACTGTGAGAAGAGAAAAGAATTTAAATGTCCCTATGAAAATTGTAACACAACTTATTTATACAAACATAATTTGACATTTCATATATCTTCCATTCACAAAGGAATTAAAATCAGTTGCCCAATTGGAAATGGTTGTAAATATTCAGGACCACATAAAAAATATGTTAGAGCACATTTGTTACGTGGACATACAAATCTTTCTCGTGAAGCATTAGAAAAATACATAAGCCAAATATAAGTCATGAAATCTTTAACATAGAATGATGTTTTTAAGAATAAACTTTAATAAAATTGACGATTTTTATTTCGATTAAACTTTTTTATCTGCTTCTGAAGAATTATGGAATATTGGTAATGGATGACAACTTTTAATCTAAACAAGTATTTTTAAATTTTTCTTATTTCTGTAATTATTTATAAATTATTGTTAAGGAGAATTAAATTAAGATAGGCAAAAAATTATATTTTTTTAACGGATATATTTTGAAAATTGAGCCGTTTTGAACCATTAGCATTGAATTGATCTGAAATTGAACTTAGCACAAATTTTAGCAAAACTTTAGCTATTTCTGAGTTCTCACAAAAAAATAAACATTTTAATTTTTCATTATTTAGAGAAGGGAAAATATCATTTAACAACACCAATCCATTAACTGTTATGGCTTGTTTCAAACATCTGCAAAAGAACATCATTTTGTTTAATCAATATCGGAGAAGCGCAAGTCTCCTGACGTCAATTGACTGTAGAAAATTTGCCGAAAGAGAAAATGAAGTATAAACAAACGAATATTCCAGACTTATTTCAGTTTACTAATGTTTAATTTTATTTTATAATTTAGCATAAACCTTGTCTACAGTTGATAAATAATACGAAGTTGTCAAAAGAAGATGTCAAGTATTTGGTTCATAATCAGTGGTCATCGAAGGACATTTACTATTATTCTAAAGTGAATATATCGACAGAACCAAACGATAAAGATGTAAATTTATAAAAGAAAATTATTAGGTACCTACATGTAATAAAACCATAAAATTTCAGGTATCAAATTCTTCAAATGATAATCGCACGAATGAAGATAAATTAGAGAAAGTCTATGACACACTCTACAAGACTTTGCCGAATCTTTTCGTTCAACCACTTGATTATTCTATTTATTCTGTCAACTTAATCTTTGAAAATAATATACGAGGAATGCGAACAGTGTAAGTATAAAATTCAAATATTACATCAAATGGAAAATGAACATTTTGTTTGATTTTTAGAGGATTGCAACATTTCGTGAAGCAAGTTGCACTTCTTCGAGTTGTTGGCCATCTGAAATTTGCATATGTAAAGTTTGAAATCTTAAAAATCACTAAACACAAAGAAGACAACACAGTAAGAGTACGATGGCGAGTAAGAGGAATTTCTGCGATGCGAGTGATGTTGACATTCTGGAGATATAAGCTTTGGAAAATCAAGGAGATCTTTGATAAACAAGAGTCTTGGTATGACGGCTTTTCAACCTTCTACGTTGACGATGAAGGAGCAGTTTACAAGCATGTTGTAGATAGGGTAAATGAAGTTCAAATTTCAAATTGAATTAAAACTAATTTTTTAATTTTTATTCAGTTAATGCCCGATGATAGTAAAGAAGCAATTTTGGAAGATTCTAAAATAGCTGGCGAATTACCCGTGTAAAATTTATGTCAGATAATTTTTTCTCGACTATGTTAAGTTGAAATTAGGAAAAAATAAAACAGAAAGTTCAACAATTAAATCACTCTAAATCAATCATTTATTTAATTTTATGCTAAAACTGCCTTTCAATGCAAAGAAGCTTCAAATTGGCAGTCGTCAGACAACTGTAATGCAAAAGCATTTCTTTTTTTTAATCTTCATAAATAAATATAATCAAATGTAATTAGATGAATCATTCTACTTTTGTGAGTAGGATTTGTTACTTTCTTCTGGGGATGTTTTCATGAAACTTTGATGTACTTTTGTCTTGCATTTTCAATAGCTTCGCACCAGATTAAAGCATCTCCTTTCAAGTCTTCAAGATAGTAAATTCTATTAGGCTGTGAATGGATAAAAAATTAATTAAATATCCAAATAATCGACTCTTATTACTTACAGTATGAACTAAAAAATGTCTAAAATTTTTTGCTTCACATGAAATATTTGCATCGAAAGGAATTTCACCTTTCTTTATGTTTGTGTTTGGATCGATGTATATTAATCGAGGCTTATTTGTTAGCAGAAGCATTCGACGACGAGCGAAAAGGCCTTTTTTACGTTTCATAATAAAACCATATCTAAGAATGAGCTCATCGCTTTCAACGAATGCCGACCATTCGAGTTGTTTTTGTTCTTCCAAAAGCTTCTGAAGTAAGGCTAAAATTTATCAATTTATTAATTATAAGAAAGCTTCAATTATGAAAGATTATTACAAGTTGACGAAGGTGGTGGCGTGCTATTCTGTTCTTTTGCACTACTAATTTTTGCAGATCCGAATTCCATCTGTAAAATTCTTCTTAATTGTCGTTGTCCAAGGCCAGGTTCAATTTCATCGGAAAACTCAAAATCAGATTGCTGTAGGTCATCATCATTTATGTTTGGAGGGATCTTTATCTCTGGAGGTTTTTGTTTGTAAATATCATTCCAAACTATTCCTTCGAAAAACGGATGACTTCGTATCGAATGATAACGAATTTCATCGGAATCATTTGCACCTAGACGTTCTTTTGGACGGATGCGCAAAAGTTTTGTGATTAAATCTTTTGCTTGTTCTTCAAAATCATCCGAAAATTTAAAATCAAGATTCTTGATCTTCTGAAATATCAAGTAATCTGATGCTCCACGGAAAGGTGGAACGCCTGAGATCATTTGATAGATTATGCATCCAAATGCCCAGAGATCTGTTGACAAATGTGGAGCGTCTCCATTCAGTACTTCTGGAGAGACATATTGAGCTGTTCCAACAAAGCTCACTCTTCTTACGAGACGTGAATTTCTCAAACGTATGTCATTGCTATCATCACTTTCATTTGCTTTCTCTTCTCGATTTCTTTCGATTTCATCTTGTGCTATGTCATAATCATAATCTTCAGGGAGGATTTTCGAAGAACCAAAGTCCGCCAATAATAAATGCATATCCCGATTAAGTAACAAGTTCTCTGGCTTTAAATCTCTAAATAAAAAAACGATAGAAAGAATTTAGAAGTATTCAATAATATGATATTTGTATGAATAATTTTACCTGTGAATAATATTCTTTTTATGCATTTCCTCGATTGCTCGTAATAGCTCTGCTGAGTAAAATCTAACGCACTCAATGCTTAAGGAGCCTAATTTATTGATATATTTTAGTAATTCTCCGTTAGGAGCATATGTTAGGACAAAATAAAGTTTCGATCTATCTTGAAAAGTGTATGCCAATCGAATGATTCCTTGGGAATTGCTTAGAAGGTGGAGTGCTGACTTTTCACGCTTAATATATTCTTGCTTTTTTTCCCGTATTATATGATCTTTGTCACAAACTTTTACTACAATTTAAGAGAGATAAAAAAATATGAATTTTCTTTTCGCACATAGAATTTTTTTTACAAACTTACTTGCAAATTCTTTTCCACTTTCAACTTCTTTAGCTAAATAAACAGTTGAAAAAGATCCTTCTCCTATAACACGACCAAATTGGAAATCTTCTGGGCTTTTCCTACTGCGAGTATTTTCCATACTTTTATCCACTTTAAGCTTGTTTTTCTTTTTTTTAATCAAATTTCGTAAAAATGACTAATTTTGAATCGGTTGAAGAATAAGGTGCGATTATATATAATTTTAGAGTTTTAATCATTGGCGGCGCTGCCATCGAAATCTCGTGGTCGGAAATAAATCTCGTGCACGGAATCATTTCAAAATGATTGATCTTTTGTCCGAGGACGTTTCAGTGGCGGCGCTACGATCGAAATGTTTACACGGAGAAATTGTTTACACGGAGAAATTTTTATGTATGTTTTGTATGGAAGGTCAAATCCGCGCGAACCGTCGGGGCACGAGGCAATTATCTCGAGACGCCATAAACAAAAACCGGCCTTAATTATATGACTTCTTTAAACTTTCAAACTTTTGAAGAAACTAATCAAGAAAATAATTTTGTCTTTCTTATAAGCGGTAATATGCTTAGTTAACTTTAATCATAATTAAAATTAATTCAATTTATGTACTAAGTTCCGTAAAACTAACGAGCTTTTGTATTATTCTCAGAATTCGAAAGACTTGATTTGTTATGTTTTATAGATTTTCTATCACTGTTTGTTTACAGTTTCATATTTTGAAACAAAAGTGTTAAACAATGGTGACTCCAGAAACAACAGAACCAAGTACAGATTGCATAAGACAACGTAGATATCGAGCCCGATTGTCGGAAGAAAAGCGCCGAGAAATAAACAGAAAAAGCAATGAACGACGACGTGAAAGGATTCAAGAAATGAAAAACGATCCAAAGAAATTAGAACAACAGCGATTGAAGAAACGTCTTGAGAATCAAAAATATTGGCAAAAAAAGAATATTATATCTGGTTTGGTGATAACTAAAATGCCGGAAAAACAGCCAAAAACAGGACCAAGTGCAGATTGCATTAGACAACGAAGATTTCGAGCTCGAATGACAGAAGAAAAACGCCAAGAAATAAACAGAAAAAGCAATGAACGACGACGTCAAAGAAATAAAGAGATAAAGAAAGATCCAACAAAGTTAGAACTTCAGCGGATGAAAAAACGTCATGAGAAACAAAAATATAAAGAAAGGAAAAATATTGAAACTGGTATCGTAAATATTTCAAATAAATTTGGTTTTGGAAAAGGAATTGCGAAGATAAAAAAAGAATTTCCTGAGAAGCCGAAAGTAATCAAAACAATTGTCAAGAATATTCCCGATTTAAAAACACAGTCAGGTAATAAAAAAAATTTATTTAATTTATAATTTAATAATTTTTATTAACAATTTAAGGTACATCTAACTTGATATCCTTTTCGCCAGTCTATAACGTTACACAGGAAAGAAAACCGAAGCCATTCAAAACTTTCCAAATCATTGACCAAACTTCTTGTCCCCACTCAAATGAAAAACGAACAGTTAAAAAGGAAGAAAATTACTCAAAACCTTGCATTCAAACTTCTTATAAGCAAAGCATTCAAATGTTCCAAGAGAAACATCCCGACATCCGCATCGGTCAAACATCATTTCGCAGATACCGGTTACAAAATTTAAGTTCTTTTCACAAAGCACCAAGACGTGATTGCACTTGCAAGTACCATGATGATGTTTTTTATCTTTTGGAAAGCCTTTCGAAATTCATCCCCGAAATTTTTCGTGAAAAGAATATCGAAAATTTTATTAATTTGGTGGCTTGTGATAGTAACAACGTAAATTGTATGAAAGGAGCTTGCAGTAATTGCTTAGATCGAACTGGCGAGGTTCTACAACTTGTCTCCCTTGATGATATCGACAGAGAAATTCAATGGAAATATTGGGAAAGAGTTAATGGCAAAGATGTTTTACTACAAAAAGCTGGAACTGTGAAAGAAGCAGTTGAAGACATTTGCAAGAAAGCTAAAGAGAAGTTCAAGTTCCATCATTATGTAAAAAGAATACAACAAAATATATTTGCGAGTCTCAAATTAAATTCGAATCAATACGAAGCAGTTCTTGAAGTCAATTTTGCAGAACTGCAAAACTCAACCATTTTAAATTAATAAAAAACTAACTTGAAAAACTTTCGTGCTAATTAATGATTAATAAATGCTTTTTTGAAATCATCTTGCAGATTTAAATCTTTTAGTTTGATTCTTATTGTACCGGTTGAGATTCTCTCTCTCTCTCGAGAGAGAATATCTTGGTCAGTCTAGAGCGAGCCGCGGTCGAGTGAAGACGCGGAAAGAATAAAACATATTAAAAAAATATAAATATCGCGGTAGTCATCGTCATCGAGTCTGGAGGCATTCCAGCGACGTTACACTTATTGGGAAATTGATAAAATATTAGAAAAATTTGTTTATTAGTTCAATTTTCCATTTTATTTCAATCATTAAGCAGTATGTTTGAAATTTCACTGAACAGTTTCACAATTCTTCATGAAAACTATCCTTAAAAGCTCTAAAGATATTCTGATAATAATCTAGTAATGAAGAGAGATAGAAACATGATATTAAAAGCCTTCCATCGTCTTTCTGATTATTTTAAATGGACAGTTTTTTGTGTTTTTGCTTCTTATTCCTGACGCCACTTACTTAAGCATAGATAAGTAGTCTTGACTAAATAATGCAAAAATTAATCTTGTTGTTATGCTTAAAGTCTATATTAATACGAAAACTTATATTTTAATGAAATTATATGGAAATTTTGATGTTATTTTTACGTGTTTTTCTTTTCTTTTTTTAATAAATTGAAATTCAAATAAATGTAACACAAGAGAAAATTCCAAAATAATTTTAAGGTACATGTCCGAAAAATAAAGAAAACAAAACTAAGTTTTATATTTCTTAGTAGTACAAACTCTGAATAATTATGTAGAAAAAGAGAAATGAGATGAATTTGCTTTAAATACCCAAAAAGGCACATAAAATATTTTAAATTAAAAATCTGTTTGTTCCCTAACTATAAGTTGCATAATAAGTTGTCAACTTCACAGGTCATTCCATCGCCATTTGACATTCTCGTATCTGTCTCAATGATGTCATTAAACAGTAAACTACCACTGGGATCATTCAAGCTCGTTCCTCGTCCACTATCAAAAGCAGATATTTGAAACAATGAATCATGCGATTGAAGATCATTATAAGGAATGATGCTCTCAAAATCCATCGCTGTGTTGTCAATTCCCGTACTAAACAAATCAAAATTATTCGAAAAGTTTAAACTGTTAATTAAGCTTTTGCTATCATCTTTAGCATATTTTCCTTCGTGTGGAAGTGAGAAGAGTTCATTCATGACACTGTTACAGTTGTTGATGTTGTTATTGTTGTTGATGTTACTATTACTATTGATATTGTTGTTATTATTGTTAAGATTGCTGCTCTTCAAAGCATCAAACAAATTGTGATCGAAATTGCCTATTAGTCCATTTTTCTGTGATCTTGGACTCTTCTCTGTGATCAAATTACTCTCATTGGGTTTAACATTCTTCATATATTCGCTATATTTATTATCACAATTCTCCATTTTCGGCTCACTGTTGGAGCTTCTTTGTTGTTCATCGTAAGTTGTTTGCATATTCTGATATGAATTTCCAGGAAATCCTGAGTTTTGAAACGCATTATGATTGAAGTCACCATTGACAAGTGCCGCCGTTGTGTCATCTTCAATATCCATTGGAAACGCTTGATTGTATGTACCAGAAAATCTTCCACTTGAAGGAGAAACCGCTTCTGTCGAAAAAGATAATTGAAATAAATTTCATTTAATTGTCATTTAAATTCAACTTACCCAACATTTTATCAATTGATTCTTCAGTAACTTGAAGAATTGGTGACACTGGATTCTCATTAATATTCATAGGAGATAAAATATTAAAATGATTATGACTTGCTAATGTGTTGTCATTAAATTGTTTAGCAGTTGAAATATTATTAGAGAAGTTTGAATTATCATTTGAATGAATGAAATTATTTGCAAGATGTTTCACATCTTCTGACATTTCCGGCCATTCTCCATTCTTGAGAAGAATTTCTAAGACATCTGTGATATCTTGTGACATTGGGATTGGTGTCGTAGTACTCGTTTCTGTCACTTCTACATTGGTTGGCTTCGAAAGTGGATCACTTTGATCTGTTACCAAAACATCTTGGTTTTCCATCTTTATAATTGAGATTTTTGATGGTGTAACTTGTTGTTGTTGTTGATTGGACGGTTGAGTTTCAAACGGCGACGGCAATCCAACTTCTTCATGAATATCTTCTTGAACAGGAGTTGCTTTTGACACATCTACAAGAAACACTGTTGGAATAGGATTCGTGACATGGAATTGCGGATCGAAGACGATGCTCGATTGACTGGGCGCTTCAACACTTTTCGTTTGTTTCATTTTCTCCAACTCATGTTGACTTTGTTGAAGTTTCCTTTGCAATTCTTCAATTTTCCTCTGCTGCTCTGCGACAATATCTTCATCCATTGATGTTAACGATCCTTGACTACACACTTTGGTCATGAAATTTTGCGATTGTCCGTCCATGTTATCCATTTCTGATTCAGTTGATGAAACTGAAGGTAGGGAAGCATTGTAAAAGTCATTTCCTTCTGACATGACATTCGAACTGATTGAAGTATCATCACTATTGTCTTCTAAAGGTTTAAGTGGTAAATAAGGCTTGAGACGTTCAATCAAAAGAGGCTTCGGACCAGATACCGGCAAGTTTACACGCTTCAAATAAGCTTTCAGCTCTGACACTTTCATTTTTGATAACTTCCCGACATCGGTAACAATTGCATCTTTAGATGATTCCATCACAATATTGTTATTATTATTGTTAATATTATTAAGTGAAGTTGAGGTCTGTTGCACTGACGGCTTCGATGGAAAGATCGTGACATGAGGTTTATTGATAGTCTTAACTTTCTCGACAGAATATTCCGAGGTTTTGTCCATTTTGCAAACCTTGTTTGCATCCTTTGACGACATTTCTGAAATTTCTGTTTTGGCAACGTGAGATTGTGCATTTGGATTCTTATAGATTCCTTCTAGATATTCCAACAGACACTGCTGCTGCATTATTAATTCATAGTTTGTTTCTCCAAGCTTCTTATTTGCAGCGATTGATGCTGATGATGACGATGCGCTGCTTTTATTCGGTGGCCCTTTATACTCATGAAATTTAATCGCACGAGCTTTCGACACTGCTTTGTTCTTACACTTTTTTCTATTTTTCTCTTTACCTGGTGCTGAGAATTTTTGATTGTTGTTGGTGAATGTTGGCATTTGTTGATGATTAACAACATTCGTGACTTGTGATGGAACTAAAGCAGGAATTACATTAACTGTGCTGGCTGTTGTGGCATCTGCAATTTGAAGCGGAATAAAGTTTTGTGTGTTGATAATTCCTTTAACTTCTGTTTGAAGAATTGGCTTCACATGATAAGTGATGAGCTTTGGCGGGGGTGGTGGTGGAGGTATACTTATTGTTGATAATTCTCCTTTCTCACCACCTGAATGTTGAATTTTAAATGTTGCCACCGAGATCGGAGTTGATGTTGTCGTTAAAATATTATTTGTTGGAACTAAACTTATGTTGATGACTCCTTTCGAAGTTGCTGCTGTTGATGTTGTTGCTGTTGTTGATGGTAATGATTCAAATATGGGATTGTTATTATCCTGAGAGCTTACATTGATATCTTTACTCTTACATAGATCAGGAACTAAGTTGTTAGTAAAAATTACGTCATTCTGTGATTGCGATGACGATTGTTGAAAAACATCGCTTTCTGAACTTTGTGAATCATCTTCGAATGATAAGAAATTCTTCTCTGCATTCGTATCTTGACCTCCTGACACTTTGAATAAACCTTCTTTGACTATTCGTTCAATTGGCTCATTTGCATGTAAAATATTCTTCTCTATGAGGTCAATCGGACCAGGTCGATGAGAAATCTTTGAATTCAGTTGATCAACAAGAATTGCTTTCTCCAACATTCGATATTTATCAGCTAAACTTGGATCAACATGACCTTCATGACTCTCCAATATGTGTCGTCTTTCTAACTCTTCTCTCGCTGGTCTTTGTTGTATTTTAGCTTTAAGGAGATCTCCGGTTTTTGCTCTTTCAAGAAGCTTTTTCTGTTCATGTATTGCTGGTGATGTTTTCAAAGCTGAAAAAAATTAATGATGAATTAATGATTATTAATGATGATGATGATGATGATGATGATAAATAAAACTCACGAGGCAAAATTCCTTGTTCAACAAGTTGATTTGCTGATCTTCTAACTAAAAGTTTCACCTTCAAAGCTGTCAAATGAAAAGTCATGATAATTATCATCATTCGGTAATGAACCTTCTTTAAATACAACATACATTCTCTATTTTTGTCCATTGCTGACTGAAGAGGACTTGAATCAACAATAGCTTTCGGTGGTGATGTTCTTTGTTGATTTTGATCCATATTGTTGTTTTCTGATGGAGGCGCTGTGGAAATAAGAATAGAAATTTATAAAGAAAAACTTCGTCGTGATGCGATGAATGAAAAATTCTCTTTTTTTACCTTCCGACATATAAAACTGTTTTAGATTCGTCTGGCAAGGTGATTTATATTTTTTTCTTTGCTTCTGTTGAACTATTTTAGGTTTAAACCAACTTGGAAACTTCCTTCTTATCGTATTGAATATATCCTGATCAATTTTAATATTCCAAAGCTGACAGAGAGATGTATCTGAGTGTGGAAAAAGAATATTTTTGCGATAAAAAAAAGAAGTTTTTCTTTCCACTTATCGGAAGGATTTATTTTAATCATTTTTTTCAAATGAAAGAGAAATGAAATACCATCACAATATTTGCAAATAGTTGCCGTATTTTGTTCGGATTTGCTGACAGGCATTATTTCAATAAATTTACTCAATTTATTTTATACACTTTACTTTGCCAATGTTGATAAACCTTTCTAGAAATTATTTATCAATAAATTTTATCATTTTTCTAACTAATTTCACTGCACGATAACAAGTGAAGAATATTTTGCATGATCGTACTTTCTAGGATTTCTATACAGAAGACTTTTCTTTCTCATGTGTGATGTTGCGTGATTTTTTTACTCTTTCAGATGAATAAATGAACAACTATGTGTGAGCAAATGTATTCGTTCGGCTAAAAAAAACATCAGAAATGAACATTCGGTTCACGATCACGAATTTTTTTTCCTTTTTTTCTCTTGTGATATCCATACACTGGCAAAAAAAAATTAAATTAAATGGAGATATGTTTCTGATATAGGTTTGCCTTATGTTAGATAATAAACTTCATTTCTTGGTTCATTAATAATCAGCAAGCATTGTTGCCATTCAAATTCTACTCATGACAATTCGTGTTTTTTGGCTTTGAATTATTTTCATTCACTAATATTTTCTCACTCTTTTTTTCTTGTCGGTTTGCGATGCTATTTACGTACGTATATATCTTAAAACTATTTATTGTGCATCATTTTTTTCTCTTCAACATCTCCGAAACGATGACGAAATTTTTAGGTGGGTGTAGAAGTAATCAAGAACTATATAGAACTATTAAAATAAACAGCATGAAAACAATAATAATGTAACTATTTTGCAAATATATTGATTGATGTATCATTTTCACTTTGCACAATCATAAATAACATTTTATTATGATAAAATTATGATGATATTCGTCATGAAAAACTTTTCTAAAAATCTGAACTTTTATTTACATTATTTTGGTAACCTACTCTCTTCTTTCAAACTCTCCGATTTGATTCGAGGTTTTTATATTGTTACACATCTATTATTGATTACTTTGACTCATAACAGTATTTAATTAACATTAAATAAAAACTTTTCTCGACAGATGAAAAAAATACATAAAATAAAGACGCAAAAATTGACGCAATAACTGTTATTAAATGAAACGGTTATGATGTCATTCAAATTTTATCCGTTACAAAACACGAGCGCATGCGATGAGAAAATTTTAAGATTAACGGTTGAGTGAAAAAAGGAAGAATTAACAAAATATTTTCTTTTAAAATGATTTTCTTTTCATGAAAATATATATTATTTTCCATCAGAGACATTTCGAAACATAAACTTCTTAATGAGGAATAAATTTTTCAATTTATTTCCTTTCTATTGCCATATGTTCACATTATTAAGGAAGTTATACCAAGTTTACACTGTCATAGCGAACTTGAAGCATATCACTAAAGAAAGGAAATGTTTAGATCAACAAGTTTTTTTGCCACAGTGGATAAAAATATTTGAATAGTTTGTTTAAGGGAAAATAGGGACGGATTATTTTTTTGAAAAGTTCATTTTTATAGGTGTTATGCTTTCATAAAGATTGGAAATCTGAAGGTGAAGTGTAATAGTACTATAAAAGTTTAGGGATGTTTATTAAGACATATATTTTCCTTGAGCTTTTGCGCATGATTCATTTTACATATTTTCTCCTGTAAGCTCACTTTTTTAACATAAGCTTTTTTGTCCCGGGGTAGAAGGTAGAAAAACAGAAAACTAGTAGGTTCTTGATTTATTTTTTTAATTTCAAGCAAACATTATTTGAAGAGTGGAAAAGTTTTAAAAACTTGTTAAGATATCTTGAGGTATTGAAATTATATTAGGAAATGTGGGTTTCAGTTGAATGATGTGTGGAAGACCTCAAATCACTTTCAAACTTTTGCTACGCAACAATCTACACTGTGAAAACTGTGAATTAGTGACAATGAAAAATTATTTTAAAAATCCATTAATACTTAATTGCGTGGTTCTGACATATTTTTCCAATGAACACTGCAAGGTCAATAAATGGGAAATTTATGTCAGAAAATATTTCACAGAAAAAGTTCCAATAAACATTTTCTATCATTTTTCAAATTGTGACGAATATTTTTGTGCAGCAACAGCATAAAAGAGAAAAAAAAAATTTGTGCTTTTACTCTAACAGGTTGTCGTTCGAGAATTAAAATCATTTGGAAAATTTTTGGAACTGGTTTGTTGTCAATGTGATGAATGAGCTTGAGTGATTATTAATTATTTATTAATAATGTATGTGGGACGTTGAATACGAAATTATGAAAACGAAATGGCCTTAAATCGTTTACGTGAAAATATTCTAATAATTTTTATTTGTCTCTTGAACTTACAGCGTTAATGGAAACATCAATCATCAAACGAGCTTAAATTTAATTATAAATCTCAAAATTGAATTAACTAGACAATCTTAAACATTTCATACTCATAAACATTCCATAACAAACAAAAAAAAAGAAAGAAAAAATGTTGCCATCAAATGTAATGTCCTTTATGAAGAAGGTAAAGTGGTTACGAAAGTAATTACATTTTCTCATCTAATCGATATAATCTCCGTACTTGAAATTTTCAGATGGTTGCTCAAGAAGAGAATCAACCTCATCAGAGCACCAATGAAAATTCCGGAACAACGTTTGGAAAATTGAAGCAAACCCTTTCTTCTTCTTTACTAACCGCTCAAGATAAAGGTAAATATGCTCATGCATACTTATTTCAGACATAAAAGATTGGCAAAGGCCACCTACAGATTCTTGTCTACAATTTTTCTTTTTTTTTCATTTCATTTTCCTATCCCAAATGTTTATCATTCATCCTAAGACGATTTACTTTGGACATGATAATCTGTAGTTGTAAAAATCTCCCTAAGAAACTTTTTTCATTTAGAGAACATGATTTTCATTATCTAACATATAATTAAGATTAGAAAGTGGTTACAAGATACGTTTCCAAGGAAACATTCTTTGAAAGTTTTTATATAAAAATTAACTCGAAACGATACTTAAGAAGAAACAAGACTCAACTTGTTGAACAGAAGCTTTCACTATATAGAAAGAAAAACAAACATCTTTTTTCTTTGTGTTATATAACTCAACAAACACACAAATTCATAACCAACTTCCATGTAATTTATCCCCAACAGTAAATAAAATGTCTCCACGACCATCTTTAATCCCTGATGCAGTTGAAAAGATTGATACTTCTACTTTTTCACCTCCCGATGTTGTGGAAAAAGAAAGTGAATCGTCGATTAATCAAAATCTTGAAAAAAATGAGCCTAACAAAACAGCGAATCGAGCTAGTTCATGTAGAGTGTGCTTAAAGTCATTTAAACCTGACGACTTTAGCAAAACATGCTTCGAATGTAAATATAGAGTTTGTGAAGATTGTGCAAGTTACAGTAAAATGGATAGTGCAGAAGATTTGGTATGTGTTAATAATACTTATAAACTTACGGTAACGTGAGAAATTTATTTCATTTTTATGTTTATTATTTCTATGAAAATCATTAACAGAACACTTGGCGCTGTAGCGTGTGTCGTCGGAAAATGTCATCGCGTATATGTATTCCCCAAGATTCTACTGATTCGAATCTAGATGTGCCTGTTTTAGAAGCTTTACAACGACGGCACTCGGATGCTAAACTTAACACAAATGTTGTCAACAGTCAAATCGGCCTCGTTCCCCCAAGAAGTCCCGAGTTGCGTCGTCATTCTGATGTATCTCCTGCATCGTTAAAAGAACTCGAAAAACTCAAAGGAGGTGGATCGTCAAAGAATAATAATAACAATAATAATGAAAGTGAGTGGGATAATATCAAAAGCAATATACCGAGTCGTATTGAGATCGAGCCGCCTACAAGAGCCGGCTCCAGACGTCAATCGATTCGTGTATCGAGACAGCACAGCTATGACGACGATATCCAGAAAAATGCTATCGCAAACATGAATTCGGAAATAGAGTTGAACTTAGGATTGCCCGGACAAATTCCAAGAAGGTACACTTTTATTATTCTTAATCTTAAATTGTAAATCATGTCATCTTAATCTTTTAGAAAATCAGCGTATGATGTCTTTGGTGGTATTCAAATGATGCCACCAAATCAACAACAAAAATCATCAGATATTGATAAGTCAACAGGTTCCAGACGTTCTTCATTTCGCATTCCAGCTCAAGATGATTTTGAGAAGGATGAATCACCAAGCCCTGACAACGGGCCAACTCTTCTTATCGATGACGATAGACGGATAAGAAGACGTGGATCACAATTGTAAGTCAATTTATTCTCTTCTTCTCTTTTATTTATTGTGTAAGTACATTGAAATGTGTTTTCCGCGCATGTAGGCCCGACATCTCTGCGTTGAGGGAAAGAGGTGTACTTGGTGTCACAACCACACAAGGGACATTGTCTGTAAATCCTATAAATCCATATCAAGGCCCAGCTTTAGAAGATTTGGAAGCTCCTAAAAGGCAAACATCTTTGGATGGTGAAGCCATTAAAATTGTTATACACGATGTAGATTCGGGACCTCTTTGTGCTTCAAAAAGACGAATAATTTTGAGGCGTGATCCAAGTGATAAAGCGCATAGGAGTAAGTATTCATGTCTGCATTTATTATAAGTACATCGGGATGAAGTAAAGAAATACAAACACGTAACATTCGTGTTTCTATGTTAGAATATTTTCCCCTTCACTTCGATGTTGTTGAATGAAATAAAATAAAGCTAACATGCTTATGTTTATTCACAGCTAGAGGTTTTGGAATGAGAGTTGTCGGAGGAAAAACTGGTGCTGATGGAAAACTCTTTGCCCACATAGTTTGGACAGTTCCAGGTAGGAAATTTGCTATGAAATTATTTTAAATTTTTATTTGACTTTGACCTCGTTAAAAGGTGGACCGGCCGAGAAAGGAGGCCTACAACAAGGTGATAAAATTTTGGAATGGTGCGGTGTGTCGTTAGTTGATCGGAGTTTTGAAGAAGTTTGTTCGATCATGGATAGAACAGCAGATATCGCTGAACTTTTAGTTGAACATGCATCAGATTTTAGAATGTGTGATTTACTAGAAGATAACAATTCACAGCAAGCTGCTTTGAGTTCACAAGGGAGTTTAAACAATCCAACTATTACTTTAAATCAAAGGAAAAACAGTGATGTCGGCCTAATTGCTGGTAAGTTGGTTTCTTATTTTTCCTTCCAAGAATCAGTCTCTAAATTCCATTTTTAACTAGTCTAAAGGCTCTCTGAAAATCTTTAAACATTTAACAAATACAAAGACTAACAGTGAAGGTTTTCAGAGCCCATCTTTAGAATTTGAATTTGTGTAATTCTATTTTTTCTTTTTATTCTTCTCTATTTTTAACATTTTTTTAAAAAGAACCTGAAAACAACGAAAAGTCTCCTGCATCCCCCACTCGCAGAAAACTTCCAAAAACTCCGGTATAAATTATGTTTGCTAACACATTTAAACTGTCGGATTGTTGGAAAACTTTGTTTTTATTTATCGACTTTTGATTTTATTTTATTTAAGTAGTTTATTAATTAGTCACTTGGAAAATCTTGAATGCCCAAAAGCGTTCATTTGGACTACTTTTAACTATTTATAATGTGAACAAATTTCAAAATTTAAGAAAAAACATTCGGTGAAGACCATTTGTTGAATAATGAAAATGATTAAAGATTGAAGAAACAGATTTCTTTAAAAAATGTCTCATGCTGACAACAGAGACAGTTGGTTATGGTTGAAGAGATTGCCCTGATAACTTTTCCTTTAAAAGGGTCAAAATTGTTTTATTAGATGAAGAATTAGTGTAAAGATAGTAGAGTTCTTAGGATGAATCGGGGAGATAAATCTAACGATAAAACTTATCATATGGTCAAAATGAAAAACTTTCAATCAGAAGAAACTTTTTTTCTCAATCATGAACTTTCTCACGTAACTATTAAAGCCAAAACCTATTGGAAATTTAGGACAATCATATTGTATTCTGTATTTTCTAGTTCTTTGAAACCTTTACTAAATTATGAAGCTTCTACTTAGACGACTGACTGGTAGGAAAGGATGAAAGACGTCAGTTATGCGCTTGTTTGAAATGAACGAAAGCTTCGCAGCTTCCTGTTCCAAATCTTTCTAAGCTTTCAATCTATTTGCAGTTTTTGTACAAGAAAAGATAAAATCTAATGCTGAATAACATATCATTTCTACTTTCTTTCAATTATTCGTAAAGTTTTATATACACTGAAAGTAGTATGAAAAGAAAAAAGAAATCTGAATCTTGAGCTGTTTTAAATAGATTGCGAGAAACATCGCAGAAAAATATCATCAGAAGCTTTCAAAAGAAAAAGCACATTAAAGAAGAAATTTATTGATGAAACGAAGAACGTGATAGAGTTTGAGTTTAATTTTTACATTTATTTTGTAGAATCTGTTAAAATGATATTTTTGTAGAAATATTCAAAATGTTAAAGCTCTTGGAAGGAATATTCATCAAAATTTATTAATTGATCTTCGCTTATTCAATCGAACGACTGAAAACCCTAAAAAATTTACGTATGTTTGATAGTTGATGTTAAATGTTCAATTTTTTTATCTTGCTTTTTTGCTATTGTCAGTGAGGATGGTTTTTATTTTGGAAATTTGGAAAACAATCACAAATTATTCATAAAAAACTCAGAATCGATGCAAACAACTTAGACAATTGAAATCAATCTTAACTGTAGCTTTTAGGATTTTAATTAGCCTTTAATAATCACATTATGGATGTTACAGTAAAAGCTCTATCGATATTGTTATAAGTCAAAGTCACAGAAGAATAAATAAGTATTCCTAGGTAATCTTAAAATGAAAATCAAATGCTTAAGTAAGCTTAAAGTTTATTGATTTCTTTCTTAGTTTTTCTTTTTCTCTTACACATTGATTTATTGTAGAAACCTTCATATTTTTCGTAGAGTAGCAAATATTGAGTGTTTAGAACATTATTTGCAACTGTGTACAAAAAAAAGCTTTCTCATGTTTCGAATCTGTTACATCACCAACATAAACTTCGCAGGTAAACAATCGAAAGCTTTTTTAGTTTCAAGTTACATTCAATGTTTTAAATCTCATATTGAACTCTTAAAAACAAATTGTTACAATGTTTCTTTATGTTTAAAATGTATCATTATGAGTAGTGTTTCTCAAAATCCCTATTTTTAGGGAATAGGGAAAAAGAAATCGTCAAATTTC